CATCATTTGTTAGACATCATATTTCAGAAGGAAACTGTGAGATAGTTTCAATCAACACTGAAAATATGGTTGCTGATATGTTGACTAAAAGTTTAGCCAAGATTAAATTCAATAAGTTTGTTGGTCTAGCTGGAATGTCGAACATATCTACAAGTGTTTAGATTATGGTGGGGTGTTGAGATAAGATGCCGAAGTCAATATCAATAAATTAGAGAAAGAGGCTTATTAAAGACAAGGCATTAGAAAAGTGTTGTAATCTAGCTATTCTATTATGAATATCCATTGTATATGTACACGTTTTCTTATGTTTGTTACTTAGTTAAAAACAACTTATACAACTCTTAATAACTAATGATTCTAAACACAGATAGGAGACAAAACCTCTCCTATTTATACACTCATGACGTCGGCTAATCTTTCCAGTTTTAGATTACTTGATGCCTTGTCATTACAAGGCTCTTTTCTAATGCCTTGTCTTTAATAAGCCTCTTTCTCTAATTTATTGATATTGACTTCGGCATCTTATCTCAACAAGAGTATTAGTTTGTAGGTTAGTTATATTAGTTATATATTAATGTTGAGATAAGATGCCGAAGCCAATCATGATCGAGAGATAAGAGATAAGAATCTTATCATGATAAGGTATCTTAGGGTTGAGATAAGATGCCGAGGCCAATAAGGATTGAGTGATAAGAGATAAGAGTCTTATCATGATAAGGCATCTTAAGTAATCTAAAACTGGAAAGTTAGCCGCCATGATAAATGAATAATGGCAAGTTTAACCGAAGGTGTAAGTGTATAAATACAAGAGGTTTGTCCCTTGTATTTATGTTTGAGAATATTAGTTTGTAGGCTAGTTATATTAGTTATATATTAATAAGCAACAACTATAATATAAAGTGAACAATATACTATGGATATTCATAATAGAATAGCTAGATTACAACAATTAATAAGTGACAAGTATAGTATAAAGCGAACAATACACAATGGATATTCATAACAGAATAGCTAGATTTCAACAGGTTATGAGCCAATTCGCTCTCACTTGCCCTAGAGATGAGAGCTTGAAGCTTTCTTCGTCTATGAACTATCCTAAATGGAACAGTTATACTGTTATGCTTGTTGCCACTCAAGGTGCTGGCCTTGATGTTTATTTTACAACTGGAGATATGATGTTACCTCCAGCTGAACCGATAGACGACACTCTAGTTATGCAGCTCCAAGTTGCCATTATTCATGTATCACGGCGGCTAACTTTCCAGTTTTAGATTACTCAAGATGCCTTATCATGATAAGATTCTTATCTCTTATCTCTCGATTCTTATTGGCTTCGGCATCTTATCTCAACACTAAGATACCTTATCATGATAAGATTCTTATCTCTTATCCCTCGATCATGATTGGCTTCGGCATCTTATCTCAACAGCTCCAAACCCAATTATAAAGCTCTGATCTTTATGTTGCAAGATCATTTAACCAATTATTATCAATCAAGACATTTTGACTCCGCATATAACAGCAAAAATACCTTACCCCGGGAAACCTTCAAAAAGCTTTTAATATTTTTAGAACTTAAACATTCACTCTATAAATAAGAAGTGGCGCAGTAATTTACTAGTTGGAGGGTTGGCCGAGTGGTCTAAGGCGGCAGACTTAAGATCTGTTGGGCGTATGTCCGCGCGAGTTCGAACCTCGCATCCTTCATTTTTTTGCAAAGCGGTGGAGGGATAAAATTGTTATGTTAGCTTGATTTGAATAATAAATTTACAAACTACCCCCCATTATGACTACAAAGATCAGCTAGTTAAAACCTGAAACTTCCCAATCTTTCAGAACATCTAGCCAAGAGTTTCCACCACATATTTCATTATTGCCATCATTCTCAGTCCTCCAAATCTCCATCATTATCTGCTTTCCAATCCATTTATTTCCAGCGACAAACATTTTTCTTGCAACCTCATCAAATCTGTGCCTTAATTCTGGAGCGATAGCATCAGATCCTGATATGAAAAAACACCAAAAAGGGGGAAACAATTTCATGTCTTTCAAAAAATCACTTCGCAATGAAAGATCTCGCAACTGCTCGAGGTGAGTGATAGTTGAAGTTACATGATTTTGTAGAAGCGTCGGATCAATTTCTTTGATAAGGCGAAAGAAAAACATCAATGTCGTGTTGTAAAAAGAAACAGCTAAATGATACAACGCCTTGTGGAATAAGCTGTGGAACTGAAGCTCTCCACCTTTCGTTCGATTTTCGGTGTACAAATCCCATTCAAGCTTCCAGTTTATTAGATCTTCCTCCAGGTCACAACAAAATTTAGGAAAATTTCTGGGGAAGATAGTTTTTCGGAGACACCAATTTTTATGATCTGCTAATTTCACAGCTCTTTCAATAAGCCGCAATAGTGATACTGGAATTCCAAAACTGAGCTCTATACTCGAAGGCCTTCCCTCTATAGTTTCCCAACTTATGCTTGAAGGGTGTGGAACTTGAATTTTGCCTTTTTTGTGGGAAAGTTGTTCTCTTTCGTTTAATGACATATCAGGTTGTGAAGTAGCTAGCCCAGTGAGAACATTCACCTCAACTCCTTTTTTATTAGGCGTAACGTTTTGCGCTCCAATTTGATGACTTCCTTGCTGCATTTTTACATTGCGCTTTTTGACTTCTTGATGAGTGTCTTCGCCGTTTCTAACATCTGAGTTTAGTTTTCCCAAAGCTACCGCTTTTGCGTGCTGAATTCCAACGCTGTTTCTAGTATTGGTCTGGTTTTTCTTATCTTCCTCTTGTGATGTGAAATTCTTGTGGCTAGAGTTCTTTTCACTAATAGTCTTAAATCCATGCACTTTTAATTGCTGATCACCAATTTCTTCCTCTATTGTCCCAGAACAACAGTCTACATTTTGGTTATCTTCATTTTCTGAGCTACAATCACCTCTGTCACACTGGTCTTCGGAAAAGTGAAAACGAACAGTAAAAGACCTAGGAGGTTTATCAACTATGTTCGGCCGTTTCGCTAAGCGCTTGGGAATTTCTAACTTGGTATCATCTTCAAAAAACTCATCATCAGACTCTTCTTCAGAATCGCTATCATTACTCAAGCTCTCCTCATAATCATTCGAATCACTCAGAAAGTCAGCCTTGGACTTTTCATCCATGTTTGACTTGATCTCAATCCTGTTGAACTCATTTTGCTCAAAATAGTCATTAAACTCGAACCTCTTAATCAAATTATAATCAGACCTGACATCCTCAAAACCTTCTTCATTTATTTCATAGTTTTCAAAGTCGATTTTTGAGCATGATTTGAAAAAAATTAGCAAATAGCGGAGCCATTCCCAGATTTCATCCATTTCTCTATCATTCTTTTCACTGCTCTGGTAATGAGATTTGAGACTCTCAAGTACTCCATAAAGAAGACTGTAGTTAACGATAATGTCTACATTTGAATCCTGGTAAATTGCTAAAATCAAGGTGAGGACAAGCTCTTTGATAAGGCCAACTTTGATCAATCTTTGAACTAAATTAGAGTTCGTGACATTAATTCTTGAATTGTTTGAAGGGAGTATTAGAGGTTTGATTAAAACAGAAAGATTCACCAGGGACATTTCTCGAAATGCAATGTAGCATTTAAAAAGATTTAGTGATCCATCGTAGATTCCATACTCATTGAATAAAACTTTGTATTGTGAAAATGATGTTATCGATAATGCTACCATACAATAGGTTCTTTTAAGGACATCACAATAATCCCTAAATTCAATTCCATGTTCGGAAACTTTTCCCATATAATCTCCAGGCAGACCAACAGAACACTCAAATACCATCAGCTCTCCGACAATCTTATAAAGTAATGGAATTACTATGGTGTCAAACACACAACCGCTGTAGCTCAATATTAAAACGCTGGGTTGTGACTTAACAAATAGTCTTATCAGTTCTTGAACACGTTGAGATCTCAATAGAGCAGTAAATGAGGAAATGGGAACAGTTGATTGCTCACCTCTATTCAAAGCCCGAATGACCTCGTTTATACATTTTTTCAATGAAGAGTCAATCTCTGATTGTTGTAATTGCATTTTATCAGTAATCCTGTTACGGAGCTCCGAAGAGGTACTAAATTTTTCCGCAAAAATCACCTTTTTCATAGCATCCCATGAGCTGGTTACAGCATCAGCGGATCCAACTAACGTCTGGTAGGTGAGTATAGCATCGATTTCCAATCTAGGGTGAATCCATATTGGTTTAGGGATAATCTCACCATCCCTCAATGAATACCCGAAATTTCTTTTTTCAGGATTGGAGGAGTACGATATTGAGTTGCATAGCAGGTCGCTGGCTTCTTGCAGCTTGATCCGTTGATGGTGTAGTTCTAATGCTGGCACCAGAGGTAGGATTCGTGATATGGGTGAACCTGGGGAAGACTTGTCAGAATCTCTTCTATTCATCCCAATTATTGCAGAAATTGAGGGCAATTTTTCGCTTATTAACATATTACCGTTAGCCAGGCTTGAAATATGATTTGACTGATCGTTAACTTGCAGCTGAAGGTTCTGATTGAATGATCTTGGATCTATTTTGAGAGCTGTAAAAGTAGAATGTACTCTATTGCTATAATTACCACTAGCGAAGAGGCCAAAGGGACCAGCATACAAATCTCTACCATCAAAATTATTTTCGTCTAGCTCTTCCAGCTTTATATCTAGTTCATGGAAGGTAGTATACGTTTGGGAGGCCGGAAACTTCATTAAATCGAGTTGTTGCCTTTTGGCCAAATTGGATTTATCGCTTTCAGCCTGAATTTGTATGACTTCCAGAGAACCATCATTTGATAATGTCATTGGGTCAATAAATTTCAACTTGAATCCGTAGCCGAGGCATTCTCTACTTGCCTTTTCACATCGGTGACATTTAGGCCGGCGGCCATCACATTTGACTTTGCGGTTTCTGCATGTTATACACCCCAAAAAGGTTCTTCGTTTGACAGATTTTTCTTTCAGTTCTGTTTTAATAGTTACAGGCATAGCTCTCTTCATCAGAGAAGACTCTCTGAGTTAAGGATAAGACTATCAGGTCGAGAGAGTAAGAATGCCTGTGACCGGCTTTTAATAAATCGAGGAAAACTTCAAAATGTCTATCTAAGCGAGAACCCCTCTCAATTGGGACAACTACAAGCGAGGAACATTTTTTTTCTCTCCTTGATAGATCACAGAAATGTTCTACTAAGGTTACGTAATGAATATTAGTGAAACAAAGCTATTAATTTTAAATAAAGACAGCTACCATCATTCTAAAAGGTCGAATGAATCATCTCCTGCAACGCTCTTTCTCACCTTTTTTTTAGATGACTTGAGTGGAGATAATGTCTTTCTTTTTTTCACACTTTTGGTATCGATCTTGGAACCGCTGGACGATAGTAGCTTTCTGTTTAGATCTGAACCGTTGGAGTTGGATAAAGCCTTAAACTTAAATTTGCTAGATTTATTTAGTTTGGAAGAATCATAAGATTCCATCATTTTTTTCTCATGGTCTTGCTTCTGATGTGCTAAGTGCTCATACTTATTAAGTTTCCGTGATTTTTTTTTCTTCTGCTGAATGGAACCAAGAGCAACAGTGCTGTTTTTTTCTACTTGATCGCTATGAATGCTAAAGGTTGGTGGTTTGAGTGGAGACGACATGATAGATGGCAATCCAACGTTGTCCTGTGGATCGGTATCCAGTATGTTTAGAGCTTTACGTGGCGTTTTTATTATTGGTTGCTCTCCTGACAGTGATAAAGCGTCGTGAATTTCAGGGCTTAGATCGTCATTTAAGTTTTTCACGTCCAAAGATGCAATTTTTTCCCTGAGTCCTTTAACCTTTTTCATGTAAATTGCCAACTCTGCTTCTTTGCTCTTCAATTCTTTACAGGCTTTCTGGTTCTCAGTTTGTAACTTTTTCACATACTCACCATATTCTAAATTCTTCGATCTCAATTCGTTATACTTTTCAACAAACTTTTCTTTCTCGGCAAGCTCGCTTTTGAGATCTGAGCATAAAAGTTGAAGTTTAGCTAACTCCTCTTCTGCATTTTTACTGAAGGATTCAATGCTTAGCGTTTCAACTGATTTAGAATCTAAGGCACCCTGCAATTTTCCAGCGGTTTCTGATAGCGTCTTGAGTTTTTCAGAAAGCTTGGCTATTTCGTCATTTTTGATTTTCACCAAACCTTCAAGGTCAGACTTCATAGCTGCACTTTTTTGAACTTCTATTTGTAGAAGTGATCTGGTACTGCTTGTATCTTTTTCAAATCTGTCGACAGAGTCTTCGTGTGAAGTTTTGGATTCTTCCAACTTTTCAGAATTTTCCTCCTTCGTTACCTCCAACTCCTTCTCATGTGAAGAGATCTTTTTTTGCGACATAGAACTCATATATTCAAGCTCTGCATTAATACGTTGTATTTCTGAATCTTTTTCAAGAAGAGAATTCTCCACTTTCTTGAGTGCTTTTCTTTTCTGTTCCTCGAGTTCCAAAATAGCTTTGTCTTTACAGAATAGTGCATGATTTAGAGACTCGACGTTCAGCTCAGACGAAATGCCTAACTGTTGGAGATCATTTTCAACTTCTAATTTTTCACTTTCTGTTTGAGTTAGTTTTTCTTTAAGAACGTCATTATCTAATTTCAGCCCTGCAATCATTGCATTTTTCTCCATCAGTACTTGCTCATGATCTTTTTTTGTGCTTGCTATCTCTTTATCAAGAGCAGAAAGCTTAATGTCTTTCGATGACAAAGTGTCTCTAAGAATTTGGAGTTCATCATCATGTTCAGTTTTGAGCACACGAAGTGCTTGCTCTTTATTTTTCAACTCAGTCTGTAATGACTCCAGACTCTTTTCAAGTTTGGCTTGTATTTCAACTAGGTTTTCACTATGTATTTCATTGGCAAAAAGTGTTTCCTTCAAAGATTCTGTTTTGATCTCTAAATCAGCTATCTTTTTCTTCGAAGAATCTAGCTCAGCTTCAAGCTTTTCAAGACTGGATGATTTTTCAATTTCAACTTTTGCAATTTCTTCTTTCTGACTTGACTCGATGTCTGAAATTTTCAGCTTAAGGGTTTCAATTTCAATCTCCAGATTCTCATTATTGCTATTAGAATCTTCAAGTTTTTGCTTTAATTGATCAATAATTGCCAGATTCGATACTTTTAGATCAGATAAAGTCTGAGTTAGTTGAGAGTGACTGAATTGTGAGGTTTCCAACTCTAGTCTCTTTTCTTCCAGTTCTTTGGTCGTAGTTTCAAGCTCTATCTGCTTATCATTTAAAAGTTGTTGAAGCTGCTCGTACTTAATCCTGAATGAATCGGCTTGATCTTGAAGTTTCCGATCTGATTGGTAAATTAGGTCTTGGGTCAAATTATTAATTTCTTCTTTGTGATCCATCATTAACTGAGCCAAAACTTGCTCATTTTCCTGGTACAGTTCGCCCCTAATTTTACTCTCATTCTCAACAACAAGCTCCTCCAAGGTGTGAACCTTGGATTTTAATGATTTTTGCTTCTGTCTCAGATTGTCAATCTCTTTTATTAAACTTTGCTGCTCCAATTTGTTGACTGATTTCGGCCTATTGGAAAACTTTGACAGCGATTTTCTCTGCAGATGTTGATACTTTATTGGATCAATATATCTTAGTGTTTGTAAAATTAAACCCTCTTCACCAAACGGATCTAATGTGACTAAGATGTGTAACGGGTGATTTAACTTAACGTAATCATTGAGAACCAATCGAGTCAATTTGTTTGTTCTCAGGCATGTCTTGTAAAATTGCTTCATTGAGATTAATTCAAAACAACGGCCCAATTCTGTTAGTGAACCGTTAGTATAGCTCGCTTCTTTCAGGGAGAGACCTGAAGTTCCTGCTGATTTTGATCTTTCCAATCCAGCTAGATCTGCTATGGTGAACCTAGTGGTTTCCATTACATCAGCATAAATCTTATGAAGATTCAAAAATATGAAACAGTGGGACCTCGAGGAGCGATTGTTGGCAGACGTTGGAAATGTTTTCCTCTTTGTCAGACTGTTAAAGACCAGGTCATGGACTGATCTGTAGGAATTCACCAAAAATTTGGAAATATTTCTAGGTGTTAATTTTGCATCAATCGGGTCAGTGACTATAGTCGAGTTTTCCCTAACACTCTTAGTGCTAGGGTGTAAAAGATCAATGATGTTGTCATTGTACAACTCAAACATTGAAATAGAAAGATAATGGAAGGAGCTGGCTGAAACATCACCACTGGACTCTAGAGTCCTCGCATCAACCATATCAGGATAATATTGCCGAATTCTCTCTACATTGTCTGAAAGAGGCTCAATGCTGTCAAAAATAAATCTCAAAGACTGGTCAACTAAGGAATTCTCGTTTTGAAACAAAAGATGACTCTTGCCAGAATTTGTTGGTCCTAATGTTATTAACAACGAGTCCTCATCTTTTAAAAATTTGTTTTCAAGAAGGGGCAAGGCTACTTTTTTAAATAAATCATTCTCAGGGTAAGATATGCTTTTAAAATTAAATTGTGTTTGGAATCTTGGAAAAACAATCTTATTTTCTTCTTTTGAGCTGTGAAAAACCGGGGACGGCCCACTTTCCGGATCACTTTTCAGAGCCAAATGTACTTCCATTTCAATCAATGTGACTCTTTATTGTGCTGGAGGAGAATGTGATTAGGGGCCAATTTGCTTCCTGCCAAACATATATGATAAACAACATCTTCGAATACGCAAACTTTAACGACCTGATAAATGTAAACAACGTAAAAAAGGTAAACATGGGATTTGATTGAGGCGGTGCACGGATGTATAAAATGCATCATGTTTTTGAGTCTGGCTCTGTAGGAAATGTGAGAAGAATGGAAGACAAGAACAAAGATGAGATTGAAGGTTTGGACTAGGAGCTTCTTGTACTTTTTACTAAAAAGGGGATATAACTTTCAGAAAAGATGGGAGAACCAGCAAGTGATTTGAAAAAAAGAAAGTACGATGGTATAGAGGAAGGCCAAGAAGCAGATAATATTTCTCGCAATAAAGTGATGAAGACCAATGATACCCAGATTGGTGACCACCCTAAAGAGAGTGGTAAAGGTACCAATGGGTCAGTGAGAGAAGAAAAGAATGAATTTGTCAAAGTTGTTGAAGTAAGGACAGAAGAGGCAAATAAAATGCAAGGGGAAGCGTTGCGGAATGGAATATCTGAAACTGAACCTGAAACTGAAAAGGATAAGAAAGAGGAAAGAAAAGAAAAAAAGAATGATGTTGATTCTGGGAATGATCAACAGAAACCAAAATATGTTTTTGGTTCTACGACTGTCTTTGGCAATATGGGAGGTTTCAAGATGTTCGGAAGCGACAATAATGTTTTCTCTTCCAGCTGTAAGAAAACACAAGCAAAGGTTGGAAAAGACTTACACAATGCAGAAAGGACTGTACTGGGAAATGATTTATCCGAAGCAGCAAGCACTGTAGTAGAAACTGACAGCAAAGAACATAAAAATGAAACCAGTGAGTCAGGGAATGAGACCACCGATAAAGATAACAATGTAACAAGTAAAAAAGCACCAGTTTTTGGGAGTGGTTCCACGTTCGGGAATGCATTTCAAGCCGCCATTAACAAGAAATCGGTATTTGAAGAGTTGGATTCTCGTGACACAGGAAAAAAAGCTGATGATACAACTGAAAAGGATGTATATAAAAAAGTGCATCTTGAGAAGCAAGATGTGAAGTCGGGAGAAGAAAATGAGGAAACCATTTTCCAAGTAAAGGCTAAATTGTATCATATGGAACTTTCGAAGATGTCTCTGGGATGGAAGGAACGGGGATTTGGAATAATAAAAGTGAACAGGTTTATCAAGTCACCAGCAGAAAATTATACCTCCCGGCTAGTCATGAGACAAAATGGAAATTTGAAACTAATTTTGAATCTTCCGATTATGAATGGCTTTCAAGTATTAAAAGGAATGCCTAGTTCTCTGACAGCAAACAAATTTATAAGGTTACAAGTGCTCGAAGGTGGTGAGCCTGTACAGTATGCAATCAAGGTGGGCCAGCCTGAAAATGCCGAAAAACTGTTTGGTTCTATCAGAGATCAAATTCCGAAATAGAAAAGGTCTGAGGCGGCAGCCATTCTTCCCTCATTTGTAGTGCAGACGATTAATACTATATATCAGTAAATTGCTTACACTTTCTCAAATGCAACAGTGCAAATCGTAGATCCACTTTTGCCTCCAAACTCGTATTTTGGGTATCTTACCCTCTTCCACACCTTTAAATCTCCCGAGCTTTCCATATGAGAGCACAACTCTTCTTCTGTGAAATTGCATGAGGTTATCAAGAGAAGAGCGCCCTTTCTGAGTAGGGACGATGCATGTCCAGGGTATATTTGGTAACCAGTTAGTCCATCCTCGTTCCTCTGGTCACTGAGAGCGATGGCATCCAATGTTCCTTTATCAAGTACCAGATCAAAAAAATTACGGTGTTTCAGTAAAAATTCGTCTTTGGGAAATAGGATATCTGATTTCTGGAAACTAATGTAAAAAGCCTTCTCTTGCGCAATATCCGTAGCAAACTTCACGCTAGCCTCACTGTAGTCGACTCCTATGAGGTTGCCTCGGAGGCCTTCTTCGTACAACTGGAACAATAGATGTCCATTTCCCGTTCCCAAATCACACACATTAGAAGTCTTGAGGTTTTTCAGTTCGGTAAAAATGAATTCGCACATTTTGTCTTCGGCGTTGGATTCATCAAACCAACATTCCCCTGTGTCTTCTGGGTTCTCAACAAAATTCTTATGTTCAAGCTCATAAAAATCGTCCCAGTATTTTTTGCTTCCGAGAACAGATGGTGTAAAGTCTACTTTCTTTTCCGCCATGTCTACGGGTTCTCTAGATTCCTTTCCGATCCAATTTCTGCGATCTGCCTTTACCGTGCTGCACTTCTTTCTTCTTTTCTTGATGGTTCTTTTCCTTCCTTCCTTTCATCTTGCAAAACTATCGGAGACCCGGCCGTTTGCCAACATTACGTAACACCGGCGGCCAAACTTTTTGAGGTCTCGGCGACACAATTAGGTAAGCCCTTTCTGCATGAGTTTTTTTTTTATTTGTAGAATTCCCCCGCATGCATGCATATATCAGCCATCTCGCTTTGACGCTGCCCAGCAAAGACACCCAATGCATCAAAATTTGCTCAAATGGTGGAGCTTAGTTTCTATCTGAGGCTTTCTCGACGAACGAGAGTGGCAAATCTTTAACATTATGGAAGCCGGGGTTCAATAAACAGAGAATTTCCTCACAATGGCACAACACTGGAATTGTACGTATTAGTCGTTGGCGACGAAATTTGCTCGTTATGACCTCAGTTGACCCACTCGCTGAAAATCTGCTTACAGATGCATTATCTGTTGATAGACCTATACATATCTCTTCTTGTATCCCATAAGCACTCCAAAGCTGGAGTCAGTCTATGAAATAACATATGATTTTCTTTTCGTTAGATTACCGTTGTGTCATGGTACTCTTCTAGTTTATCATTTTGCTGACACCCTTATCAACACTTATCAACGTGTATCACCAAGTAAAAGATGAAGGTGTTATATTTGCTGGTCTCGTTGGTAGTGATTGCAAACGCATTGGTTATTTCCGATTCTCATGTTGCCTCGTCATGTATATATTTTTTCAGGAAAAAGTCCTGGGATTGCAATTCTGCATCTGCTGGCCACATGAATTCCAATATCTGGAATTGCCAATGCCTAAATATCGAATGGTTGGGATCCATAACTAACTGCATCAACGACTACTCGAACTCCACCAAAGAGCGTGACCATGCGTATGAGCATATTCGCATAAGATGCAACGGGAAAGCTAAAACCAACTACACCTTGGACGAAATGAAGGAGTATCAGCTGAATGCTACGAAATATTTAGAGAGTGCTGATTTATTTCCAAAGGGAACAAATGTCACCACTCCTATTGAAGTTGATGCCAAGAGCTTTGCATGGTGGTATAAAACTTTCAGAGATTACAATTATTTTATCTCAATGTGTCAAAGACTAGGTTGGGGATGTGTTGGTTTCTGGATCGGTATCGTCGGACTAAGCGGGATTTATAACTACGTTGGCTATAAATTCATTCCATACTCTACAAGACAAATTTTCAATAGACATTTGACTTATCGTTATGACGCATATTGCTTTGGTTTGAATAGACTAGAACTTCTCATTTGCTTTCTATTCTTTGTCCAGGTGTTGTTAATGTGTTGCATCAACTATTCTTTGGAGCTCAACTCCTATTTATATACCCGTTGGTTCCTGCTGCTTGATTTGATCAGTTTTAGGACTGATATCATTGCATTCTCCTTGATGCCTGTTCTGTATCTAACTGGTATCAGGAACAATCCATTCCAATATTTTGGATGCATGTCTCACGCAACTATGATTAAATTTCATAAATTTATTGCCATTATTTTTTTTATTTTGGCTGTTGTTCATTCGGTTATTTGGACTCACTATGCAAGAAGTAAGGATGGTGGGGGGTACGCTGTTTGGGCCGCCGATGCATATTTTTATTGGGGTATTGTGGGTACCATTGTTATTGGGATAATGATTGGATTTTCAATTGAACTGGTGAGGAACTTGCTTTATGAGGTATTTTTATTTTTCCATTTGTCTTTCTCTGTTTTGTTTGTTGCAGCTATGTGGAAGCATTGTGAAACTCTCGGATGGATGGGCTGGGTGTACTCATTGGTTGCCATTTTGTGTTTTGACTGGGTTGCTAGATTTACAAGAATTGCTTCGAATGGGTTCATCAATAGCGCTCAAATTGAGATTTATGGTCCGGAACTAGTTAAATTGGAGTTTGAAAAACCGGTTGTGATGAAATTCTATCCAGGTTCCTATGTTTACTTACATATCTTGTCGCCGGTATGGTCCTGCTGGCAGTCCCATCCATTTTCTCTCATCAGATCTACTGAGGCGGATAATAAGATGATTGTTTACCTCAAGTGTAAGAGAGGTCTTACAAGACGGTTATCAAGGTTGAATGAACAAAAGAATATAAACGTGCTAATTGATGGTCCTTATGGTGTACTTCCAGTGAAAACCTCGGATGATGAAGGATTTGATGAAGTGATTGGCATTGGTGGTGGGTTGGGTATTTCTTCTGTTCTCGCCTTTTTTAATGAGAGAGCTCGGCAGTCCAAACTTGTTTCCAACTATAAGCTGAATTGGCTAATCAATGATTTGAAACAAATAGAACTGATTAGCAATGACTTAGAGTATTTGAAGAAAAGTGGAATGAAGGTAACTATATATTACACCAGATATGACGACTCATCTGAATCTGCAGAAACAGAGAAGGATACCGACTCAAGCCATTCGTTTGTGCAAACTGTGCAGTATGGTAAGCCATCAATAGAAACCTTACTGCCACAATCCTCCTTAAAAAGACGAGTTTACATTTGTGCTTCAGAATCTTTAATACAAAGTGCCCGGCACAACCTAAGTCCTTTAGACGAGTTGATTGTCGAAAACCACACTTGGTAAATCTGACCATAATTTGTTTAAGAGCATTTGTGTATTTAGTATTACTTTAGATTTTGTAACATTTCATTACGTTTCCAATGGCGGAACTAAAAAATTAAAGAGCCGTAATATCGTAAACTGATTGTTTGCCGGTTATGAATTGCCAATAGCTTCTCCGGCCGGCCGAGTCGTTGAATGTTACGTCAGCATCTTTTGCTTTGTTCCGAGATTTTCCTGGTCATCGAGACAACTTACTTTGAGTGGTGGTGGTATTTGGAACCTATGAATTGTAAATTATGCTTATTGAAAACTCACTACCAATTTCAAGATAATACGAAAGCCATGTTTTTGAAAAGAGTCTGTAGAAACTATTCCACGGGAAAAAGCTTGACAGTTTTACGTCTAGGTCCAACAAGATTTGCGCAGCAAGCTTGGTCAAATCTGGTGTCGAAAAACAACGTTAAAGTCGTCGAGACAGATGCAGCAAATCGGGAACAATTCATATCTGAGTTGAAGAGCGGTAAATTTGCAGATGTCGACTTTATCACAAGGACTTTCGAAAGTTTCAAACAAACTGGAATGATGGACAAACAATTACTCAAGCTCATCAAGGAGCATACCAAAGTCAAAGCTATGTCGCATAACGGGGCAGGATACGATCAAGTTGATGCCATTGAGTGTGGAAACTTGAAGATACAATTGTCGAATGTTCCAAGCTTGGTGGATGATGCAACTGCAGATACGGCAGTTTATTTACTGCTTGGAGCTATGCGTAATTTCCAGCTTTCCTCAGAAAACATGAAAAAGGGCCAATGGAAAACACAAAAATGTGCAGGTACGCCTATTGGACACGACCCAGAAGGTAAGGTTTTGGGTATTCTCGGTATGGGTGGTATTGGCAGAACCATTAGAGACAGACTGGTGCCATTTGGTTTCAGCAAAATTTTATATCACAATCGTCACCAGCTTCCAAAGGAACTTGAAAAAGGGGCTATTTACTGCAAGACTCCCGAAGAGTTGTTCAAGGAGTCCGATGTCATCAGCATAAGTATTCCGTTAAACAAGAACACGAAGCATATTATCAACGAGAAGTCTATCGGGATTATGAAGGATGGTGTTGTCATTGTGAACACTGCGAGGGGACCTGTTATTGACGAGTCTGCGCTCAAGACGGCGTTAAAGAGCGGAAAAGTTGCTGCATTTGGTGCCGACGTTTGGGTAAACGAACCAAACGTTGACCCTGAGCTGATCAGTTTATCGAATGTTGCGTGCTTGCCACACATGGGCACCCACACTGTGGAGACCATGAAGGCTATGGAGGAGTTTGTTGTTGAGAACGTTCAGACATACATTGACACCAACAAAGTTCTCACCATGGTTCCTGAATTGAAAGGGAAGTTTTAGAGTGGATGATTATGTATGTAAGTGTAGACAGGCTAGAGCCTAGCGGCGTCCTTATCTAATTGGAATACTGACATTGTTACAAATTCCGCTGCCATGGTTAGGTCGGAGAAAAATTCGAGTTTTTCCGAGCAGGAGAAGAAAGAGCGGGGGAGGCGGGGGAAGACGAGGGTAGGTGGGGGGAGTAGACAGATGGCTAGAGGTGATGAAAGGAAAGCAATTCACTTTGGTTGCTACCCTCTTCTTAAGGTCCACCCTTCCTTGTTTCTGGTGAAAGAGTCAGACGAGAACGGAAATGACATTTGCAGAGAGCGGAGAACGTTTCACGGTGCTGAGACTCCCACCCATCAGATACGCCGGGGACATCTGGGACGAGTTCGAGCAGAAGAACAGCAATGTTAGAGTTGTCGAGACGGCTGCGAAGAACAGGGAGGAGTTCATTGCGCAATTGAAGCGGGGGGAGCTGCAGGAGGTGGACTTCATTGCGCGGACGTTCCAGTCGGTCAAGCAGACGGGTCTTTTCGACAAGGAGCTACTTGAGCTCATTGTTGCGCACACGCAGGTGAAGGGAATTGCACATTGCGGGGCCGGGTACGACCAGGTGGACGCCAACGCGTGCCGGGACCTGAAGCTGCAGCTCTCGAATGTGCCGGGGCGGGTGAACGACTCGACGGCCGACACAAACGTGTTTTTGATTCTTGCGACGCTGCGGAACTTCCAGCTCGGCCACGAGAACCTCATGAAGGGCCGGTGGAAGACGGACATCAACTCCGCAGGCACCATCTACGGCCACTGCATCCAGAACAAGGTGGTGGGCATTCTCGGGATGGGCGGCATCGGGCAGACCGTGCGGGACCGGCTGGCGGGGTTCGGGGTGAAGAAGATTGTCTACTACAACCGCAGCAGACTGTCGCCCGAGCTGGAGCAGGGGTGTGAGTACTGCGGGACGATGGAGGAGCTGGCGGAGCAGAGTGACGTGATCTCGATCAACATCCCCTTGAACAAGGACACGCACCACGTGATCAACGCCTCGCTCATTGCCAAGATGAAGGACGGCGTGGTGCTGGTGAACACGGCCCGCGGCCCCGTTGTCGACGAGGCTGCCGTCAAGGCCGGCTTGCGCAGCGGGAAGATTTTTGGCTACGGCACAGACGTGTTTGAGAACGAGCCCGACATCGACATGGACTTTGCGTCGCTGCCAAACGTCACGTCCTTGCCCCACATGGGCACTGCCACCGTCGAGACCATCCGCTCGATGGAGGCCCTGGTTGTGGAGAACGTCGACGCCTTCTACCGCACGGGCAAGGTCAAGACCCTCGTGGCCGAGCTGCAGGGCGTTTTCTAGCCACCTACCTACCTATTCTGTAGCCTAACCGTCCCCCTACCCTCGCCGCCCGCACCCGCCGGCCCACGGGCCCGCGCCGGCCCGCCGTCTACATATACCTGTCTGGGCCCGCCTCCCGCCTCTCCCCCGGCTCCTCCCCTCCCCACGCCGCCTCTCCGCTGCTGCCCCCTCCCCCTCCCCCCTGCACACAGCAATGAACATCTTGACCCCCCAGCGTCTGCAGCGCTTGGCCACGTGGGAACACCTCGGTGACTCCTGGTTTCTTGTCGCCACCGCCACCCTCACCGTGTGCAACCGCCCGCAGGAGATCCCCCGCCTCTACCACTATGCGATGCACACAGCGGCAGCCGCCGCCTCCCCGGCCCCCCAACCGCCGGACCTCGACGCAATCCTCGCCAAGTTCGCCGACATCCGGGCCACGGGCGCGGACCCCGCCTTCGACCCCTACGCGGCCGCCGCCGCCCCAGCCCGCCGCCGCCGCCTAGTCCTCACCGAGAAGCTCCGCGAAAGCATCCTCAAGACCGCCGCCCTCTCGGGACTCCCACGGGCCATCAACGCGCTAACGCTGCTCCGCGACTGCACCCCCGCCAGCCTGCGCCAGCAGTGCGCTGCCGGCGGCACCAAGCGCCCGCCCGTGGCCTCCTGGGCAGACTACGTGGCCGAGCAGCAGCGCGGAAAGGCGTACTGGGACCGCGTGTACACCAAGATCAGCACCCGCGTGGCCGGCCAGCTCGAGAGCGCGTACCCGGACCTCTGGACCTACACGTTGCAGCACGTCTACGCGCCGCTGCTCTCGTACACGGACGTGCTATCTGCGGAAGAGACGGCGCTTGTGGTCGTCGCGTCGCTCGTGCCGCAGGACGTGAACCCGCAGCTCAAGGGCCACCTGCGTGGAGCAGTGAACGGCGGCGTGGCGGTCGAGCGTGTGCGGGCGGCGCGCGACATGGCGATCGAGGTGGGTGGCTGGTGCGGGGCTGTGTGGCGCGGGCCGGTGGCGCAGGTGTAGGAGGGTGTGCTTGCGTAAGCAGGCGGTTGCGCGGAAGCACGTGCCGACGCGCATCCGCACGTGTGGCCGTGCCCCGCCCTGGACACGCTGCTCGGAGCTGTGGATTGTGGCAGTTTGTCAGCAGCAGCACTCTGCGGGCGCTGCGGAAACCCGGTTGCGGGCCGCATGCTGGCAGGATGCAGAAACTGGGGAGAGAAAGCGAGAAAAAAGATAGATTTGAGTTGGTACGGTACTCATTCTCCGGCTTGTCAACACATGACAAGACAGTGCTCGGTGACAGACAGGGTGGAGGTGGAGTGTGATTTTTGGTTCTTTTTTTGCTCCTTTTTTCTCCCGCTGTTGTCCTTCCCGTGTAGGGTCCGTCAGGTTAAGTAGCACCGTACAGCAAGCACATATCAACAGCGTCTCTGCGTCTCCGCCGCCTCGTGTCCAACCACCGCCAGTTCCTGCCTCCCGTCCAGTCTAGTGTTCGTGTCTCTGCCGTTCCAATGTCTGACCTCCAGGGCTTGAACATCAACAATAGCAACAGCAACAGCAGCAGCAGCAGCAGCAGCAGCAACAAGGACCGTGCCATCAAAGACAGCTCCTCCGACCTCGGCAGCACGTTCATACACGGCAACAGCAACATGGACCCGAGCAGCTCCAACGACGACACGCCCATGGCGCTCTTGGAGCAGCTTGTCTACATCGACAACTTCTTCCAGCAGTCCGACTCGCCCAACGTGCAGGGCAGCGACAACTTCGACGACCAGCTCCAGCGGGAGTTGGCGGCGTTCGCAAACGACACCTTCATCTTCCCCGACGAGGACAAGCCGAAGCAGGCCTCCTCGAACGGCGAGGGCAGCAGCGGCAACAAGGCCGGTGCCAAGAACCCGCCCGCCGGCAACGGCGGCAACAGCGACAACCTGCTCTCCTTTGCACAGGCCTCCTTCGAGCAGATCTCCCCCGCAGACATGTCCTCCGTCTCGAGCCCGATCCCGCCCACACACTACCAGAACTTGTCCCAGCGCTACAACAACTCCAAGCAGAAGTTCACCTACCAAGAGTCGATGAGCCAGCACATGACCACCATCCCCTCGACGATCCACGAGCTCTTGGGCAGCGGCAACGCCGCTGCATCAACGTCCCCGGCTAACCTCAGTGCCGCCAGCAACGCCGCCAGCGCCAACCCGCCCCCCACCACAATCAACCCGGCCGCCAGCTCCAGCAGAAGCAACAACAACAGCAACGCCTCTGACCTCTTTGACAACCCCCGGGCCAGGCACCACGCCACAAACTCCACCAGTACCTCGAGCACCAACCCGCTCGACGCCGGCGAGGCAAGAAAGGTCCAGGTCCCACAGGGCGCCCAGAACACGCTTGCCGCCGCAGGCCTCTCGCAGACCCAGATCGATGCTCTCGCCAGCTTGGTTGCCTTCCACAAGTCCGATAGCCTGGGCAAAGCACAGGCCTCTTCGGGCGCCTCTGGACAGTTCCCTCCTTTCAACTTGCAATCCTCTCAGCCTTCAACACCTCAAAACTTCCAGTTATTGCAAGAGCTGAGCAACCAGCAGCGACAGCAGCAACCTCAGCAGCCTCAGCAGCCTCAACAGGCACCCAGCAACAACAGCAACAACGTCAACAATCTCTTGGTCGGTCTTCTAACCCAGTCCTTAGTAAACAACGTTGGATCTCCACAACAGCAACCCCAGCAGCAGCAGCAACAACCCCAGAATAACCTGGCGTCCTCTCTCTTGTCCCTGTTGGCCGGAAACGCTTTTGACAATGGCAACCAAGGAAACGTGTTAAACCTCTTGTTGCAGCTTCAACAGCAGCAGCAGCAACAGCAGCAGCAGCAGCAGGCTTTGAACTTGCAGTCGATACTGTCCAACCAAATCCAAGGCGGTGGTCTCTCCACGTTGAGCAATACCCCTAATTCAACCCAATTGACAGGTTCGGCAGGATCGCCCACTCTAGCTGCCGGTTCAAATAACAAAAAACAAACCCTCACATTCAAGAACTCGCTCCTGGATATGAGCAAATCGACTTCGGAACCGGTAGTGAGGAAAAGTACGTCTTCATTCAACTCTATCCCCGCTAACACGAAAAACACTTCCTCGATCAGCCATGCTCCAGGGTCGAGCTCAAGCTCTCTTCAAGCAGCAGCATCGGCCATTGCTGCAGAGAGGAAAGAGGGTTCTTCGAAAGCCGCAGAACCATCATCGGGGAATTCAAGCGCAACAAGCTCTCATGCTGCTGGTTCAGGTGATAGCGCTCGTACCGCAAAGGGGACTGCTTCTGTTCGGTTCAGGCAAAAGAAGAAACTCAAAGAACAGGAGATGGAAAAGAACCTTCAAGAGGCAAAGGAGGTGGCAGACGCCTTGCAGGCCCGTATCCAGCAGTTAGAGATGGAAAACAGATTGCTTCGGGATTTGGTTGTCGAAAAGAGCCATCAGCGTGATAGCGAAGAGGTCGAGCGGCTAAGAAAGAAAGCCAGGTTGCAGGTAAAGGGTAAAGAGTAGTAAGTTTCGTGGGAGCTTCATTAAACCCGTTCCTTTCTTTTGTATCGATTTTATGTACATATGTATTTTGGTTCGTATTCGGTAAAATAAAATTCATGTGCGAGCTTACGTAATTGCATCTTGCTTCCCTAGCGTGGAAAATAAAGGCTGCCTGTTTCTCACCACCATTAGGCTGCGCAGCACGCCGTATGGAAGAAAGGTTGCATCGGCTCGGACACAGCTGTGCTGGCTTGGTTTCCTTTTTAAGTCGGAGAAGACAAGCGAAAGACACACAAGTCGGAAAACTATACATAATGAAGGCTGTTGTTTCCGTACGTCACATTACCACCAAAACCCACAGAAGATGCGTTTACCTCTTTCTCCACAACCGAACAATTGCATAGATACTAACATAATACAAACAACTAACGGATGTTGAAATGCCATGCATGCAAGTTAAATGCTTCGCACAACAACTTTCTGTTTGCTTGTCCCTACTTCGACAATTATTCTAGCCTGCACAAGCATGGTTCTGTACAGTAGTGTCAGCGTTCGGTGTTGTTATCTTGTCTGTGATTGCAGGACTCTTTTACGCAAACCATGAGACAATGATGGGCTCAATCACTTCTCCAAGCGATGGAAAAGGTGTGGCGAAGACCATACTAGGAGCCATTGTTTTGTACCTTGCCTTCTTGGCATTCTGCGGATGTCAAATTTGTGTGATAGACAGACAGAGCAAAATCCAGTTATGATCACAACTAGAATATTCACAACTCTACATTCTCACAAGCCCTCTAATACCACAGCTCTACTTATTACCACAAAACCATCGCTCTATATAATTACATCTATAAGTGCCACATAACCAAAAACCGGGTTCTTATCCGAAAGGAAAAAAGTTGACATGAATAGATACTTTGTAATCTATAGTTGAATAGACAATCAAATCTAAGTTTTTTAACATACATAGCAATCCTTGAGACCCTCATAGCCTTAATATCCTATTTTACTCAGTATTCCCCTCATTGAACAGTGAGATTTACCCTTGAATGTTTGATGCCTGAATACGGGGAGGGAGGGGGGATTGTAAAATGCACCGCATCATCTACTGGATAAACATATGTAGGATTGCACTGTAGGAAAGCAAAGAAGGGAGGGGTTGAACAGAGAGGTAGTACTCCGATTTACAAAATTGGCATAGTCACATGAGGCTTTTGCACGGAGTCTTCTCACTCTAACTCTCATTAAGCCCGCTATATCCCTCACACACTAACGCATGTTTTTCAACTTCTTTCTTTCTTTCCAGACAATGTGTATGATTACCTGATGTCATTATAAGTGACCAAGAGCGGTAAAATGTTGAGAGCCGCAAACAGGAGATGTTCGTTCAAGTTTGCGTCCGTTGCTGCTCAACAGCTGAGACTGGTAAGATGGCAGACCACCACTTCCGGAGTCCTGGGCACGAATAGATTCACGCAAACCCCAAGAGCGCTTAACTCACAAAACATATATGGTTCAGCAAATGAATCATCAACAATAAAATCGACTGCACTGTCGGTGACAGATCCTTATATCGTATACAAACACCTCGTTAATTCAAAAGAGATCGAGCCTGACCCACATCAGTTGGCGTCTATCAAAAAGTTACGTGCTCTCTCAGAGAGTTTACAATCTTACAAGCCTCAACTTACTTCTGTAAAAATTAACCGGCTGGTTAGAGAGCTTGAAATAAGGTACAATCAGCAGAAGCAGGATGGTAAGGGGGTTCTGTTTGGATATACCGTCGGGTGGTTTCGTGAACGTGAAAACACTAAACTAAGAACAGAACTAGTTAAAGTTTTGAATGATTACGAAGAGTTAACATCTCCTGAGATGAAGGATATCCCTAAGGGGTTACTAATCAATGGTGAAGTCGGTTGTGGCAAGACGATGTTGATGGATATCTTTGCAGATTCATTACCTATCCAGGGTAAATGGAGAATTCATTGGGGTGTGTTCATCCAATGGGTTATGAAGGAAATAGAGAGTATCTCGTCAAGGAAAAGAGATCGATTTATGCAAGCTAACCATCCGCTATTGAATTATGAGAATGAATTTGTTTTATTTGAAGTAGCAGCAAGAATGATTGAAAAATGCCATGTTCTGATTCTTGATGAATTCATGCTACCCGATATCGCATCTGCAAAAATTGTCAATGTACTATTTGTCTACTATTTCAAACTTGGTGGGGTGTTAGTTGCAAGTAGTAACAGATTGCCGGAAGAACTGTACTCTGGATCTATCAATAAATCAACTATGGGCAGCTTTGAGCAAATACTTAGGGCCAGATGCGATGTCTGGGATATGCAAAGTGAAATTGATTATCGTACTAATTTGAAAGAAGATGATATTGCTGATGAAAAATGGATGGTTCTCAAAAGTGATGAAAATCATCATGAGGTTTGGAAAAATTTAGTTGAAAAGTTCATTGATCTACAAAACTGCGAAACTAATGCCAAGGGCTTCACAAGTTACGGTAGGGATATCATCATTCCTAAATTGAGTGATGGGGTAGCCTATTTTGAGTTTGATGATGTTGTTAGGGATTCAGCCTATGGCCCCGGGGACTTCATTTCCATTGCAACCAAATATCCAACAATAATTATCGATAATGTTCCGATTCTGTCAATCAAGATGAAAAATCACGCACGTCGTTTGATTACATTTATTGACGCCATCTATGATTCTAGGTGTAAGTTGGTCATCAAACTTGAGACAGATCCAGTTCATCTATTTTTTCCTGATATTCGTGATAATACTCCAACAAGGTTCAAGTGTACACCTTTAGAGGATGGCCCAAATCCCGTCTGCTTGAGTGAAGCTCTTAAATACAAAAATGATTCTGTCACAACTACAGAAGATGTTCAAAACATTGAAATGTTTGCAAAGACAGAAATGGATCTATCTAATCCTTATAGACCAAACTTTGCCACGTATGAGGATGACAACAAGGCATACGACATTGACAAAGGTGAAGAAGGCATGAAGAAAAATTTCACTGATATGAAAAAATTCACCGGAGAAGATGAAATGTTTGCATATAAAAGAGCCGTTAGCAGAATCAATGAGATGACCCATTCCATAAGGTGGAGACATACTAAATGGATTCCATTACATGATAGTATCAAGCCATGGGAGAGCGTGAATGGTGCTGCTGAAAAGGAAGTTGAAAATCAGCAACAAGAATCAGTGTTAATTCAGCCCAAAAATTCGGAACCCGATAAGGAGAAAGAAGTGGCTCAGAAAAGTGGTGCTGTTTCACAAAGAACAGACGCCCCTGAGTTCAAGGATTACAATTTCTGGTCGATGGGGAATTGGAAGAACAAAAAGGACAAATTGCAAGATGAGATTGCAAGAAGGTGGATCCAGGGTATTGGCAATTCTAAGAAGTAAGAGGTAGAAAAGGGAGTAGAAAATTGTACAAATGCAATCGGAAGTAAAAAGAGAGCAAAGAAAACTCGCACTGTGTGAGCTCTTTCTTTTTTTTTGCACAGTGGCACTGATTGGACAGGAGTAAGAAGAAGGGAAAGATACAACTTTAACTTCTTCAGAAGCCTCAGTAGAATCCTAGTTGTGTGACAACACCACGTATAGCATTCATCAATTATATAGAGGAAAACGTTTGAATAAACAAGTATAGAGATTTCTGCGGAATTAAGCCGATTGAGTTTGAAAAAGTGTTGTGCATGAGAGAAATACCAAACAAAGAGAAATAAATATCGGTTTCTCTTATCACAATTGTACAGTTAACAGTAGACGGCACTGTCACCCATATTGAGATTATAGCATAATATCATGGAATACCTCAAGATCACGAAAGTAGATGATGTGGTGATGTATCGGAGGGGACAGAGGTACTCAGGGACGCTCCACCTGACCACACATCATATTATATTTACCATTGTCCCCGATACGACCAGCGAGAGTAAAAGCAGACCTTCTGAGCTTTGGTTCTGTTATCCGATGATCGAAAGGGTAGATTTCAATAGAGGATCAGCGTTACTGTATGAAGCAGATACCAGTCCTGCGGATAGTTACGGGACTACTGGGAACTCCAATTCGGGGAATCGTTTGACCAATGGCATAGCTGAATCCATCACGAGTTCAGCATTGGCAACTACTGCTAGTGAGCTCACCAATTCACTCACGAATGGTCTTGGATTTGGGAATGTCCTTGCGTTGAATAACGAAGATACTGAAAAGGAAGACGAGACTACTGGAGGGGCGATGATACCGCTGTCGATAAAGGACGAAGGCGACGGAGTAAGTGATCACACTGAGACTGCAGCCGAGAAGAGGCAATATGAGTTAGAAAGCAGGCAAAGAAAGCTTTGCAGAGGAGCGTCGATTCGAATACAGTTCCGTGACTTCAACTACATTTCGTTTGATTTCAGAAATATCCTCAAGGGAAATGATGTCTTCGAGAGTATGATGAGGTTGACATGCATAGATACCATTGACAAGCTTTACGCATTCATATACCAGCCTATCCGTATTGAAACTGTGTTCAATGGATGGGAGGACTACGATGTCAGGAGAGAGTTTGAAAGGCAGGGGTTAACATTTGATGCTAGCGATGGGGATGTTGGGGTGGAGAAAACCGTTGGATGTAGCCAGTGGAGAATCACCTCACTGAACAAGAAGTACGAGTTGTGCGCTTCGTATCCAAGGGAGCTCCTAGTCCCCAAAAACATATCGGATACGATGCTCGGACACACGGTTAAATTCAGATCCAAGAACCGGTTTCCGGCTCTATCCTACTACTACAAGAAGAACGGATGCAGTATTGTTCGGTGCTCGCAGCCGCTGGTGGGCATCAAGCAAAACCGGTCTATCCAGGACGAGAACTTGCTACAGGAGGTGTTTCGGACAAATGACCTGGTGAAGGGCAAAAACTTGATTGTCGATGCAAGGCCGCTGACGAACGCGATGGCGCAAGTGGCGCTGGGCGCCGGGACGGAGATCATGGACAACTACGGCGACAACAACCGGAAGGTTTTCTTGAACATCGAGAACATCCACGTGATGCGGGACAGCTTGAACAAGGTGAAGTTGCTATTGAGGAATAGCGACGTGAACGGGTGCAACGTTCCGCTCAACCAGGAGGCGCTCAACAAGACCGGCTGGTTGGAGCACATCAGCAAGCTGTTGCGGGCCACCGAGTTGTTGGTGAAGCACCTTGTGTACGAGGGTGTGCACCTGGTGGTGCACTGCTCCGACGGGTGGGACCGGACGTCGCAGGTGTGCTCGCTGGTGGAGCTGTGTGTCGACCCGTACTACCGCACAATGGAGGGCTTCATCGTGCTCGTGGAGAAGGAGTGGGTGTCGTTTGGACACCGCTTCAACGAGCGCTGCGGCCACATGCAGCGCGAGAGCAAGTTCTACAACAACACGGAGGAGGGGAACTTCCAGAAGATCCGGAACCTCAACCAGCGCTTCAAGCACCAGCAGAACATGAAGTTCGAGAGCCCCATTTTCCAGCAATTTCTCGACTGCGTGTACCAGGTCCTGCTCCAGCACCCGACCAAGTTCCAGTTCAACGAGCGCTTTTTGAGGCGCCTCGTCTACCACTTGTACTCCTGCCAGTACGGCACCTTCTTGATCGACCGCGACGCCGACAAGCAGCACCTGCGGCTTCCCGATCGCACTAGGAGCGTGTGGGACTACTTCAACAGCCGGCGTCCCGAGTTCACCAACCCGGACTACGCTCCGCCTGCACTTCCCTCCGCCGACTACGAGGCTGACGTGCTTGACATCGACTACGGCGCCGTCGTATGGTGGAGCGAGGTCTTCTGTCGAGACATGAACCGTGCCCGCTGAAGCGTCCGATCCATGAAGTCACGTGCCGCATGCCCCCCTGCCGGCCGCAGACCCCTGGCAAGTCCTACCCCTGGCTCGGCCTTCCCCATGCGGGCCTCTTTCCCGCCCGCCCGCCCTGCCGTTGCCGCTGCGCCGCCGCCCCACGGGCCTCCGGCCGCCCGCGGGCGACAGCCGGCCACCGTCCCGCGTATTGCCCGCCACGGACGCGCCCGGCCGCCGGGCGCCGGGGCCGATCGACGTTTTTTGGGGGTGACCGACCGTGGACCAGCGGAACAGGCTCGGCGGATCGGTGGGCAATGTCCGGCGAGGTCAGGCCTGGCTGCGGGAACAGCTGCGGAAGCAGGCAGGAGATGGGGATATATATCGGTGGGCAGACGGCCTGCGTGGGGTTGAGGGCAGTGGGTAGGGGCGGTCCGTGGCGATTGCGAATGCTCAGCTGGTTTTTGTATTTGTTGTGAGTTTTTGCAGTCTGTTTCTAGTAGAAAGTCGGGTTCTGCGTGACACACATAGACACAGATAGACACACACGCACACACACACACATACACATTCAGCGTCGCCATCATGTTTTCCAGAGCAATCAACAAATCGTTTGTTAAAAAGGTACGTACACGAAAAGATGGAAGGGAGGTAGATAGATAGATAGATGGGTAGATAGATGGGTAGATAGAGGAAAGTATCGGCAGACAGGAAGCAATTGGATACTAACCGGTGGGCGTGTTTTTTATTCTGCAGTCTGCACAGCAAGTCAGAAACTTGTCGATCCACGAGTACAGATCGGCAGCTCTCCTCAAGTCGTACGGAATCGGTGCGCCTCGTGGTGAGGCCGCCAGAACGCCAGAGGAGGCGTACCAGGCCGCAAAGGACTTGAACACCAACGAAATGGTGATCAAGGCGCAGGCCTTGACGGGTGGTAGAGGTAAGGGCCACTTTGACAACGGGCTGCAGTCGGGTGTCCGTTTGATCGAGACGGCCGAGGAGGCCAAGGACTTGGCGTCCAAGATGCTCAACCACAAGTTGATCACCAAGCAGACGGGTGCCGCCGGTAAGATTGTGACGGCCGTCTACGTGGTTGAGAGAAAGTACGCGCTCCAGGAGGCATACTTGTCCATTGTGATGGACAGAAAGAACCAGTCCACGATGGTCATCGCCTCGTCCGAGGGTGGTATGGACATCGAGGGCGTCGCCAAGAAGAATCCGGACGCGATCAAGAAGTTCCCTGTCGAGATCGACGTCGGAATCTCAGACAAGTTGGCCACCGAGATCGCCTCGGGCCTGCACTTCACCGCCGACGCGGTGCCAAAGGCCGCCAAGACGATCCAGACACTATACAAGATTTTCAAGGAGAAGGACGCCACCCAAATCGAGATCAACCCATTGTCCGAAACCAAGGAGCACGACGTGATGTGCATGGACGCCAAGTTCAACTTCGACGACAACGCCGCCTACAGACAGAAGGAGGTTTTCTCCTGGAGAGATACTACCCAAGAAGACCCAGATGAGGTCACCGCCTCCAAGTACGGCTTGAACTTCATCAAATTGAACGGTAACATCGGTTGTCTTGTCAATGGTGCTGGTTTAGCCATGGCAACAATGGATGTCGTCAAACTCTACGGCGGTGAGCCAGCAAACTTCTTGGACGTCGGGGGTGCTGCCACCCCGGAGACCATCGAGAAGGCCTTCGAGTTGATCTTGACCGAAAAGAAGGTTTCTGCGATTTTTGTCAACATCTTCGGTGGTATTGTCAGATGTGATTACGTTGCCGACGGTTTGATCCAAGCGACAAAGAACTTGGGCTTGAAGATCCCTGTTGTTGTCAGACTCCAAGGTACCAACTTCGCCATCGCCAAGAAGATGATTGAAGAGTCCGGCTTGAAGTTATACCTCGAAGAAGACTTAGACAAGGCTGCCGAAAAGGCTGTTGAATTAGGTAAGAACTAAGAGGAACCAAAAAATCCCCTCTTTTTTACCTCCCCATTCTAAAAAGCAACGAACCCTATTACCTACTGATAACAGTTCTTACATCTCTAATAATGTCTTAGTGTATATATCTTAATTATAATTTTTGTCTAAAAATTTATTTATTTATTATTATTTATTCGATCATCCCATCGTCGTCGGCTGACTACAGCTTCGTCTGCTCAAAGAGCAGATCCAAATACTCGTCTTGTGTGAACTTAGACCTCAATACGTTGTTGGACGTCTCAACGAAATGCTTCGCTATGAACTCCTCGTCGCATGGCAGAATCGCTAACTCAGAACCCTCTTCTTCGTTTTCCAACTTAGCGCTCAACAAGGCTCCTCCCAACCTTGGGACGTTTTCCTTCGTGCTCTTGGCACTCATCGTGACGACACTCACATTCTTCATCTTCTTGTCTCCCTCACTATTGCCGTTTCCGTTGCCGGAGCCATTCCCGTTGCCGCTATGACTGTCGCTACCTGCTCCGTTCAGCTCACGCTGCAGCTCACGCTCACGTTCCAGTTTACTCATCTTCGATTGGTCGATGTACGAGAAGTGCGGACGAAGCATACAAGTGTCCGACAGCGGAGTTACATGCAGCCTCCCCTCCTTGTCCTGAACTCCAACAAGGTATCGACTACCGCCAACAGAGCCAGGCTGTGTGCGGATCGAAGTCAGTGAATTGAGAGGATTGTTCGACATGGACGCAGATTTCTTCTCTTGCTTCACCTTATCGCTCTCGCTGGCATTTTTCGGCTGAATCACCGAAATGGATGGGATTGTGCCATCTGAAGGCTTCCCAATCGGTTCGTCATGTATGATTACTCCTCGGAGAATTTGTTCAGAGACGTTATATTTTTCAGACGCAGTCTCACTGAAGAAGTTGCTCGTATCCAACGGTAAACGCAACTCCACTACCCCTGATTCAGGTTTGATTTGTAGCTTGTGTAACGCGGAAATGTGGTTTTGTGCGAGATGTGAGTGGCGAGACTTGTTCGGAAATTGCAAAAGTAAAGGAGCCAATGTCTCGCCCTTGACAGTAGCGTTGAGATGCAATGGAATCGTGTCGACAATCGGATCATCCAGATCCTCGTCTTCAGAATCAGATTCTTCATCGTCATAATATTTCATCTCATGATCCCTTCCTTCCACTTGCTGGCTCATCTCCTCTTTCCCTTTGTTTTCAATGTCTTCCGTCTTTATCTGTATAGTCTCTGTATCTGCCTCAACCCCAGGCTCGAGCTTCACGTGCACCTCGGGCTGGTCCGGTTCCTCTGCAACGAACAACGATGACATGACTTGTAATGTATGTCAGTTTTTCAATGTGTATTCACCAGTAAGTTGGAGGAGCCTACCTAAAATTCTGCTCTTTCCAGGCTTTGCATAGGCACAGAAAAGGACAGGAGATAGTAACGATGATAATAAAATCATCATCAAGAAAATTGGAAAACATGGCTGTGTGGTCTGAAATTTTTTTTCTTTTTTAGGCCTTTTTTTCTATTTCCCTTCAAATATTTTTTTCAGATTTTGCTATTCATAGGAAAAGTACTTATGCTCTTCTGCTTCTACTTTAAGAGCAGAAACACTGTCTCAAATAGCAAACAATATGAGTGACGATGACGATGGAGGAATGCTTTTGAACTTTGCAGCTCCTCAGGCAAATTTGGGAACTCAATCATTGAAAAAAGGGAAGAAGACCTCAATCAAAGTTAAAGGTGGTAGATGGGCTGATAGGAGGAAAACACAACTAGAATTGATGGGGAGGTCCAGCAGGAAACAAAAGAACGATCCTGGACTCTCGGGTGCAAATGAAACACCAGTGGCTTCGAGAGCTCATAAGAGAGGTTCAGATTATGATGAAGATTCATCCAAAAAACCTAGAAATGACACCACATACAAACCCGAATCAATAGTATCATCATTATTCACTGCTAATCCAGAAATAAAAAAACGTGATTATGAGAAAGAAATTGATGAATCCAAGTTGATACCTTCAAATGCCCCTATGATTGACCCAAATGCAGATTTCAAAGCCCTAGGGCTTCATGAAAATTTACTTAAATGTTTAGATGAGGCTAAATTCACTAAGCCAACAAAGATTCAAAGAATGGCAATTCCTAAACTCATATCTCTAGGACATCAAAGGACAAGGACTAATCCTTTTCCACCCCAACCTCGGGATATGTTTATGCAAGCACAAACAGGTTCGGGTAAAACTATGGCTTTTACTTTACCCGTTCTAAACATGTTGTTATCCTCAAAGGGTAATATCAATAGACAAAGTGGTATCTATGCACTTATTTTGACTCCAACCAGGGAACTAGCACAACAAATTTACACTTTCATTGAAGACCACCTTTGTAAAAAGGCTTGCAACTGGGTAGTTCCAGGTATAGTTATTGGTGGTGAAAGGAAAAAATCCGAAAAGGCTAGACTAAGAAAGGGTATCAACATCTTAGTGGCTACTCCTGGTAGGCTTGTCGATCATATTGAAAACACGCAATCATTAGATCTTTCTAAAATCCGTTATTTGATTTTTGATGAAGGTGACCGACTCATGGAACTAGGATTTGAAGAATCCATTGCCAAAATTATTGGCAGATTGCAAAAAGAGTATAAAGACAACGATTATTTGGGGCCTTTAGCTGATATTCTTCCGCCAAGAAGAGTTAGTATATTGTGCTCCGCAACACTCAAAGGAAATGTGAAGAAGTTAGGGGAAATTGCTTTGAATAACCCCGAAATTATCAGTGCAAACTCTGCTGAGGGCTCGGAAGAGTTAGATCATCATATGAAAGCACCAGAACAATTGATACAAGAGGTTGTGGTTGTTCCTCCAAAACTCCGTTTTACCACATTGAGTGGTGTGTTAATGAATATGACTCGAGGAAAAGGTAATTTCACCAAGACATTAGTATTTTTGAGTTGTTCACACTCCGTTGATTTCCATTTCATAGCTTTAACCAAAGATGGAAAGAGGTTAAAGATTGAGAGAGAACGAAAGGAAATTTTGAGAAAGTTAAAACTGAGCAAAGAAAAAACCAAGGAAAAAAGTAAAAACAGTGATTCCAAAGATCAAGATAAAGATAAAGAAGAGGATGATTTACTCGGAAGCATAACCGCAATGACCTCTCCTAACATCTCACCGGATACAATTATTTACAAGCTTCACGGCTCTCTGTCTCAGCAGACACGTACTGCGACTTTGAATGAATTCGTCAATGATAATTCTCACAACACGATCTTATTATGTACTGATGTTGCTTCTCGTGGTTTAGATCTTCCTGCTATCGATTATGTCGTTGAGTATGATCCTCCATTTTGTGTTGCTGATCATCTTCATCGTGTAGGTAGAACAGCCAGATTGGGAAAGAAAGGTTTGTCGGTTTTGTTTTTGATGCCAGGCGATGAAGAAAAGTATATCGAAAAGATTACCCCTATGCATGGTGATACTTTGAAATTTGTTAATTATGAAAATGTTCTTGCTAAAGCATTTGGAAGAAGTGCAGAGGCTGTTGAGGGTGATGATAATAATGTTGGTGATAACGAGAAAGAAGTCAAAAGAAAAGGGAACAAGTTCAATAGAGAAGGTGCTTGGGACATGTATGCTACGACTTATCAGTTGAACCTCGAAAAATGGCTTCTTGAAGATAGCAGGGCTTTGGAGATTGCAACCGATGCGTTTATAAGTCATATAAGAGCCTATGCCACACACTTGTCCACAGAAAGAGACTGTTTTAATGTGAAAAAAATTCATTTAGGTCATCTGGCCAAAGCTTTTGGGCTCAGGGAAACTCCGAAGAAGTTGTCCTCCAATAGTACTGTTGCAGGTGATGATAGCAAGAAGAAAGAAAGTGCCAAGAACAAGATGTTTAGATTGGCAAGATTGGCTGTTAAGTCGCAGAATGATGAGTTCAACTTTGCTTAATTAAGTTTCGATAACGTTTGTAATCTATTTAATTTACACCTTTATAAAAATACACAAGAAAAAAGGACTTTAAATTTCTCGTAAAATTAGCTTAATTTCTCGGGACAGTATTTCTTGAGACTTCAATTCTGAGCTTTGATGAACTTTCAGAATATTTTTAATCCAACTTAAATTTTTATCAGTCAACAAATGGAATCTTTTGAAAAAGTGGTAGGAAATGCAACCTAAATAACCTATGCAGTGAATTTGAAGTATGTTGTAAGAAGCAGTCTTAGATTTTTGATCTGCAAAGGCCAAGAAATCATTCAAAGGTGATAGATCTGAGGCAGTCACTTCTTTGTCAAAGGTTATGAAGCTGAAAATGTAACCTATTGCAATCAAGCATTGATTTTGTTTCGCATCACTCAAATCGTCTTTTTTATCCAGAACGTTATTTGTCTGAACTATCTCCCACAACCTGTACCAGATTTGGTTTGAGAACATTGTTCTGTTGGAACTAACATCAACTGAAAATTCTGGATCGCAAACAATAATAATGCTGCATTCAAGAATCAAATTCATAACTTTGGGATCGTCAACTTGAAATGGAAAGGAAATAAGTAGCCTAGCTAAGGATGTTGATAAACTGTTGGTTTTCCCACCTTGGAGGAATGAGGAGTTCAAACGCAAGACACTCAATGGTAACAGTAGTGATTCAGCTTTTGAAGATTGCAATGCCAGATCACAAAAGTCAAGTATTACACTTTTCTCCTCATCAGTAAAGTCTTCCGTCCCTGAGGTCCCAATACTATGAAGCATTTTCATTGTTATCTGATAAGTAGATGATTTTGCACAATGCGTCATCCAATCACCTAGCAATTCTTTAGGAAACTTTCTCGGTAGCTTCAGGTGATAATCAGAGTATTCTTTCATAAAAAGATCACCCATAGAACTCACTTTGCAAATAGCTGATACAATATCCAATCCTTTCCAATCGGTCAGTCTAAAAAACGTTATCAGCTGAAAGTTAATGATAACATCTTTAGGGCTGACCTTCAGTAGCTCTTTCACAGTTTGATTAAAGGTGCAGTTTTCCTTACCTACTACGGATCTTTGAAGATAGTTTTTGAAGTTAGTGTCGGATTCAATTTTATTGAGTAAGTTGAGTTTTAGTTGCAATAATTCCGAGAAATCTTTTTTACCATAATGCGTTATTTTTCTCAATTGCTCAAAGATCATGTCAAATTCCAATTTTGAGCTTTCTAGTTCTCCAGACCTTCGCAATTCCTCTAAGGATTGGCATTTACCGGATGGTAATAGATATGGACTATCATCCGCAAATCGCACTTTGGTTTTATAATTCACAGATTTTTTTATAACTTTAGGATACTTTTCGCTTAAGTTTTTTTCTATTATATCTTCCTCCTCTTCTTCTTCTTCCTCCTCTTCTGCGGCTGATAACGATTCAGCTCCGTCTCTGAAACTTCTTGTGTTACCATAATGTCGAGCACCAGAATCAGCACTGTTGCTGTCTTGCGCATAAGACGTCTGAATTTCAGGAGAGTCAAAGAACGACTTTTCATGACTCAGTGACTTCACTTGTGATTGTATTTCAAACAACCGGGAATTCAACGTTTGTAACGATGCGGAAATCTCAGAGGAAAATTCATCATCAGACAAATCGATAAGCGGGTTTGGTTTCGAATTTTTCTTTTTGCAATCAGCTAAGTTTCCGTCTTTCGCAAAAAAAGTAGTCTTTTTTCTGTGATGCATGTTTTTTTGACGCTTGTGAAGATTAGCATCATATTTGTCAAGTTCTTCAAACCCTTTGAAATACAAATCAAAACTAGTATTGCTTTGACTTTTGGAGATTGGAGAACTGGGCTGCTCTTCGAGAGGATTGTCTTCCAAGTCCGTTGTACTTGGGTTGTTCTCAAAGAGTGAATCAGTACTTTCCATGGAAGAATTTTTTAGGGTTTCTGTACTGCCAGTCGTGAATGAGAACAAGTTTTGAGACGAGCTCAGAAGTTCATTGTCGCATTGTCTCACTGAATGTTTCGTTGGGGAAAGCAAAACTTGTTGCCGAGCATTGTATTTTCGCTTGAGCTTACCATACAAAACAGCCATTATATGGCTGCTCTGCCGCCACGTTCAATCGTAAAACAAACCAATTATCAAGAAAGTCGTGCAAGCATAAAGTTGTGCAAGAAACGCCAAATAGATGAAAAAACGCTCAACGCGTCGCGTTGCAGATTCATGTAGATCGTTTCATTCACGTAATCATAGTTAAGAAAGCTGAATCTTGCCTCTTCTTCTTCGGTTCTCGGACCTATAAATCAGCTGACTGCAATTCAAAGGCGAACAAGAGATAAGTTATGTATGGTGACTCGGCAACAAAGTTGATTTTAGCAGCAAAGAGAGCAAATACGTTGGACAGGATACCGCTCTTTGAGACCGATCTTGTACAGTCGATAATTAGTGAGAACAACGAACTTCAAAAGCAAGCCAATACAACGGACAATGAAAATATTCTTTCGGCAGATAGATCACAGGTTACAGATATCACGGAAGATCAAAGGCTAGATTCTTCAAGAGCACCATCAACTTTGAATACACCTCTCCGAGGAAGCAATAGAAACTTTTTGTCGTCATCGGTAACTAATACACCTGGAGCATCTTCAAACTCGGCTGAAGTAAAAGAGATTTTGGACAATCTCCCAGAATATGTTAGGCAACTTTTTATCGGACGAAACAAACGATGTTTGCTGGCTTATGAACTCTCTCGTTTGCGCCGGTTAGACCAGTTGGTTTGGGACAACGTTGAACTAACATCAGAACAGTTGGCAGACTTATCTCATCATGAAAAAATATATTTGGAAAAATACATTTCATTGGTAAGTGGTGTAAAGGGAGTCATGTCGGAAATAGATTTGGGAGGTGATTTGGAGCCTCCTAGTGATGTTTTCATCGATGTCAGGGTGTTGCGAGATGCAGGAGAGATCATGACCGAATACGGTGTCTTCAACCTTACAAAAGATTCGCAGTTTTTTGTCAGGCGGGTTGATGTCGAAAGGTTGATTCAACAGGGTTACTTAAAGCAACTCTAATCCTATAAAGAGTTTATGACGTTACAAAAGCTCTCGAAAACCTTATGGTCTAATCCGTTTCTCCATGTGATTTTACGCCGTTTGACATCTAATTCAAATATATACTCAGAGCCATCGAAGTTAAATTCCCCTGATCGTCGATAAGACCTAGAGAAAACGTTACCCGGAAGTCTGATGACAATCACATCACGCAAATGCAATGAAGTGTAAGGAAGTGAAAATAACTTTACCAAAATTCTCGACCTTAACGAATAGCTGTCATCTTTTCTGTCTTGCATGATTTGAACAAACTTCTTTGCGTTAAGGAATTTGCTGGAAAAATTGAATAGCTCCGGTGGAGGTTTATATTCCATTTTATACGTCCAGAATAGAATCCACCTAACTGTATATGCCCCTGATTTAAATCTGTGGACCCCATATATGATCCTGTGCTGGTTTGCTTTCAAATAGGGTACTAGCCTTCGCAAAGTAGAAAGATTGCCTATTAGCGACGTGAACCATGTAACACGAGTTGAGAAGCTTTCACTATCATTAAGCAATTTCATGATGAAGCTGTAGTCGCCGCCATCCGTGATTAGCTCGGATACGTGTCCTATGGTTTGCTGCTTCACAAAATCGTTCTTACGTTCTCTACTCGTAGTCATCTGGTGTGCAGATGTATAAAAAGGTGGATTGCACATGGTGAAAACGATTGCATCTTCTTCGGAATGAAACTTCTGCTTGAAAAGCGGGAAAAAGCAGTTTTCTTTTTGATCGACTACTGCTAGTTTGATCAAGGAAGAAAGGTTGTTTCGCTGTATATTCATCTCGGCAGCATCGATAAACTCAGGTACAATATCTGTTCCAATCATTTTTGAAATATTGCAGATGTATTTTGTGCATAGAAGAGGATATATGCACGATTGAGAGGTTCCAACGTCAAGTCCAAACACAGGCAAATCGGCTGAATCCGGTGTTAAATCAATCAATCTCTGCAGAAAAAGTACATAGTCCAACCGGTTGAAATAGTTCGGACATAGTTGTGTTTCTGACAGTTGTATGGAGTAACCCATATCTACCTTGACCAGAGTCCTGGTTAAGGCGATCATCGCATGGTGATCGGAGAAATTGAAATTACGTGCACTAGCATCCCAGTACTTTAGCAATTCCGGCTCGACAACAGACAAAGCATCAAAATCAAGTCTCCTCGAAATCATAGATTGCCATCAACTGATCACATCTGTTCTCTGCTGTTAGACCTGGCTGGAGCAGGAGATAATTGTGCGTTGTGCCATTAAAATCTTGTTCAAAGCGAGAAAACCGTCTTTTTCACGGACTTTCACAACACCGACGGCCATTATTCTACTCCACTTCCTTCGGTTCTGGTTATATATACCCAACACTCCTTGTAAGCAAGAAAGCGAAGAATACAGAACTAGTTATTTGCAATGGTTTCCAGAGTACTTGACGAATATATCATTCAAGAAGTTGCACGAACCTGCCCGGAGCCATTTCTGGGTTTTCACAGATGCATGGAAGACCCGGCTATCAAGGACAAATCTGAATGCGCTACATTCCAGCGTGACCTTCAGCATTGCGTCAAGACCCAGGTTACGGTCTACCACCATATTGAAAGCAAGTGCTCAGACATTATCCAAAAGTACCAAACCTGTCTCATGAAGGACACCGAGGGAAATACCAGTAGCAAGTGCTACAACGAGTTGAAGAGTCTCAGAGAATGTGCAATGGGGGTCATCCAGGACGAGCAGCAAAAGCACCAGGCAGGAAAATAAACTGGCCTCTACATGGATCTAATGTATCCATGTTTCTAGATGTCTACGATCTGTGTATTTTCAATTTATAACGAACAACAAAAACAACGATACCTTTTACAAGTGTAGTGATCATGTGTTGCAATCGACAGCCTAAAGTCTAATACTAGGTCAAAGCCATGCTAGATGATATCTCGAATCCCTCTAGTTCATCGGCATTAACCCATGACAACTTTGCCTCCCTTCTTTTCCACGCTGTCAACCGCTACAAAGCCCTGCCTTCAGGTGTGAAACGTGCATCTAGAAGAAAAGAAGAAAAATTTCGCTTGTTTTTTTCCTCCGGTTTTTTGGCCGCCCTTCCATTTCTTCTTCTTCTCCTTCTTCTCCTCCTTCCTCATCCTTCTTTTCACTTTCTCAGACTTCTTTTCACTTTCTCAGACTTCTTTTCACTTTCTCAGACTTCTTTTTTTTTCCTTTCGGACAACAACAATCATCAGAAAACATTGGCCTTTATTCTTTGCTTCCACAGGATCTGGGTCTCATTTATTTCTGAGAGAGTGAAAATCCGACAGGAAGAACCTAACTTCGGTTGCGTGAACCTTACCACCATGTTTACCTGACCCTATAATGGTTCGCAAATTCATAACAGCAAGAACTAAAGAAATTAGAAAGTAATTAAAGAATTAAGTAATTAGAAAAAGAGAATTAAAATTAGAAGTGAACATGAGCGTGAACATGGGCATGAACTCAAACGTCAAAATAAGTGATGTACATCATAAAGTGGAGTATCATCATCCTCTCACTCAGACACGTCATCGTAGAACCCAGTATATACAGGTACAGGCCTAAACTCGAACGGACACTGGGACTCTCCGTTATCAAACTCATCTAGCCATTGACAATTGCAGTTAAAGACTTTTTCTTTATCTAGCTTCCTGATTATCTCCCATGCTTCTGAAAAACTTGCGTATTCGTGACCGCCTGTAAACTCTCTAAACATAACACCAAAGTAGTATATTAGTGACTTCAACCCTCTGATGTAACCCACATCAGGAGCACCTTTGTGAACTGGAGGAAAAGTTGTTTTATCGGAGAACTCGCTGCCTCCAATGACACATTGTGCGAAGTCAATTAAGCGGACAATTATCGTGGACTCATCTCTGTTTTTTCTATCCAACTCACTATCGTACATCAAAAGAATGGACGATCCATAAAGCCTGTAGTCAATCAAGTTCTCAAATGTGTCAACCAATTCCTTCAAGTCTTCAATCAATTTAGGCAAATGTTTGACAACAGAAAAAATGCTTTCTCCATCGTATAAAAACCTAGACAAGGAAAGGAAAAATTGGTATCCGACCTTGACCCTGCGGCCAAAATACTTATCTCTGTTAACAAACTCTAATTTTTTAGCATCCCAAACTTGCATACCACAAATTCTTGTGCCTAGTTCTCGTGATGTGGTCTGGTAGCATTTCTTCCTTTGGGACGCCTTCTTACTTGGTTTAGCTTCTACGCCATATTGTCTAGTACCCATCTTCAAATCTAGCACGCATGGGTATTTCATACCAGTGGTAAGATCTTCAAGCAGAATAAACCTTTCGAATCTTGTATGCTTGCGTAGAGTATGTTTATGAGGACCTTCTTGCATCGTTTTGTTTTCTTGACCGTTATACGAAATTTCGGGAATACTTCGATTACGCTCGTTGTTCGTACCCGTCACCAAACTTTTGTGCTCTACTGGATCCTTCACCCCTTCCATGTCAAATATATCGCTTTCGTTGACATTATCAGCGTCTTCCTCATCCACAATGGCATCTTCCTCACTTTCCTTATTACGAGACAGTTTTTTCAAGTTGGACATGAAAGTCTCTCTATCCGGAAATTTCATTTCTTGCTCTGCAGTGGAGCTGTCATTTCTGAAATTGCGATGAAGCTTTATATCATCACTTTGTACTGATGAGGGCCCAATAATGGATGTATCCTCATCTTCAAGGATTTCGGTAGGGCAACCTTCGGTAATAGAATTACAGAATACTTTTCCATGTCGGCTTTTCTCATTTTTTTGTGTAGGACTAGTGATCATGCTGCTGGTGGAATACCGATGAAATCTTGGAAAAGTGCTAGTGTTCGGATCAGAGAATAGGTTACCTGAGTTGGGATCATAACTCTTGTACTTGGACAAGGCTGAGGTTGCAGAAGAAGGTGAGAAAGTAGACTTTGATCCCTCTGCCGCCAAATCACTTTGATAACTACTTCTACGATCACGTGGATTGTTGCTGTAATGTGAATTTTTCCTGCTATCACGAGCTTTCTTCGTGTAGTCTCTTATCGGTGCAAAAACTTCGCTTAACACCAACTCTTTGAGTTTTGTATTGACACTAGTAGACCCTGTCTGATTGTCGTTTTGAACAGGAGAGGACAAAGTTACGGGTTTATCAAGGGGAGAAGCAAAAGAGAAATTATGGCAAACTTTGTCACAGTTTATTAACTCACTATTTTCAATTTTTGGTGACGTATAACGGCTCCAAAAAGACTGAGGTACAATATGAATGTTATCCTCCAAAACAACTTCAGGAAATTCATAGTCTTCATTCAGTTTCGAGAGAGAATTCTTTTTCGCAATAGAGTTGGAGGTATCTTTATTTGTTCCTGTCATCTTAGCATTATGTACATCGTTTCGGTGCGTTTTGGGGAAGTCATGTCCATTATTTAGTTGGTCAGATTCCGCTGATGGCTCGTTAAGTGACGGGTTTCCCGTTACACTTGACTCAACCGAACCATTGTGGCTAGGTCCCAAGTCCTCACTAGAATCATCCAATATTGTACTGTATCTCACATTCAAAACACCAATATATCGAGGCATGAATTTTAATAATTCAGGATGCAAAATCTCAATATTCTCGTACCAAGTGTTTTCTCGATTGACTAAGGCTTTACAAACTGCCCTGTGACTGAACTTGAAAATGGCTGTGTGACCTCCCACTTTATTTTTGAAAGGTTGTAGTTCGACGGCAAGTGGGTATTTAATATCATCATCTGAGTTTTTCTCGACAAACCTTTCATTGCTATAGTCTGGAGATGTACTAAATGCTGTGGTGAAAGAGGTGCATTTCATTATTTCTGAACGTGACGGGTCTAATGTTATATCGACATTGGTAGCCTTTTGGTTATCTCGATTTACTTCGCTACTTGAATGGTCTTCTATACTGGTGAGCCCTCCAGCATCATTCCCTTTCAATTCTTGCGCTACTGTGTCTTTAGTTTTCTCTTCTGTGCCTTTGAGAGAAGTTTTGTGAGTTGACGATTCTTCCGACTTCTCACTTAATCCCTCCATATCCCCTACAATCTCTTCGTTTTCGGGATGGTCAAACTCTGCTTCAGCAGTTAGATGCTCGGGACTTGTGTTTGATGAGTCGTTAGGAGCAGCATGGGGAAAGTATATGGCGGATGATACTGGCTCTAAAAGTGGCAAAGGAGGTTGTGGGTTGGTCTGTGAAACTTGATCCTTATTTAGCGTTATTACGTTATGGGTATCTGTGCTCTCTGAACGAAGATGCGAAGTAGTCTTTATATTGGAGGGTATTTGTGTATTAATGTATAAGCCTGCTGATATCTCAGGAATTGCCGTTGGGGTTGGGTTATGGTCATTCGAAAGTTTCCTTGGTGAAGGGCTGTCCGGTATCACATGATTTGAGCTCTTCTCTTTTAGTGTACATGGATGGTTCAGTTCTATATTGATTTCCCGGTGTTGATGATTGCTGAGTGATGAATCATGGTACGTGGTACTGTCTGATGCATCACTATTGATCACATTGGGCTCTGCTATTGAGCCACGAAAGAGGCGCAAAGACTTCGCAGCCTTACGTCCTGCCATGTTGTTGACAACTTTTGTGGTGACTTTAGTAGAAGATAGACTGTCATTTGATGTTTCATTTGGCAGTGTGTCACATGATAGCTGTGTCTTGGTAAGCTCTGTCCTTGTGTTTGGAGCTGCTTCTCCCGTGTGGTCTGTCATGCTGGTCAAACTTGATGCAGCTGATCACCCAGTATATCCAAAAATGAACAGATGGATAGGAACTTTACAACCTCGAGTCAATGCGTTGCTTCAAGGAAGATAGTATTAGTGTTGGAACGTAAAATGTTACCAGTCGCCTATACAGCGAAATAGTCAACAATGCTGATGGTGTTCAATGTAATGAATTGAGTGGTGAGTTCCTGACTGGCTTAGGATTTGTTAATTGGAATTGTTTAGATTTTGACCTTTTCGTTTGGTAGATGGTAAAGCCGTCAAAAAATACCACTCCTCAAGTTCTGTACAAAGGAACCAGCTTCTCAATCGATATGCGAAGAAGCTCGAAATTAAAACCACAAGAACAGCAACGAGTGAAGCGTAGAAAAACTACAATGGTATTGGAATCTTAAGGGCACCCACTGTGTTTTTTTGCTGCGCATTGAAGCCTCTAGTCTCTCTTTTTCTTTACTTTACTTCATTTCACTTTCCTTTCGCTCCTCCTTTTACGTGAGAAAAAGAAAGAGGGGGAAGAAAATAAAAGCTGAGCACGTGCACGCATTATCAGATTACGTAATCACTCCATTAGGTTAGTTTTCAAATAGTGTTGTAAGAACATAAATTGCAATACTCCACGGTATCCTGCAAATTTTACAAACTGCCCTTTTTTCTAGATGTCTGCAGGCTCTGACAGGCCAAAGCCAAGAGATAATCATCTTGATTGAAGCATTATATCCAAGCTAGTTAATTTTTTGTCAAGATTTGGTCGGATGGTCTAGTTGGTTATGGCATATGCTTAACACGCATAACGTCCCCAGTTCGATCCTGGGTTCGATCAAATTTTCACGTTCTATCTTCTGCTTTGGTGGCCCAGCTGGTTAAGGCGTCAGTCTCATAATCTGAAGATCGCGAGTTCGAATCTCGCCTAGAGCATTAGGAACTATTTTTTGGTCCTCTTTTTGTATCCCCGTTTTGCTCTTTTACCCTTCTTTACTCACAACTCTGACATCCCCGTTTTTCTTTGAACTGCAACTTACCTGTTTTTCTACGTATTGCTAACAGAAGCCAAACCCTTCTTTTTATTTGTTTTGTGAATAGGTTTTTTGAGTTCTCTTTACTCTGATTATCAAACCAAACAAAGTCTTTGCTATATTGCTTTTTTCAAGTAGAAGTTCAAAAAAAAGGTAATGAAATTTAGTAGTCTTCTGTGTAATAACTTGCTTTTGCTGGCATCAGCATGCTATGCTGGAAAATTCAAAAGTTTTTCAGATGGAAGCAACTCCTCAGACTCAAACATTCAACCTAAGTGTTTCAAATCTGAATACAACATCTATTCTGCAGGCGATCTAGCTGCAATTTCTGATTGTACAGTACTTTCTGGTAGTCTTCATATTTCTCACTTTGATTCAGATGCTATTCATTTGGGATCAATCAAAGAAATAAAAGGTGATTTCACTGTGAGAAACATCAGTAATTTGATCCGGATAGAGGCTACATCATTAACATCCATTGGGAGTGTCTTTGAATTAAACACATTGAACTCTTTGACATCCTTATCATTTCCTAAATTGGAAAGTGTGGAAACAATGAAATGGCAAGTGCTTCCAATTCTAACTTTTGTGAATTTGGATACAGGTATCAAAACTATTAACTCGGTCATAATGTCCGATACTTCGCTTACAGGTTTTGGTGGATTCAACGTTGAAACTTTGAAAACCATGAGCATCAACAACAATAGATTTTTAGAAAGAATTGAATCAACAGTCTCTGAAGTTACTGGAGACTTGTTGATTGCAGCAAATGCTCGAAACATCAAAGTCTCCTTACCAAATTTGACATGGGTCAAGTCTATGACGGTGAAGGATACTGAAGCCATCAATCTTGAGAGCTTACAAGTTATTGAAAAAAGTGCAGATTTCAGCAACAATAAGTTTACCACACTACACATGCCAAAATTGAAATCAACGGGTCATACCTTGAGTATTATTAATAACAAAAACTTGGATGACATCGAATTCGACAATCTTTCCGAAGTTGGCGGTGGCTTGATGATTATTGACAATGAAAAAATCAAAAAGATTGACTTTTTCCCTTCGTTGAAGAGTGTTGGTGGAGCGATTGAGTTTCATGGCGATATCAGAAGCAACCATTTTGATGATTTGAAGATTATTAAGGGTAGCGCAATTCTTAAATCGTCTTCTGATGTATTTGATTGTGGCGAATGGATGAAAAATGAGGTCGGAAAAGTTGTCAGAGGTGGTAAAGTCGAATGTGGTTCTGGAAAGTCTGAGAAAACCGAAGTTATTTTAGTTGATGAATCTGGTGAAAGTACACAGGGAGAGCCAGGTGTCAACGATAACAATAAAAATGTCTCCAGGCACGAAAGTTCGATAAAGCAGAAGAGTGAAGCAAACAAAAGCAGATTTTCTGCCAAACTTGCTCTGGTAATTGCTGCATACTCATTTGGTATACTGCTACAGATGTTGTAATGATGGTGCTGGTAATTATAGCCTTTTTTTAGTCAATCAATTAAATAGTAAGTTAGTGGAAACTTATCAAACCCGAAGAATAGGGACCAAATAGCCCACAAACTCACGTGCCCGAAGCGCTGCTTTTTTCTTTTTTCCGAAGAAAAACCGATAGCGATAGCGGGAAGGCCTCAACAAACAACAGCCTAACAACATCAACCGCAGAGAGTCTGAGAATGGAACAAATCCTTTAAGATGTATAACTTTCGAAAGACAATGACTCTATATTGCTCGTATATAAACTGATTATGTCTTCAGACAAGCACGATGGAGGAACGGCGCAGCTTAAGATCAGTACCGCCAAAACAGGAAACGACCTATTGCTATCCGAACTTTTTCCAAACAACGAGGGAGAGACTTCCATAAAGCATGTTCTGTCATCGTCATTATCTTCCTCCGGCAAGATAAAAAGGGGCTCATCACACCACCACAAGGACTCTCAATTTCAGAATGAACTTTTGGTGAAACCTAGAAGAAAGAGAAGAATCTTATCCTGTGATAACTGTAGAAAATTAAAGACTAAATGTGTGAATGATAACTACATTTCAGGATGTGAAAGATGCAAACGACTCCACATTGAATGTAACCTCCCAAATAAGAAGGTAGGTACTAAGGTAGAGTCGGATAACGATGCCGACAATGCTAACGGGAAGCAACAATTTGGCTTGGCTGAACACGATGAGGTAGATACCAGAAATTCCTTCATACGAGTTTCCGCAGAGCTTCAAGATAGGCTGACAACTGTGGAAAGTAACGTTACTTCAATAGATGACAAATTGAATATACTGATAGCGCTGCAGCAGAAGGCGATGTCTTTGCACAATCAGCAAAATCATGTACATATTCCAATGTCCCAAAAGCATCAAGTTCGACAATCTTCTCAGGATGGTTCTTTTGTCAGCAACACCGAAGCTTCGACGCCATCGGTTGCCAACTTTGTGGATTTATCTGCCCATCTTCCACTGCGTGAAGACTTGACTGCGCCTTTGAATCTCATTGGCAAGATACAATCCACTTTAATTAGGAAGCCTCATATATCTACCCCAAAAAGTGATTTTGTGAAAGCCACTGACGAATTTGTTGTCTTCTATTACAAAAACGAGCATCTTTGCTTGTTATTATCAAAAGAATACCTTGAGGTTTTTCATTATTATATTATACCAGGCGGTATCAGTGCCATTGACCGCGACTACGTCATTGAACACCCTTTCATTACATGCGTATTCGTACTAATTGCAATGACAGTATCAAAAGAATATAAGAATTCGGAAACTCGCCAAGTTGTGGAAAAGATTCTCAAGAACATAATATCCAGCATCAATGGAAAAGAGCCACTGACAGATCATGATATCGAATCGATTTTGTACGTGTGCATGTATGACATTGGCGGGTTCGATAACTGGCTCTTGAGCACTTCTGCATTGATGCATTACTTTGTATCGATTGACACGAGGGGAATAATTGATCGTGTGGTCAATGACAACATTTACTCAGACGATGACTTGTTTCACTTACGTATTCTGAATGCTTTATGTGCATGCCACTTACAGACTGCGATAGGATTGGGAAGATCGATCATGATTGATGATAATTGGTGGAAGGTGCATAGGCTGACTGTTGTGTTTCCAAATGCTACCATCGGTGATGCGATACAAGTGGCACAATTAGACCTTTTCAAAATGTTGTTGAAAATACTCAAAGAGCCTGAATACTTTCATAACAGTCATTTTTTTGACTATCTGGAATCCGTGGACGGTTATACCATATTCCATTGTGAAGATTTGAGAATTTGGAGGACAAAATGGGAAAAAATTTTGTCGAAAGATGTCTCCAAAATCAGTCTATATTCATACAATTTTGCTTATGTTTTGATTGCTCGTAAATTCGTCGACTTCAACTTGTCTGAGGAAAAGAGCAACTTTGGCATTGCTTTTAATACTGCATCACATTACTCATTTGAACTTTTGAGTAACTTTCTTGATTCGAAGGCAGACTTGATCAAAGGTATACCATCATTTCAACTTTGGGAGGTTGTCTATGCATGCATTGCATTATTCGAGTACCTAGGGAATCTATCCATTGAGGAGAGGAAAAAAGCGCTGAACATTATTTCGAGAACTTACTGGCATTTGAACAAAATGGGTCAGGAGCTCAATGATGCAACAGGAACAATTGCCGAAATAATCAAAAAACTAGTTGAAATGGCAAACAAAAACCAAGTTTTGCACATTACTACCACACACGATAAAGGATTTGTGGGGAGTGGATCTGTTACACGAAACAGCATGTACAGTAGAAGAAAAAATAGTCAGCAGCAAAAGAAACTTTCTCCAGAGGATCTCCCAAGATTCATGGGTAACGAGATACCTACGCAGTCCAGCCCATTGCACGCTATGATGGAAAGCCCCCTCAAGAGTACTACTACTCAGGGTGCCGAAGATAAGGTCAACGCCACATCAAGTACCGGCAGTAACATAGATGATAGTAATGATGGTAATGATGGTAATGAAGGATATACCGATAATAAGCATATGTTAAGAACACCGGAACTGGACCAGTATCAATATCAGCTCAAGATGAAGAGCTGGCCTAGTGTCACTTTCAGCGAGCTGCGCACAACAAGCAGTGGCAACAGTAATACAGGTAGCAAAGCTACCGGCTACAACTCTGTGATGAATTCTACTTCTGCCCCAACCGGTATTCCTAACGGGTCACCAGGAGAGGTGTTTCAGCTTCCGGATTTAGCTAACTTCAGCACCTTTGATGAATTCTTCAAGGATCTTTTCAGCGACTATCCCCTCTAGCACTTTGAGATTCGACATTATATAAGCAAAATTCAAAATAGAAAAACATGTACCATGTAAGTCAAAACAATACGCATTGGTTGGAATTTATTGATCCAGCTAGCCGATTTTCCTCCGAAAATGGGCCTCGGCAGAAGTTTGATCTCCTGAGGGGGGCTTCCTTTTTTTTCTCCACTCCAAATTCCTCTCTTTTCCACCCGCTGGCGTTCTGGAGAAAGAGAGAGGGGGGGCAGAAAGGCCACCTAGTGAACCACTGCTCACTTATATAAACCCTGCATCCTCACTAGGCAACGAACTATTCTAGACATCTATATCCAGACTGCTTAACTAATACTTAATCAACACTGCCGATTCGTCACCACCATCAGTTCGTTACTCTCTACCTTCTTCAATTCGTCAACCCCCACCCCTTCTAATACAAGAGAGTCTAACTCACAGCTTTCTATATCCAGCATCTGTTCATCTAACCATTAAAATACCGGCTCAGCGAACCGCCAAACCGTCTAGACACCCATTCCTTGACCCCCAACTATTTCATTTTCTAAACATAATAGGCTCGAGGCCAATTTTACATTCATAACCACAATTGTTGTATATCAATCAGCTTGGCCAATCTTGATAACGAATCAACTTTCAAATAAAATTACTTGGATCTTGTTTGTATTTGCATTTAACATTGATCCATCGGACGAACTAAAATACAATAAAGTATAATACAGTATAATACAATAGGCATTGACCGTTCAATTTTTTATGATACATAGCAATAATAATATATGGTCCAACCTTTTAGCATTTCAATAATCATATAGATCCATATTTCATTTGAATTCTTTCTATCACAATTACCACGTATACCCTCCATCATTCATGTCATCATTGAACAATTTTCAACCGTCAAATATTAGAAGAACACCTTATGTTTCGACTCTGAACAACTCGCTGTTGTCTAATCCCCAAGTTGCATCAAATACAGCCATGATGGATGTTTTTACTACTCCAATCCAGTCGACTCATTTGTCAAAAATAGGAAGCATACAGTCACCCCTAAACGATACACCTCCCAAGAGCGATCATTTAGCAAATTCGAACCCGAACTCTTCTAATTTGAAGTTGGAGCCCGGATTTGTAAGTTCCGCTTCGAATTCTCGACTTTCAGGTCCAAATCCTTCTGCATTTTCAAGCTCTCATTTAAGTTTGAGTAATTATACCCCGGCAAATCCAGTGCTTAACGCACCGACTGTTAATAGAGCTTCTTCATTGTCCACTCAAAGTGGTGGCGCTATTAAACATTATCACAGCAACAATATTCAAAATAGTAATTTCAATTCTGCAAACAGTCTTGTCAACCACAACAATAACAACAGTAGCAATAACAGTAGCAACAATCTTACTAATATTAACAATAATAACAACAATTCCAATGGTAACAATCTCTCAGCTACAGGTTATCATTCCCGATATCCAAGTGATGTAACTGATCATCATGAGCCATACGACCACTCAAATTTCATACTGAATACTCCAGAAAGAGCTCTGCTTTCGTTGCCAAATCCTATTCAGCTACCACACAGTTATATACACCCGACAAAGCCGCTAAATCAGTACTCGCCGTATGAGTCTGCTCCTTCTTCCTTAACTTCACATGCCCACTCAATGTCCTTGGATACAGTCACGTCGACTTATTCGAATAAATCCTTGGCCAATGAAGACTGGTTTGGCGGTCCTCACCACAAGCATACATACTCAAATACTTCATCAATAAATACACCACCAAGCGAGGATTCTAGCTTGATGGATCTTGCAAGAGAATATGCTGATAGTTCTATTGAAGAGCTAGCCGCTCAAGTCAAAAAATTAGAAAAAGAGCTTTCAGACACTTCTTTTAATGTTAGAAATGCAAAAGAAAATAGAAATCTGCACGTTCAAAGAAAAAAACAGCAGCAACTGTTTGCCTTAGCTTCTCTGATGAAAACAGTCAGAGTTTCAGAAAATTCTGTTTGTCCCCGTAACGTTGTCTATTCCAGATACGTTGACATATGTAAGAAACATGGTGTCAATCAAATATGTAATGCTGCTTTTGGTAAACTCGTCAAGGTTTTTTATCCGGGCATTAAAACAAGAAGATTAGGTGTTAGAGGATCAAGTAGATATAACTATTGTGGAATCGAATTGATCGTCAATGACACAAGTAGAGAAAATGAGACTTTTGGCAGCACATCTCATTGGAACTCTGGGACTAAGAAGGAAATTGAGGAAGAAATAGTTATTGGCAACAGCAACACACATTCTATCACGCCTCATAGTGAGGTTAGAACAGGCACTGATGAACACATTATCACTGATGAAGAAGGTGGCAAGGAGGGGCCAAGAATAAGTGGTGCCAGCTACTCTAACAAACCACCGTTTTTGCCAGGAAAACCTCTTGAGCTGGCTTTTGAGCAGGATTTGTTCACTAAATTAGATAGTGGTGTCGAATTTGTTCCTGATTTCTACAGAAACATCGACTCTGACATAAAAGAATCACATAAGATAATATTAGAGAACTATTGTGAATTTTTGCTACAGCTATTCAAAGACTGGAGATACTTGAAGATTGAATCACTCTTCAATGAGATTGATAACTTCAGTTTTGAAACCAGATTGTCTCACGAATATTATGCCGTCTACGAAATGGAATATGAGGAGTTAGCGCCATTGATCAAGCAATGCTACTTAGAGTGTTGCAAGTCTGCGATCAAGCTTATATCTAAAATTGTTTTCCAACAGGTTCCAGAGAACGTACAAACTGCATTGTGCAATTTTGAAAATTGTTATGTAGATCATATTAGGAAAATGAATTTCAAAAAATGTATCATTGAAGACAACGTTGAAATTGCAACCAGCTTCATACATATTATATCCATTTTGAGAAAAGTAGTATATTTATCCTCTAGTGCTTCCAAACTTCTTTCGGCAAATGAGAACAAAACATCATTTTGCAAGGAGTGGGACGAAATCAATGTTCCTCAAATAATTGAAAATCATCCTTTGATCCCAAAGAACGAAAAGTCCCATATCATTGAAAAGGTTTGTGCATATTTGAGTAAAATCTTCAGATCTTTGGGTGAAAGGGAGGATGGATCGGTAGAGACAAATATTTCAAACTGCCGGGATAATATAATACGCAAGCTGTCCATCTCATTTGCTTCAATTCCTCCTGAATTTTTCAACGTTGAACCAAGAAAACTCTTACTTTACGTTGATGCCATTGGGTCGACCATTTTGCGTGAGCTCACAGTAGAGAACTATACATCAAGTTTCTCCGTCTGGTGGTCAGTAGTATGCTGGTGTAACGAGTATATGGTTCTGATGGCTGAAATTGGCGGTTTCCTTAAATGACCGCGATGTTGAAATGCCCTGTTTCGCAGTTTGTTTACCAGTTCACGAAATCTAGCTTTATGTATTGTGTTTATGCATTTGTTTTTTAAAAGTTTGTAATAAACAGCATTAGTCCATTGACTCTTAATAATCCTTATGCAATGAATTCTGAAGAATTCAATAATTTTGTAAGAATAACCACTGAACTCACCTGCAAAAGTACTCGGAGTTTAACCTTTCAGAACTATGTGGAGGAACGCCTAAATGCTATTGATTATAATGAATTTCTCAGAGCCTCCAATCAAGGGGAAAGACCCCGTTTTTACATTAGGTTGAAAAATCCTGAGCGTAAGAACACTAATGAACGTGGCTTGAAAGTTTGTTTGTTCAATGACAATTTATTTGAAGAAAAAGTAGTGAGCCCTGGAACAACGATAATAAAGTTTGCTCCTATGCTCAAAGTTATAGGATTCACAAATGACAACTGCTCTGAATGCGGAAAGCATCTCATTGATATAGGAGACAAAGGAAAAGAAGAGTCTGAAAATAAGCATCAAGTTGAAAACGGACTAACGCAAGCAAAAGAATTCGTAAAAAATGAAGGAATTGTCAAGTGTAAAAACTGTAATTTTCGAGTCTTTTGTTGTCAAGAATGTAAACTCAAAGCCATGCTTGATTGGCATGATCTAGAATGTGATTTCATTGCTCATATTCAGAAAGAATTGATAACTACCAACAATGGTATAAAAGTGGATACGGAGACAGATCAAGCCATCGAAAAGATCATCTTAATAATAATTACTACTTTCAGACTACTTATCAGTTTGGTAAGAAATGATGAGAAGTTGTTCGAAATAGTTATAAATATGAGTGATCACTTGAAACTATATCAAAAGTATGTTGAAAAGGGCGAGGTTGATAGTCCTGAACATGAAGCAATATTCAGGGAAACACAACATACTTTTGGTCCATTAATTGCATCTTACTTTGAAGAAAAAAAAACCAAATCAAACAGGCTCAAGTCAAACCAATTGAGCTTGGCCAAATAAGTAAAGATGGAATCTGTAGAGCCCTATTTTTAGTGTTTGTGAATGTTTCTTCAGTTATGGACCACTTCAACAATAATCTAGGCTTAATGTTTGACCCTATATTTTCGATGATAAATCATAGCTGTGATCCTAACTGTACCTTAATCTGGAGAGATGATGGTGAAATTTTAATCAAGTCTGTCAAACGGTTGAGAGCATCCAATGAGATTCTGTTGAACTATATACCCGTGCATCTGCCTAGAGAAATGAGAAAAAAAATGCTAAGAAACTCTTTTTTTTTTGATTGTGAATGCTTAAAATGCACTGTATCGGATAAAGATTATGACGCTATGCTACCAATAAACTGCTTGTTCTGTAATCATAACAATAGAGGTTTTGTTCTTGAAAATTTCGAGAAATTTGAAAGTGTGCCTGATATTGGTAAAAAGAAAATGTGTAACAACTGTGAAAATATCATCGATGTGGACGAGATATTTCAGAACTATCTGGATATTTTCAGATTTTTTAGATCCCTCAACAAAGAAGCTGAAAAACTTCAAGACTTCTGTAGCTGGACACTCGAATCTGAAAATGTTATGAATATGGATACTCAGACTTTTCGAAATGGTGTCAAACTTCTACAAAAAAGCTATGAAATAGTACCTCTCAAATCTTGGCCTATGATAACATTATTGAACGTAGTTAAAATTGGATTCCAATTCCGAGACCCTTTTGACATTAAAGTGCTACGAATGACTTATTTGACCAATTTTCTTACAGAAAATATGCTAGAAAGTGAGTACAGACTTAAGGTAGACATTGGTGCCTCATTGTACGATTTATCGGTAGTTTCAGCAGACTATTTATTTGACCAATACTTGAGATACAAGGAAGAATTGGATGAGGAAATATTAGATGCCGTCGGGAAAGGCTCGTTCTCGTTATGCATCTTGTCTTACAAACATTTGCAAGAACGCTTTAGCGACAGCAATGATAGCGAAAGTGAAAAATCAATGGAGAGATCCCAAAAAGATATGGTCCAGTTGGCGCTAGAGATACGAAGATTGCTAGAGCATTTTGAGCGTCGCAAAAGAGGAGAGAAGAACAGAAAAGGAAGCAAGGCTAGCAACAGGAACAATAGCACCGTTAGTTCTCAAAATAAAAACCTCGTCCTTCGTTCTACCGCTACAGCGGGAGCTGAAAACGGCAACTATTTTGACAATTACACGCAAAAGGTTTTCGAGGAGAGCATTATCAACTATGAAAGGTACATGGAGTGTGGCGCCGCAACTCAGTTCAAGCCAATTTTGCTGTCCTTAACAACACCAGACTACAAAACTTTCTCCCTCAAGGTCCCCAGAAGCCTCGGAAGTAAAAACGGTCTCGATAAAGGTGTTGGAAAGGGTTCAGGAACATGCGTCAAGACGGACCAGGAGCTTATCGGTGAAAGCAAAGTTGCCGGAAGTCCGAGCCCATTTGTGGCGCGGCCAACTTGGGTGGCGCAGCTCTGGAGTTGAGCTCAGTATTGCCGAGAAAAATCGCTCTGCACTCTCGTGGTGATCTCATTTTGCTCTGCTGTTATGTTTTTCTGTCTAAACCTATTCGGCTGAGCTTTGAGGAGTTTATGTAATGTGTAATATATGCCGTATTTTGCATTTGGGCTTCCACTTTTGTGAGATCCAATTGTCAGCTATACTGTCAAACGTCTGCAGATATTCTTTCGCTAGCACCTCTTCCCTGCAAGAGACCCAAAAGCTTTCCGTTGGCTAATCTATCCCCGTCCAATCCAATACTATCGTTTAATGGAGACAAGGCGGCTATGCTCGGAGTTTCAAGCGTACAGCGACCGCATGCAAAAGAGAAGCGTGATGTTGATCCAGCACAGACTTCTTTATTCCAATCAACTAGTTCACCCCTGGTATTATCAGAACCAGAGGCTGCAACGCTGTCAACGTCAACAAAGGCAGCAGCGGCGGTAGCAGCAACAACCTCCTCTCGGCCGCTGGATACTTACATCCTTGGCCATGACCCGACGCTCACACTGAATTCGTTTCCTACAATTTTAACAACAAAGACGCCGAGCTCTGCACCGAAAGTAAGCACGACGCCTTCTATTTCGGAAGACAGTCTGTTCCCGATTCTTGGAAAGAAGACAAAAACATCGACAAGTGAAAAATCACTAGTCACTGTGTACACCCAGTTGCATGCCACGGGAAGTCTTGTACCATCGATTGAATGGATCATTCCGACCATCACCACCAATAGTCTACCTTCTGGTTACTCAGCATTAAGCTCTTCAAATTCTTCGTCGCCGAGCTGTATTTATGCATCATGCCAGTCTCCCTATTCCTACAGTTCGCAACACACGAAGGGAAGTTTGAGCTCCAGCGATTTTTCGTCCAGCTTGGAAATCGTATCAACTTTTATAGATCCAATACTATCCAAGTCTTCCTCTTCCGCAACAAGATCAAAAAAACCAATGTTTTCTTCCAGACCAACAGATAGTTCATCACAGCCCTCGTTGAGCTATTTACACTCGCTTTTACCCACCACTACTCCGCCGACCACCTCCAGCTCATCCACCTCCAGCTCATCCTCCTCGTCCGAGGGAACGACCACAGTCACCCAATATCTGGAGGGATTGACATACACCCAAGTTTATATTGTTACTGACTCGAAACTCACGCTTACAACCTCCCTTCTAGCAACAACCAGCTTCTATGTTGACTCCATGAGCTCGACATTCTCACTTTCGCCTGCGGCCATAACTACAGATATAGCAGCTTTGAAGTCAAGACCGGATTTTGACACTATTTTTGAGAAGAAAATGAGTGGCGGTACTGTTGCAGGTATAGCGATTGGGTCCATTTTTGGTTTCTTACTCCTGCTCACATTTTTCTTAATCTTTCTCAAACGGAAGCGCCAAGGTGGAAAACCGTTGATGAGTTTATTTACCAAGGATACAGAGCTAGCAACTAGCAACCATTACGGCTCAGCCTACGTTCAAGATAACGATGATGATGATGTGTATGATGATCGGGATTACGACTGCTCGGAAGATCAAAGGGTTATTAATGCACCCCCCAGGATAATGGTAAATTCTCAACATATTCAGCCTAACGGTGGAGCAAGCATAAAGGCACCTCCAATACCCAGCAGATCTAATAAACCAGTTCTTCAGACCCCACCGATGCTATATGTAAACACTTTTCCGGTGGGTTCTCCAACTACTCTCTCACATCAAACACCAGTACATACTCCTATGGCCACCGAAACTCACAACGAAAACCAGAACGATGAGGAACAAGATTTGAGTTTGTTCGATATGAAAAGTACTCTCAGTGCGATCAATGCATCGAGTGAGGTGAACCATCATTTGATGCCGCCTATACCCCCAGCTAGGAAGAGCTTGAGCTCTAATAGAATTGACAAGCTGAATTATAAGGTTGATCAGATTACTCCTTCACCTTCCTCACAACTGCCTATTGATCGCACGATGGGTGTTTTATACGAGTCCCCTAATGAACAATGTATCTGGGATGAATTTGAAGGGGCCAAGAATTTGGGCCTCATGTGCAACGTTGGCCGTGATTCTCCGATTGACTCTGTTTTTGGCCCGTTTGAAGCAGACATGTCTAATTACGATCAAAAGAAACAACATTATTTGGAGCAGTTGAATGTGAATCTGGATATCGACAGTAATATTAAGAATAGTATACTAAACTCAACCAGGGTAAGATCCGGTAGTGGAGCCAAACGTTATGAATATTTAGCAAATAACGTTAATATCATCAAGCATGAGGTGCAGAGGGAGAGGTTGGCATCACCATTATCCATTAACAAGCCCGAAATAAAAGTTACGGGCGATGGCGATGAAGAAAAATTATTTCAAGGACTGGCCACGAATAACGACACCATTAGTCCCATATCTAGAAGCAATGTACCACCCCCTGTTCCGAAGCCGCGTAAGAATATCAATTCCATAAATTAGCTAGAAAAGCTAGCCAGTTGCATCCTTTTCACTATTTTCATTCGTTCAGTTTTCTCACATTGCATAAGGTATTCTTGATCTTTCTCCTCAATTTCGTTCTTATTTTACATATTGTTTTAAGTAGCCCCTTTATAGATTTTTTTCTTGACTGACTATTTCAGTTTATATAAATTAATGTACTTTTATTGTTAGCATATTCGATTGAGTAGGGTGATACAAAAGTTGTTGAATCAAGTATATAAATAACTGAAAAATATACCAACACAGAGAAAAAGTTGAAGCTTAAGACCGGAAGCTGGAAAGATATCTAAACCGAAGGAGCAAAAATTGAGAAAAATGAAAAGATAAAATAAACTAAAAAAGAAACACCAATGAAAAAAAGATAAGATTTAAGGAAGAATAACTGAAAGAATACCACGAATTACCCAAAAAGAAACAAAAAGAAATGAAAATGAAACAATGTGATGGTATGAAACCAAATGCAAACTCAACTGACACCACCAGGAACTTTATAAGTCTTCAACAAGTTTTTCTCAATAACGTATTTCCCCACCTTATACTTTTCAACGGGTTCGATGCTTGTGATGTATTTCCATCCGATAACGGTATCACATTGGACACAATAGATCGCCTTAACGCCATACTGGCCTGTTCTCATATGCTTCATCACCTCTTTAGCATCTTCACGGACATTGAGCACGTTTTTCACGAAATAGGCTTCTCCCTTGTTACCCCAGAAGTCCTTTGAGATGATGAGCGATGAGATGCAGATATCGCAGTAGCATGACTTGCACCTGTATATTATTGGGCGTTCGTGGGAGCGCATGGAGGAAGACCGATGTACGCCTGCAGAAACCATTGAGAATGGAGTGTTGCCGAAGCTTTGTTCGTCGTCGTCGTTGTCGTCGTCATCAACATCGCCGCCAGCAACGTCGTCGTCTTCTTCTTCATCGTCGTCGTCGTCGCCTTCTCCAAGCTGGCTGGGTATGTAGCTTGCTTCGTTCGCCCCGCTCCAGCGAATGCCCTCACCGTCATCTTCTTCTTCCTCGTCTCCATCATCCTCGTCCTCTTCATCCTCGTCCCCTTCTTCTTCTTCTTCTTCTCCTTCCTCCTCCTCTTCCTCCTCCTCATCATCGTCTTGTTCCAGGATGTTTCCGTGACCCACACTCAGCGTTTGCTTCTCATCCTCAAAGACATTGGAGTAGGAGGATGTCGCAGCAGACGAAAACGAGTCGGTCCTCGAAAATGGGTAGGACGAAAAGGACGGCCGGGGGGTGGAACCGTAGATGGAGGAGATCGACGAGCGGGTGACGCTGCGCCGTTTGCCCGACGTGTGGAAGCTGCCGTGGTTGTTGCTGTCGTAGCCGTTTTCAATCAAGTACGACGTCGGAACGGAGCTCCGACGCCACTGCGTATTGTGGTGGAAAGCGGAGCCCTTGTCTTCTCCGGGACTGGCATTTCTGGAAACGTCAAAGCTGTCGACACAGACTCTGCCCATTTCACCTCACGTGCTTTCTGTATTAATTCCCTGCTTCTAGCCAAACTGTACAAAGAATCAGATGCCTTTGAAACCTTTCACGATACTCTTTTTATGACCAGCACTGGTCCTTTTTCTAGTGTGTGGCGGTATAAATGCCCAGATAGATCACCAGATGACCCAAATAGCCAACAGCCAGAAACCAAACTATACACCAGCGTGCCAACGAATCCTACTGCTGTTCAGGCTCTCAATACAGGCTCCACACACCCTGACAAGGAGAACACACCTATTCCTGTGTGTACAAACCTTCATCCTGGCTGTTATACCGGTATAGGTGTTCCTACCCCATACTATGGGGCCCGACCATGGGCCCTATTATGCGGAGCCGAGACCCCGGAAGGGGGAGCCCGATAAGGAAATACAAGTGCTATCTCCACACGGTGCACGGATGGCTGTAAAAACTGTATCGACGCGTCGGTTTTGCGGCTCTGTTGGATTTTTCAGGTTTTTTGCAGCGACGGGGAACGAGAAAGAAGAAGGTGAGCAGAGGAAGAGAAGAGACAGGGGAAGGAAAGGGAGAAGGAAGAAGAAAGAAGAGGAAAGTGAAGGCAAAAAGGGCGTGACAGGCACAAGACAACGCAGCACAGCAACACAATGTCACTCGCAATAGCCCGTCTGGCTCACGTTCGCCCGTTGTCGTTCATGACGGCCCGGGTGACGTACCAGGCCATGAGATCGAGACAGACCGTCTGCCAGCGGTTCCTTGCGACGAGCACAGGGACGAAGCCGGGCGAGTCGCTGTTCAGCGACCTGACGTCGTCGGTGGACAAGGAGTCGAAGACGCTTGCGCAGAAGCAGGGGGCGGAGAGCGTTTCTGCGGGCGGCGACGGCGACGGCGACACGGACGCCAGTGCGATCCAGTACGTGGAGCCGGAGCAGGACCAGAAGTTGCAGGAGTTTTTGAATCCGAAGCCATACCTCACGGTGGACACGCTGCTCACGCCGTTGAAGAAGGAGATCTACGTGGCGAACGTGGCGAAAAACGGCTTTTTCAAGAACATGGACCTCGTGAAGCTGAAGGACGGGGCCTCGTACACGCTGAACTTGACGCAGCAGCAGATCGAGGCGCTCGAGCCCTCCGTGTACTTGAGGTCGTGGAGAATCAAGTCGTCGGTGAAGAAAACGAACATCGTGCTCAGAGCGTTGAAGGACCTGCCTGTGAAGAAGGCCATCACGCAGCTCCATTTCATGGAGAAGAAGGTGGCGAGAGAGCTTGTGGAGATGTTGGAGAGAGGTGTCAAGGACGCGGAGAAGATGAACTACAACCCGGACGACCTCTACATCTCCGAGTCGTGGGTGCACACCGACGGCCACTGGCTGAAGAGAGTCGACTGCAAGGGTAGAGGTAGAGCGGGTGTTTTCACCTTCAAGTGGGTCAGTGTCCGGTTCTTGCTCAAGACCAGCCAGACCACCAAGCGGTTGGCGCATCTCGCTGCAGAGAGAGACGCCAACAAGAAGGTCTTTTGCGCCGTGTCCAAGGGCAAGATCAGAGGAAACGCCCCAGGCTTCTATAGATGGTGATCTCCCCCTCGTGGGGGCAGAGACATTACGTGTAAATAAACAAAGAATAGTTATTTCTTTTGTCCTTGACGGAATAATAAATAATTCGTTATTTAGCTGCAGACGCTGAACTGGCCCCAGAGGGGTGAATAACAACGAGAGTCATCTGCATAAAAAACAGCCAGTCTTACTGGGTGGATTGATATGGATACAATGCTGAGGTGTCGGGATGGATCGATGGAGTGGAGTGGAGTGGTGCAGAGCGGCCGCACACGGCGGCGCCTTCAATCCTCGTAGCCCTGGACTGGCACCCTGGCTCTGTTTGGCACCGGGTAGCCGTCCAAAGGAAGTGGTTCAGCGTCTGCGTACAGGAACGTTCTTCTCAGCGGCGTCCCTGCAAACAGAAACACAGGCCCGAGAAACGCAATGAACCCGGAGAAGAAGAGATGTGGCTTGTTGTGTGCTTGGTAACGTAACCACTGCAGCACGCAAGACCAAAACACGGCGAACGCCAAGCTGATGTGTTAGTATATCCGTCTCTCACGGTGGGGGGTTTCTCTCTGCTCGCAAGCAGGACACGCACGTACTCTGACTGGTTCCTTGAAGTAGATAGGGTAGGACATCGCTGTAAGTTGTGCTGGCAAGTCTCTGTTGGTGTTCCCAGGGCTCTCTGTTGCTCCTCCGTGTGCTGCTGCTTCTCCTCTTCTTCCGTCGTCTCTTCCTCTTGGGCCTTTCTTCATGTTCTACCTCTCCAGCGCTCTCCTCGACCTCTGCGGCCCTCCCGGCTCGCTCCCCGCATTTCTGGGCCGATCGGCGGAAACGCCTTTTTTGCAGGTGCTCCAGGGCTTGAAGACGGAGGAGCAGGAGCAACAGAGGACGGGCGGGGGACAGCAGGGGCACGGGGGAGGGAGAGAGGGCGCAGCATCAGCAGCAGCCAGTAGCAAAAGAGATGCAGCAGCACGGTTCGAGACGGTACGGAGAAAGACGCAGCGGGAAGCACGACCGAGCGTCGCAGAGCGGCGCCAGACACACGAGAAGCGGCGGTGAAGGCGGAGGCAGACACAAGCACAGAGAACGGGACGGGAAGGGCCTGCAGTGGCAAGACGGCGGAGAAGGGGGCCAGAGGAAGCCGGCGGGTGTGTCGGCGGCGACGACGCCGATCCCCATCGACCTGCGGCCGTCGGGAGTCTTGACCAAGTACCTGCATCTGTCGGCAGGCCAGAAGGTGGCTCCGCACGACGCCAGGGCCAAGTATGCGCCGCCGGAGGACGCAGTGGTGCCGACGAAAGAGAACTGTGCGTTCCATCTCTTCAAGTACAACGAGGAGACGGACACGCAGGAGGAGGTGCCGCTGCTGAACTACAAGTCGTACTTTGTGTTTGGCCGGGACGCCGAGCTGGCGGACGTGGTGGTGGCCGACGACGAGGACGGCGACCTTGTCTCCAAGCAGCACGCGGTGCTGCAGTTCCGGAGGGGCCGGGACGCCACTGCGGACGCCGCCAGCGTACGCTGCTACTTGATGGACATCGGCTCCACGAACGGCACCTTCCTCAACGACGACAAGGCCGAGCTCCCGACCAAGCGGTACGTGCAGCTCAAGAACAACGACGTCTTCAAGCTCGGCGACTACGACAGTGTCCTCGAGTTCATGGTCGTCGAGGACCGGGCGTGACTGCCGGCGCCTCTGTCCGTGTCCGCCGTCCTAAGTATATATCCGTGGTCTACACCACCGTAACCTTTCCTAGTAGCCACGTATGTCCGTCCCCCGTATGCCCGCTCGCTGGCACCTCATAGCCCTTGGCCTCGTGTCGTGGCCATGTTTGTTCTCTTCGGGAAACAGGAGATGCTTTCCGTCTACCCGTGGCCTCGGCGTGGGGAAAATGCCCAACTCCGAGTCGTGCCACGAGGCCAGTATAAAACGGCATGTCTGTCCGTTCCGGCAGGCTCTGGCGTGGAGGAGTGTGGAATCGGGGCAATTGCAGAGACAGACAGGACCCCATCGCAGGCAAAGCTACATGGCCAGCGCTAGAACACAGAGAAAGATCGTCACAATGCTTGCAGCCAGATTAGGAGTGGAAAAACCGGTCATACAGGCACCCATGGCAGGTGTGTCCAGCGTCGACCTGGCCTCCCAGGTGACCAACAGCGGCGGCATTGGCTCTCTTCCGCTGTCCTCGATAAATTTGAAGAACAACTGGGGCTCGTTTGTTCAAACGATGCAGGATTACCGGAGTAAACTGTCCGCCAACCGGCCAGGGTCCCGGCTTCCGGTGAACCTGAACTTCTTCTGCCATGACATCTACTCGCCGCCTTCGAAGGAGCAGATCTCCAATTGGTGCAGATTGTATCAGTCAGTGGTGCCTCCGGTCGTCTCGGACTGGAGCTCCGTGAGCAGCTTCTCCAACGGGAACGTTTCGTTTAAAACCTGGGAGTTGCAGGAGAATAAGGAGGTGTTGGACACTATGTTTGATTTCTGGCACCAAAACAAGGAGCTAGTTCCGGAGATCGTCAGCTTTCATTTTGGGTACCCCTCTGTGGAGACCATTCGGAAGCTCCAGGAACTGGGCACGCTTGTCTTTGTCACAGCAACTTCGCTAGAAGAAGTCAAGGTGCTGCTCTCGTTGGACATCGACGGGCTTGTACTTCAGGGAGATGAAGCAGGGGGGCATCGGGGGGATTTCCTGCCAACTGAGAATGAAAACCTGAGCACCTTTGCTCTTTTCGAGATTGTCCAGAGTTATTTGGACTCCCAAGGTTTAAAAGATAACATATACGTCGTCCCGGCCGGCGGAATCATGGACTCGACAGCTGTCTTGAAGTACATAAAGTCTGGAGCATCCGCAGTTCAGATGGGCACAGCCTTTCTTGCCACAGAGGGCTCGGTTGCCAAGCCGTACTTTGAGAAGCTGGTTAGGAAACAAGACAAAAACAGAGATACGTTGCCAAAAACCATCATGACTTCCCTTGTCTCTGGCAAACCAGCTAGAACTGTGGTCACTCCTTTTATTTCCACCTTGGTCTCAAAGTATAACGGGTTGAGCCAGCAAAGCAAAAACTTGCCTGACTACGGGTTCAGATACAAGGCTTACAAAGACTTAAGTCAGAAGCTCAAGGGGAAGATAGACATGGATATCGGCTTCCACTTGGCTGGAAGCAACTACAAGAAAATGAACATTAACAGTAATGTGGGTGAAATCCTCTCAGCAGTTACGGAAGATTTATAATGTATCCTACTGCCCAAAAAAATCTAGAGTACGATGTATATGCTTTCTGAACAAGAATCTTATACAGTTTACCCACATGTTAAAATTGCGATAGTTGATTTATCACACCTTCGTTGAATACTTCAAGCCATCGTTGATTAACAGAACGTAACGCCAAATGAGCACCACCTCTCGTAGTACTGATCACATTCATGGCAAATAAACTCAACACCCCAGACCTGCACGGCTGATCAAAATATGCATTGAGAAATGCATTGTTAGTGTCTTTCAAATTTCCTAGGTTTGACACAAGTAACGTACCGATCATCGAATCATCATAGCACTTCTTTCGATATTCTAGAAATAGTTTAGGATCGACCCAACTTACTAGTCCCAAGTCTCGCTGAGAGTCCTTCATTCTACCATGAATATAATCGTTGACATATTTGACAAAATTCCAGTTGATCTTACCGTTATGGCACATTTTATCAACAGGAGGAAGTTCCATGTTTAAATCACCTAAATAAAGGCCAAAATCTGTCTTGATATCCGGACTGCCATGCATCTTGACCCTGTTCATGTCAATTTTGGATCTTGAATTGACGGGTATCACAACCATAGTATCTTTTTCTTTTCCTGTGATTTTAGAGATCGACAATAAGGACATCACTACAAGGAGTGAGGTCAACTTTACATTGTATTTACGACAATCACAGATGAGTTGCTGTAGTTTTGTGTTCGAAATATGCACAAGTTTACAACGGTCCCTATTTTTCTCAATGTTGTTGTGAGTTTTGTTCGTCTCAGGACCGTCCTCATTATAAGACATCATTTTTCTAGAAAGTACAATGGTGTTGTAGGTTTTCGATTTGGATATGCTGGCATCATCAATAAAGTAGTATTTGACAATATCAGACAAGCTCTTTGGAAAGCAGATTAACATGAGAGCATACAAGAGGTAAAAACGGGGAACTGAATAGTCTATTAGGTCTGACGGTTTCGGTGGAAGTTGGAAGTCGTTGTCAACTTTGGTGATATCAAAGAGAATTGAGGCTTCAGCGTCAAAATTCTCAGCCTTTTCGCTGACTTCGATAGCATGGGAAAACAATTTATGAAAGTTCAGACCCGAGGAGCCATCAAATAGTAGGTGATCACTGTAGTAAATCAATGTCTTTTTGTTAAGTAGAATCAACGACCATAGAGGCTTTGACGTCCCATACTCGAAATGTACGTCTTGCAACTGGTTAAATACATCTCCAACGGTCACATTCTCGTCATTGATAATTTCTAAAACATCCGAAAGTCTGTAAGAGTCCATCAAACCAAGAGTGTAGGGGAATTCAAAAAAGGTGCACCCTTTTTTGGGGTATGCGTTCATTGAAAGGCTTGTATGTTGCGAAACCATCAATGAAAGAGCTTGGAATACGGAACCAGTGTCAAGCTCCTCCATATACTCCACCGCAACTCTAAAATTTGAGTACATGTTGAGCTTGTTCCTCCAAAAGTAATACTTTTCGAAGGGTGTAAACTCTCTAGTATAAGTTTGTTGTTGCATCCTTTGTTTTTGATTGCTTGAAGTGCGTTTTAAGGAAATGCATCTTCAGAAAAAAACAAATGGCTTCGAAGCACCTCACATAGCTACATGAATTCAACAACTTCAAGAACTACAATAGTGACAGTAACGTCAAAGAAAGAAATAATGTCAACATTACCAACATCGTCAACACCTCTGACACCAACGTGCAACGTCCCTTCTTGTCCATCTCACATTTGTCCCAATTCATGTTACCCCCGCACAGCCCGGAAATCAGTCAACGTGGCAAGCCAATTTCATTCAGCTCTTCTTTTCTATTTCATTCAGTGAACAACTGAAACAGTTCGACCAATCGAATCACTTGGTCAGCAATCCTGCTTCAGCCAGTAAGCTTGTCAGTTCCCTTCATCTTACCTGAGCCGACTTCCATCTTGGCACTTTTCGATCCAAACTGGACTGCCCTTTTAGGTTCTTGTGCGACGAAATCCAACCCCATTTTGTGCTCTGCTAGACGTCGTAGTATGAGTTTCCTTGTGATTTCTCCCGTATCCGCGTTATAGTTGAGCTTCCAATTAAGTGGTACATTTCCTTCTGTAGTCACCCAATTCATGAAGTCCTCATCCAAGAAGGGATACCTAACTTCCTTGCCCCAGCAGCAAATGACTTTATCGTCTCTGGTGAGGTTTCTCTCCCATAATCTGTCTAGATCACACTGTAGTTCGTCTCTTAGTTCTGCATTCAGTAGTGTCAAATTGTAATCAGAAAAGTCCGTTGCAGGTTTGTTTTTTAACCGTCTCTTTGTTTGATTGCTCACCCCGGTAAAAATTCTTTCGTGTCTCGTATATCCGCCAAACAATTCATCGGCTCCTAGTCCACTAAGAAGTACTTTACAATTGCTGGATACCTCATTGCTTCCCTTGCCACTGGCAGCAAAATAAAATGCTATAGCTATGGAAAGATCCATTTCTGTGTCGTTTGGATATATCAAATTCACCACACGTTCTCTTGCAGCAAAGTACTCTTCGTATGGTACATCGACCTTGACTAGCTTGAAAAAGACGCCTTTTTCCTTGTTATATTTGAGGTTCAACTGCTCGCAATTCTTAATGGCTAACTTACGATCAGGAGTCTCATCGTATGTTAAGTTGGCTCTTGGGTTACTGAATGATACATTCAATAAATCAATAGTAGTATCTTTTTCGCAGATCTCTCCACAGAGACCTGCAATAAGTGTACAGTCAATTCCGCCACTAAATAAAATCGCAAACTTTGATTCGGTCATGTCTTCAAGTAGTGGAAAGATTGTAGAGATACGTTTGTAAACAGAGTGGCCAAGCTGTCTGTGTATCTTACTGATGATGTCAGTTTCATTAACATTCATATTGATGTTGTTCAAAACTTTGTAGGCACTCGGTAAAAACTTGTTTTCTTCACTTGAGATACGGTCCATTACTTTAGTTTTCATATCAAAGCAATACACTGTTGCACGTTTGCATTCAAAAAAGTTTTCCTTCTCTTTATTAGTCCATGGTGGACAACTGCTGATATAGAGCTCACCTAGAGTATCAATTGAGAAACACAAAGATTTTCTTCCGGTAACATCTTTTCCAAAATAAATCTTGTTCTCTGCCCTATCAATTATGGAATATGCAAACTCTCCCTTTAAATGTCCTATGGTTTTTATCACATCACCCTCGTAATCATTAATGAGCTTCCCGAGCAAATACTCCACGTCGTTCATATGGCTCGATATTTCATCATTATAAAGCTCGCCATTAAACTGCAAAGTGAATCTTCCGTTACTGAGAGGTTGTTCAGCCAGAGGTTGACGAAGGGAAAGTACTGAAGAATATACTTCTATTTTTTCTTCGGGAAAGAGTCTGTACTTCTCAAAATCCCCCCCTCTTTCTCGAATGATCGGTATTAAAGATTTGAAAAGTCTGTCAGCGCCGTACTCATTACTTTCTTTGCTGATTCCATTGACACTATAGTGAAGTAGAATTCCACACATCACAAAGGTAAACCAGTCTGTCAGTAAAAACAGTTATATAAAGTATAGATGCATTCAAGTGCTAGAGGCAATGTAGTCTGGGTTGAAAAATTTCAGACTTCTGAAATATTAGTTAACTTATCACCAATCCGTTAGGTACAAAAATAGATTACGTAAATTATGTACTTGAAAGCTCATTAGCTTACATGATATCCGAAACCCGCGGAGATCAATTATTATAAAAAGTACTTCTTGTTTTAAGTAATTCAAGATAACACATAAAGCATGTCAAATCAGGCCTATGTCTCAAGAGACGACCTTGTCAAAAATCGAGATGAGTCTTGGAAAAAATCCAAAATCCAAATGAGAATTGTAGTTGAAAAAACCGAAAATCATCAAGCAAATGGAAAAAAATGAATGATATACTAAGAAAAAAATTGTTTATCTCATGAAGAAACGGCTATAAGAATAGTCGCATGAGCGTAAGGCTCACTGCAATCATCCACGTCTACCAAAATTAGTACTATCTGTAAAAAAGAAATTTTGATGATGAGAATTATCATTCTGAGAAGCCTAAAACTGTTCGAAGACGGATCCACTAAAGACACAAAGTTTGGTTTTTGACGTAAGCGATGTAAATGTTCCTTCTGTGATCGTCGAAAGGCTGTTTTCGAAGCAAAGAATCAAAACAATAGTAAAACATACCATTATACACGGTTCGGAGTATATACAATGGTTTTTAATGAAAGTATAATCACGAAGAAGTTATCTGCGTAAACGAGCAGGAAAAGGGCTTGATAATAAACAAATGATTTCAAACAGCCAATGAAACAATTCCAAAAACAATCTGCATGGATTAGAGAAGTTAAATAATTTGATAAAATTACTTTTAATTACAGCTCTTCGTCAGGTAAAAGAGAAAGAATGTTTTTCTCCAACCGGTTTCTGAATTCATCTACCCATTCTTCGTTGCAGCAACGTAGGACAATAGTACCTCCGCTGCCGCAACTTATCATGTTAGCACTGAACAGACACCCAGGTTGATCAAACCAGGCGCCAATGATGTTCTTATGTTCTGCTCCGATCTGACCTAGATTTGACAGTTCAAAAGTCGCCTTTTTCTCTTCCTCGTGCTCTTTGACAATAAAGCGCTTGATATTGATGAATTTCAGTACTCCCAAAAGAAGGCGTGACGTTGATATGTTTTCATGTATGTATTTGTTCACAAAGGTGGCCAATGACCAATTGATTTGGCCATCCGGGCAAAGCTTATTGATCGAAGGTAGCTGTAAGCGGATTGCACCCATGTAAAGACCAAACAATGGTGAGAAGTTATTACACAACTTGTTAGCCTTTTCCATTTTGATAGATCCTCTGATATTTATAGGAATTGAAGTCACCGTATCTTTGCCAGAAGAAGCAATGAATTTACCCATGCTTATGTGGGCTAATACCGTGATCAGCGAAGTTAGTTTTACGTTATGCAGCCTAGCCGTTTTGATGAGTGAATTCAGTTGAAAAGAATCCAAGTTGATGACTCTGGAAGAAGACGTATTTTTTGGATTTGACCGAAAAGACTTATACTCCACTTCATCAAAGGCAAGGATGCTAGTATATGGGTTGCCACTGAACCAACGTTTGATGAGATTTGAGAGTTTTGTGGGAAGCAATGCTGCCAAAACAATGTAGAGTAAACCACTGTAAGGTTTGTTATAGTCGATTATATCAACAGGAGAGGGAGGCAGCTGGTACTGGTCAAATTCCACCATTGATTTTTCGAAAACTATGGAATCCAATCCGGTAAACGAGCCAGAAATTATTTTTGGGATCCCGTTAGCAATTTCTTTGGACAACTCGATGTGGAAGTTTTTACCGGATGTACCATCGTAGAGAATATGGTTGCAAAAAAACAAGGCGTATTTGCCATTGATGACTTTCAGTCTCCACAATGGCTTGTTTTTACCGTAGCGTAAACTTTCCTTGTGGTACTTCTCCAGAATTCCCTCAACATTCGCAAGCTTGTCATCCTGGATAAACTCCACCACATCACTTAATCTGACCTCGTCAACGACAACAAACTGATGGCCAAACTTGCTGGTACTAGAGGGCATTAGGTCCATAGTCAAGGCGCTGTACTTGTACATCATCCGAGTCAACGCATGATAAACCTTTTCTGTGGTCAATTCTTCATTGTATTCTACAAGAATTCGGTAGTTTGAGTAGTGATCCAATTGTGTTCTCCAGAAGAAAAACAGTTCCACGTATGACATGTCTCTAAACTGCTTGTACAACGGATGTTCGTTCAAGCCTTTGAAAGGGCCTGGTTCCGTAATATTCATATCTAAAGCCTGGATTATTCGCCTCTTTTGCCCGCTTCTTCTGTTTCGACCCCAGCTGAATGAATTGGCTTTGTCCTGCTGTTGCAGATCAGGAACACCGAGAAATACGAAACCAAAGAAGTGAAAGGCGTGATGTGATGGCTTAAGAAAATAACTTATCGAGGCTTATTCGGAGCTGGCGCTCGGTTATTGCAGAAAGAGTCTGCCTTTCAGTTCTGTCGCCTGCGGCCGGTTTAGGGGCTACATTATGATCGTACCACTTCAAAACCACACATTTGTACAGTAGAAGCTGTATCTACTCTCAGGTCAATTGTAGCTGGCTTCCTTGTTTGACAGTTGGGGAGAGAGAGAGAAAACAGAGGGGTTGTATGTTACATGAGCCTTTCTAAAAAAGAAGTGATGAAGTTTTCAGGGCCGATCGACCCTGGTTAATCACGTGATGTGGTGGGGTTTATGTGCCTGGATTGTAACAACCACTTGTTCTGTCTGCTTCACAGTTAAAGGATCAGCTCCTTTGTTGCTAGAACATGAGTTCCAGAGACTGTGGTGGTAGACGGAAAGTAGCTGGTCCGATAGAGAGGAAAATCCCGGGGGTTTTCTCGCATATTTTAGCCGAAGAAAGAGACTGGATCGGTCCAGCCTGACAATCTTCACGCAGACCAGCGCTGCATCGGGGTCTCTCTGCTCTTGGCGGGATTGATATAGAAAAGAAGAGGCAACGAAGAGCATCAGTGCCAGCCATATATCTTTCAGATATCAAGCTGAAACTATAGAACGAGAAACCAAACCGAGATAGCATGTCAAGTGGGAAAAAATTATTGCTTATGGGCCGTTCAGGGTCCGGAAAGTCGTCAATGAGGTCCATTATCTTCTCCAACTACTCAGCCTTCGACACACGAAGATTGGGGGCCACTATAGATGTGGAGCACTCGAATTTGAGGTTTTTGAATAACATGACCCTCAATCTTTGGGATTGTGGTGGACAGGATGTCTTCATGGACAATTTTTTAAACAACACGAACGAAAACAACTACAACAACTCGTCGTCGGCTAATATCTTCAAGAAATGCGAGGTTTTGATCCATGTTTTCGACGTCGAGAGTAAGGAAGTTGCGAAGGATATAAACACTTTCAAGAGAGTCTTGGAAAACTTGAGCAAGTTTTCGCCGAACGTGAAGATTTTCATTCTCATCCACAAAATAGATTTAGTTCAATCAAACAAGAGACAAGAGTTGTTCCAGTTGATGTACAACAACTTGAAAAACATTGCGTACAATGAGTATGGATTCAAAATCACGGGGTTTGCCACCTCCATTTGGGACGAGAGTTTATACAAGGCGTGGTCTTCCATTGTGTGTTCACTAATACCCAATGTTGAGATATACGAGCAACATCTAGCGAAGTTGAATGAGATTATCGACGCCAGAGAAATAATCCTCTTTGAAAAGACTACCTTTTTGGTCATTTCTTCTATGGACAGGTTCAAGAGCAACACCAATGAACATACAATGAACCCAACTCTGGCCCTGGACCCAAAGAGGTTTGAAAAAATTTCCAATATAGTGAAGACGTACAAGCAGAGCGTAAATAAGATAAGGTCAAATTTCAAGAACTTGATTCTGCACGGGAAAAACTCGTCTATCTACCTTGACGTTTTGACGTCAAATATTTACATCATGGTAATAATGGATAACAACATCGGGAAGGACGAAAATTACGAAGTGAATAACGAGAGTCTGGTGCTCGAAGACATAAAAATCGCCAGAAATCTCTTCGAGCAAATCGAAAATAAACCTCTCAGCTGAAAATTTTAACCATTGTATAAATACCGGCCAGAGAAAAGGAGACTGGTCAATCAAAAAGCTTGCCTTTATGCCGCTCTCAATTTAAGAAACCCTCTTCCAAGCATTACAATAATTTATGCTTGGAGCTAGGAGAAGCACTCTTTTCTTTGTAAAAGTTTTTGCTATCACGATATTATAGGTGTAATCTGATGTGTAAGTATGTTAGTGACATATCCTGTCTAGAGACACAGCTACTTTTTCCCTTTTGGCGATTCGAATTAGAGGGAAAGAAGTTCTTTACATTGCCGTGCACTCTGATGATTACTCTTTAACAATAATATCCTTAACAAAAAAGGCTAATTCTTGAAAAAAAATTGCAGCAAATAGATTAAATCATCTCTCCAACTCATGTTCTATGAGTTTTTGGGAGGCAAACTAAAACTAGACTACAACAACACTTCTCAAGTGCAGCCTCGTGTAGGATAAGTAACTTGTATAGTTGCGTGTGACAGCTACCAGAGATATTTACAGAGAAGCCACAAAATTGGATGTTGAAAAGTTCATAATATTTTGACATTATCCGGTAACATTACAGCCACAAACAACCGGCTATGATAAAGCTAGACCTGGAAGAGGTGGCAACTCGAGCCTTTTGAAAGATGAAAGATGATCGTCGTTCGGGCTGTGCAGGAGAGGAGGCTCAGCTGTGAAAAGAAAACATCTCCGTCTGCTCTTTCCATGACGATCAGTTTCTCCGACGTCTCACTTCTACAGTATTACACAGTCTTGACCGTTTTAGATAATAAGCTCAAGATTGTTTGAATTTGCTAATAAACATCTCCTACTACGTAGAAGAATGAGGAAAAACAATTTGCAGAATTGTTTAGATAAAATACTCTGAATCAGGCAACAAGAATACTAAATTCCATAGTAGGATATGAGTGATGTATACTTGTATCTATAATATTCCTTCCAAGTACGTACCTCGCAGTTTCGGTGATTAGAGTTGTAATAAATGGTTACAGTGCTTAAGAGCAAAAGTAAGAAATGAATGCTTTGTGCTGCAACACATTGCTGGTGCTTGCGACAATCTACCAGTATCTGTCTATTAATTAGAAAAGAAAAAAAAGAAGACTAGTTATACACATATGCAAAACGAAAAGAATCCTTAATTTCGTTTTTTTTGTGGCCTAAAAGCGGTTTCGGGGCTAATGATCGTGGTAATACTACCTTCAAGCACACAAAGCTTGCATGCGATAAGAAGTAGCACAACAGAAACCTACAAATAGAACCGCCTCTTGTCCTTCTCTAACTCCGTTTTGTACTCCCAGTCAATGTCTTGTCTAATGCCCTTCTGGATTCTTCTGAGCTTCAAAGTAAACTGTGGACCAAGCTCTTGAAGTCCAACCTTCTCCTCATTCCTGAAAACGTAACGGTGCATTCTGAAAAAAATATAATCTCTCTGGTTGTGTAAAGTCACCACTTGTCTACCTTCAAATTCCGGTCTATGTGGGAAAAGTGACTGAAATAGTCTTGCGACAGATTGACCCAATCTCGTTGTGAAGTTATTCAAAACAAGTTCTGGCACGTGCCCTGTTGGTTGTCCGTGACCGGTAATCTTTTTTCTTTCTATCAATGAAGTGATGCTGAAATAAAAAGTAGGTCCTTCAGGTAAATGTACAAATGTTATTCCATTCACCACTTTCTTATCTTCGTTAATAACAATCAAATCTGTAAAATCTCGGTTCGAACAGTACTCAGCCATATCTTTTATCGTATATTTTCTCTGTCTCTTCACAAAAGAAGTGTTTGGTATTATTTCAACCATCATTGCAGCAAATTCGTATGCCGACTTTTTCGCATTTGCATTTGTAGTGACCAAAACTTTCGGCTCTTTACCTTCTTTGAAATAGCTGTCGAAGTTATCTTCACCCTCCATATCCACATTTGTTGTCTCATCGTAAACCCTCTTGGAATCAATTGTTTCAGGAACGTTTTCTGCAAGTCTCTTCTCCTTCAGTTCAGGATTCTCCCTCTCTTCACGTGCTCTTGCTTGACGATCCTTATGACGAGTTTTGTTATGTTCATGTTTGAGCTGAGCAAATAATTGCTGTCTCTTCTGCTTGTTCTTGATTCCTTTCAAGGTCTTTTCATCTACCGCTCCCATGACTTAATTGATTTTCTGTGTACTGGCCTCTAGTAATCTTAGTCTGGACTGTATATCTAGCAGTTTTTAAGAGATGAACAGGAAGATGGTGGTGAAATTTGCCAGAAAAAAAAAATGCTTTTAAAAAAATTTTTTATTACCTCGCTTTTTTGTTGTTTGTCGCTTATAATCATTATTGCTTCTCAGGCTATCTACCTATCTATCTATTATCAATCTATCAAACGGATTTACATAAGAGGGGAAGTTTGGGCATGATGATAGGCTCACCATACATCTTCCTGGTATCTGTTGTTCACTCTCAACTGTTTGCCCATTGTAGTGGCGATATCCTCGGGCACTTTCTTTTGTTCCTGGTACGCCTTGACAAGAGCTAGTTGAACACCCCTGGCCATATTAGCAGCATCACCACAAACATAGAAAAATGCGCCTTTGTCTAGCAATTCAATAACCTTGGCTCCATTCTCCAAAAGCTTGTCTTGGACATACACTTTCTTTTCTGTTTCTCTGGAAAAGGCGGTGATCATCTTGAACTTGTTGTCCAACTTCTTGGCGTATTCGACCCATTCTTCTTTATAAATGAAATCTTCTGTAGATTTTCTGCATCCAAAGAAGAAAAGTATTTCACCAATATTAGCACCGTTTTCCACTTGTTTGATCTTCTCTCTAAGGAATCCTCTGAATGGGGCTGCACCGGTACCAGGGCCAACTAAAATGATAGGCGTTGCAGGGTTTGATGGTAGCTTGAATGTCGATCTTCTGATGTGAATTGGTAACTTATAGTGAAATTTACCTCTAGGTCCTTCTAAATCGAAATTATCAATCAATTTGGTTGTTTCTTTATTTTGGTGCTTTTTTATATCAAGCAACAAGTTAGTTGCAACACCGGTCACGTAGTGATCGCTGGTTTTAGGCTTTTCTTGTTCAACAACCGCAGTGACATGAATAGTTTGCTTCTCCATGGACGAGGAAGAAGAGATGGAGTAGTAACGAGGTTGCAATTTGGCAATAGACTCGATGATGAAGGAAAACGGAATAGTATTCCATATGGCTCCTGAACTGAGTAGCTCTAAACAATCAGCAATGTTCAAATACTTTTCAGTCACACTCTTGTGAAAAACTTCTTTGTCATTGGCAAGAGCTGGAATTTTTTCCTCAGTCTCCTTGTCAGGGCAGAATTGTGAAACTGATTTTACAAATTGTCTGGACACAGGTCCAGAAATCTCCAAATAGTGTCTTAGAACAGTATCGTAAGTGGTTGGCGTTGGGAATGGTAAATGGGTGGTTGGGTCAAGAGATTTCAAGTCAATGACTTTGTCTTTTTTACCAGTCAAACCCAAGATAGCCAAAAACTTCTCAACTTTCTCATTGGAGTTTGAAGGCCAAATTGCAACGTGATCACCCGTGGAGTACTTCAAGTTGGTATTCGACAAATCGAATTCAGCATGAATACAATGTCTCGTTTCGGAGTTGAATAACTCTCTGGTATTTTGAATTGGCGCAAGGTAAGGATGGGTATGGTCAAAAGGGCCCGTTTCCAATAACTTCACTTCGTCTTCAGTTTTTGGGTTGAAATAGTGGGAGTTTGGCTCACCAAGAGAGACTGACGGTGACGAGGTCGTCAACTCGTCATTCTCAACAACGGCGATCGAAGGTTCATATTCGACGGCTTGTTCTTCTAAGTGCAACTGATCCTTTATCAAATCAAACAAAGAGTCCTTCCATTCCATATAATCTTCATCCATAGAACCTTTACCGTCATCACCCAATCCCAACTGGCCAATCAGGGTTGCACCTTTGGAGTTCAACTTTTCAACAGTTTTCTTCCCAATGGCGTTGTAGAATTCATATGTGCTGTTACCCAACCCAAAGCAGACGTACTTCAAGTCTGGCAACTCTTCGCACTCATTGTCAAGGTAGTCAAAGAACTCGACGGCATTGTCCGTAGGTTCACCTTCACCATATGTGGCCATGAAGAATGCGGCCAACTTGAAGTCGGGGATCTCATCCCTGATATTTTGCAAGTTCTCAAATGAGACATCAGCCAAGTCGGCAGTCATTGTTGAGATCTTAAACTTCGACTGGAATTCCTTGGCAAACTTCAACGCATAATCTTCGGCAGTACCTGTTTGGGATCCATAGAACACGATTGCCTTTTTACCCGTCTTCTTCATAGTCTCCACTAAGTCGTTGGTTTCGAAGCCGGAAGCCCTGTAGGACGATGCAGAGCCATCATTGCCTTCCGCCGCCCATAACTTGCCCTTGGAGACGTATGCAACAAGAGCCACAAGAATAGCCAAAAGCACCGATAAATCCAGAACCTCCATTATGATATTTCCTATTTTCCTCTGCTAGTTTACTTTCCAGTGCGATACTGCAGTATCGAGAGAATGCTGGCCTTGCGTCAAAAGAAAGCCTCGATCCTGCTACTGGCAACGAGTGAACTTATAGAAAGAGTCGGTACTGCTACTCTCATTTATGGCCTTCAAGAAGACAACAGTTAAAGAAAACCCGATAGCAATGAGATCAGGCCCGGCCGACACACGTTACCGAAACGAGGCACTCTACGAGCGCTAAGAATACGAAAAGCGGAAAATCGTTTGATCGGTCTTTTCGTGCCTAAGGCGGGTATGCGATGCCGCTTGCTGTGTGGCTGGCTGGCTGGCTGTCTGCATGGCGGGGTGGGACTCGGGGTAGGTGAGGCGGTTGTAGGCTATGTACGGAGAAGTCACTATACAGAAGGAACGGAGGTATTCCGGCGTTTTGCACGAATACGGAAACCCCTGTCCGAGGCTAGATGTCGAAGTTCGAGTACACGCTGGCGCTCAGGTCGTCGAGCTCGTTCACGTTATTCATTGTGTAGAGAACGGGGTTGTTTATGCGTCGGTTGGCTAGCTCGTGTGTTTGGGGACTCAACACGGCAAGGATGAACGCGAGCTTCCAGCGAGTGGTTGGGGCAGGTTGGGGCTCTTGCTCCTGCTTTTCGGGGTCGTTGCCGCTGGCAGCGGTCGGACCACCATTCTTGCTCTCCTGCTTCACGTGCAAACTGCGATCCACGTTCTGGATAATGGTGGAAATCCCGATGGTGGAAATTGTTCTGCTTATCTCGTGAACCTGTTCGCTCTTTAGGTACCCCTTTAATTCTTCGTTCATCCTCTGCAACATCTTTACGTTCGAGATGTTCGAATTGAAGTTCGTCAAGAACTCGACCGTGTTCGTTTCCTGCAGTAGCTTAAACTCGTCACTTTGTGATGGGAGCATCATCGATATGAGCGTGAGTGTCCTAGCGTCGTCAGACGTGCCTGGAGCGTTGTCCTCTTGAAGATTGTCGTAGAGTTCGTAGCTAGATCTCTCCTCGAACAACCTTGAATCGATGTTTTTTTGAACTTCAAACATCAAATTACCGAATTCTTCAATGCTGATCTCCTCCCTGAGGCTGATTTCGTTGAACACACTTTCTACGCTCTCATTTACTATGTTTCTTAATTTCGCCCATCCTTTGTTCAAAAGCCACCAGGTAAAGGAAAGAAATGCTTGCTCTGGTAAGTCCTTATCAACCGTATTCTTGCTTTCTTCCGACTCTAAGTCGACCAGCCTGATACCTTGGTTCTTGGACGCGAGTTTAAGCGCCGTCTTGAGATAGGATTTTCTTGATATTATGTTCAATTGCAAATGCAATAAAATGATGAGTAGCGTTTCGCTGTAGATCAATGTCAAAAACCTAGTCAAAGACTTGACCTTTAGTTCCTGCCATAATTCAACCTTGGTTTTGCTTAGTTTCGTCTCACCAGTAATAGCACCACTTAAAACTTGATCTCCCAACTTTTGATCAATACTTTCCTCACCGTTCCTCGCATTCTCGTTCTTGCTACTCGACAAATCCTCGCTATTGAGCTCACTTTTACCATCAGGAACAAGACTCTTGTTCTTGCGTGACAACTTCAACTCTTTGGTGATCTCCTCCACGTCCAACTCCTTATATATCGGTTCTACCAAAACAGGTAAGAACGATAGGAAAGTCATATAGCAGTCTTTTTGCGTCTGTGAAAATCGCTTTTTGATGAGGTCTCTAGTGGCATTCTCCTCCTTCAACTGTTCCTGGAACTCTCTAACTTTATTGCGCACATAGATGCCGATCATATACGAGACTGCTGCCACCCCAGTTGTGATGAGCAACTTCTTGCGGTGACGGCGGTACAAATCTCTAAGAAACTGAAACATCATTGCTTATTTGCGTCTGTACACTGTCGCTTTCCTGCTGTTTTGAGTTTATTTCCTCCCATAAGATACTTGATCCTTCCCTTTTGCTCCTGCCCTGGCCTTCCCTTGTCTCCTCCTCCTCATGTCCTCCGCCATCGAGATACCAACACTTACAGTCTTATCGCTCCGCCCTGTGGTGCACGGATGTATAGCAAGGGAACGAATCGATGGCATTTGTTCAGGATTGACTAGCTACTGTTGACCCTTAAACAAAGTAGACAGTCCATCTTCGTGATTCAAAAGAGATGGATTGTCTCATCAGCCAAATGGATAGGACTTCCAAATCAGTAGTGAATTGTTTGTACTGTAGAAGATTGAGCATTACTGTCAATTCTGCCTAATTTGCAACATTTGTGTTTCGTTAATTACTATACATTCTTCTAAAGAGTCCGTACGGACATACATTTGAGTTTGCAAAAGAAAAGCAGATCAACTACATCCACAGTTACTTCCGGCTTTTGCTAACCTTTCCATTCTTTGTATCAACATTCCCAATTTGTCTGCCCTTGTTTTTGTTCTTACTTTTACTCTTGCTCTGCTTAGTGCTATCATTCCTTTTCTCCTCTTGAAGAGCCTGCTTGAGATTGTCATGATCTTTAAAGTACTGGTGCTTGTTTTTGCTTTCTGTCTGCACTTTGTTCGTCTCCTCCCTATCTTGAAAGTGGACCTTGGAAACGGCCGGTTCTCCTAAGTGTTTGTTGATGAAAGTTTCTGATTCAGCTTCCCTTTTTCTGGCTTTTTCAGCAGACTCATAAAGCGACTCTTCTGCTTTCTTCACTCTGTCCATGTATTGTTTCACCCTCTTAATCTCTTGCATAATCGGTGCTTCATTGTTGAACTTGACTCCATCCAGTTTGGCATTGGTAAAAGAAAGTGAAACTAGTAGATATGCATACATGTTTAAAATTTTTGCTTGCTCAAGTTCATTCAGTGCTTCATCGTTCGCTTTATTGCTTTCTTTATGTCTCGTTATTTCATCTAAGCTTTCACTTAAGGTTTTTTCAAGGACATTTTCCTTAAGTTTGCTAGAAATTGTCCCCGTAAGATCGCCAAGGGTAATCAATAGCTTTTTTACTGCGTCAGTTTCCTCCATTCTATGATTGTTCTGTTTAGCGCTGTGAGTTGAAAGCTTAAAGCCCTATTATTGTTCGGCTAATAGAAAAGGAGTTTTAACTATACCTCTGAACAAAAAAAAATATGACAAAAAAGTTAACTCTATCGTGTTGAGAAAATTTAGTAAAAAAATGCCACCTGCCAGAATTGAACTAGCGACCTCTGCATTACAAGTGCAACGCTCTACCACTAAGCTAAGGAGGCTTTCCTTGTTTTCAAAATTTTGGGTAATTTATCAGGAAGTAACGCTAATTCTATGATGTTTTCTTTGAAATTCAAGTGACTGCTCTACCAAAACATCTGATATAAATTAGCCAGCTGGTGCTAAAACTCACATTTTAAACCATTACGTAAGTATGTTTATAGAAGTTAATATCAAAACGATTTCACTAATTATACATTTATTATAATTATTAATATACAGTTCTTATACAGTTTAAAAAAAGCTGAATTACTAAATGTCTTTTAAGTGAACTAATCCTCTATCCTCACTTTTGGGTTCCACCTCAAACACATTTTTCTATTTAATATCATTTCCCAGCTCAGATTCCAAACTATTCGAATTGCTGGAATCGAATGTGTTCATGCTTTCTCCATTTGTACGCATGTTTAGTTTATTCATGTCAATAATCTCACTATCCTCCCTTATGCCACGTATGCTAAGACTTGACTCACCACCTTTGTGGTCAATTTTTGGTTCACCTTCTTTCTTGATGAATGTCTCCTTTAAGTTCCTTTCATCATTGCTCACCGAGCTTGCCTTTCTTTTCTTCAATGTTTTTGGAGCAGGAGGTGCTTGCAGTTTGAACTTTTTTCCAGCTTTTCTGCTCACAACCTGGCTTATTGTATTTCCTTCACTTGTCGACTGCTTGAGTGGAACAGAGTGATGATTCCCGTTTCCATTATTATTGCCCATATTGGTCAAGTTGAAGGGGCTTTTACCTGAATAACTAGTATCAGGACTTGGGAGCATGCTGCGGCTCAGGTTCTCACTTAATTGGCTAGGTATTATAGGCCCTACGGTAACAGTTTTAGGGGTGTGAGAGCTTGAAATACTCTCTTGATGTGTCCTGATTTGCGCAGAGATTTGTCCATTTTGTTGAGACAACTGCACTACGTTAGCTGGAGCAGGCATAGAAGATCCGTTATAGTTCAGAGTTGTTGGAAACGGATTCGGACGTGAATTTCTTTGACTCACAAAGCCATTTTGCGAGTCAAGCATCGCCACATTCGGACCAATAACCGTATTAGCAGCAGAGTTCTCTGAGGAGGTATCTCTACTATCTGGTTGGCCTTTGGTATTTACTGCACTCAGTTTTTGAAACATTGGATAGTTAATTTTATTGAAAGTCTCAAGTGCTTCTAAAGGTGAGCTTAATTTGGAGTCAAAGTAAAAGTTTATTAATGGTTTCGTGAGAGTCATAACATCACTTATTTGCATCAATCTCAGCAAATCTTCTTCCATACCGAATTTGGTTAAATCAGAGATGCATTTGAAGTGTGATCTAACTTGGCTGCTCAAGGGCGTACTTATCTTATCTTGAGCTGAGATACTATCCAAGAATGTTTCCAGTGCTGCAAATTCCAAACCATAAACATTATAGTCGGTAACCAGTTCAACTTTTTCAAACATCAAGTGTCTATTTACTCTAATTTTCAACGAACCAAAATGATTGCAATATGAACCATCTTCAAAAACGCATTTGAAAGAAAAATGGTCTGTTTCTATAAGTGTATTTCCATTTGGAAGTAAGGTCGAGCTCAAGAATTTTTGGGCTAGTTCAAACATCTGGACATTTTCGAGATATTTATAGTATAACAAAGGAATCAAAGAATATGATATCCTGAAATTTCTGTTCTCATTTCCATATTTTAGGCAGATATCGTATGTCGCATCCTCTGCAAAAAATTCCCCCACAACGTGTCGGAGATAGGGAAGGTTGGGTTTTTCGTGACGGCATGTCAGTAGGTCATGGAAGCGTAATAGCCTGACAATGGATATGTTGGACAAATTTCTTCTCACTTCTTCGCTAAGTGAGCCTTGTTGTTCTTGTGGCCTAACATTGTGATTGGAATAAGAGGGAACAAAAGGTTGCCCAGAAAATTGTGGTTGCCTTTGTGGTTGGTGCTGTTGAGATTGTGGTTGTGGTTGTGGTTGGTGCTGGGCGTTGGATGCAACTTTATAGTTTCCGTTTTCGAGCTGAGATGACATATATTGCCCATTGGGATTGAACTGACTATGGTGCTGTTGCGGCAATTGGGGTTGCAGTTGAGGTTGATGCTGTTGATGCTGTTGATGCTGTTGATGCTGTTGATGCTGTTGTGGACGATTTTGATATTGATGCTGTTGTTGTGGGGCGACTGCATTTGAGGATACTGGCTGGCCCGTGCCAACAATTTGAGGATTGAAATAGCTTTGCTGCGCTGAGTTTTGTCCAAAGGAGTCTTGAAATGGGGTTGTCACACGTGAGGATTGTGAAGAAAATCCTTGTGGTTTCACAAAAAATTTCCTTTGGTTTCCCTGCAAAGTTGTTGCCATATGGCTTTGCATTTGAGGCTTATAACCAACGATGTCTGTTTGTTTCCCATTGATGTCTGTAATTGATGGAGCCAGAGAAGCTGGAACGGAGCTGAAGTTATCTACTCCTCGATCGCTGGACGATAGCGTGTTCTCCTTTTGTAGTTTAGCAACTGCTCCAAGTGTTTTTCCCGGAGAGAAAGACACAGAAGTCGATCTTCTGCTTTGCAATTCATCAGGTTCGCTCTGCTTGTTGATACTCAAGTGAGTCTGCAAGCTACCATATGTTGCCTGAAGCTGCTGTAGTTGCGCCATTTGCCGCTGTGAAACGTTCCCTCTATCACCCATTATTGCAGCAGCAACTTGAGGGGTCAGCGCAGAATTGGGAGCTCCATCTTCGGTAGGAGGGCGTGCATGTGTATTTGGTTGTGGTGCGAGAGTATTATGTGATAGCTGAGATCCCAGAACATGAGGGAAATTTCCATTACTAGGGACGCTTAAATTGGGGTTTGAATTAGTACTGATATTTGGATGCTGTTGTTGGAGAATCCCATAACTGTCCTGCAGTTCAGCCTGTAAGTTCATTTGCTTCCCCTGGCTAGCAGGAGACCCTTTCTTTTGATGACGTGGGTAGCTGCCATTGTAAAACTGTTGTGGTAAGGTCGTTGAAGACTGCAACGTGGACATCTGCGGCTGTTTTTGCGATTGCAACTGCGCGTATGCTTGAAGCTTCAATGTGTTCTGATCGTGTTGTTCAGCACTGGCTAGGTGTGGCGGCGCACTGTCGGCATTCGGGCTCATACTGACCTGGCTGACGTCGTTTATTGCCGCTTTCATTGACACACTGTCGTCCAGATGTTGTCGTTCCATATGGTGAGGGCCATTGTTGCGGAAATCTTCTAGCACCTGCGAAGGAATTACCATGGATTCCGTTATAGGTTTCGTATTGGAGAAAGTGTCCATGTTGTGGGCGCAACTGGTTTCTCACAATTCTATGTATAATGCACCTTGCTCTAAAATCTAGCCTCTCTATTATTTCCAGTGTCCTGCTCTCTAAAAATAAAACGATTGTATGCAGGGATTAGTAAAATGTACCAGCGTACCCCTGTCTAACTTTCTAGTTCTTTCTCTTTGCTCTACTCAAACGTTCCTGCAATCGAACCCAGAGATAGGAATACTTGTCTGAAACGGGCGGATAACCTGGCGAAAGCTCTAAATGAAACCCCCTGTAGTAGCAATTCCCCTTTCTGCCGGTGTCCTGGTAGTAGCAGTGAAGTTTTCAGTGATACCCCAAGTAGAAACCTGCAGAACGGCTGTCTCAATGGCCCAACACAAGCAACAATGATACAGGGTTTGCCTAAATCTCATCCAAATTCTTCAACAATTTTCCTCATCTCCTCATTTATGGCCACTGGTGAGGGAGAACATGTTTGAATACGCACCGCAGGCGTATATTCGGTGAGACACTATGGGGCTCCTAGCGACACACTGTAGAGGCGAAAATTTTCCACTATAGCCTTGCAAGTATGCAGCTGCGTGTTTGATAGAACAGGTCCCGTGATGGGGACTGACACAGCCAGTTGGAGCCAGCATGCGGACGAAATGGATTGAATCCCTTTTCCGAAGCTGCGAGGTGAGATTGCCCCCTCTGGTCCGATTGGACCAGGATCTCCATGGATTCCAGGCTTGAACTGATAACACAGTTTGCATTGATTTTGATCTCAAGGCCCATTTGCACATCTGGTGCCATTCTTCCTCAATGGTGTAGGCAATGGCGTAGGCTAGATTGCGGCTCGGTGGCGGTTTGTTTGGTTGGCTAAATATGTTTGAATCTATATAGAGAAAGAGCTATATGTACATTTACAAAGAGAACGGAGCAATGCATTACAGACATGCACACTTCTATTTTTGAGTGAGTTTGGAAAGCTCTTGCTTCTTCTTGGAAAGGAGCTTACGCTTCTTCTCGAGCTCGAGCTTTCTGACGTCTTGCTTGTTCAATCCATATTGCATCTTCTTGTACAACTTACGTTGCTTGTTGCTCATCATGATCATCTTCAAGTTCTTCTCGTCTTCGTCTTCTTTGCCTGCCACCTCGGTATGCTTCCTCTTGTTACCGCTCTTCTGGTCCTTGGATACAACAGATGATTTCACACCAGCCATCTCCAATTCCAACTCTTTCTGCTCTCTGAGCTCTTCGTCCTCTTCCGCATCTTCAGCGTCCACGGCGTCCACGGCGTCTTCAGCGTCTTCAGCGTCTTCAGCGTCTTCTTCCTCCTCGCCTTCCTCCTCGCCTTCTTCAAGTGGGGCCTCAGGATCATATGTTCCAGCATCTCCCCATGGTGAAAGATGTGGTGGAAGGGTTTCACCTGGAGCATAGTCTGAAACGTTTAGTAAAGCGCTCTTGTTGACACAGTCGAATACCCATTGCGGTTGGATATATGTTCTTCCTTGGACTTTCTTCAAGATCTTAGGTCTATCCACAATTTGATGCGTCACTGAGCTCAAATCAACGGCCTTGGAGTTTTCTAACTCATCGATGGCCGCTTCACTGACCACTTTACCACCAGCGGATAAAATGACAAACTCTAGCACATCGACTGGAACCTCTCGACCAATAAAGAAAACGAATTTGCTGAACAGCTCTGACACCTGGTTGGCGTATTTAGAAGGTTGTGCTAAAATATCACCAGTGTTCTTACTGTTGTCTTTGAATTCATCCAAATCTGTATTTTCAACGTTTTCAATTCTCTCGTCTTCTTCCTTTTCTTCTTCTTCTTCCTCCTGTTCTAAGGCCGCCTCCTTCTTGTCCGCAGCAAAAGCCTTTGACATTTCTTCACCTGAAATCTTTGTTTCTTTAGCGCTTTTGGAAGACTCTCCGGTGACTTCACTAGGCAAAGCCAATGATCTTTGTTCGTTGGTTTCTAAAATGAAAACTGATAACCCGCCTATGCCTTTCAATCTGTTTTCGTTGATCTTCGGAGGGTATGTGAGTTCGGAGTCAGTGTATAGTTTGTAAAGAACAAAATGCAATAGAGTAGAGTAAAATTCCAAAAATGTGTGCATGATCTTGAAATCGATGTCGGAAGGGATATTTTGCGCAAACTTGAATGGGACAAGCCATCTAACTTCTTGACCTTTCACAACTGCGGAATAGTAGACACCTTTGATGGAAACAAAAACTTTCTTCAACGCTCTTTCTCTTGCAACGTACGCTAACCACTGGTTAGTAAGTTTGTTGGCTTGACTGGTGATCTTGGCACCAACGGCACTTGTAGCAGGCATGTTTGTAAAAAGGAACATCATGCTCAAAGCATCATCGATGTCTCTCAAGGCGTCCAAAAAAGAAGGATACCTCTCCTTGATTACACGATCCAACTTGTACTTAGGACGGTTTTCTTCGAGTCTCTTGGCATCACCAATCTCACCTTTACCCAAGGCTTTGGTCAACTTTTTAGCAAAAGTTTTGTGCTCTCTGAATTTCTGTAAAATCGGTTCATGCATCAAGTACTGGATGTCCTTCGCATAGTAGAAGGTAACCGGGGCAGTGGAGCCTTTGTTCGCCTTCTTCTTGTTTCTGGGTTCTCTCGGATAAATACCCTTGAAAATGCACAATCTCCGGAAGTCGGCAAGGGAAACTTGTAGTTTCCTGATTGCTCTGGTTCTTGTTATGAAGTTCTTTGCGTTACCGCTCTCCCCTTTTCTTTTAATTGGTCCCATTGTTGTTATTTGCTACTTCACAAAGTCTATAGGATTTGTTGACACTCCAGGTCCATCAAATCTTAGAATCTGCAGAGAGATATAGGTGCTTGATAAACTGAAAAATTTTTTGAACTGAAAAAAAATATCTTAAAAAAAAAGATTCAAAAACAGAAATCGCACCGCCTTAAACATCAAGGGAAACCCCAGGGCCGATCGACTAAAATTTCCGGTATCAACCATTTGAAGATGGTTTGCTATTGATTCCAGGTCTGCACGAAACGGTCAGTCCTTGCCCAAAGAGCAAATACCTAGCCGTTACTAAAAGAAATATGCTTAGGTGTATGGTGAGAAGGGGGCCGAAAGGCTTCTTACAAAAAATAAGGGGGATATCCACAGGCTCTGTCGTGGGTAAGAGAGTAGAATCTAGCGAAGAATTGGATGCTATCTTTGCAAAACCATCATGGTCGACGTCTGATCTTCTGGATAAAGAGGCTGAGCCAGTTGAAATCACCGAAGATATGTTAAATGGTCTTCTTGAACTCTCAGGGTTGAGTAAAAGCCTTTCTAAGGAGGAAAAAACTACTATTGTCAACTCGTTAACCGAACAATTGAGTTTCATACGAAAACTTCACAATGTCGAACTGAAACGTGGAGCTCAGAATTCGGCTCGTTTGGTTGACGACCAAAGCGTCCAACCTTTGACATTCGAAAATTTGATGGAAAGAATCTCAACTACTCAAGGTATGATGTCGAAGGGAGAGGTGGAGAATTCGTGGAACCCGATTTCATTGGCATCAGAGCATCAGAACAGGTTCTTCTTGGTTAAAGAAGGGTTGCTGAAAAAAAATAAATGATTCTTGAATGTAGCGTATAAGATGTTTTATTATTAGTCAAGATTTATGTGTACATAGCAGCTAAAAACACTCGCATTATCTGCATTATCTGCATCATCAGTACTCGTCTTCCTCCTCCAATTCCAACTTTCTTTTACCTGAGTTACCTTCTCTTAAGTCGGCCAGTTCTCTACTCTTGGCCTGTGACTTGGTCTTTTTCGTCATTTTCTCGATTTCGGCCTCCACATCATCACTTTCTTGTTCTGCGAAATCTAATACCAATCTCCTTCCGAGTAAATGCACACCTTGCAACTGATCCATAGCATTGCTAGCCTCCTTGGCAGTAGCAAACTCAACAAACGCAAAACCCCTAGCCGATTTGTCGAACTTCTTAGGAACCCTTACGGATTTCAATGAACCGAAAGAACTGAACAACTCAAACACATCCTTACGGGTGGCCTCAAACGGTAAGTTCTTGACGACAATCTTTCCACTCTTAGCCTTCTTCTTCTTGCTGTTGGAGATCTCGTTAGTATTACCAACTCTATTCGAGATTTTCAACTGTAATTTGTGTCCATCTAATGTGAAACCATCCAAAGTTCTGAGTGCAGCATTTGCATTCTCTTTGGTTTTGAACTCAGCAAATCCAAAACCCATACTTTGGGTCTTGCCTGGGTTCTTTGGGTCTGGTTTGGTTTTGACAACAGCCAAAAGGAAACCAGGGTATGCCTTGAAAATGTTGGATAATGTAGCTGAGGTTGTAGAAAAATTCAAATTCTTAACAAAAATAGACACAGTTGGACCAGTATCTTCATCTCCGCTATCCTCGTTATTTTCAACATCTTCATTCTTGGTACTCTCCAGGACATCACTTGCATTCGGTTTGGTTTCAGTAGTTTTCTCTTCAACTTGAAATTTGTCTGACTGATCTGCTTGCTTGGTGAATAGACCTTGTGGACCCTTTTCTAAATATAAAATCGATTTACCCAACCGTCTAAACGACAACTTGCTAAATGCAGCTCTGGCATTAGGAGCATCTCTGAATTCAACAATGGCTATCGTTCCAGCGGGCGGCATAAGTATTCTGTTGAGCTCTCCATATGCGGCAAAAAGTTCACCGATCTCTTCTTTGGTGGTACCGAATTGGAAATTTTTCACCAAAATCACCTTGTCATCTCTCTCCTTTTCACTGAATTTAGTCAAGTCAACATTTTTCTTCTCAAAGTATGAACGGACGTCACCAATAACATGGGCTTCCGCCAAGGCTTGCTTCACTGCAGAACTCGAGTTTGTGGGGTCAATCAACTCATTTTTGGAGATACCCAATTCAGATGCTACGCTGTCCAAAACGGCATCCGTGTTCATATACAACGAGTTCCAGCTAAATTCTTGTTTTGAAGCTTCAAATTTTCTCTTCAGAAGCTTCTGCTTTTTCAAAGGCATGTTCTTAAGTTCAAACTCGTCTAACTTGTGCTCCTTCTTGACTTCACCAGGCAAAATATGTAACAATCTACCTTGATAAATTTGCTTGTCTAATTCTATATAAGCCTTCACAGCATCTTTGGCAGTTTCAAATTGAATATAGGCAAAACCCTTAGACTTTCCCGTTCTCGTGTCAATAGCAACATGCACCTCTTTGAGAGCACCAAACGGTTCAAACAATTTTCGAAAATCGTCTTCTGTTGAAGAGTATAGGATATTACGCAAAAATAATCTACCAGTAACCAGAATTCTATCGATGTTTCTCTCTTCCAATGAAAGCTCTCTCACAGTTTCTTCCTTTTCTTCGTCTTCCTCCTCTTCGTCTTCACCAGAAGCCACTGCTTCAACTTCAGTCTTCCCATTTTCTATTCCAGAGGGAGTTTGTGACTGGCTTACATTCAATGGTTCAACATTCTTTGCTTCATCTCCTTCTTGGGTATCAATGATTCGCTTTCTTTTACTTTTGAACCAATCAAGGTCATCCATGTTTTCATCTTTGCCATTTGGCTCATTAGTTTCATCATCCTTCTCGTCAGAAACCATATCATTTAACGAAATCATCTTCTCTTCACTATTTTCGTTTACATTATCGTCCTTTGTTTTCGTCTTGCCTGAAACTAAGTTATCATCATACTCATCGTCACTATCATCACCTTTGTAAGTAGCAATTTGAGGTTTAATTTTCTCTACCTTTGAACTGCCATTCTTTGTCAGGCCTAATGCTTCTTCCAATTTTTCATTTGTTGGTGCTCCTTCAGTATTCACCACTTCATCGTTCGCCCATGACCTAGATTGAGCTGCTGGCTTCATGGCTTCAACAAACTCTTTCAAGTTTGAATTGTTTTCTATTTTGTCGTTCAAATGGTTTACCTTTTTCTGTTTCTTTGCTTTTCTTCTATTTGCAGCTTCTTCCATCTGCTGTAATCTTTCTTCTGTTCTTTGTAATAATTCATCTCTTTCCTTTCTCCTCTCTTTCCAAGACACAGGAACGTTAGGATCGCTGAACGACTTAGCCAACTCCACTATAATTTTCGAAGTGTCTATAAACGAACCATTAAAGAACTTAACAGCATTCTCTGCGTCTGCAATATCCTTATAACCAATGAACGCAAACCTTCTAGATTCACCATTATTTTTACGTTTTAACTTGACATCAGTAACGTACCCTTTCTTTGAAAAATGGTCTCTTAGTTTTTCTTCCGTATAATAGGTGGGCAATCCTTTGACAATAACACGAGACATTTTCCGTTGCTTTGGTAATTATGTCAGTTTGGAAACTACTTGACCTGAACAGTTTGTAAAATGATAATTATACCGAAGACAGTGTTGAAATAGAATACTAAGTAAGGTTGAAAAAAAAAAAAGAATTGTAAAAAATTGCAAAAAATAAAAAAATAAAAAATATTTTTTTTTGTCTAGCATCCACTGCAGCCTTTACGCTTGCTATCCTCCGCTTCTTCCAAAATCACGTTTAAGTGCTTCGAAGAACCTCAACTGCCTTCTTCAAAAGCCCATTGACAAGTCTTTTATCCATAACAAATATCAGAAAAAGACCAACAGACAGCAAAATAATGTCAGACACGCTTGATATAACTGAGAATAAACTCAAGGTAACAGCTATTACCTATGAAAACGGTTCATCCCCTTTAAAAGTTAGTGAAGTGGATTTACCTGTTCAAGAGAAGACGATTGTGAAGCCAACCGAAGTTTTAGTGCAGGTGAAGGCAACCTCTTTAAATCCGGTGGATACCATTTTGAAGCAATTCAGCAATAGCTATTTTGGGCCAAAACAAAAAATCATTGGAGGGGATTTCTCTGGGATTGTTGTGAAAGCCGGGGACAAGACATCGCTCAAAGTTGGCGATAAAGTGTATGGGGATCTGCTAACGTTGACAAAACAGGGATCTTGTTCCAACTTTGTCATTTTTGAACCTGAGAAAATTTTAGTTTGCGAGAAGATCCCGGATAACATGTCCTTTGAACAAGCCGCCTCTTTGCCTTGTGTATCCAACACAGCGTTTCAAGCTTTGAAAAAGTACTCTGGAAATTTGAAAGATAAGAATGTTCTGGTTTTAGGTGCAGGCACAGCTGTTGGTTGCTTTTCAGTCCAGTTTGCTCGTCATTATTTCGAAGCCGCCAACGTTGTTGCTACCTGTTCGTCCAAGTCAACAGAGAAAACCGAGAAGAGCGGAGCCACATTAACTGTAGACTACACTAAGGGCGAGCAGTTCAAGTACGATCAGCTTTTGGGCTTTGTGAAGTCTCATGGCAAGTTTGATCTCATTGTTGATTGTGTGAGAGACGAGAGCGTCATGGATCATTTTGATTCTTTGCTCAAACCAGCAACTGAACAGGGTGTTTTTGCGCAAGTTACTGGCTCTTATTTGCTTGACTATAGCGATGTCAAGCTTTCCAACCTTTTACCTAGCTGGAAGAGAATCAGTAGCGGTTTCAAAACCTCGTTTGGATTTTCGAAATATGCGTACGCCCCAGTGAGAACTTCCCGGGATGCTGAATATGGTTCAGCTATTGCCAAGCTATGGAAAGAAAAGAAGCTGGAAATTTTCTTTGACTCCCAGTACGACGCCTACACTGGATTCAAGGAGGCATTCGACAGAGTAGCATCTTGTTCGGCTCAAGGTAAAGTCATTCTCAAATTTTGAGCATCTCTTCTCGGAGTTGAGTTTACACCGCCGTGTTTTTTCTCCGTGGACACTTTTTTTTTCTAATAGCAGTAGGTTTGTTTTGTTTTCCTTTGCCTCTTCAAGGCATCTTGATTTTCGTTTTCTAACAAGCTAAAACGTTTAACTCTTTTTGTTGGACTTTTTCTAGTTTTATAACCAAAAATTTATCTTCTGAATACCCACCGCCATGACTTTGCGTGGTGAGATCTTCACGCATTTAGGCAAGGATGAAATTAAAACGGTTTTAGAATCGCCCACCCTAGTTAATTGCTTCAAATTTTCTAGAGCCGTGAGCTTTATTATGGTTCTAGCATTGTATTGGATATGCTACAATTTTTTGTCGTACATATCATGCGCCTTTAAAATTATGATGCCTTCTACAAGGAATATCTTTGAGGTGTATTTTTCATCAGGTTTCTGGACATTGTGCATTTATTTCTTGGTAAGTTTCCCGTTAACAGTAAAGCAACAGTAACAATAGTTGTCAGAAATACTAACAATCTAATTGAAATCTCTAGGAGGTAAATGGAGTGAAAGTAAACATTATCGGAGATCATGTAGAGGATGAAAACGCATTGATTGTGAGTAACCACCAGTCAATTGTGGATCATATAGTGTTCCCGTATCTCACCCGCAGAGCAGTGAACGACGCAGAATTGGAGAGATTAAATATTTTCAGTGATTCTGACGAAGAAACGTCTGACAAAAAGGCTCCACCAAAAGAAGAAAAGAAAGAGGTGAAGAAAGGAAGCAAGATTAAGTTCAAAATTTTAAACAACGAAGAGCCTTTTTTCGCCAAAGACTTGTCCACACTGCTTATTCCGAAAAACAAGTTCTTCACGTGGTTTGAGATTTGGGGTATCCCTACAATTGATTATTTTACACACATTTCACAAGCAGATGAAAACTGGGAAATGGACGGAGAGACTTTAGTAACAGTTTTCCAGAATTTCCTTGAGTCGTCATCTAATATAACTCAGTGGTTAACGCTTTTCCCCGAAGTGAATATGTTTACGGAAAAGGACTTGAGAATGCAGAATATATCAGGTGAAAAGCATTATTTGCCGATTTTTGAACATGTGTTGTATCCGAGATTTGGAGGATTTGCGAATGCGATCGGAGGATTGTACAAGACGAACTTTACTCGTCTCTACGATGTTACTTTACTTTACTACAATAGAAACAAAACAACGGGGGAGATCATTAGCTTTGATCCCCCTTCGTTGTTGAATATTCTTGGACTACGAGATTGGAATGTTGAGACAGTTATACTAGTCAATGTTGCTGGTAAATTCCTGAGCAGAGTTCCATTGAAGAGAAATAAGCTAGAGAAGTATTTAGAAAATCGTTGGATTAAGAAGGATAAATTGATTAAAAAGTTACAGAAGAGAATTTTGAGGGAGAATGAAATAGCGTTTCAGTAAGAAGAAAAGATTTTGTATGTATAGAAATTTCTGGTTGATATTATATACTGATATTATTATTATTATTATTATTATTACTATTATTATTATTAGTTTTGTGTTTGAATTTAATGCGTTGCCTTGTCAGCTGAATCGAATATGAGCTTTTCTGTATCATATATGAGCAGCAGAAAGTTCTTTTTCCAACTCCTTGAGTCTTGCGTCGACTTCTGTCTCTGGCTCCGCTTCCTCTTTGTCATCGTCGTCCTCGTCGTCCTCGTCTTCTTCGTCCGAATCTGGCTCTTCTAAATCGTCCAACTCGTCTAGCTCACCGAGACCCTTTTCTTCGAATATATCGTTGATTTTCTCGATGAGCTCCGAGTCTTCTTCAAATCTGTTACCGTTCAACTCTAATTCGGCCAAATCTGACATGTTTTTGAGGAACTGGGCAATGATCTCCAACGAGTCTGCTTCCAGCTCGTTGTATTGCAGTCTCAAAATCTGAAGCTTTGACTTGTCTGAAATCTCTGCCAATTTCCCCAAAAAGAGCTTGCAGCCCGTGGCCTTCAAAAGACAGTCGTTGACGTTCAACTCGATCAACTGTGGCCAGTTGGCAATGTTCTCCGAGAGAGCGTAGGAGCCCGGCAAGGTGAAGGTGTTGTCCTGGAGATCGAGTATTTTCAGGTTGGCCAAAGAGTTCAAGCCGAAACTGATCAACTTGGATATACCGGAGGGTCTGATACCGTTCTGGTAGAGCCTGATTTCTTCCAACTCCCTGTTTGCTCTGAACCCAACGGAGAGCGCTTCGCAGGAGCCGTTTTCCAACCTGTTTCTACCGCACCAGAAGGCTTTCAAAGGCTTGGAGCTTTCCGGATGGGCCTCTCTCAACTTGGCGCTCTTGTAGAGCGCCTTACCGACTCTGGCGCCGGAGAAAGGGCCCAACCCGTTGTTGGAAATGATGAAGTACTCGACGGTCTTGCATTTAGAAATAAAGTCCTCCAACACCTCGATGGCGTCCTGGCCCAACGCGTTGTCGGACAAGTTGAGCACTGAGAGGTGAGGCAGCTCCAGCAGCACGGGGAAGAACTTGGCTAAAGACGCAGGGATCTCAAATCTGTCTCTCGAAGTGTAGATGTCCTGCAGGTTAACGTCTTTCAACGTATCCTTGAAGGGCAGCAGCGCCTCCGCAAGCAACCCGGAACACTCTGGCGAGATGGTGTTTCCGGAGATGTCCACCTTGGCCACGTTCTCGAGCTTGGAGAGCTGTTCGAGGTACGGTTTGATGTCGGCTGCGGTGTCTAGCTTGATACCCTTGTTCTTTAGACTGAACGTGTGGCTGTCCTGGATGCCCAGGTCACGGTTGTGGATCGTCGTCATAATGCGAACGTCTGCAGGAGTGGGGCTGTGAAGTCCAGTGTCTCTCGGTTTCCTGTTCGTCCGGCTTGCTGCTATTCCTTCTTCTCTTCTATGGTCTTCCACTGCTCTTCGTCGTCTCTGTCTGTCCTTTGTAGTCTGTCTGGCGAAAAAAGAGACGGCGGCGGCGCGCACGTGACCTGCCTCTTCCCCATATTGCGCCTCCTTTTCTCCTGCAAAGTCGCTTGACAGCCGACAGCCGGAAACGGAGTTTATTGATCTCGGAAGATCACCAAGCCGCCAGAAGGTGGCCGAAGTAGGCTGTGGGCGGACGTGGCTTGGGTATAAATATGGCGGGGGTCCTCTCGCAGTGTGGGGGCTTTTTGGAGGCGGCTGGGCCTGCAGGGGCGTTTGCTCTGGCTCTTTTCCTGTAGACCCATGGAAAAAATCAGAAAATGAGTCAACCTCAGCAGCTTTACGACTCCAACGGCAACCCTGTCGACATGTCGAGGTTCCAGCAGAACTACGGCGGTCCCAACAGCAACGCGTCGTACTACCAGTCGAACACGAACGGCCAGCAGCAGCAGTACCCGCAGCAGCAGTACCCGCAGCAGCAGTACCCGCAGCAGCAGTACCCGCAGCAGCAGTACCCGCAGCAGCAGTACCCGCAGCAGTACCCACAGCAGCAGCAGCAGTACCCTCAGCAGCCCCAGGTGGTGACGTCGCCTATTGGCGGCGGGTACAACACGAACGGTGGCAGCGGTGGCGGCGACGAGAGGGGGTTATTTGGCGGCGGCGGCGGCGGTGTGGCGAAGACTGCGCTGGGTGTTGTGGGGGGGGCTTCTGGCAGCGAAGGCTGTCGGGGGCATCTTCCACCACGAGCACGAGAAGCACGAGCGTGAAGAGCGTGAAGAGCGTTACGGCGGGTACGGAGGTGGCGGGTACGGCGGACGTGACGACTACGGCGGACGTGACGACTACGGCGGACGTGACGACTACGGCGGACGTGACGACTACGGCGGACGTGACGACTACGGCCGGGACGACGGCCGCAACAACGGCTGGTGAGCTCTCCAGTGTAAAAGGTTGCTGTATAGACATTATATATGTATACGAAGGCCTGCTGATGCTAGACTGCGAGCGCACGAGCGAGCTCGCCTGCTACCGCACCACTAGCTCTTCTTCTTGAAGAGCGGGGCGCCGATGTCCTTGCCCCTGAGCTTGACGCCCAAGGCTCTCTCCATCTTGGCGAGAACCTGCTGGTTAGGCGTGCCCCGCCCGGCCTCGTAGTCGTTGACGATCGTGGGCTTCTCGTTGATCTTCGTGGCCAAGTCCTTCTGCGACAGGTTCTTGTCCTGTCTCGCCTGCTGGATCGTCTTGCCCACCGAGGCGTCGATCTTCTTTGGCACGATGATCTCGTCCGACCGGTCGATCCGGGTCAGTCTCTGGCCCTCTGGGTCCGCCTTCGAGTTTCCTGCACCGTACTTCTTGTCCACAGACGTGATGGCTCCGCTTCTTCTCGCCGCATTTATCTGCGACGAGCTCTTAATGACGTGCTCCTTAGGACCCGTTCCGCCGACCTTGGCCTTTCTACCGACAACTGTGACTGCATCCCAATCTGACATTTCTGTGTGTGTGTGTGCTTCTGCTCTTTCCTTGTGTCCTTCTCGCCGTTTGCGGGCCCTCTTCTTCTTGAATACTGGTCTCGTCCTCAGAGTGGCAAAAATCCCCGTCTCCATCTCCATCCTCCCCTTGCCCTGCAAACGGGCAAACGACATCTCGCCCGATTCGGGCCGATCGTCGCCTAATCCCCGCGCCGCGGTCGATCGTCCCACTTTTCTGTTTTTCGGTCGATCGGCTCAAAAACCGCTTCCTGCCACCAGTCCCCTGCCCCTTCGCCTTTTCCCGCTTACATCACCACGACACAAGACCCCGCACACCTAGTTCTAGTATGCCTCCCTCCTCTCCCCAACTTACGACCCGGCCCCTGCTGCCGTGACGCCACCATCAGCCCCGACACCACTCCCCGCTTCCCCATAACCCAGGATAACGCCACCGGCCGTTGCCGGTGGCGGCCGGTCTCGCCACTTGGCTCGCTGGCCCCGCGGTGGCCAGACTTCGCGCACGACTCCGTGACGGGTGGTCTTATCTGAAGTGCGGCAGGGGGCAGCAGTGGTGGGATCGGACCATGTGGGAGGCGTGCTCCGACATGTTTCGGTGCAGAGAACGGGGCGTGCATCACAGCTCGATCACGGATCTGGTATTTGTGACAGGGCCCGCAGAGTGTGGGGATCGGGGATGCAACAGACGGCAAAGTATAAATATGGCGGATGGGTCCCCCAGGCTGAGAGGTTGGTGTGGCCGTGTAGTGTAGTATCTGTAGTAGTAATTTGGCTTGTGGTTTTCCTTCTGTATCACACAACAAAGAACCCAAACTCACTTACACACACACACAATTACAATGGCTATCACTCCTCTTAAGTTCGCAGCAGGTGTCGCTATCGCCGCCGTTCCTCTGCTTGCCACGACGGTGTTCTGCAGACCGGCGTTCGCCAACGCAATCAACAACCACTTGATTCAGGAGGAAATGGAGGCTAAGAGAGCACACAACTACAAGACAGACTACTACGCCAAGGACCCTCAACGCGACCGGATGTTGGCTGCCTACGCCCTGAAGGGCGAAGGCAAGGCCAGAGATTTCACTCCAGCCAGCGAGCTGCAATGATTTTGGTGGCACGCTTCTGCCGTCAGGCGAAACGAACATACTCTGCACAACATTCAAACTCCCTTCATTTCTTGTCATGATATGGTATGTTTCTATGCTATTTTAGTTCTACGTACACATATATATTTGCCTTTAATATTAAATTATGATTCTTCGATACAGAAAAGAGTACACTTTCGATAAAGCAGAGATGGGAAAAAAGGTTGTAGAGCACAGGTCAGCTTTTTTGTAGACGGAAAAAAAATATGCGTTTGCGCGTGTGGGGATAACAAGGGGATAACAAGGACCATAATAACCTTTGCACAAAAAGAGGAACTGAAAAGATAGTTGAGGAGATATTTCTAACAGGTACGGCGTAAGTTATGAGTACACTACTTAAGACATTGGGACTTTTTTCTTGCAGGGACCCTAACCTAGCAAGTTGGGACCATTGTAAATGCTACTGTAAACAGGCTGCTGCTGCTGCTGTTGTTGTTGTTGCTGTTGCAACATTTGCTGCTGCAACTGCTGCTGTTGTATGAGGTAAGCGTTGGGAACATTGCTGGCAGACATGCCGACAAAGTTGAAATCGTTACCGTTGTTCCCCGTGTAGCTGTTCGGGTTGAGGGACGCCTGCTGGATCATGCCCGTGGCTTGCTGCGAGAATGGGTTGGACGTCATCTGCTTCTGCAACACCTGCTGGCTGAGCTCGATTCCCGCCTGTCTCTGCAACTGCTGCTGGTAAGCATCCCGTTGCGTCTCAGGAAACACAGGAACGGTCGGCAGCCTCTCCAGCCCACCCGCAGTGGGCTGCATCTTGAGCTCGGAAACAGTCGCCAGTCCTCCGTTGCTGCTATGAGAGGGGCTGGCAGTACTGTGTGTCTCTAGTCTGAACGGATTTGTGCCCGTGGCAACAGCACGGACTGCGTTACTGCCTCCAGTGTGAGCTTCATTCTGCAACCTTCTCTGTAGCTCCTGGTCTGCTTGCGTGGTCAGAGGCGTAGTGGTGGAGGTGGAGCTGAACCGCGAGTTGTCGAAGGGGTTACTGCTGATGTTGCTGTTCGTGTTTGATTGCGGCGACACGGTGTTCGAGTTAGTGCCTGAATATCCAGATCCGCCTGCAACATACGCGCCAAACCCATTCCCGGTGAAGTTGTTGGAAAGCACACGAGGCTGAACCAGAGATGAGTCTGTGGAAAACGCATTCGGTGTCTGCTGGACCGGTGTCTGCAAGTTCATAGGCACCGTTGCCGCCAAGTTCATTTGCGCCATGGGGTTCTGGATGTACGACTGCGAGGTTTGGATAGTGAGTGGCTGCGGCTGTGGAACGGTGGCTTGCGCAGGCTGCATGCTGAATGTGTTCATGTTTGAGAACGGATTGAAACCCGTGGCTTGCTGTTGCACCCCGGCGTTTGCCGTAGCCTGAGCCTGTAGCATCTGGAACTGAAGCTGCTGAGCTTGCGCCTGAGCATGCGCCTGTTGTTGCAGTGCTTGCTGTTGCAGTGCTTGCTGTTGCGCTTGCAATTGAGCCTGCTGTTGCGCCTGCAGCTGTGTCTGTTGCTGTGCTTGAAGTTGAGCCTGCTGCTCAGCCTGCTCCTGTTGTTGCTGAAACTGTTGCTGTTGCTGTTGCTCCTGCTGTTGCTGTTGCGGCGGCTGCAGTGCTTTCTTCTGCTGCTCGTTGTCGGAACCAGCACTGTTGGAAACTTTGGCAGGTCCACTGCCACCCTGCTTTGAAAATTCCTTCTCGGCCAAGTACTGTCTCCTGTTGATCTCAAAATCGGGGTCGTCCAAGTACTCTCTCAAGGAGGAGGTCAAACTGGTCTGGGCATGCTTGATGGTTGGGACACGCAACTTGGTGACACTCTCCAAGTGCTTCGCCACTCTCAAAAACTCGATGGCCTTCTTGGTCTCCTTTGTGAAGTGCTCGTAGATCTCGAACGCTCTCTCGGCGTCTGATTTGCTCAAATCGAAGAAATGCTCGAGCAAGTTCAAGACCCCCTCGTTCAAGCACTGGTACAACGAGATCAAGTCAGTCGTCAGCATGCGGAAGCTCAAGACGAGCAAGTCGTTGTTGATCTCCGATTCTCTGAACTTGCATCTGACGAGCGCATCGATCTGCCGCTGCACCGACTCCGTCTCCCGCAAGAGCCCCTTCTCGACCGGCATCTCTCTGAGGATAGACGACTTGTCCGACGAGTTCCAGCTGCCGTACGGCTTCTTCGTTTCCCTGATGAAGTCGTGCCCCGTGTTGGCAAACTCCTTCGCCCTCGTGGCCAGGTAGTGTGCGTAAGAGTACACCTGGTTCAACTCGCCGCCGTTTGAAATGAACTTGCCCGACTTACCGATGTGGATGTCCAAGACCGAGAGATGGCTCGAGAGGTACTTTATGCACACGTTCTCGTCGCCCTCCCTTATCATTATATGAATCACTAGCAAAGATTTGTAGACAATGGTCCATGCGGAATCCTGTAGCCGCCGACCCAACGCCCGCATGACTGTTCGGAAGTCGTCTGACCTCTCGCCCTCTGTTGTTGCCAACAAGATCGGCTCGATGTACTTCGGCTTGGGCGGTGCCAGCTTGATCTTCGTTGCGCCGTCCACCAGCTTGTCGAAAGTTGTCATCCCTGTGTGTGTTTCTTGCGTTCGTGTGAGTGGTGTTTGCAGATAGGCCTGTAAGGACGCTTTTCCGCTGTTCGGGGCAAGGAGGACCTGTCACGCCAATTGCTTTCTGCGCTCGTGCTCCGCCCCAATCCACTTGCTGCTTCGCCCGGATCGGCCCTCTCCCAGCCTTGTCCTCCTCTTCGTCTCGTCTTCCTCTCTCTCCCGTCCTCCCTCTACTCGCCTCGTCTGCTTTCCCAGTTGATCCGCAAACCCAAACACACACATTACGTCAGCAGAAACGCCCCGCTCGCTCACGTGCACGGCTCGTCCTTTTTCACGTCTTCACCAGTAGGCTCGTTGAAAGACACAGCAGGGCTCGTGCTGAAGCTGTTGAAGCTGCCTCTGGCCGGCCTCGTGCTCCCCCGTCACGGCGACAGGCTGCGGCGGCTGCGTCCACAGCTCCCGGGACGCTGCCATCATCATCGCCACGGTCTTCTGGTGCGCCTCGGTCGTGATCCTCGTGCGCTGAGCACGCTTCGTGTTGGCTGGCGGCGGCTCATCACCGCCGCCGCCGCTGCTGCTGGCCGAGACATATGTGCACGCCGACCCCTGCGACGACGAGAACAGCCTGTCGGAGTACTCTGGCCTGTCGAAATCGTCTGAGTCTGAGGACCAGCCCGGGTCGTTGGTCCCGCCCGTGACAGAGACAGCGGCTGTGCCGCCGTTGTCTCCCATTTGCCAAACGTCGCTATCTCTGCTGCGCTTCACTCCCATGCTTGTCAGTGGCACTAGCACACGTTCTTACTGCAGCTTCCGCCGAGACACGCTGCAGGGCTGGCAGGGACGGAAGGAAGGGATTGCACAGGACAGGAAAGCTCTCAAGAGGCCGACAGACACGCCAAAGTCGAAAAGGGCCAGCCGACGCGTCAGCGCACGTGACTTGCTCCTCACCCCGGAGTGGTTCTTCCCCGGCACAGCCCGCCCCCTCTTTCTCTCCCCACAGCCTCTTGCTGCCCGAGTCCGTGAGCCATTCTTCTTTGTCTGTCGGTGGTTCCTTGCTCCTGTTGACGACGGACACACGGATAGACGGGCAGGCGCAGCGGGAACGTCTGTGGGCATTGGAAGCAGTATTCTGAAAATGGCCGCCACAGCATCGAACTACCAGTACCAGAACAATGGCCAGCGCCAGCATCTCTACAACCCACAGCGGTCCACGGCTTACATTGTCATCTTGACGCTCATTGTCGGGGCACTACAGCTCGCATGGTCAACGGAGTTCTCGGAGGCAACTCCGTTCTTGCTCTCGTTGGGCATCTCGAAACGGGTTCTTTCGTTGGTGTGGCTTGCGGGCCCGCTCTCGGGCACAATTGGCCAGCCCATTGTCGGAATGCTGAGCGACAAGTGCATGCTTTCGTACGGCAAGCGGCGGGTATTCATTTTGATCGGGTGCATCTCCACTTCGGTGTCCTTGCTTGCATTATCGCACTCGTCGGAGTTGGTGGGCCTGTTCACGTCGCCATTCGACTGGGACGACCGCACGACGGAGCTTGCAGTCATCTGCTTTGCATGTGTAGGCATATACGTCTTGGACTTCTCGATCGCCATCATTCAGGCTTCCAGCCGTGCCCTCATTGTCGACGTCGTCCCCACCGGCCAGCAGCAGATAGCAAACGCCTGGGCGGCGAGGATGATCGGCATCTTCAACTTGATAGGCTTCTGGATCGGCACGCTCAACCTCACTGAGCTCTTCCCCGTGCTCGGAGACAACCAGTTCAAGATCTTGAGCACGTTGGTTGTGCTCATCATGTTTTCCCTCACATGCTTCTGTCTTTACTACGTCGAGGAGAGAAACCCACAGTCGGACTTGACGCTTATCACCCAGAGACAGTTGCAGGACGACAAGTTGAGAGAACTGGGTATCAACCCAAGCAAGGCCTCCATCTGGGTGCAGTTGAAGAACTTCTTCAAACAGATCTTTTACTCTTTTAAGTCTGTCCCACCGCAGGTGAAAACCGTTTGCTACGCCCAGCTTTTCGCATGGATTGGGTACTTCCCGCTACTCTTCTACACGACATCGTACGTCGGGGAGCTGTATCTTTATGAGAAGGGATACCCAAATCCTGCTTTGATTCCTCCGGAATTGAAGCAGGACTTATTGGACCAGAGCACCCGAGTAGGGACATACGCCCTACTTTCGAATTCAATAGTCACATTGGCGGTGGTGACGTTCTTGCCTATGCTGCTAGAGAGAATCGGTACGAGGAGTACCTTCAATGAGAAGCTAAACTTGAGAACACTCTGGATATGCTCACACGTTGTGTTCATCCTCTGCACCCTCTGCACCTTCTTCATCTCATCCTACAAGCAGGCGATCGCTCTTTTTGCGTTTACTGGCATCCCTTGGGGAGGTGCTGTGTGGATACCCTTCACCTTGATCAGCGAAGAAATCAGCAGAATCAAAGACATCATAGCCATCCAAATATTTTACAGACAGCAATCCGAAGGTTCGTCAATCGCAGAGGATGACGCTCCAGAAATAAACAGTAGAAACAGCATTTACTGCCAAAAAATCTTAATTGACTTTTATGACAATATAGAGTACGATTCAGGTATCTTACTGGCTCTCCACAACGTCTTTGTCTCTGCGCCGCAAATGCTTTCCTCTTTTGCATCTTCTATCTTGTTCAGCATATTTCACAAGGCTCACGATGACAACTCCTACGATTCTTCACTCGGTTGGGTGTTCCGGTTTGGAGGTGTTATGGCTATAGGCGCATGGTATATTAGTCGCAAAGTGAAAACTAAGGAGGAACTATACGATATGGATAGACTGATGGCGCTATCGATAGACTTTTAAGCTAATCCCATCTAGTCATTTTTTCTCATTTTGCACAACACAGAATGAACTCCAGGCTGCCAAATGGTCGTGCAAAAACGCTCTACTCCTTTCTTCTTTCTTCTAATTGTTTTTACTATTTACATGGCCATTATATAACGCATCTATAACGCTCACAACCATCATGATCTAATCAGTGAACTCTGTTCCCTTTATATGTGACAGGCATATTGAACAACTCGCTGAGTTCTTTGTTCATCCTCAAAACGGCCTCATCAGGCTCAAACCGTTTCTTTTTTTGCGAATTTATGTCTTCGCTTGACAACATTCGAGGACTTCTGTTGGCATCCAGCACCTTTTTACCTTTCTTGGCAAGAACTTGGCCCCAGATTTTCTCACTATAGTTCTTGATGTTCACCTCCTTTTGAATATCTTCTAAAGAGCAGATCCGGAACCATTCTCTCAAAATAGTGATAGCTCGTCCACGCAGTTTTAAGTCGTCGCAATAGGCGTATAAACTGACATATGCGCGTACAAGAAATGAGTCGATCTTTATGTGAAGGTTATTTTGCGCATTGTAGAAAATCGTCTCTGCTCTGTTGACAATATCTGTGAAATCAACACCGTTCTCCTCTGGATTAGCACCGGATAATATACGTAACATTTCGGTGTAAGTTCTGACGTCTGGCTTCAGCTTGAGCTTCCCGGTTCTTACACTCTTCAAAGAATCGTACAAATGTAAGGCCAAATCTACTCTTTTCGCCTTTCTAAGGACTTTCAATAAAGAGTTTACGTGAATTATTGAAATCTCCGGATTGTTTTCAGCGTGATCTTTTTGAAACGCTCGATAGAGTTGTTCTACCTTTTGCTGTGAAATGTCTGCCTTCCCATTAAACTTGGATGTTGAGTCCGCATAACCAGATATGAGAATGTTGTAAAACCTCCCCTTAGTTTTGTAGCCACGTTTCTTCAAATCCATAAATACTTCAAATGCATCATTCACTTGTCCACGTTCTAACAAGTATTGCAATATAGTTCCATAAGCAAAAAGGCCTTGAAAACGTGCCATCCTGGCGAGTTGTTTGGCCCGTAATAAATCGTTCTTCGCTAGTAGTTTTTGAACGTCTTCATCTACCACTAAAGAATCTTGTATTTGCCGTCCTGATGTCCCGAGAACTTTGAATGTTAACCTCAAATTACGCTGACTGAAAATCGTGATTAGTTCTTTGGCAGTTAAAGGAGTGTCGGGGCCAATGGGTTCGTTTTCAGGGAATTCCCGACCTAGAAGTTGTGTAAGTAACTTTTGCGCAGACGCATTTTTCACAGGTGTGTTGTTGAAGTCTTTCCTCTTCTTCAAAGCTGAAGCTTCTAGCTGCTTCCGATCCACAGGAATATTTTTCTTCACTAATGCTACATTGATCTTTGTCTTTGTTCGGAGTCCAAGTACGGTTCTTGTTGTGGAAAAGCTTCGTACGGTGCAAAGAATATTCTGTGTTCCTCTCATCTGTTTAGTTCCTGTGCACTTGCCGATTACCCTTCGGATTTGAACAGTATTGTAGTACACGGCATCTAAGTATAAAATATCAAATTATTCAAAATGAAACTGAAAAATCTAAATAAAAAAATGAGAAAATAAAAAAAAAACGTCTAATGAAGCAAAAGCGTCCAGCTACATTCCACATATATCTGCAGATTTCTTTATCTATTCCAAGCTACTCCCTGACATTGGTCTTCTTCTGAAAAGTATCTTTCACAGCTTGTGATCGACGACTTTCCATTTTTGCTTATTATAAGTTTTATACGTGCATTACATCAAAACCTATTGTAACCAGCTAGAAGGATACTGTGGGCCAGTCAAAATTCTTTGTTTAGTTAGCTCGTAATTGTAGCTAACATGTTCTTGTACCTTAATACTTTTCTCAACACTAGTACTTGAACCTGCTAAGTATCCTTTCGTTTAATTCTTGTGTGTAGAGGTTGCTTCTTGTGGTGGTAGAGATAAGGTATAGCTGGCCGGGAGCGCGTCCATATTCTTACATGAATTAAGAAGGTGTTTTTGAGCTTCACATTCCACCCCCGTGCTGGCTCACTACCGACCTCAGAACGTACGCTCAGCCAGTAAAAAAGGAGGTAAAAGAGACTGATAAACACAGGATGGTAGTGGTTACACCTCTGACATTAGAAAGATGCAGACATTCGTTGTGTACCAACGGCAACAATCCAGAGACGGTAGAGTTGGCATATCAGATACTCAAAACACTACTGGCAACATCGGATTCGCCTTACATTCTGAGTCCAGCTATACCTGAGATGATCAATTTCCTTTTACAGACTGCACAAGTTAGTAGCAACCTGATCACACATAGAGCAGCAAACGAATTAGCTCAGAAATATCAGGAAAATCTCAAACGCTTGTTCCATACTTACGGAGTTGAAAGTATAGATCAGATAACACAAGATTTCATCATGTATCATTATGATGGTCTCATCTCACAACTATCTCATGGTACAGAGGTTTTTGAGCCAGCAGAAAAGTCTGAGATTTATAATACTGTGTGCACTGTAATCAGCCAAAGAGATATTGCGTTGTGGGCTATCACTGGAAAGCTTCAATTTATTCAAGCCGATATAGTCGGGTCACTTTATTCGATTGACCCAGATTTATTGGTGTACCACGATGATCACAAAATGAAGCATACACGAGATATTTTGGCACATAAATGGGGAGATCCGATGGTGATAAACCAATGGCAATATGTTTTAGATAAGGCCACTTCTATTTTGCAAAATCTAGATCTTGATAAAACGTTGAATAGATCCGGCATTTCCATTGATAGTGTTAGCACACAAGAGAATAATACAGCACTGACTTTACGATTATCAGAATCTGAATCCACATCATACTGGGAAATCAGATGGTGGCTCTTGTATGCCATGTTTCTTACGGGAGATTACGATAAAGTTGTTACGAATTTCAGTGAGATGACTACACACGGGAAGACTATTCCAAAGGTTTCCGGAGACGCAACCCAAATACTCAAACAACTAGACAATACTGTCATTAACAAAAGCTCTCTAATTAGAATGATAGTTATATCCATAGCTCTTACACATGCCAATAAACAAAGGGAAAAATCATGGCAAAATGCTACTTTAGTTGAAGCCTTTTACGAAGATCCATTAATTAAGGACTTCAAACAAGATTTTGAGGCAATTAGTTTTCCTCAAGTAACGGACGAGCTAAAACAACTAAAAGAAGAGATACCGTGGTGTCCACAGCTCGAAGAAGCATGGGAAAGCGCAAGATCCTTATTGATTCAAAAATCTATTATCACATACTTATCTTTTATTAGCCGGGTGACATTAGATCACCTGTCTTCCTTTTTCGCCATTGATAAAGCATTGATCACTTCATTTATAACCAAGTCCATTGCACTTCTAGATCTACCATTGAAACTGAATACTCAGACAGGAGTTGTTGAGTATATTACAGAAAACTCAAGGCGCCATCAAGCACAATTTATAGAAAACATGCATAGAAACGCTGAAGAAGAAGTTTTACGTCTCAAGGCTGCTAAATTGAATAGCATATTGAGTGCAAATTCAAATGAAGAGAATAGTTACGAATCATAAAACAGGTTTTTTGCATAAAAAATTAGGTAACTGATATACTATATATATATTTACAGGCTATAAATATCAACCACTTCATCTTCAATCTTTGTTGTGACCCCACTAGAAGCTATGCTTTCTATATCTATTATTTCTTTAGCTGCTTCTGCGGTCAAAACGATATTGTTATCATCTCCAACAGCAACATCGTCTTCTATACGAATGCCCATTCCACGATATTCTAATGGCCAACGTTCATCATCTGGAATATAAACTCCTGGTTCCACGGTGACAACTTGCCCTTTTCTCAACTTAGCACTCCGTGAATAAAGTGGACAGTCATGAACATCCAAACCAAGGTTGTGTCCAATGTAATGTGGGTACAAGTATTTGGCCACTTCCCAGCTTTGCACGTCTTGAAAACCAGCGTTTCTTAGCTCCAGGGTCAGTAAATCTACACTCAAATTATGCAGGTCATTCAAGCTGTGTCCCCTGCTAACTTTGCATTCACGAATGATTCTTCTCTGAACGTTCAAAAGAGATTCGTAGAGTTCTGCTTGAGCTGGAGTGAAAGTTCCGTTAACAGGCCAAGTTCTCGAGATATCGGCACAGTAGCCACCAAGATTACCAGCTGCATCAACAAGTACCATTTCACCATCTTTGAGCAAATCATCATTTCTGACATAGTGGATGCATAAGGCATGCGATCCTCCGGCAACGACAGGGAAGTACGCTGATTTATCACACCCCCCACTAATGAATCTGTACTCAAGAAAAGAATGTAAGCCTTTCTCAGACTTGAACCTCTGGGCGTATGCTTGATTGTAGGCACGGCCAGAAATTTTTCCTGCTAATCTCATTATCTTCAACTCTGCATTAGACTTGATAACTCTTAAATCGGTGATTAGATGAGATAGTGGTTGGATGGAAAACCCTAATTTGGAATGTTTACGAAGAGTTTCTTCGATGTTGGCTCTATTCGTAAGCCTGTTGTTGTCGTTCAAGACCGTTGATGGGAACATGCGTTCGAAAAAGTTCACCGACTTTCCACTAGCACCGCTGGCTCCTCCAATGTCGTAATAAATATCCTTGTATTTTCTCAATAGTTTATCCAAATGGGCAGGGAAGTGTTGGACACTCACTCCCACGTCGGCGTTGAATATTTCCTGCACTCCTTCGACACCAGTTCTCTCCCCTTCCCATTGTTCAGCTGCCGCATCGGTTTCTGGAACAGCCATATGGAATATGTGGTCGTGTGGGTCGTCTGAGTCTTCTGGTCTCTCAATGATGGCGACAGAATCAGGCTCATTCCACCCAGTAAGATAGTAGAGGTCTGTGTTTTGCTGAAACTGGTAGAAAACTGATCCGGATGCATATTTGACAGAGGACCCGGGCAAAACCGCCAAGGAGCCCTTTGGTAGCTTTTCGGCTAGTTTCAATCGACGCTGATAGTACTCCACAGCAGAGATGCCCGGGGTCAAGTCTCCTGCTTTGATAAGATGTGGGCGAGTTTCAAATATTGGCTGTCCTGCACGAAACGTTGTCGCATAGCATCTTCTAGCTATTTTCAACATAGTAGGGAGATTCTTTCTGTGGAATAAAGTCTGTAATATGCCGATTATTTGCCACAATGTGCTGGAAAAAGACGGAGCACTAGTATCGTTTGGATATTCCAGAAGCACCATTCGTCGAAATGGTACGTCTTTTCACCTCGGCGGTCCGCACTGTACATAGAAAGAAGACGAGAGGGGTCGAAAGAGTAACGTTACTATGCGATCTACAAATAGGAGGCTATGTGGGGGAGGGGGTGCTTCAATCGTGCTTTCTTTTCATTCTTGGGATGAAGACCTCGTTGACTAGGACAAGGAAAACTAGGGCGACTCCGCAAAGGGCCGAGAGGAGAAACTGCTTCCAGTTTGTGACTTCTCCGTGGAAATACGTGTACTGGAACAGCGACAAGAGGAAAGCCGCCGCAAGGAAAGGAGTGAACCTCGACATGTTCAGGTAGAAGGGTGTTTGTAGCAGCTCTGCCTTTTCCCTTATGAATCTGTGGACTGCCTGCCAGCAGTAGACTATCCGCATAGCCATGTTCACCATGTTGGCGAGAATGAGACCGTTGAGACCGTAGTCAAACTCCGCGATGAGGAGTACGAGAGAGGAGAGGAAGACAACGGAGTTTACAAACATGAAGATGGAGTGGCGGTTCACAATCTCCTTTGAGTGGAACAGCGATTGGAAGAGAGCCTCGAGAATTCCGTTGAGAGCCAAGAGGAGCACGTAGACCCAGTAGATTTTAAAGGCTGAGACCACTTCATCGGAGTTGAAGTTTCTGAACACTAGGCTCAACAGAAAGCGGGTGTTGAGCGGCGCAAAGACGACGAGCAGTGTGAGTAGATATGTGTATATTTTGGAGACGTTGGCCAGGCACAGGGCCAGCTGACGAAAGTCTTCTCTCTCTTTCTGGCCGTCTGCGGAAGTGTCTTTGAAAAATGAGCCTATGGTGATTCTCGTCGACTCTTCTAACGGCGCAAAAAGGATTCTAGCAATCAAGGAGCCGTAGTTGGATATGAAGGAGTAGTACCCTTGGGTCTGGATGGGTAGCAAAGAAGTGGTGACAAATCTGTCTCCGACGGTGAGAAAGTTTTTGAAAAGTTGCTGAACAAAGATCGACTGGAAGTATGCCCAACTGGCGGGTTCAAACCACGCTGCAGAGACTGATCCTTTGAGCTGCACTTTCTTCGGCTTGAAGATCTGGAAGGAGAACGAGTACCAGTAGAGGATGAAAATGGCGAACGAATATGAGAGCTGACCAGCCAAGTATCCGAAAACGTAAGCGTCAATGTCTGAACGCTGAAGCCCGAGCCGAGGTGCAGCCAGCACCACGGTCAGGAACTGCACAATGCATCGGACGAACCCCGCTAGGCTCTCGATCTTTGTTCTCGTCTTGAAGTCGAGCTTGACGTACTGATTGACGTTATAGTAAGACTCTGCGAGAAGCTCGCACACAACACACAGAGCAATGGCGGTTACCACATGGTGGACAGAAAATGTTCCCAACAGGGAGAAGATGTTGTGGTCGTTGCAGACGATTTTCCAGTACACGATCGGCGTGCCTAGCACAAGGTAGATTACAAACGTCAGAAACGAGTAATTGACAGTCCATTGGAGCCGTGCGGGGGCGAGCTGGGGTGTTGCCGGAAGCTTGGCAATGGTGAGCCTGAGCGCTTCCCGGGAGAGGAAGAAGATGTAGTCCAGCACGAACTCGATGAGCTGCGAGACGCCCAATGCACTTGGCGACGTGTACGAGAGCAGCAGCTGGTTAAGCGAGAACGTGAAGAGCTTCGACACAAGCTGGCCGGCAACGAGCACAGCGGCGTTTTGTACCAAAGACATTGTGGCGGTGTTGGGCTGGCGATCGAGCTCACAAAGCAGAAGGGCAGAGAAGGAGACAGCAGGAGAAGAAGAGAGCAAGAACAGAGATAGAGCACGAAACATGTTGAAAGATGACGAAAACGGCGCGAGCGGATTTTCATTGGTTGATTATGGAGGAGGAAAAGGTGGTGAAGCTGACGGGGAAGTGGAACAGGGGAAAGGGAGAGAGAGGGTAAAGATAGAGCAGATAGAGAGAGCCAGCAAGAAAGCAAGCAGAAACGCCAGCAAGAAAGCAGTAAGCGATGACGGGACAGGAATTCGAACTACGAGAACAGGACAGGTGGCTTCCGATAGCAAACGTGGCCCGGTTGATGAAGAACACGTTGCCAACAACGGCGAAGGTGAGTAAGGACGCCAAAGAGTGCATGCAGGAGTGTGTATCGGAGTTCATATCGTTTGTGACGTCGGAGGCGAGCGACCGGTGTCTGATGGAGAAGCGCAAGACGATCAACGGCGAGGACGTGTTGTACTCGCTGCACACGCTCGGGTTCGAGAACTACGCCGAGGTGTTGAAGATTTATCTCGCCAAGTACCGACAGCAGCAGGCGCTGAAGCAGGAGCGGGGGGAGATCCGGCAGAAGAAGAAGAAGAAGAAGCAGCCCGCGGAGGAGGACGGGGAGGAGGAGAACGGCGGCTACGTCAAGCAGGAGGGCGGCGGGGTGTTTGAGTACCCGATGGACGAGTCGATGGTGGTTGTGCGAGGCGACAGTGACAAAGGCGGCGCCGGGGGCAAGCCGAGGCCCAAGGCGCCCGGATACGACCCGTACGTGTCGCAGCTCTACGAGCAGAGCTACGCCGGGGTGTCGATGAACATGGCGAACCCGGACTACCGCGGCGGGGCCAGCGAAAGCATCATGTCGAAGAAGGAGCACGGGGTGCAGAAGCTGGGAGCCGACGGCGGCGACAACAGACAGGACCTGGACCAGGAAAGGACGAGCGGCAGCGGCGCCGGCGAGCCATCCGGCCGACTCACGCTACCGCTGCCGCTTGACGCAGACTCGATGGGTCTGCAGCTCGACGGCGACGTCGGTGTCGGCGTCAACATACATCTCGGAAACACTGAGAGCCTGGACGAGATCAACTCCCGCCTGAACCGTGGCGTGCCCGGCGACAACACCGTCGGAGAACCCTCTGCCGCCGCTGGCGGCGCCGGAGACGCCGCCACGTCGTCGTCCCCAGCCTCGGCGGCGTCCGCTGCTGCTGCCACGACATCCGCCTCTGCTGCCACGACGACAGCCGCCTCGGACCATGACACGGCCGCCTCGGACCACGACCACGATCCTGACCATGGCCACGGCCACGACCGCCGACTCCAGCGCCGCCGCGCCGAGGAGCCGGCCAAGACCCCGGCCACAACCAGCACCAGCGACTTGCTGCTATTGAACGACAACATGGCCGCCATCACAGAGACGGAGGAGATCGCCGGACTCACCAACGGCCACGGCGTTCTCTACAACTTCGAGTGACCGCTGCCTCTATCTGTATCGTGTATGAGTACCTGTAAAGAACAAAACCGTGTGCTATTTTTGTTTGCGGAACGCTTTTCGCGTACATTTTTTCCCGTGGATGTTAGCGGAAAACCGGGAAGGGATGTTAAGACGGAAAGATGCCAGAAGAAGGCAGACAGTTGTGGAAAAGCAAGTGTGTGCAAGGTGCAGAAGAAAGGCTTGAGCAAGAGCAACAGGAAGAGCAAGAGCATCACAGACGGTAGAGAATATGAAGCTTGTGCAGAGACTGGTGTTGAGCGCAGGCGGGCTGCTAGCGGTGGCCCAGGTTGCAGCCGGAATCGATCTAGACGTAAGCTCCTACGACTCGATCTACGATGCGTGCAAGCTGCTTGCCGGCGGTGTGATGGACTACTACTGGGGGTACGAGTACGGCGGAACGATCGGTATGTTCACGCATCCGTACTACTGGTGGGAAGCTGGCGGAGCGTTTGGAAGTTTGATCGACTATTCGTACTACTTCGAGAACACCACGTATGTGGAGACGATTGTGCAGGCGATGATGTACCAGAAGGGTGACGGCAGCAACTTCATGCCGCTCAACCAGACGACGACGGAGGGTAACGATGATCAGGTGTTCTGGGGTATTGCGGCGATCCAGGCGGCGGAGAGAAACTTCACCGAGGCCGGCGGCGACAACCCGACGTACTTGGAGTTGGCGCAGGCGACGTTCAACACGATGAAGAACAGATGGGACGACGATACGTGTGGTGGCGGGGTGCGGTGGCAGATCTTCCCGTGGAACAACGGTTACGACTACAAGAACACGGTTTCGAACGCCGGGTTGTTCCACCTCGGTGCGCGGTTGCTCAGGTACACCGGTAACGACACGTACTACATGGATTGGTGTGACAAGACGTACGACTGGCTGGTCGACGTCGGGTTCATCGACGAGAAGAACTGGTACGCGCTTGACGGTGCCGACATCGTGAACGGTAGCTGCACCTCGATCACGTCGTATCTCTGGTCGTACAACTTGGCGTTGATGATTTCCGGGTGTGCCTATATGGCCAACTACACACAGGAGGAGAAGTGGCACAACCGGACGATGGGCTTTCTAGAGAGCTCGAAGGTGTTTTTCGACAACTACGGGGTCATGTACGAGGCCACGTGCATGCCTGTGCATACGTGCAAGACGGATCAGCGGTCGTTTCGGGCATATCTGGCGAGGTTCCTGCAGTTGACGGCTATTTTGGTGCCGGAGACCCAGGACACGATCAACGAACGCATGGAGACGTCGGCAAAGGCCGTGGCGCTGTCGTGTGTCGGTGGTTACGACCAGCACACGTGTGGCATGAACTGGTCGTACTCAGGCGGCAACAACGCGACATACGGATGGGACGGCTACTACGGGTTGGGCGAGGAGATGAGTGCATTGGAAGTGGTCCAGGCGCTTGCGGCCAAGTACCGTCCCGGCCCGTACACGTCCCGAGATGGAGGCTCGAGCACTGGTGATGTTTTGTTTGGTAACGAGACATACAAGATTCAGGCTAAGCTTCTCGACTTGGACAAGGGCGACACCGCCGGGGCGTCAATCATCACGGTGGTCATTGGCATCAGCATCATTGCCCTCGGCTACTATGTCGTGGTCTAGCAGGCCACAGCGGCGTCCGATCGTTTTCTTTCTTTGTTGTTTCCGTTCTTTTCATTCTTTCTTTTCATTCTATAACTCTTCATGAATTAATAGTGTATTAAGGCGTGTATTATAAAAGTGTATATCAGGAAGGAAGGGAATGTAAAAGTGGAACGGGAAGCGAGAAAATACAAGGGGAAGGAGCAAAAGGAATAGTTTTTGTACTCTATAGAATGGCGTGGGGGGCGGGGAAAGGAGGTGAAGGGAGTAGGCTCAGCTAGGCTGCGCTGCGCTCAGGACTTCTGGGACAAGACCTCCTCAAGGGCCTCGTCGTCGGGGTTGAACTCGATCTTCTTCTTGTTCTTGTTGATGTTTTCCTCCCACATGCTGAGGCCGATGGAACCCAAGAGCAGGCCGACGGTCAAGAACTGGGCGTACATTCTGGCGGTGACGAATTTCTGTGTTTTGGTGAGAAGCGGGTCCTTGTTGACGTAGTGCCACGAGCCCCACATGGACGCGGCCCACAAGCCGGTGATGATCAGGTACTTTCTGGAGGAGACGCTCTCGACGATCTTCTCGGAGGTGGTGAGGCCCTCCCAGCGGCGGTGCTCTGCCAAGAGGCGTCTCTGCGACGCCTCGGACGAGTACATGTCGTAGTCGAACTCGTTGGAGCACAACTCGCCATTCACCGACGCAGCGAACGCTGGCGGGATGACGAAGATGGCTGTCCGGATGGACCAGGGCAGGCTGAAGATCCGTGGGTAGTGGCGGGGCGCCATGGCGTAGATGCCGATGGAGAGACACGTTCCGAGCGCCAAGCCCTTGAGTCCACCGTGCAGCACGGATCTGTTGTGGGCCCGTTTTTCTTCATCTGTGATTAGCTTCATTGTGTGGTGCTGGGTGGTGCTGTGTGTGCGGTGCTGTGTGTGCGGTGCTGTGCTGTGCTGTGCTGGCGGGAGCAGGAAGACGATCGAACGGGGCAAGAGATGTGCAGCCTGTGCTGGGAAGAGGAACGCGGCAGCTATTTATCTGTCTGTGCAGACACAAAAAGGCTCTCTGGCCCCCCGTTCCGTCCTCCACCGTCCGGTCAGCACCACCTACCATTGGACCACTGACACAAGACCGCTTCACACCGCCAGACACGCCAGACGCCATACAGAGCCAGTGACCGCCCGGCCTCTCGCCCCGTCACAACAGCAACCGTGACGTGCGACGGGGTTTGCCCCCGGCAGCAGTGCCCGGTGCACGGGCGCGCCTCGCCCCCGGGCCGTTTTGGCGGCTCGGCTAGGGGCCCTGCCGATTGGCCGGGGAGGTCTGGCAAACGGCAGGGCGGCGGTCTGCGTGGCTGCCCCTGGCCCTGCTGCCGGAGACACGCGGTATCTCGGATAGCCCTGGCGGGCCCTGTGCACGCTCCTGGTTGGGCTAGGCGGCGCAGCCGCAATGCACCCGGGCTCTCGGAGTAGCCACCGGGCACGGAACGGAAGCGGCCAGAGCAAAGCCCTATAGGACAGGGTGTCGGGGACAGGGCGAGGGCTGCTGCGCCACGCAGTTGCGCCACGCAGTCACGCCACTTTCGGCGGAGGAAGCAAAAAGAGAAAAGAGGACGGCGCAGCCGTGGCGCAGCCGTGGCGCAGCAAATGATTTGGTGTGGCGCAGCAGCGTGTCACGTGCCTCACGTGACCCCCTTTTTTTCTTGTGCGGGTCTCGATCCCAAAGAGTACGAATCTATACCTTCCACTAAGAGGAGGGTGAAAAATCAGTCAGAGTCATCTTCACCACCTGCACTACCGCCTGTGTGGCTGCTTCTCCGTCAGCAGTCCCCCCTCGCACGCCAACACACCCACACCGATGGCATCTGCCCTACTGCTGAACCACTGCACACACGCGTTCCACGTGTGTGCGGCGTCCGCCGCATCCGCAGGCGTGTGCCGGACCAGAGCTGCGATGGCCTCCTTCACCCGTCTGAACTCCACGTCCAGCACTGCCGCCGCGTCGGTCTCCAGCGAAGAGCCGCTGGACGCCGCAGAGGCCAACAGGCGCTACTTCCTTGAGATGTTCCCGTCGCTGAAGCCGGCAGACTTGCTGCCCGACGGCACGCCGGACTACTTCAAGTTGATTCTCACGTCGAGGGTCTACGACGTGATCGACGAGACCCCGGCCAACTACGCCCCGCTGTTGTCGAACAAAACCAACTCGCACGTCTTCCTCAAGAGAGAGGACTTGCTCCCGGTTTTCTCCTTCAAGTTGCGGGGCGCCTACAACATGATTGCGAACCTCTCCCCGGAGCTGAGAAGCAAGGGGGTCATTGCGTGCTCCGCAGGCAACCACGCCCAGGGCGTCGCCTACTCGGCACAGAAGCTCGGCATCAGCGCCACCATCGTCATGCCCGTCGGCTCCCCCTCCATCAAGTTCCAGAACGTCTCGCGTATGGGCTCCCGCGTAGTCCTCTACGGCGAGGACTTCGACGCAGCCAAGGCAGAGTGCGACCGTTTGGCCCATGAACACGGCTACACCAACGTCCCTCCCTTCGACCACCCGCTCGTCATCGCCGGCCAGGGCACCATCGCCATCGAGCTTTTGCGCCAGATCAAGTCGAACAAGCTCTCTGCAGTCTTCGTAGCCATCGGAGGCGGAGGTCTCATTGCAGGTATCGGATCCTACCTGAAGAGACTTGCGCCTCACGTCAAGGTCATCGGTGTCGAAACCTTCGATGCAGACGACATGTACCGCTCCTTGAAGAAGGGCGAGAGGGTCGCTCTCAACAAGGTCGGTCTATTTGCAGACGGTACCGCCGTCAAACTCGTCGGTAAGGAAACTTTCAGAGTCTGCCAGAAGTTTGGCATCGACGAAATTGTCCGCGTTTCCACAGATGAGATCAGTGCAGCCATCAAGGACGTTTTCGAAGACACTAGAACCATCATGGAGCCCTCTGGTGCAATGACCGTCGCAGGTATGAAGCGCTACATCCAGCTCAACCCAGACATCAACCACTCGGATAAAACTTACGTCCCGGTTTTGTCCGGCGCCAACATGAACTTCGACCGTCTCAGATTCGTCTCCGAACGTGCCGTGCTAGGTGAGGGCAAGGAAGTCTTCCTTTGTGTGCAGATCCCAGATGTCCCAGGTACCTTCAGAAAGCTACAGAATATTATCCACCCAAGAGTCGTCACAGAATTCTCCTGCAGAATGTCTGACTCCGACATCAACGCCGAGTTTGCCGAAGTTTACACCTCATTCGCAGTCATCGACCGTGAGAAGGAACTCAAGCAGGTCTTGACCGCCATGAACAAGGAAGGTTTCGTTGCTTACGACTTGTCTAAGAACGAAATGGCCAAGTCCCATGGTCGTTACTTGGTCGGTGGTAAAAACAGTCTCCGTGAAAAACTCATCCACTTTGAATTCCCTGAACGTCCCGGTGCCTTGGACAAGTTTTTGGAGCTACTGAAAACAGAGTGGAACTTGACTTTGTTCCACTACCGTAACCAGGGTGATGACATTGGTAAGGTCTTGACCGGTATCAATGTTCCGGAGGCCGAAGACGACAAGTTCCAGGAATTCCTCGACAAGTTGGGCTACAAATACACGGATGAAACCCACAACAAGGTCTTTGAGCTTTTCTTGAAGAGATGATCCTGCTAGTCATCAAACACTCACACACACACACACACACACACACACACACACACACACACACCTTCTCCTTTCCTTACACATTGTTCATTGAATGAACCCGAAATTAATTTCTTATCATCTTCATCCTTCTCCTTCGTATTACTCTTCCCTACAGCAAAAGGCAAAAATAACACAACTATTAAAGGTTATGGGTTCGCCTTCATAACTTACATTCCCATGTTCTATATAAAGTACGTTAAATATTCGTCTCAAGGTAAACTAAAAAACATCGATAACTCTCTATCTCTGTAGCCAATTTTTTTCTGCAATTAGAGTTAGCTCACTTCGCTCTCTTTTATGGCGCACGGATCTGGACATGAATTTTCTTTTTCATCTGTGCCTTTCTGCAACATACTGCCTGTCACCTGCACGCCTAACCCATCCCCGAAGGGTTTTGTTTTTGCCATAAAACAGCAGCTCCCTTTGATATGAAGGTAAAAGTCCCTTTCTGGCGACATCCCAAACTTGCAGGGAAACCGGCGTCAAAATTTCCGAAACACCTCCGAACTCTTCTCAATGCCAGCAAATTCACATACGTTGGGGCAGGCCCAAGAACCTTAGACAGCGTCGTATCCTACATCCCAACTCTCAAGTCTCGAAATAGAGGCAATGATAATATACGCTCTCGTATTTTCTCTGCGAATCCGGACATTCCTAATGTTGCAGCAGGCTGTACCACCATCAACGTGATAATATGCATCTCGCAGCGTGATTTTCCCATATCCATTCATCAGCGACTGCTGGCACTACTTGTGATAAAAGGAATTAACTTAAATAATGTCCACTGGGTGATAACAGATGTTGATCAACTTGGTGAATACCCAATGTTCCCTACGAATCTGGGTCCCATCAGTAAAACCAATATGAAGCTTTGGAAAACACAGTTTCTCAATGAATTGAACAAGTATAAACAGTATTTCACATACACCAGGATGGCGGAGAATGTTGAAAAATCTTCAAATGATTTTGATTTGTTTGAGACCAATATCAAAGACACCAATGAGTCGATTTTCGAGAAGCTCAAAAATTACACTGTATCCTTAAAACATATTCATCTTTTCTCCAAAGACTTACCCTGGACTTTAACTCCAATCCTTCAATCTTTAGATTATGACCCCTTCCAGTCTGCAAACACTTATATCATTGGACAAGCTAATTCCGGGAAAACTTCATTGCTCCGCAGTATGGTCTCAGCGTTTTGCAAAGATTTGAATAAAGAAATGGACTCTGATACCAAACTTGAAGAAGGCGATGAAGCTGATGGGCTGATAGTAAGTCCGCAGCACATAAAACCTTCTCCAGTACCTTTTGCATCTAAATTCAACGTCTACAACGTGCCAGGAATGAAGCTAATAGATACGCCAGGTTATGTCCGTACAGAGGGTAGTATCTGGAGCCATACCAATGATCGAGGTGCACATTTGCTGAGGATTCCTGACGTTAATTCATCAACAAAACTGAAGAAACAAATGGCTGTTTGCCCTCGTGTATTACATCAGGTCAAGCACGATGCAAGTGTCTTATCTGGCATACATATCGGCGGACTTGTTTTCATTAAACCATGGTTAGTCACTCCGAAAGACGCTCCCAAATCAGGTGAATTCCCTGATATAACTGTCGAGGTCATAAAAAACATGCCTGGTGAAGTGAAGGCAATCACCGCACAGGATATAAATGGGAAGATGTTTGACCCTGAGCACAGCAAAGTTGTAAAAGAACGAGAGTGGAGTAGGTACCTTCTACGAGATGAGAGAATCGAGCTGGTTCTAGATAACATTGGCAGCTTTACGGCTACAGCTGATAACCTGCCTTTTGTTTCTTCAACAGAAGTATTTTGGGAGGTCTCAGTTCCTGCACGTGTACGATTCCTATCCAGATCGTGGGATGCTAACGGGGAACCTGTGTTCAAAAGCTTCCAGCCCCTCAAACTCGGTTTTGCTAAGGAACTTGCCATGCTTGTACATCAAGTGGGAGCGAAATCTTGCGTATAGCTGGTTCTACATGTGATCTAAAATGCCTCCGATAAAAACATTTTTGAGTTAGCTAAGTGTGTAACTACACGTTCCATGTTTTGTCGAAGTTCGGCCGTTTACTAAAGTGACACCTCATAGCCTGCCATTACTCGTCAATACGCTCTTTCTTATAAAAATATGAAAGAAGAGAGATTGTTTTTATTCTTATGAAACGCCGGTCAGTCACCTTTGCGTAGTTTTCAACTCATGGATGTCCCATCTCAGAAAACGAAGCCTTTAGAGTTTACACCCCTGACGTAGTCTTCCGCTTACGTAATTGGGCTTAAAACAAAATAATAGGAAAAAAAGTTTAAAGCACCCCGTCGAAGAACACATGAAAGGCCCCCGAAAACAAAGCCGAATGAGCTGGCTTTAGGGGGCTCACAAAAGTCTGAGAGTCTGAGCTACAGCCGAACAAGAGCTATCATAGAGCCGGTGACATTCGATTGTGTTGTTGGGTGAAACAAGAGGATGACCCCCATTTGGAGTTATGTCGACAGTTACTCTAGCTCGGTGGACGAAGTAAGTACTTCATCCGTGAATCGGCTCTTGGAGGTACTTAGCATTCCATTATTCATACTTTACATAGTGGTGCTGGTACTGGTGTTTATTGGATTTACACAGATTACGTTTCACTTCAATAAAAAAGCTCAATTACAGCTAGATTTTCTCGTGGATGATGATTCTTTAGAACCAGTAACGATATTAAGACCGCTCAAAGGTATTGATTCGAACATGCTTAGCTGTCTTGAATCATCGTTCCAACAGAAATATCCTCTTGAAAAGCTGGAAATAATATTTTGCGTTCAGTCTGCCGTCGATCCTGCGATACCGATTGTGAACACTCTGATTGAAAAATACAGTAACGTAGACGCCAAACTCATGATCGATCAAGACCAGAAGAGCCTTGATTTTTTCGGCTCCAATCCAAAAGTGAACAATTTGCATAAAGGTTACAAGGCTGCCAAATATGATATCCTATGGGTCCTTGATTCCAATATTTACACTGATCCACATACGTTGAGAAGATCCATCTACACTTTGCAAAACAACAAGAACAATGGATCCAGTGTCCCAGCTTGGTTGAGGCGAGACAAGACCGTCAAGATGGTCACACATGTTCCCATTGTTGCATCTAACTCAAAGCATCGCATAAACTGGGGGTCTAAACTTGACGAGATGTTCATGTCCACATCTCATGCCAAATTTTATGTTGCGCTAAATAGAATTCAACCAGCTCCTTGTATTAATGGCAAGTCTAACATTTACAAAAGGTCAGACTTGGACAAGTCTGTCGAGCTTATCACGCGTCAACGTATCCTAAAGGGGGATGGTCTCAAACACTTTGCTAAGTACATCGGAGAAGACCATATGATTGCAATAGCTATTTTTGAGAACGTCGATGGCTGTGCAGGGATGAGTCGAGATGTTGTTTTGCAGCCAGTCAGTGGTCAAAATAGTGTGAAAGAGTATATACAGAGAAGAGCAAGGTGGTTGCGTATAAGGAAGTATATGGTTTCTGCGGCCACATTCTTGGAGCCCACTACTGAAAGTCTTCTAAGTGGTATAATCGGGAGTTTCTCGGTAAATGTGCTTTTGAAGGACAAAAGTAGCATTAACTGGACATGGTTCATTTGTCACATGATAGCGTGGTTTGTTATCGACGCTATACAGTATGAGAAGCTCATCAATGTTACCAATAATAACGTGTCTTCAGTGATAGTGCCAAGAAAGTTCCATTTGGGTCAATTTGCTCGCTTCTGGGCATTGAGAGAATTCTTAGCTTTGCCTATATGGGTGATATCAATGTGTGGTACCGACATACAATGGAGAGGCCAACCGTTCAAGATTCTTCCAGACCTCTCGGCGGAGCCGCTGTAGGATGGCCTTTGTCACGTTATAACTTAGTCACTTTTTGCAAATAAAGACGTTCTCAACTACAAGACTGGTGAGTTAACTCAGGGCTCCTGAAGAGGTTATCGTAGACTAATTATTGTATTGTCAAGGCTTTGTTTTCAACTGAGAGGCTATTAGACGTATGACAAGTTTCCGGAATCTCAAAAAATCCCTCTTGTTTTTGTCCATATACTTCTATATCATAGATTATCCTGTAAATTTGAAAATAATGCATAGAATCATAGCATTGTCTTTGAATGCGATAGGTAAACCTCTTGGCTTGCCCCAGCTTTAGCAAACTCCTCTGCTTATATTCGACATGTTACAGATTACCTAATCTTCAGTGTTGAATACGTTACCCTTTTGAGACATGAATCTCATTTTCACAGAATGATGGTGGTAAAGATAACGGAGTTGGCGATGGAAGGGTACGACTTTGTTGTTTAGCCAAAAACATTGTTATCGAACCCTCATTTTGCAAAGTAATACTTTGGTGGCGTATATTCATTTATATGTATATGGATGTATCCTCTCATATATCACATCATACTTAAGGATCAAGGTTTGCACGATACGTCTAAGAGAGTTTTAGCTGAGAAGCTTGTATGATAAAGCTGACTAACGAGCAACTGACGTGATGCCGGAAGATCCTGGAAGGTTACCGGGAACCAATCTTGAGGAAAAGATTATGATTATAGATTATTTCAAAAACTCAAACAAACCGCAAAGTGAAACAGTAGAGCATTTCAAGGACAAGTTCTCCATTTCCACTTCTAGCTTCAGCGAATGGCTGAAGCATGAAGAAGAATTAAGGGAACGGTATATCAGAGCTGTCAATGGCCCACGAGGCGTATCAGAAAATTTAAAGCTTTCAAAACGAAAGTCGACATTCAAATATGGCCCGATCAATGATGCAATGCACAAGGTAGTCAGTGAACGATTGAGTATGGATTTACCTGTTACTGAACCTATTTTGCGGCATTATTGGTCTGAATTTACAAAAGAATATGGTGTTACCGACCCTAAAAGAGCAAAATCTTTTAGTCATGGATGGCTGGCAAATTTCAAGAAACGGCATGGTTTAACGAAAGTCAAAAAGGTAAAATCATTAACTAAAAATGCGTTTAACGCTTACCAAGGGAATGGTATCAATGGATCCACAACCAACATTTCAAAAAGTGGCACTTATTCTGAAAATCGAGATCTACCGAATACAAGTGATAATTTTCTGCGTAGTGCACCTAAATCAAGAGAGATGTATCCGGTGAGCCTTTCAACAGTTGTCAATAACTCCACCAACAATTCCGGCCAATACTCGTTAAATTTTGCTCCTATAGCGGGTGTCAATTCTTACGAACAGGATAACAACGCTAAAAGCCTTTTAGTTAGTAACAAACGAAATAAAATGTCTCCAGTTAATGGGGTCAATGGCATCTACAACTCTGGTAACGGCACTTACTCTGCTGAAGTGCCTTCTCCATCACCGCCATCCCAACTTTCCGAAAATAATAAAAAATCCAACTCATCAACAACTTTGAACTATTTGCTAATATCTAACGAGAATGGAGGCAGCTATTCAAGCCTTTCCTATGTACGACCAAGGCCAGATACAGAATATTCTCTTTTGCCAAACGAATATCAAAAACCTTCTAGCGTAACTTTCAGCAATATCACCGAGAACAATACCAATACCAATACCAATACCAATAATGAAAACAGTGGTACCACTGCTATTGATTCTAGTACTAACCGCAGTAGCAGTGGTAATGATTACGATCAGAAAAATAGGACTCCAGGAGATACTAATGAAGATAATAGCAGTACGAGTAAAACTCATACCAGCAGCACTAGTCCAGGTAATAAGTATGGTAGTGGCGGCGACACTAATAATTCCGGTGCAAATGGATCTAGTAGTACAGGTTCTCAGTTTAATCTACAACAAATTTTGAATTCACATCTTTCTAAGCCCCTCACGTCTACACCAATACAACATTCGAACTTTAGTATCAATATGAATCCTGGGATGAATTCAAGAGCAGGTCCTCACTATCAAAACCTCATTTATGCTCGAAATAATGGCTCAACTTCAATGGGACGTAAAAATTTAAACCCCACAGCATCACCAGTATATAGCAATGGAACTGGAACTGGAACTGGAACTTTCATGAGCAATGTTCAAAACACTATGTTGGAAAGTATGTCAAATGTACCCAAAAAAGCTTCTGCAAATTATGCTTCTACGCCTTCTTCATCTCTGCCAGTACAAAGCTTTCTTCCTAAAGTAAATGCGCAATCCAGCGCAATTCTCTCCTCGGTGGAGAATAAAATACCATATCACAATTATAGTACGAGCGCTTTGAACTCAAGACAACTTCCAGAGGATTATATAAACACTTCTAGCAGGATGGTCTTAGATATTGGTGATAAAGCAGGCAAAAATGAACCAGTACTAGTCCAGGCTAGGCATTTGTTACCTATTGTTAGTCATCCACAATCCTTCAATTATTCTGAAGTAGATTCCAAGGAGAGACAATCCAGGAAAGCTGATGACGTTGCTGCCCCTATTGATACGGCAAGAATCAAAGTAACTTCAGAAGATTACAATAATGAATCAAGTTGGAGACTTGAAAGCAAAAGCTTTGATGAGAAAGAAAAATTCAGCTTTGATGACATGGAGAAGCTTTTGTTTGTGCATGCGGATAAATTTTTTAAGCAGTTCAAAGGTACCCACGAGTTTGAGCAGTCTAAGGAATTATTTGAAGAGTTCAAAACACGATTTATGGCAGACAAACACCAGTATTTAGCTCATGAGAAGAAACGTCGAAGGAATTCTGAAAACACCTATTCCGGCATTACTACTACCGGAAGGGATTATGATAGTGGGTATTCGGATAATTTGTTTTCCAAAAAATGAGTACTTGTCATCTCCATTATTTTCTGGAACTTGGAAAGATTCAATGTAAACCTATTATTTCGCAGTGTTTTCCGGAGGTTTCAATCCCGTTACCTCTGCTGTGGCTTTGTATCAATTGTATATTAGAAAATGATGTATTTTTTTGTTTGGTAAACAAATACAGTCTCGGAGCATGTGGTGTTACAGCAGCAGGGCACATTGAAACAAAGTGCTTTTAAGGTTGCAGCCACAGAGAAAGAGGATCGTCGCTCGGGCTGTGCAGGAGAGGAGGCTCAGCTGTGAAAAGAAAACATCTCCGTCTGCTCTTTCCATGACGATCAGTTTCTCCGACGTCTTACTTCTAAAGTATTACACAGTCTTGACCATTTTAGGTAATAAGCTCAAAACTGTCTAATGTGGATAGTAGGGTATTAGGTACCTGTTCGGAAATTTTTGAATGTTCTTTTTTTTTTTGATAAATGCTTTATGAGCATAATGTTATTTTTACCGAATCGCCATATGTTTGTTGATCATTGAGGTGGCCAGCTGTGTTCCTGTTTGAGCTGAATTTTGGTTAAAAAACTTTAACAAAAAGAGTCGAGTTTTAAGAAAGCTTTGGGGACTTTTCAAGAAGGAAAAAAGAGCGTCTAAATTTTCGGGTGTTCCATATTCTGACTCGCTAGAACAGACCCTTTTCAGAGTTTTAGCTCCTTGTTGAAGTAGGAGCCTTCTGGTGCATAATTTAGTTAAGGAAGCGTAGCGCCTTAGCAGACAACTAATAGTAAGGAGTAGAACAGGCTGAAGGAGAGTATTATATTACACTGTGTATATATAAAGCGACAGAGATCCAGCGCTGAACATTATAAAAAGAAAAGCAGGAGGCATTAGTGAAAATGAAAAGTTTAAGTAAGTATGTCAGAAAGGGAGTTGAGTTTTCTGCTATATCTATCTATTGATTGAATTCGAGGTTTTGGCCATGAGACATTTGTCCTGCTGGAACTTGAGATTGGCCCTGTGCCTGTTGGGCATGAACTTGCGCCTGTACCTGGGCCTGAACTTGCGCCTGAACCTGAGCCTGTGCTTGCGCTTGCGCTTGAGCCTGGGCCTGGGCCTGCGCTTGAGCCTGTGCTTGATCCATAGCTATGTTGTTTTGACCCTGTGTCTGTTGTTGTTCTAGCATCTGACTCTCGTATTGCTGCAGGTTAAAGTTGTCTAGCGCTCCAGCACCTTCTATCTCGTGGAAATCGAGAATCTCGGAATACATCATGATTTTCCAGTTTTCGACAGGCAAATCAGCGTTGTTAAAGGACCAATCAAACTTCTCTTCAGCCACCGGTTCATCTGTTGGATCGTGATAAGGAGCAAGGTATGGGTGTGCCAAGGCCTCTGCTGCTGTTATTCTCCTGCGGGGGTCGAAGACTAACATTCTTGATAAAAGGTCAACAGCTTCGGGTTCAACGTCTTTGAACCTTTCAGTCAAAGGTATAGGGTCTCTATGTGGTAGGGATTGCACAAACTTGAGCGTGTTTTCCGAGCAGATCGTGTCGATGACGCCCGGAGGAGGAGAGCCCAAGAGTTCTGTGATGATGGAGAACTGGTGAACGTGGTCCTTCCCGGGAAAGAGGGGCTTACCCTCGATCATTTCAGCGAATATGCAGCCGACGGACCAGATGTCAACCTCTGTGTCGTACTTCTGCCAGGTGAGCATAATTTCCGGTGCACGATAGTACCGAGTGGAAACGTATCCGGTCATCTGTGGGTCTTGCACACGTGCCAAGCCAAAATCGCAGATCTTCAAATCGCAGTTTTCGTTCACTAGAATGTTGGAAGGCTTGAGGTCTCTGTGGATGACACCTGCAGAATGCACGTATTTCAAGCCACGCAATATCTGGTAAAGGAAATACTGGACAAACTGTTTTTCCAAAGGCCTGGAGGTCAGGAGCCTGTGGAGGTCTGTACCTTGGAGGTCTGTGACAAAGTAGATGTCCTCCAGTGGGGAAAGAAAGATGTCTTCCAAGGAAATCAAGTTTTCGTGTCTGAGATGGTTCAAGAGCTTCAACTCTCTGTACGTTCTCTTAGCCAAGATAGGCGTCGAGAACGGCTTCATCACCTTCTTGATGGCCACATTCTGGTTTGTCAACTTGTCCTTCGCGGAACAGACAAGGCCAAAAGCCCCCATTCCTATCGGATTCAGGTCAGAGTACCGCGAGGTGGTTTCAAATACCGTCCCAAAGATGTTCGATCTCACAAAGTCCTGTGAGGCTGACATGGTGGCGGAGAAGAAAGTACGGATGGATGTGTGTTGTTGTCCGAAGACCTGGGTGTGGATGTCCTCGTGCTGCTGTTTCTAACTCTTTGTGTTGGATGGCACGGCGTGTCTAGGTCCTCTTGCGTGTGGATCTTTGCTGTGTATTATTTTCAGACGTGCACACAGGTGTGTCTCGTTGCTCAGGGGGTTGCCGTTGCCGCTGCTGCTACTGCTGCTACTGCTGCTGTCTTGTTGTTGCTGCTCCTACGAAAACTCGAAGAAACCGTTGGCACACGAACAAAGGCGAATGGGACTGCTGATACGGCTGCTCCTCTGCGCTGGTTCTGACGTGGATCTTCCTGGAAGAGCAAGTAACACACCGGGCAGGTCGACACACACAGACGGCACGGGCACCGGCCTGTACTGTAAGCAATTTATTCCTGTAGCAAAGCACCGCAACAGGCGAGAGCGGCCGGGGCCAGGGGATGACGTAATGCGACAGCAGTGGTGTTGTAGGGGCGCTCGAGGAGTTGGTGAAGTTGTTGAAGATGGGAACGACGGGACGACGAACTCAGACGGGAGAAGGAGGATCCAGGAAGCTGGTGCAGAAGAGAGGAGCTGGAACCAAAAGCTGAAGAACCTACAGTGAACATGCTGGAAGCGTGGGAAGAGCTGAGAGAAGAGGCACGGGTGCTGGACGGCACGCACGAGACACACGCCGATATGTTTGTGTTCCCGACGTTCGAGACGATGGGGCTCTGTGCACGGAACCCGGAGCTGGACCCGCAAACAAGGGTGAACTACTTGTGCGGGAACTCGCTTGGGTTGATGCCGGTGCAGACGAGGCGGTATGTGGAGAAAGAGCTCGAGGCGTGGGGGGCCCGGGCAGTGGAGTCCCACTTCCGGAACGAGATTACGACGGACTGGGTGGACGTAGACTTGCCGCTTGTGCCGAAGCTAGCGAGGCTGGTCGGAGCGAAGGAGACGGAGGTGGCGGTTATGGGCACGTTGACGATGGACTTGAACTCGCTGCTTGTGGGCTTCTACCGCCCGGACGTGGCCAGCGGGCGGACAAAAATCCTCTTTGAGAAAGGGGCGTTCCCCTCGGACTACTATGCGCTATACAACCTGGCAAGACTCAATGGTCTGGCGCCGGAGGAGACGCTTGTGCAGCTGGCACCACGGGAGGGCGAGTACACGCTTCGTACGGAAGACATTCTCTCGAGCCTCGAGAAAGACGGGGATATGATTGCCCTTGTGTGTTTCTCCGGCATCCAATACTACTCGGGCCAATACTTCGACATCAAGCAGATCACGGCAAAGGCGCACGAGAAGGGCTGTGTGGTTGGGTGGGACCTGGCGCACGCCGCCGGAAACGTCGACCTCAAGTTGCACGAGTGGGACATCGACTTCGCCGCGTGGTGCAGTTACAAGTATCTCAACGCCGGGCCGGGGGCGATCGGCGGTGTCTTCGTCCATGAGAGACACACGGGCGGCGACGATCGCACAGGTCGGGCCCGGCTCGCTGGCTGGTGGGGCAACGACGCAGCCAACCGGTTTGAGATGTTGGAGAAGTTCCGGCCAATCGAGACCGCCTTGGGGTTCAGACAGAGCAACCCCAGTGTGTTGGACGTGAGTGCGTTGAACTCTTCGCTTGACGTGTTTGAGGCGTGCGGCGGGATTGGGAAGCTCAGAGCAAAGTCAATCCAGCTCACTGCGTTCTTAGAGAGGTGCTTGCACAAGAGCAGGTTCTACAGAAGCATCGAGGACAGCAACAAGACCCAGGACGCCGCCGACGTCCACTTTGTGATCATCACTCCGCAGGATCCTGCACAGAGAGGTTCACAGTTGAGCTTGCTTTTCAAGCCGCTTGAGAAGGACGTTATGATGCAGGTCTTCCAGTTCATGAACCAGCGGGGCTCGATCTGCGACGAAAGAAAGCCCAACGTGATCAGATTGGGGCCCACCGCTTTGTACAACACATTCGCCGACTGTGTCGAGTGTGTGCAGCTGCTTGAGGAGGGCCTTCTTTCGTACACCTCGGACAACCACTAGCTTACCTCTTGTTAGACACGTATACTATTTTACCTCTATAGTTCCCTATTTCAACTTCTTTTGAACCGAAAGTCGAAAAACATGATGGCACGTGATTATACATCAGTCTTTAAAAAGTGTGGCGCACTGTAAATTCTGCTGTGCACGTGACTTTTTCAAAGAAGATTTCCTCTTTGGGTGAACCAACATGACTCCACAGTTGTTGAAGTTTCTCCTGCATTACTAAGACGGGTTTTCGGGCCTGGAGGGCAGGTTTCGTTACGGGTGGGAGCAAAACGGGACCTGCAACGGTAGCGAAGCGATGGCGGGATCGAAGGGCTCTTCGTGAAGAACTCCGGAGCGTCTTTTCTTTCTTCACGCTTTTGTTTGCTCCGTCCCCCCGTTTTGCTTGCCTCGATAGTTCCGATATTACAGAAGTATACCCGGTTAACAATACTCTGACTTGCAGCTACAATATCCATTTTCCAATTTTGCCATTGGCTACCACGAAGCAAAATCATCCCCCTTTAAATCGCATAGCAAGACAGAGCGGAGCAGACATATCCCCGCATAGCCGTAAAAACTATTTGATCGTTGCTTTTGATCAGTCAAGATGGTGAAAAATTTGTTCAAAAAATACTACTACAAGAAGTCCAGACAGGGGCACTCACATGCCGATCCCGCTGGAGACGGTGAGCAGTCTGTGTTGTCCAACGAGAGTGAGAGCAGTAGTGTTCGTAGCAGCTCAAAGATACCAAAGATAGAAGCATATGGCACGGAGCCTGTGTCGGACTACACTATATTTCCTTACAACGAAAGAGTGATAGAGTCTAAGGATTATCTGAAGTACTTGGCAAGGTCTCCGATGAAAAGGTCGGCCCACTATGTCAAAAACCTTTTTCCAATTTTCTCATGGATAGGATACTACCCAACACAGCCCAAATGGATTGCCTCGGACTTCATCACAGGTGTTTCCGTTGCAATTGTTTTGGTGCCACAGGCTATGTCCTACGCAAAGCTAGCAGGATTGGACCCCGTGTACGGGCTTTACTCTTCTTTCATTGGTTTGATGATGTATGCGCTTTTCGCAACTTCAAAAGATGTCTCCATCGGCCCCGTCGCAGTTATGAGCTTGGAGGTTTCCAAGATCATCAACCGGGTTCAAGACAAGTACGGTGATCTGTACACGGCCCCTGAAATTGCTACCACTCTTGCGCTATTGTGTGGTGCTATCACTTTGGGTGTCGGTCTTTTAAGACTCGGGTTCTTGGTGGAATTAATTCCGTTGCCTGCAGTAATGGCTTTCACAACAAGTTCGGCCTTTAATATCATTGCGAGCCAGTTACCTGGCTTGATGGGCTACTCGAGTAAGGTCAACAACCACGTGGCTTCTTACAAAATCATCATCAATTTTCTAAAGCATTTGCCAGACACAACAGTAGATGCTGCTTTCGGTCTTGTTGGACTTTTTATCTTGTACCTCTGGAAATACTTCTGCCAACACATGATCAAGAGGTATCCGAAGAAGGCCCTCCTTTGGACTTATGTTTTGAACTTAAGAACTGCGATTGTCATCATCTTCTCAACACTAATTTCCTTTCTCATTATCCGTCATCACAGGGAACACTCTCCTTTTTTGGTCACCGGTGAAGTCAAGGCCGGATTGCAAAATCTTGGTATGTTCACGCCACCTGCCAATCTTGCATCTCGTATTGCGCCGGACTTGCCTGTTGCAACAATCGTGTTGGTTCTTGAACACATATCCATTGCAAAGTCATTTGGCCGCTTGCACGACTACAAAATAGACCCAAACCAAGAATTTATTGCCATTGGGGTTACTAACCTTGTTGGAACTTTTTTTAGTGCCTACCCTGCCACAGGATCATTCTCACGTACTGCATTATCTTCCAAATGTGGTGTGAAGACCCCATTGGCTTCTATTTTCGCTGGGTTTTGTGTTTTGCTAGCAATTTACTGTTTCACAGACGCTTTTTTCTACATCCCAAAGGCAACGTTATGTGCAATCATCATTCACGCTGTGAGTGATTTGATGGCTTCTTATACAGCAACCTGGAAGCTGTACTTGATTCAGCCCTTGGATTGCGGAATCTTTCTCGTTGGTGTCTTTATTGGAGTTTTTGCTTCCATCGAATACGGTATTTATTGGGCAATGTGTGCTTCATGTGCCCTCATAATTTGGAGAATGTGTTGGACAAACGGTACTTTCATGGGGCGTATCAAGGTTGTTGAACTTATTAATCCAAAAATACTGAACAACTCCCCTTTGAGGGACTCCAACATGACATCCGAAGAGAAAGATTATGAGGAAAATAAGAAGACTACTGTTCGGACGGAAAAGGCCTTTATAAACTCAGGTCTCATCTCAATGGCAGATTCTTATATGAGTGTAGGCAGTTACAAGGCCACTGATTGTAATGAGCTCACAGATTCAATGGATCGAGATATTGTTTCTTATACCTATAAATGGGTGCCTTTATCCATAGAGAATACAAATCCAGACAAAGTTCACACGAGATTCATCAATGAAAGAATTGATATTGAACTGCCACCACCAGGAGTGATTGTTTACAGAATGAATGAGAGCTTTGTGTATCCCAACGCCTCTGCTCAGACTGACAACATAATCGATTACATCAAAAAAAACACACGTTCTTCCGGGCAAAAAAGAGAGATTTTGTGGAATAACATTGGTGAGCATCAGAAGCTAGATTGGAATTGGAATTGGAATGTCAAGTCCTGGAATGCCACTCTCATCTCGTCTAAAATGAACAAACTGATACATGGTCTCAAATTAAAAAATCGAGAAGATGGAGAACATGACAGCGAACAAGAAAACATTACATTCAACGACATTGACACTGAGACACAATCAGAAACCTACTATGATAAAGATGTTTCAAGAATCATTTTGAAACCGAAGCTCAAGATTCTACACTTAGACTTCTCCCAAGTTGTTGCAATCGATGCAACATCTATACAAGCGCTTATTGATATGAAGAGAGCAATAAGTTTACACACAGATTCCGAGTTTGAAATGCATTTCTCAGGAATAATCAACCCGTGGGTTATCCATGGGTTGGTTAATGCTGGCTTTGGTGGCAAGGCTGGTGATCCAACTCCAAACAAAAAGACAGCTGATCATGATGTTGAGGATCATGCAGTTGAAGTGGATGTTGAGGAAGACGCTTTCAACGAAGAAGAAAATGAACAAGTGAGTAAGATGCCTCGGACGAGCGTTGAAACCGACAGGTACATTAGTGCAGCCTTTGGAAGCAATGGTGTGCTATATCCTGTCTTTGGTACGAACCTTCCTATGTTCCATTTGGATATCCCATCATATGCAGAGTATGATTGACGCATTACGATTTTTCATCAAATTTGAAAAAAAACTACGCATTTGTTTTAACGGTATATATAGCTAGATGTACTTGCCGTCAAACACATATAACATCGCATTAAAAGTAAAATATAAGGACTGATTTAATATATTGCTGTAAACTTCAGGTACAACCGCTACCAGGGTTTTTGTACAAATGTAAATTTCTAAAGCTATCTAATTGTTTGTCACAGCGTAATTTTTTTTTGGTCGCCCTCTTTTTCTTTTTAAAGCTTCATCCATAATTTCTGGCTTAGTGTCCAAATCACTCACAGAAACCATATAGGTTCTCTTTTTCGGATCAATTTCGATACCGCCTTCATTCGCTCCTGCGTTATCCTCGCAGCTGTTCAAGACTGCTAGCTTTCCGATACTGTCCACACAGTATAAAGAAGACGTCTCTGGATCAAGATTTGGTGGTATAGTGGAGGTCTTGATTTTATTGTTGGGATTGACCCTGTTTCTCCCAAAATTTTCTTCCTCATCGCTCTCCTCGTTGTCTGTACGCTCTTCTAATTCACCGTCTGGATTATCTCCTTGTTTTTTAACGCATGCAATAGTGCCATTTTTCTTGTACTTCCACTCTTGCATCGGCGTATTCAACGCACACTCACTAACATGACCGATAAAATCTTTCGCAGTCGTGAAATGAACACTGCATGACAAGCAATACCCGCCATCATTGCGCCTAGTGACCAAGTCACCAGTTTCCTCATCGTAAACCTCTGCCAATTCCTTTCCATCAGTATCGGTGTTGCCTTCTCCATCTTGTTCATTTTTTTTGTTCTTTCTTTTCAGTTTGAAAACCATCTCGTTGTCAGGTTCATAGTGGACAAGTTTTAAATGTCTCTTAAGAACGTCCAATCTATTGAAAGAGCCGTTGTTCCTATGGGGACATGTTGCATAACTGACATTCCAAAATGGACAATGATATTGTGGAGCATTGTGAGACTTTAAATGCCGTCTCAAATCACTTGGTCTTGTGAAAGACCAGGTGCAATGAGCGCAACGATATGGTTTAGGCGAATCAGGATCGTTTGATGTATCCTTGGATCTAGGTCTCATTTTGCCGGATTTTTCCAGAGCAGCATTTGTCTCCATATTTTTGGGATCGTTTGGTAGCGAGCCAATAGATGGGCCCATCAAATTGGGGATCATGGATAACGGAATGGAAGGGGCAAAAGTAGCAGCCAAAGCTGGTGAAAGAACGGAAAGTGGCCCTGCGTTAAACCCTCCTGTTTGAGAAAAATCCGGTAACAAGTTATTGGAAAGTGGGTGATATAATGAGTTGTTGATGGCGGCGTATCCAAATGCATTCGAGTCTGGAACAAAGTTTGCCGCTGAAACATTTGAATCACTACGAGACTGCAGTGGAACTTCTGGATGGTTTTGCTGGGCCTGTTGGGGTAGATCGTATAGCTGATTGTTCGCCGACGGAGACTGTGCACGTTGAGGCATTTGAGCCTGTTTTAACTGCTGTAGTTGTTGTAGTTGCTGCAATTGCTGGAGCTGCTGTAACTGCTGTAACTGCTGCAGTTGCTGCAAGTGCTGGAGTTTCTGAAACTGGTGGAATTGCTGGGGTTGAAAGTTTGGTAACTGGGGTTGCTGTGGCGGGAGAGGGGTTCCGAATGTGGATGGTGTTGACGTTTGAGGGGTTTGGTTTTCTGACAAGTGTCCATGCTGCATTTGCTGCTGGTTATGCAAAGAGTAAGGGAATTGGAGAGGCTGCTGCTGTTGCTGCTGTTGGTTGGTGTCATAATCAGATTGCTCGTGGGAGAGAGACGTTTTTCGCTGCGAATCTGCGCCGGACAGCTGTTGCTGCTGATAATGGTGCTGATCAAGGAAGAAGGCCTTGAAGTTGATAGAATCAAGGAGCGACGCAGATATCGAAGGGTCCAAAGAAGACGGGAACTGCTGAAGCTGCTGTAGTTGCTGTATCTGCTGTAGCTGCTGCAGCTGTAGTTGATAATACTGCTGGAGAGTTTTCGCAGAGCCGTAAACCTGGTTGTTCTGAAAATAGGGCTCTGAAATCTGCGGAGCAGCGCCGTTAGCGAAGAGGTTTTCGAGGGACTGCTTTTGGCCATCCTCCCTTGCCAGAGGACTGTCCATTGGGAATGGGCTGCCAGTGCCATTTGCTCCCGATTTTTGTCGTCTTTGCATCTGCTGCTGCAGTTCGGTCGGACTGTTGCCCTGCTGCTGCTGCTGCGGCTGTGGCTGCTGCGGCTGTTGAGGGGGCACGTATTTGTTGTAGTATATCGAGGACAGGAGCGGATAGACGTAGTTTGGGGGAAGCCCCGCGGCATTCGTGAAGGGCATGAATCCGGGGTACTGGAAGGAATTCTGCAGCTGCTGCATGGGCTTCATGGCGGGGTGGAGAAACGGCGACGGGTTGTCGAAGAGTGTCTTCTCGCTGACACCCCGTTTGTCGCCGTCCTGCGGGTTGTTCTGGATGCCCGGGTAGTTGAAGCTTCTGCCGTTCTCCTCCGCCGAACTGTCGCTCGTGTGAGTGTTCGCCACAGCGTGGTCGTTCATCTTCACGGCATCGCTGCCGAAGTCGCCCGGCAACGAGTGCTGCTCCTCCGCGATACCGCCGGCTGCTGCCTCGACGCCTTCCTTCGTCTGCCGGCTGCTGCGGTGCTCGTTCTGGGCGTTCTGGATGGCCTTGGCTGTCTTGAAACAGGCCGACGCTGCAGACGACGCCGACGAGATGGAGTTGTGTGCGGTGTCCAGCATCGACTGCGAGGACGACGACGTCCTCGTCGATTTGGCGTCGCCACTTTGCCCTGCAGACCCGGCAGACCCGGCAGACCCAGCTGACCCCACCGACCCCACCGACCCGGTCGGTCCATGTGACGCAGCCTTAGCTGCTCTGTTATCGTCTTTTGCAAAGGCATCTTCACCTCCCATGCCGTCTGCCGGCATGGTCGACAACCGCGTGTGAACCATTGTGTATCTGGTGCAGTCCGTACACCTGTGCTGCCCAAACAGATGCTTCTGCGTCCCCTGCTGCTCTTCCCCAACACACCCGTCTTCTTCGGTCTCTGTCTCATCTTCCTCTCATCCCTCTGTTTCTCTCTATCTCTCTATCGGGCTGTATCTGCTCTGCTGCTCCACAGGGAAGAAAACAATACCCGGATTTTCTCGTTCTCGCTCTTTTTCGCATTTTTTGCACTTTTTCTCCTCGAAGCCTGTGCGGCTTCCTGTGCGGCATTTTTTTTTCTCTTTTTTCTTTTTTTTTTCTTTTTTGGGAATGAAACGGTTTTTCACGTGACTCAAAGTGGGGGGAGTCTGGATCTGTCGGAGTTGCCTAAACAGGAAAAAGCCAGGCGGCGGTTAGCGGAGGGGCCCCAAAATGGCACCAGCAGGGGCAGCAGAGCAGGCTGCAACCAGCCTGGCCCCCGCTTGACCTCTTCTGGATTGGCCGAGAAGCGCACGCTTTGGCAGGCTTTGGCAGGCTTTAGCAGGCCAAGCTTCCCCAGCTTTCTGCACCAGAAAAAGCCGCCGACACCGGCGGCCTCGACGGCGGAGAACCGCAGCAGCGGAAAATCGCTCAACGGCTGTTCCCACAAGAGGAAACAAGTGCGACGTCTCGACTTATCGCTGCGATAGCGGATGTTCCCGCTTGCGCCGTGCGCCAGCCCCTGGTTGTTCCTGCTATAAAGACAGTGGCGTGCCCCGTTTCCCACCATAGACAGTCTCTCTGGATGCGGTGTCTGGGATGGCAGACCGGTCTACGCTGGGGTTGGCTCTTTCGACAAGATGATACCAGCATAGCTGCTTGCCAATTACCACACCACTCACGATGAGTACTACTGTCGTAGAGAGAGAAGCCTACAACGTGCGCCGTTTCGAAGAAGGACGGAGCAAGAAAGCAGAGACAGAGGAGGAAGACGAGGTGCAGGAGGAGACAGAGTCGGTCGACGATGACCTGGCAGAACTGGTGGCGGCATCGCACGAGAACATCTTGACCAGCAAGAAGCTCATCATCGTGTTCGTTTCGATGTCGGTGGCCTTGATGATCTCGTCCATCGACCTCACGGGCGTGACGATCGCCGTGCCCTACATGGCGAAGGACCTGGACGCGTACAGCTCGATCTCGTGGGTCGGCACGTCCTCGTTGATCAGCACCACCGTGTTCATGGTGCTCTTCGGCCGCTTCAGCGACATCTTTTCACGCAAGTACACGATGATCTTCGCCATGGTGATGCTTGCGTTCTTCGACCTAGCGTGTGCGTTGGCACAGACTCCGACCCAGCTCTACGTATTCCGGGCCCTCTGCGGCATGGGAAACGGCGGCATCACCACCTTGAGCATGGTCATCGTCTCCGATGTAGTCACCTTGGAGCAGAGGGGCTTTTACCAGGGCATCTTGGGCGCCTTCTTCGGCATCGGAAGCGCCATCGGCCCCTTCATCGCCTCCGCATACATCAACCACTCCTCGTGGAGAAAGTTCTACTTCACGCTATTTCCCATCTGCCTGTCGTCCACGCTGATCTTGATCAAGTACGTTCCGTACACAAGGCCCCAGCACTCCATGAAGGAGAAGCTCCTAAACCTAGACTACTTGGGCTTTTTCACAAGCTCGGTAGCCATAATCTTCCTCCTAATCCCTATCAGTGGGGGCGGCTCAACCTTCCCCTGGACCAGCGCCTTCACTATCTCCATGATTGTCATCGGAGGCGTCTTCTTCCTGATATTTTTGCTCGTCGAGCACAGGGTCTCGAAGCTCCCTCTCATACCGTTACGCTTGTTCAATGAGAGTTTCTCATTGACCTCTATCCTCCTGCACAACTTTTTCTTTGGCATCTGCTACTACGGCATCCAGTACTACTACCCGTACTATTTTGAGGTGGTGAGAGGATACACCCCAATGGAAACTTCCTGTTTTCTCTTAGCGTTCGTTTTGCCACAGACCTTAACTTCGATCTGCTCAGGGCAGCTCATTTCCCGCACTAAGCACTACGGCTTTGTAATATGGATCGGTTATACTCTTTGGATGATTGCAATGGGCCTCTTGAGCTTGTGGGGGTTGAATACCAAAAAAGGTGTCACCATCATCATCATGGTAATCAATGGGCTTGGATCCGGTTTTATTTTTCAGCCTACTTTGATTGCAGCTCAAGCCCATTCGCTCAAAAGAGACAGAGCTACAGTCATTTCAACAAGAAATGTCTTGCGTACTTTTGGTGGCTCCATCAGCTTGGCAATTTCTGCAACGATTCTTGCCAACACTTTTGCCGAAAATTTGAACGCAACAGGAAGTAAATATTTTTCCAAGACAGAAATTGAAGTGTTAAAAACGATGATATATACCAAGCCTGACCTTTCAAAATATACCTCTACACAGGCACTTTATTTGAAGGAAATTTATATGCTGGGAATCAAAAGAATATTCTACGTTTGGATGGCTTGCATGGCATACTGTTTCATTACAAATATGCCAATCAAAGACAGAGGGTTGCAACCTATAGACGAAAAAAAATGATCTAATTACCATCATCTTAATTTATATTGCTATAATTTTTTGTATTTCAAAAAAATAATGATAAAGAAACTGAAGCATGCGAACTACCAACTTAATAATAAAGTGAAAGAGATTGCACAAGAATGGAAGTAATTATTTACTCCATTTTATACATGTAAGTAGACGTTTCTATGGTTGAAAAAATATACTCCGATGCCGGGAATCGAACCCGGATCTGCTCGGTGAGAGCGAACCGTGCTAGCCATTACACTACATCGGATATTTGATTAAGTAATCTTTAGCTTTCAATTTGGATCAAATCAAAATATCTTCTCCTTCAACTACCATTATTATTCAATTTGTAAAGTAGGTCATTAAGCATAGAGAATATTTCAGGTACAAGACTTCATTGTTACTCTCTAAATGATAATGCTAGTTTATTCAAGGCCTGTTTAATTAATCGGTTCCAAAACAGGAGCACTGATGGCCTCTGAAAATGCACGGGTTCAAAGCAGTAAGTTTTGGTTCGCCATTCCTCTAGCTGGTTGCACAACAAAGAAGATCTTTGAGTGTTGATAGTAACTAGATCAGGCAGTCAACTAAGCCCCAGAAACAAGCTAGTGTGGTCAAACTTAGACCCTCCATATTTTCACTTCTAACTTGTCCCTAACGTAATCATTAATGGGCTAAAAGTAATCTAGTGATTGAATATGAAATTAGATCAACAGCTTGTTTCACAAGAATGAAAAAAAAAATGGTAGCTTTGACCTGTTTTCTGGTTAAACACTGGTATGAAAAACTCTCAAAGTTTGGACAGATCATCAATTTTGTCGAGAAAGATTTCACCAGGTAGTGCACTGATAGATATTCAGTCAGATTAAACTGGGAATTTTCTTTAACATGAGGTTCACAGTCAACTATTCAAATATCATTATCGTATACAAGATTCTTTTGTGAAAAAAGAAATCGATGCTTGTCCTTCTGAGAAGAATTTCTTCTGAGCGCAGATCATGTAAAATACCTCTGCTGCAGCGGCTTGTAAAAAACATCGTCGGCGCTCAGAATCAAAAATAAATAAACTCCGATGCCGGGAATCGAACCCGGATCTGCTCGGTGAGAGCGAACCGTGCTAGCCATTACACTACATCGGATGTTATATCCTCCAAATTGGATTCCTGTAATATGTTCAAAACCTTAAAAAAAGCGCGCCAGCCCTTTTTTACACTTGCATATAGTTTCTCTGATTTATTTGGACAATAATACTGATCTAAAGCTAAATTCCAGATTACGTAATATACATAATTTGAACAAACTTTACAGAAAAGCAGAAAAACAGTTTTTTCAGGAATAGCAACTCTTTGTGAAAGCATCAATGCTCTTTTAAACAGGTTTGTAAGCTTACCACTAATCTAGGCCATTTATAAGAGAGCTCACCACTTTCTATTCTTTGGAGGGTTGGCCGAGTGGTCTAAGGCGGCAGACTTAAGATCTGTTGGGCGTATGTCCGCGCGAGTTCGAACCTCGCATCCTTCATCTGTTTTTTATCAATTTTTCTTTGCTGCAGTGAGAGTGTTCATGAATCCATTCTTTTTTTTCTTAACCAGTTAAACCTATATGCTTCATATCATGAATTTTCAATATCTAAATTAAAAAGACCATCGAGATATAACAAATAGACATGGACTACCAGAATCGAGTAGGGTCAAAAAAAGGTGGTGGAGGGGTGGCCGGTACCGCTGAGACTAACCAATACAGAAGAGAAAGACTCAAAAACCTTTTACAGTCGAAAATCAATATTGAATCTGACCCCTATGTGTTCAAAAATCATTTGGGTATCTTGGAATGCAAACTATGTTTAACTACCCATATGTCTGAGAGTAGTTACATTACTCATACGACGGGTCGTAGGCATCAACTTAATCTTATGCGTCGAGCGGAGTCAGAGAGAAAGCAACGCAGTTCAGAGAAGAGTGGCACTGAAGAAGAAATAATAGAGAAAAGACACTGGACCACCATAGGTAAACCTGTATATAAAGTCTTTAAAATTAGAGATCCTGTGAGCCTAAATAAAGGCTTTATTTTTACTTTCAAGTTGGATAAAATCAAAGCGGATATCAAACCTTTGTACCGATTTATGTCATGTTTTGAACAGAAAAAGGAGAGCCCCAACCCTAAATTCCAATATCTTCTCATAAGTGCAGAGCCTTACGAGAATGTTGGTTTCAAGATACCAGGAGATACAATTGATTTACGCACTGATAGAATATGGGACTATTGGGATCCCGATACCAAGGAATACTGCATACAATTTTTCTACCTAAACAAATAGTTTTCTAAACACTAAATATACACCTAACTAAATACACGACTTTTTACTTTACAATTATAATACTTCCTTGGACTCTTTAATTTTATTAGTGATTTCAGCAATATACAGCAGAATTTTTGAGTTTAGTTTCTCCAGGTCAAAATTGGTTTCCTTACACTCAAGTTCATACTGCTTTTCAATATCTGTTATCTTACTTCTCCAATCATTTATTTGCGCCTCTTTTTCACTTAAGTCAACATCTTCCAAATTTTTCTCTGACTTGAGGGAATTGTATTCGTTGTTTTGAATAGCTATTTTTTCCTCTAAAGATTTCATTTTCTCTGTGTAGAATGATTGTAGCTTTGTTATTCTATCCTCATTATGCTTTAGCTGCCTTTCTATCTGTATCATCTTCCGGCTGTATTCATTCGCCTCCTCTGTGGTTTCTACCATCTGAGATTTCAAAGATTTTAGCTTGTCATCGTAAGATCTATTCCTAGTCGACTCGATTTTAAGATCATCAGTGAGTTTTTGCAGATTATTCAGTTCTTGCGTTAGAAGCTGAAATGAGTCTAGCGAAATAGTAATACTCCTCAATTTATTTTCGAGTCCCTTCAACGTTTCTGACTCTTTGGTTTCTGACTCTTTCATTTTTTGGGTAAGTTCTCTGACACTTTCGGGTGATTCTTTGATGTAAGGACGGATTTCTTCTAAATCCTTTTCCGTTTCTATGTATAAAGCGCTCTGATTTTCAAGCTCATTGATCAGACCTGTTTTTTCGCTTCTGTACTTCTCGTGCTCCTCTGCAAGTTGCTTTTGTATCTGTCTAAGGTTGCGAAGCTGGTTTTCTAGATCTTCGTTGTGATTGAAAAGCTCTTCGTGGGTGTACTGTTGAGCCTTCAAGTTTTCCACTATTCGATCAATCTCACTCTGTATCTCCCTGTTCTTTTTCACCAAAGTCTTATAGTTCTCCAGAGTTTGGTCATTTTTATCCATCAGTTCATCCAAATCGCCCATGCGTTCTTCTCTGAAACGTGCATAATTGATCAAAGCGCTCAAAATGATTCTTAACCTGGAAGGTTCGGGCTTTGATATATCTCGTATGTTGAAGTCGTCCACACCACAATCGCACAAAAACTTATACATTATTCTTTGACATGCTACAACACTGATAGAGGATTTGATATCATACTTGAATTGTCCTTTACGCTGATTTGCATCGCTTTGCGAGCCAAATTCTCCGTTTTTGTCGTTCTTATCATTTCCTGCCCTCTCCTCACTGTCGCTGTCACTATATTCCATCTCTATTTGTGCTACTTTATCTCTCAAGGAGTAGGGTGAAATGTAAAGAAACTTATCCAAAATTTGCTCAATCAAAGATTTCATGAACGATGAGTTTGGCCTTGTCAAGGAAGATTCATTTATGTTGAAACCCATTGTATCGTACAGTAAAACTAATTCTTGAGAATCGAGAATAGGAAATTTATACTTGTTCTTCGTTTGAGTCGACTGCTGCGACGAGCGGTAAATTGCACTGGGACGGGCCATGCTTAGTGATTAAGATAGTGATACCAGCTCGTACTACGTGACTACAAAAGAATCATTTTGTAACGAAGCGATTGTGTGAAGAAGAACTTCAGGTTTGACACCAAATAGTAAACAAAAACCACTCGCGTCACTTGGAAAATGATAAAGGAACGCACGTGACAGGATGTTTCTGAGATGGAGTGTGATTTCAATGGTTGTGATGGCAGTTGTATACCATTTGTCTTCTAGATGCAAGGTATTGTACATTGCGAACGAGCAAGATTAGGGCTCAGAAATGCTTAGTAGTTTGGATTCTGAGGTGCAGCTCGATTTAGGGCCAGAGTCGGGTCCGCATCAAGAGTCGCAAGCTGAATCACAATTTGGATATGGATCGCAAACTGAGTCTCAGTTCGAATTGCCGTTTGAATCACAGTTTGAGTCGCAACTTGATTCGCAGCTTAACCCTCAAAATGATAAGAGTAAGCATTTAATACCTCGTATGTATGGGGTGTACTTGTTAAAGTCATTGCCAAAAAAATCGTGTTTCTATGTCGGTTCAACCCCCGATCCTCATCGACGATTGAGGCAACATAATGGCGAGTTGGCTCGTGGTGGGGCATACCGGACAAAGAAGAAAGGTTATCGCCCCTGGAGAATGGTGTTTTATGTTTTTGGGTTTCCAAACAAAATAAGTGCCTTACAGTTTGAACACGCTTGGCAGCACGCCTACCAAACTCGACATATTCCGTTTGAAAAAAGATTGAATCCGGGGAAAAGAAACACCGGCAGTGGTACCAGTCTCCATAGTAAGATTGCAAATTGCAGATTACTGTTGAACTCTAAAGGTTTCAACAGACTCGGCTTGAAGGTGGTTATATTCGATAATTCTGTTTACGATGTGTGGCTTAAGAACAAATTTGGTATCCCAGTACTTGAAGATATACAGATTGATGTAAGAATTGCTAACTTGACAGAAGAAACTACCACCACTACCACTGCTGCTGACGGGGCTATCGCCAGTGGCAACTACAACCAGTTGAAAGAGTTCATGGAATACAATAGCTCTTTGAATGAGGAGTACTTTCAGAAATGTAAGGAGTTGTACGGCAAGCCTGATGAACTGAGAACGTGTAAGGTTTGTGACAAGCAGGTTGACGTTGAGGATGGCTTCCACACCATGTGTGTCTGCGGACACCGTGACTGCACATGCATTTACCACCTCTCTTGCCTATCTGGAAAATTTCTTGAAGAAGAAGAGGAGAAAATAGCGGAAGGTAGTGCAGATGAACTCCATGTTCTACCAAAAAAAGGGAAATGCATAGGGTGCAATAAGATTAACTTTTGGAACTTGGTTATTCGGGGCGCAATGAACTTGCAAAAAAATATATAGAGGATCATTAAAAATGTGTATAAAAAAAATCAACGCTTCTTTGCAGTTGTCTCATTAGCCTTAGAACCTTTGGTTCCCTCCTTCTCCTCAATGACCTCTAATTTTGAGTTGCCTTTAGCGGTGTTCTTTTTTACAGATGAGGATGGTCCCACATAGGCTGTCTTGTCGTCTTCAAAGTAGCTGTTGATCATGCTGAGAGAAAGGTTGATAATCAGGGTCCAGAAGCCTACTACTGTACCGATTGTTCCCACAATGACAGATGAAAAGAAAAATGCCTCTCCTGGTCTTTGTCCGAGAGTCTCGAATGGCTTTTCGATAACATCTGCGACATAGTACTTCAAGTCACCCAAAAATTTGCCAATGTTGTCAAGAGCATACTCATACATATCGGATACGATTGCGGATTGTAGATATGGATCATCTGGGGATGAGGTCTTTTCGACGTTTGGATCACTCATAATCACCAATTCATTTTCGGAGTTCAATTTTGGAATGAAAGTTGCATTGGCAATTTGTTCTGCCTCGCTAATTTCATGTCCGAGGTAGATGTTATCAAATAAAATATGGTCATCCATTGTCCAGATCTCGAAACCTAAACCACCGATAGGCTCGAAGTCAGATGGGCTGATGATCTCGTAGTAATCAGGATTTGGAATTGTTCTTGGTGCCCATTCACCCTTGTATTCAGGGTTTGCAATCTTTCTTGGAGTCCACTTCCCTTTGTAGTCTGGATTTTTGATCTTTGGTCTGATCCATTTGCCACAGCCGTGGTTTTCACACTCTGGGTTATCAATCATGACAGGTTCCCAGAATCCATCTTCTTCGTCATCCCAACCTTCTGGCTTGAGATCGGTTGGATCTGGGATCTCCTCAGGCTCATTTTCATCCCAGTCCGCAGGCTTTGTAGCTTCTGGATCTGGGATTAAGTAAGGAGCATTTTCGTCCCAGTCTTCTGGCTTGGTATCGTTAGGGTCGACAATGAATTCCTGTTCGACCCAGTTCTCTGGCTTAACGTCATTTTCATCGATGATCTCCTTCGCTGGAACTAAGTCAAAGTCGTCTGGGTTGAGCAAAGAGCCCGATCTTGCGATGACACCGTTGATTCTGATTTCGAAATCTTGGTTGGGCTTGACAATCAAGGTGTAGAGAGAGGTTGTCTGCACCATTCTAGCCATTGGCGGAGCCTTGACATGGTGTTCTTCGTATTCGTTTGTTTTAGGGTTGAGGGTTTTGATGATGAAGTGGACCTTGTTGTCTGCACCACACTTGTCAGGCCCAAACATGATAACGTACGGAGTTTTGTCGCTGAATTCGAGACTGTTCTCGGAATCGTATTGGAGGCCCTTCTCACTCAAAAGCTTGATGTAGGCACCACCGCAATTTAAGCTCTTCTGGAACTTCACCTCGTATTGCAACACAAGGGTGTTATTTGTGTTGTCGAAGACGTGAGGGAGTCTGGCGCTGATGGCGTGCAAGGCCGCCTCGGTCTTGACAACCAAGCCTTTATCGTTCTTGACACCATTCAAAACAAACGACTCCTCCACGGCCCATTCTCCGACGTAGGAGAGCTTGTCATCTTTCATGGCGGCAGACGGGATCCATCTCGATTTCCAGCCAAGGTCGAATTGCTCGAAGAAGGCGTCTTCCGAGATCTTTCCTTCGTATGGCTTGTATGTTGGCACGACTGCATCGGCGTTCGAGGCAAGCAGGGAGCTGGCAAACAACGTTGCAACGATGCTGGATATGGTCGAGTACGAGAATCTCATTGTGCTGTTTTCCTCTGCTTGTCTCTGGAGAGAGGGTGCGGTGCAGAGAAGAGCTGTCCCTTCAGGGAGAATAGGGAGGGACCCGCATTTAAAAGGGTGTGCAGACGTGGCACAAATTTCACACGAGCCCGGCTCGGGGGGCCTTCCGGGCGTCTTTCTCGAAAAATCCCTCTTTCTCCCCACGGTTAAGACGGTTCCTTTGTCTGTGGGAACACTCCGAAGAGCGGGCTCCGGGAAGCTTCCACCTGTGGCAGGGCAGTTTATGCAGGGTGTGTGGCCTGCTTGCTGAACAGGGTTGACGAATAATGAAAATTAGAGAGGAAAGACAGCTACAGATACGGATACACAGAGCGGAAGAGTAGGTGATTAGCCGGATAGAGAGCTGTGCACATCGGAGATGGCCTTTCCGAAGAGCTCTGCGCCCTTCACCATTTCGTCCTCACTTGCAAAGGCGTAGGTGGCCCGGAAGCCCGAACACACGGTGTGTTTGTCCTGCATGAACCAGTGGCCCTTGGTCAAGATGACCTTGTACTTTTCGCTGGCAACCCTGAAGATCTCGTCTTCCACGTGGGTGGCCCACTCGTAGTCCTTCAGCGTCGAGTCGGACGGCTGGGCAAACTGGTCGAGCTTGGCGTTGACCCAGATGAACATGCCGTGGTTAGGCCTGTTGTAGGTGACCAAAGACTTTGGGAGGTACCTGTCAAACGCGCCCAGCATGACGTCTCTTCTCCGGCGGTACATGGACTGTAGGTGTCTCAACCAGGCGTCGAAGCCGCCGTCGCCCCACTTGGAGAAGATCATCTCGAGCACCAACTGGGAGTTTGCGGAGGCGGAGTGGATCGACAACTCGTTGTGCATCGAGAGCTTGTCTATGAAGAGGTCGTTGGCGGTCACGATGGAGACCCTCAAGCCGGGCATCAACATCTTGGAGAAGGAGTCGATCCGGATGACTCTGCCCTCGACGTCGAACTTCAAGAGGGAAGGGATGTTTGCGGCGTCGTCCAACTGCAAGTGGTAGTACGGGTCGTCCTCGATGACAAGGATGTTGTGCTTGTTGCACACCTCCATGAGCGCTCTGCGGCGCTCCGTGGAGAGCGTGATCCCCGTCGGGTTGTGGCCCGTGGGCATTGTGTAGAAGACCTTGGGCTTCTTGAGGCCCTCTGTGGCGGAGCCGGCGGCCGACCACCCGCACAAAAGCTCGTCCATCTTCTCGGGAACCACCCCGAAGTCGTCCATCTCCACGGAGAAGAGCTTCACCCGGAAGGGGATGCACGTTTCCAAGAAGCACGAGTACGTCAACTTCTCGCAGAGCACCGTGTCCTCGTTCGGGTTCAGTAACATCCGGAAGATGGCGTCCAACGACTGCGTGGCGCCCGACTGCACGAGGTACTTCCACCCGGCGTACCCCGGCAGGAAGTACTTCTCCACGTACGCCTTGACCCACTCGTCGAAGTGGGCGAGTCCTCGCGACGACATGTACTGGCACGAGTCCACCAGCTGGTCCGGATGCGTGTCGATCGTGTACCCGATCCGCTCCGTCTTGCGGAACTGCGACCCCGGCGATTCCACGTCGAGCTCGACGCCCTTCAGCGGGAAGCACGCCGGGTTCGGAAGCCCCACCGCCAACGAAATCACGTCTCCCTTCGGGAACGCCATCACCGAACGCTTTCTCAACAACGCCTCTTCGCTCAAAAACTCGGTCCAGTCTCTCGTCATCGATGTGTGTGCGTGTGCGTGTGCGTGTTCCTATACGTGTGTTTCCACCGGTAGTGCAAGCGACAGAACAAAACACCAAACACCAAACACCATACGGCCCAGAACCACCAGCACTACGTCTGAACTGACCACACGGGCAACCCCCGCCTATTTATATGATGCCCCGGCACCGCATGTCCACCCCTGTTCTGCACCCGACAGGGCAGAGGCCCAAGAAAAAAGAAAGGCTCTTTTGCATGAGGCATCTAACGGCAGTTGATAGCTGCTGATAACTGTTAGCGGTCTGCCCCGCGGGGCGGGCCTCGCCGTGCTGCGGTGCGACGATAACCGAGCAGACGGGTAAGCGGGGCACTGGGCCGACGCGTCGACGGCGGAACGTCGGTGTTTGCCGGTGTCTGAGGCGGGGGTGGCCGTTTTGGGTGCCCGTTTTGCGATGCCGAAACGCCGACAGATAAACACCGGAAGGCCGGGGGGCTCAATGCACCCGTGCACCGGCGGGAAGGGGGCGAGAGGTGCGCACAGGCAGAGAGTGGGAGAGGGTGAGGCGGGCAGGCAGGCAGACAGGCAGGCAGGGTGAGGGCCACAGCCAACTGGCTTCTCCTCCCCCTGCTTATCGGAGGAGATCGCCTGTGCATGCAGGCAGGCTGGTGGCCAGGGAGGCATTGGCGGTCGCAGGAGGGACACACAGACCGACAGACAACAGCGCTTGCTTCTTGCTGGCACACACACACACGGCGACGACTACAGCGCAGCACACGAACCCCCAGATCCGGTTCCCGCCTCCCCACCGCCCACACACACGCACACACAATGTCCAGCGATCAGGTCTTCTCCTTCCAGTCGAAGGCGCCCTCCTTCAAGAACTCGTTTGATCCGTCGTCGGACCCGCTCGACCCACACTCCAAGGCGGTGTCGCAGCCCCCACAGCCGCCATCGCAAGCACAGGCGCAGCCAGCGTCGCAGCAGGCGGCGCCTGCGGCAGGCCTCAAGTCCTTCTTCGGGGTCGGCGCAGCCAACGACGGCGCCAGCAACTTCAACTTCAACGCCCACAGAAGAGTTTCCGTGTCCGCAGAGGCGCTGAACCCAAACACGTTCAGCAAGGACAACTGGAAGCCGCCGGTGCACCAGCTCTCGCACGACCAGTTGACCCGGTTGAACGCCAGCGTCATCAAGAACTTCCTCTTCAGCCAGTTGGACGAGGACTCCCTCCGCACAATCATCTTCGCCCTCGAGGAAAAACGGTGCCCGAAGGGCTTCGAGATCATCAAGCAGGGCGACGAGGGAGACTTCTTCTACGTGCTCGAGAAGGGCACGGTCGACTTCTTGGTCGACGGCAAGGTCGTCAACACCTCCAGCGACGGCTCCTCCTTCGGCGAGTTGGCCTTGATGTACAACTCCCCGCGTGCCGCCTCGGTGATAGCCACGTCGGAGTGCATCCTCTGGGCCTTGGACAGAATGACCTTCCGGAGAATCCTCTTGGAGGGCACCGCCAAGAAGCGCAGCTTGTACGAGAACTTCCTCAAGGAGGTCCCTGTCCTACAATCCCTCTCCCCCTATGAGCGCTCCAAGTTGGCTGACGCCCTCAACACAGAGAGCTTCAAGACGGGCGAAAACGTTGTCTCCGAGGGCGAGGCCGGCGAGAACTTCTACTTCATCGAAGATGGTGACGCAGAGGTGATTAAAGAAGGCCACGGCCTCGTCACAACCTTGAAGAAGGGTGACTACTTTGGCGAGTTGGCCTTGCTTTACGATTCCCCAAGACAGGCAACTGTGAGAGCCCTCACGCCTTTGAAGGTCGTCTCTTTGAACAAAAGCGGCTTTCAGCGTTTGTTGGGCCCGGCGGTGGACGTCTTGAAGTTACATGATCCAACCAAAAACTGATCCTCCTTAACCCTCCCCCTTATGCTCCTCTTTTCTCAAGTTTTCCTGTTCATTTGACTTTCTCTCCACTTCTGTTTCCTCAACAACGTTGTGTACTTTGTTATCCTGATTTTTTTTCCTATCTTAATACGTTTTCCTTCGTACCTGATCTCACCACCACTCGAAAGACAAAAGCTGATGACAACCCTAAAAAATTTGGCAACCCATATTCCATTTTCACAGATACGACACCAACATACCAATCATCAGGTTCCCCTCCTTATTCTCTACACTATCAAGGCTTTTGGTTTTTGCATTTCTATGTATCGACACATTTTAGGTATAAACTACTTACTTTCTATTCTAATTCCACTTATCAGAAACAAATCGTCATAAAGGAACATGTGGCTCGTAATTCGTAACTCGTAATTACTACGTAAAAGTATATATCTTAATAATATGACCGAGCAAGTAGCTTAGATCAAAGAAGTGTAGAAGTCTTTCTGCAAGATCATCCATGTGATGGACAAAGTTGAGACAATCAATGGGCCAAACAAGCCCTTGTCAAACTTGCACGTCTTGAAGATCAACCACTCACTGCCGAAATGCCACAAGGCAATCACATAAGAAACAATGCAGAGGTTGTACACATGGACGTTGGTGATGTTGTATGCTGCGTATGCACGGATGATACTTGAAACCAAGGTCCAGGTACCAAAAGTACGTGCACTCAATGGGGTGACCTCTTCTGGCTTACCTGCATACACTTTCTTTGTCAATGACAAGTTGGTGTAGGTTTGCAGAGAATTGAAAATTGCAACAACAGAAATGAAGAAAATCCATTTTGGTAGATAACCTGGGGTAGTTGGGAGGTATTTGGTAAGTAGACTTTCAAGCATCGTATATTATACTTCAGAATATCTGCAGCTTTTGTAATGAGAAGAGAGTGTAGTATTTGTTCACAACGACGGGGAGACCAGGACAGCACAAGAATGGAGGACAGCACCTCTGCCCACTCTTCTCACACAGTGTGAAGCCAAGGAACGGAAAAGTCGCTCGAACGTGCCAACCGCTCGTCACGGAAATACTGCGCTTCGATAGAACTCTCTTGCCGGAACACGGAGGGGCTGCTTCTACACAAGCGATATCATCCCCAGACAGACCACTTTACATCCCCACCATACATACATAATGGTACGTCCTCCCTTGCACCTGCGTTGCATCAATTGCGCCCCCGGCAGCCGGGCCCGTCAAGCCACATTACTAACACCAACAACTCCTTGAACCAGTCCGACGAAGCATACGACGCATCTCTAGACGTGTTACGCCGTCTTGACCCGAAGGCAATCACCTCAAACCTCTCCAATATTTGCAGATTGCAGCCTGAGCTTGCCGGTGACCTTCTTGCCTCTGTTGACGCCCCATTGAAATCACTAAAATGTCCTAAATCAGGTAAAACGTTTTTGTGCTGCGACTACAATCGTGATGGAGACTCATACCGCTCTCCCTTCAGCAATCAATACGTTGACGCTGATGGATCTGTTGGTGACGATGCTGACGCTCCTAAGCCGAGTGAGCACTTGAGAGAGCTAGAACTTTTTGCAAACGATTCTTTCGACATTTACAGAGACCTTTATTACGAGGGTGGTGTTTCGAGCGTGTACTTATGGGACAATGAAGACGGTGACGCATCAGCTGACGGGAAGGTAGGATTTGATGGCGTGGTACTTCTGAAGAAAACAGTTGAAGAATCCTCTAGTTGGGACTCAATCCATGTTTTTGAAATCGAAAACGCCACCGCTGGCAGCTCTACTTATAGACTAACCTCGACCATCTTGCTAGATCTCTCCGAGGCGAACAATGATAGCACGTACTTGAGTGGGAACTTAACCAGGCAAACTGAGCGTGAAATCGCATACAAAGACTCTGCTTCACACGTGGCCAATATCGGCTCATTGATTGAGGACGTCGAAACCCAAATGAGGAATATGCTTCAGGAAGTTTACTTTGGAAAGACCATGGACGTTTTGACCGACATCAGGTCGTTGGATGCCCTTGAAGACAGACAAGCAGACAGGAAAAGACAAGAAAACTTGATCCAAAGATTCGAAAGTCTATGATCTGCTTACCGCCGTTTTTTATCTATATATTTATCAACTATGTTAATTTTCTACCGAACAACATTGTTCCACTCATTTTAATGCTGTAATTGTGTAATCACACTTGCTTCCAGGTTAGAAATAAGACCCGGAACCCACCTAGTGTCTTCTGATCGATAAGTGATCGGGAAATCTCTTACATTAGAAAGGACGGCTTACGTAACAAAAAAGATTCAGCCGAGCGAAAATTCCGAGATTGCGAACTGATGGACAAAGTGGAAGAAGAGGAATGATGATGGATAGAGAAGTTTGAAACAGCGTTGGAAAACAGGAACAGCGGAAGACACCTCTTGGACAGTCAAGAGGATCCTATAGAACAGCAAAGACAGTATATCCAGGTACAGGCATGGCCACTACGATATCCAGGGTGTACGCCGATGTGAACGAAAGCAAACCCCAGGAATACTGGGACTATGAAAATATTTCCATCATGTGGGGTGCCCAGAGCAACTACGAGATAGGGGATAAGGTCGGTAGGGGCAAGTACAGTGAGGTTTTTGATGGATTCTCATTACCTTCAGGAGAGAGAATCATTATAAAGGCTTTGAAGCCCATCAAAAGAAAGAAAATCAAAAGAGAAATCAAAATATTGCAAAACCTCTCAGGAGGTCCACATATAATCCAGCTATACGATATAGTAAGAGAACCGTCAAGCAAGATGTCCGCACTAATATTTGAACACGTGAACAACTTGGAGTTCCGTTCTCTCTATCCGACATTTACCGACATCGATATCAGATACTATATGTTTCAAGTTTTAGAGGCATTGGATTTCGCTCATTCCATGGGCATAATGCATAGGGATGTTAAGCCACACAACATAATGATCGACCATTCATGCAAGAAGTTGAGGTTGATTGACTGGGGGCTCGCTGAATTTTACCATCCTGGTACGGAATACAATGTGCGTGTGGCATCGAGATACTTCAAAGGCCCTGAGCTCTTAGTTGACTTTAGATACTATGACTACTCGTTGGATTTGTGGTCTTTTGGTGCTACTATAGCGTCGATAGTGTTCCGAAGAGAACCGTTTTTCCACGGGAAGTCAAACACAGACCAGTTGGTCCAGATTGCCCGTGTGTTGGGCACCGATGACTTGTACAAATACTTGAAGAAATACAATTTGAAGCTAGGACCCGAGTACGAGGATTTGGGTCATTACACAAGAAGACCATGGACCAGGTTTGTCACTGCGAATAATAACAGTTTGGTGAGTGAAGACTTTTTGGATTTAATCGACAAAGTTCTACGTTACGATCATCAGGAAAGGCTCACTGCAAAAGAGGCCATGATGCATCCATATTTCGACCCAGTTAGGGATGATGCAAAGGCGAAATAAATCTGGTATGGTAGCTGCGTGTATACAAATACAGTTGTAAGAATATAGTAGGTAGTTAGTGGTTTTTAAGACACAGGTAATTCTGTAATTTGATGACAGACTTGGCCCGAGCAATACTATCTTCGTGATATCATCCTTCACTGTAGCGAGTTGCTTTTTTGGGTCACCATCTTATACTTATTGCGTCTGAATAATCTGACGAGTTCTGTATTTCCATTCAAAATCAAGAAGGCTAGCAACTTCCTCAGCTGATTCTGGATGTAGAATCCGTCGCTGATTGTTCTCTCTTCAGCTTTAAACTCTAATAGAAGAAACAACAACTCTAGTAGGTAATAGAGCAAAATTTGCAAATGCGTCTTGTTGGATGTGGCCGTTAGCTGGTTTTTTACTTTATGAGTTTCGATCCACGAGAAGTAACTCTCTTTCCCATATGATTTGATTTTGGCATTCACAAAAATCAAGTCACAAATGAATTGGAAAAGCAACCCAAGCTGGGTTTTGTCTGCCTTTGTAAAATGTTTAAAGTTCAAAACATAGCAGTTGATTCCAATTTTGAAGAGCTCATATAGTTTATCGTTGTTCAAAGTGCGACATTCAAACAGCTTGAGAAAAAGCCGTAAAAGGAAACTTGAAAGCTGATATCTTGCAGTCATTTCAGTTCTCTCCGATTGGCAGAGCTTGCTGAACAGGTTCAAAATGGACATCAACTTCTTTCTTAGCGGGATGTAAGAAACCGTGCGCATCTTGTTAAGAAGGAATAGGGTCCTTCGAATTCCACTAAGCTCTTGATCGGTGTCGAGTGTTACTGCGTTGATATCCTTTGCATGTTCTGGCTCAGCAGCACACTCCCACAAAGGACTCGAATGAGAAGTAGTGGGCGAAGGCAGCACCGGATTGGCGTCTGCTGCTCTATTATCACTTGCCACCTGAGCCAGATCCACGCTCTGCTGTGTGCAAGACACATCAGGCATTTGTGAACTGCAAGCATCCACGCATGCGTTCTGAGAAAAGCCGAGTGATTCCGTATGTGTCTCGTTTGCACTCAAACATGTATCCTCAGACAGCGATTCCCCCGCACGCATCTGACTCATGTCCACCAGTTGGCTGGTGTCGCACTCTTTGATCTGCTCGAGCTGATTCATGTCTGCCATCTGGCTCATACCGACGGCGCCACCCGTCTGCAACTGGCTCATGTCCGCCATCTGGCTCATCTCGCAGCTGACCTCATGGCTCTCAACGCCAAGGCCGTTGGCGTTGAGAGCCATCCTCAAATAGTCACCGCATGAAACTGCTACACCATATATCTTTTCGTACCGCCTTTTTCTGATGACCAGAGCAAACGCCTATGTCAGCTCTCATACTACTGAGACACGATGTTAGTAGCTTTTCTATCATGCGCAGGCATTATGCTCCAAACGTAGTGCTGTACAATATCTATATCTTTTTCACTCATCATCTGCTGAGCTGTTATTCCAACCAAAAGACCATATTTCCTTCAAATCGAAAGAAAGAAACAATTCAACCACTGAGCCTCATGTGCTCTTCTACTTCTTCTCCCCCTCTCATCCAAGTCTTGCAAATTCATGTTGCGGAGAATCGCTCCCGGTGCACGGAAAAAAAGCCCGGGCAGCAGATAGAACGGCTGTAGGGCATCGTTGGGCATTACACGCAGAGCCTCGGAAGGCTAAACGAGGAAAAACCTTCCTCGGCCGTTGCAGCATAGGAAGTGGGATATAAATGGAAAGACCTCGGTCTGGCCATGATTTGTAGGCGTGGCTGAAGAAGACAAGGAAAACAACGAAAAGAAAAATACGGGGCAGATGGCGGATGGCGGACGGCTAGGTTGAGCCAAACAGGATTGCACCGTCTTTGCACGAAAGAAATTGCTATACGCTTTCTATCTCGATAAAGATACTATTTAAGCAGCTATCAGTGGCAATTGCTTACTAGCGGCAAGAACAGAGCAATTCCTTATTCCAGCTCGATGTCGTCCTCCTGTGAGTCTTTTGGCGCCGCTCTGCGTAAGCCGTTCATGCTTATTATGGGCATGGCAATAGGATCAACGACGTAGTACGAGTTTTGGCGTGTGGCCAAACCGGCATAGGCGTGGTACCATGCCAAAAGAGCAGCCATGACCCCTATAACGCCAGCGCCAACTTCGCATGAGTGTAGATCGTAGAACCTGAAGATAGTGAGCAACATGAGTCGAAGGAAAACAAGAACAAACAAAAGGAAAAACAGGACCGTGGACTTGACGGTGCACAAAACAAGTAGGAGGGTGAACATTAGCCAGCCCAAATAGAAGAACCCCATTGCGTTGTTCAGCTCGTGCTCAGTAGCATATGAGGCGGTAGCATTGAACCAGGGGATCTTCAAGGTGGCGGCAGACATCCAGTATCCGCCGAATGAACAAAAAGCCAAACCACCAAATGCATTTTCTAGTGAAAACTCCCAAAGACCGGCTACCATCTGGATGAACCCGCCGTAGAACAGAGCAGCGCCGGTGTTGACGGAATCATTGTGGGTTCCCCTGGTACCGATATTGATTAGGGAGGAAACAAACGTGCAGTATGCAAAGGCACTCAACCCTAGTGGGGCGGGATTCCCAAACTTGTGTACCGAAGGGACAGCCCAACCTGGGTTCATGGCACCACCAAAGGCCTTGATAAGGTCACTTTTGACGAATTTCTTGTTGTCAAGATACACATAGTTACCATCTGACGATTCTTCAATCTTGGAAGCCTTCATTTCTGCCTTGTGCACGCCCCGTTCAATATCTTCCACTATCTTCAGAGGAAAATGTTCGTGGTGTTCGAAGTTGCTTTTTGCCATGTCTATACTGCCTGTCATTGCGCTGCTACTTTGGTCTTAGTTATGTGTTTGATCCCAGTGTCGACCAGGCATAGAATAACATTTGAGGGGGCAGAATAGATAGTGAAAGAGAATGAAGGAATCTATCCGTCTAAAATACTAAGCCGACTTTACTTGGAAAGCCTGGTTCTCCGCAAAGTTAGCGTTACGGGAGGGGACATGGCTCAGAAAAAACCTGCCAAATTGTCTGCAAAACTCCGCAATGAGTTTGCCTGATACTTCCCCCTCTTTGCTAGGAACACATCTCCATATATGCCGCCCTTGACTGACGTCTGATGATTCCGCCGGGGGATTGAAAAGACGAATTACTAAAACATGCCCACGCTAAATTCCCCAAAAGGGAACAAAGTTTTGGCATTGTTAGAGAAAGTACCCGGGACAGTAGTGATCAAGTCTCCTTTCGCCCATAGACGATGCTACCGTACAGTGTACACTAAAATAACTGCATGTAGATTGCTTCTGGCATCGTGGAGGTGTGCTCAAAAGATATGAAGTGTATTGCAATTGTGGAGAAAAGTATGGCTTGCTAACGCCAGGAGAAAATAGAAGATTAGGTGTCACCGAGAATTGTTGGTAGCACGCAGGCCGCATATCTCACATATGGGGACCAAAATCTCTCAAGTCTCCAATAGCCTACCCCGCATCGTTATCCATATTTGCTGGCTTGCTGGTTTACTCATATTTTGTTTGTTTCTTTTACACAGTACGTGAAAGTACATTATAGACCGAGCGGAAATACAGTGCATTAACCGGAAGTTCTAGATCTACTAGAACAAAAATTCACGAAAAAGCTGCTCCTATTATCGACTTGACTGTCTTCATCAAGGTAAAATATGAACAGCTTTTATACGGTGATGTGGTCATCCAGAACCAGAAAAAACCCTTCTTGGTCAGAGCATAGAGAATTACAGGAGGCGTCTGAAAGGAGAGTGTCTTTGTCAGAGAGCGAAATGGCAGTTTTCCGCTGAACTCGTCTATAAGTGGTGTCCTCATGATTTGCCGAAGATGGCTTCAGTGGAATGTCACGCTGCAACTCGTTACCATCAGCCTCTCTTTTCCGTTTTTTTGCACCTATTGGACTAGGAAGCAAAAGATCCGGGTGATTTTCTATCTGCGAGTACAAGGCTTTTTCACTCTGTGACTTCATTCGGCGGTTTGTTGGTTCGGGCGTGACATAGGGGGATTTGGCAGAATGGGTCCTAGCCGGCTTTCCGTGAGAGTTACTAATGGCTGCTTCTTTGAAAGTATATGCTGCTGTTATTGTATCTCGTTGCGACGAGTTAGGGATCCGGGAGACTAACTCGGCTGCGGGGTCTGTATTGATACGCTGTTGTGTTTTAGAAAAAAGAGACTGGTTGAGCGATTGAAGCTTGTCTCCGAGGATGTGCATTTTTTTCCTGAGTCCAGAGAGTCCATAAGAGAAGGTACCTGGGATATCGGGGACGGCGACCATTAACTGCGGGTATTTAATCATTTGGGTCGAAGGAAAAGGCGAATATGCCACAATTGATCCGTTTGGATGGGCGCTTTTACATTTTTAATGCAAGCCAACGGATGGGATCCAAAGAAGATAAAATCAAGTATTTGAGTGTGTGAGGACCAACGGGTTTGAAATAAGTCAAATCGGGTTCGGAGATAGACTTGGTGCGACAAGCCTTGACATTTTTGAAAATGGGTGAGAGCCCACAGTTTGTTCGATGTCATAGACCGGGCGGAGCTGGTGCATAGTGTAGTCGGCGACACTTCATACTTTAAGTCCGACTTAAGACTCGGCGTTAAACCGCAGCATTTTCTATAAAAAGCATGTGAGGATTCATGTGCACAGTGCATTTGTAGTAGTGACAAGCCTTGTTGCTGGGTGGTTTGCACAAGCTCCGACCTGTCTACTGTCGGAAGATACAGACATCAACAAACTTCCGGAAGCGGGAAGAGAGGTGCAGAAAGAGGCGTTTTGCACCGACGTCTGGCGAGTTTTGCGCTATCTTCGTCTGTGGCTACAAGGCCTGTTTGGGCAGCGGGCCTGCGACATGCAGGCTTGGCGGTGTGCTGGTCAGCTTGGCCGGCATGCGACACAAGGCTGTACCGGTTAGCGTAAGCCAGCTTTTTCTCCATGTGTCTGCGCCTCCGCCGACAGACTACTCGTGATATTTTATTACAGTTCTACAGCTCTATAGGGGTAAACGATTGGAGGACATCAAAGGCCCATGTGGCGGAGCTCTGCCAAGGGCTCAATGTCCTCGAGCATACCTGGCGCCAGGGCGTCCCAGAGGACACCGCAGCTTGGTTTGCGGGCGTCCTCGACGGCGAGGACACGGGTGTTGGTGACGATGTAGTCGCAGACGGTGTCAAACACCTCTGGCTTGAGTTCGACGCCCTCAAGGAGCTGGACGTCGTGGACGACGGCGACGCAGTGGGTGGAGGCGGGGTCGATGCAGCGAATGGTGGAGAGCATGGCCCACTCGAGGTCGAAGTAGCCGTGGCCCTTGCCGAAGCGGACGCCTCTGTCGTTGATGGCGCCGGTGCCGGTGAACATGAGGGGCACGAAGACGTTCATGCGCTGGAGATCTGCGAGACACACGTGTGTGCCGGCCCTCTCCATGCCGTCGAGGGTGGCGGCGTAGCGGTAGAGCGAGGCGTCGATCTTGGCCGGGTCGAGGAGGAAGAAGCCACGCTTGATGCCGTAGGTGGTGGTGAGAAAGGGGATGTTTCTGGTGAGGAGCTCGTAGCGGAGGGCCTCGAGGCAGTTGTCGGGGGTGACAAAGAGCAGGCGCCTGGAGGCGGCTCCGCCGCAGGCGCCGCTGACTGCGTCCCGGAAGAAGTCGCTGGCCAGGATCAGCGCCGTGGACGTGTCCGAGCCCTCAAAGTCGGCGATGAACTCGGCAAAGTCCCAGTGGAAGCGGGAGTCCGGGTACGCCACGGGTCTCAGCTTCTCCCACACCTGTTTCCGCACGTCGCCCTTGAGCTGCTGGAGCTGTTCTGTCGTAAGGCTGCTCATCGGACGGTCTTGTCTGGCGGGAGGGGTCCTGGAGCGTGCGAGGATCCGTCCAACGCACAGTTGCTGTGTCGAGGAACCAAGGGCGGGAACCAAGGGCGGGAACCTGGCGGCTTTATACTCTTTTGTTCCACGGAGCTTGCGAGCCTGCCCGTTCCGTAGACAATAGAGAAAGGTTTTCTCTCCCCATCTGTTCTTTATTTCTCCTGACAAGAAGCGTTAGCCCATTCCGCGGGCCCGCCGTTCCGCGGGCTCGCCGTTCCGTCGGCACGTCTCCGGACAAAACCCGCACGCATCGGGCACACCAACGGAGAATGCTTTTTCTCGCCCGCGTCCGGCCCCCCCGCCCCCTGCGCCCGTCACCAACGGCTTGCTGACGTAACCGCCCCTTTTCTTGCCGCCGTCGCGTCGGCGGCCCCCGCTCTCGCTCCCGCCTGCTCCCCACGGCACCCTCTCCGCGGGGCCCTGCCGGCTTCCGCATCGGGCGTGGACACGCAGGCCGCGGCACGGCATCGGCGGCGCGCGCCGCATGACGGATGCTGCACACGCTGCCGCGGCAGGCCTGCCGCGGAAACTTCTGCCGTCTTGCCTCCCCGCGGCAGGCGCGCCCCGACCAGTTTGGATGTCTCTACCGGCTACCGAGCCGCGGAGACGTCGCTGGTTGTGCCCGGCCCGCCTGCTGGCGATGTCCGAGACCTGTCGCCCTGCTCCGGCTCTCCACCCAGCTCCCCTCTTCTATCTCTCCACGGCAGGCCTAGCCCTTATCACGTCAAGCGGCAGAGCCCACTGCACCGCCGAGACGCGCGGAAGGCACTCGCCGGGCATGCACGCCGGGTTATGCGCATCTGGCCGCTGAAAATTTTTCGCCCCGGCACCCGGGCGTCTCCCGTTGGCCATTGTCTGCCCGCTATCAGGCCCGGCGCTGGCGTTGGGCGCGACTCTGGCTGGACGCCGCTGAGCTTGCTTTTTTTTTCCCTTTTGTGCTCAGCTGGGTTCGTTGCGATGCAGCTATTTATACATGGCCACTTCTCCCTCCGCTGAAAAGATCGTTATCGCCCCTTTTGGCTCGTTGGAGATGAGGTTTGGAGTGGTACGAGCCTCTTTTGTTCTGTTGTTTTTGCAAGACAGCCTTCTCCAGAGCCCTTCAGCCACCAGCACAGCACGCCAGTAAGCCAGCAAGCGAGCCAGTCAGTCTGCAAGCCAGCACGAACTAGCCCCCACTACTACCACTGCTACTACACTAGTACTACTACTGCTGAAATTGCGCACACGAGCTCTTTGCTGAAAATCCAACACCATGTCAGACTCGGAAGAAAAGAAGTCCGACCTTTCGGCACCAATCAACCAGGTAGAGCCGGTGATGTCGAAGCCGCTCACGCTAGCAGACATCACGTCGAACCCGGTTGAGGCCAGCGTGCCCTTCTCTGTGGAGAACCCATACCACCCATACCACTGGGACTGGAAAAAGAAGTACGGAATCGTCATTGCGTACTGCACGTTGCAGGTGTACGTGACGCTCACGTCGACGACCTACGTCGCCGTCGAGTACATTGTGGAGGAGAACTTCGGTGTCGACGCCCAGGTGGCCACTCTCGGCCAGTCCTTGTTCATTCTCGGTACCGCTGTCGGGCCTGCGTTCCTCGGGCCTTTGTCCGACTTGGGCGGCAGAAAGTGGATCTACGTCATCTCGATCATCTTCTACATCATCTTCAACTTCGGCTGCGCGTGGCCCCTCAACATGCCTATGGTGGCCATCTTCATGTTCATCATCGGCATGTGCGGCTCCACCGCCTTGTCCAACGTCGCCGGTACCATTGGAGACTTGTTCTGCGCCTCCGACGAGGCCTCCCAGCCTATGGCTCTGTTTGTCTTCTCTGCCAACGCAGGCCCTTCCATCGGCGGTATCGTCGGTGAGGCCATTGCCGAAAACTCCAAGTTGGGCTACAAGTGGATCTTCATCATCAACATCATCATCGGTGGGGCCTTCGTCGTCGGTATGTGTTTCCTTCCAGAAACCTTGCCAAGAATCGTCATCGAGGAGAGAACCGCCATGGAGGGCAGAGACTGTCCAGGCGTCATCTGGAGAGAGTTTGGCTACTTCAAGGACACCCTCTCCTGGAAGACCCCATCCTACAAGGCCGTCTACGAAGAAAAGTTGTCCCAAGAGGGCGATGCCGCCGTTGTTGTCGAGAAGGTCAACACCTTCAACGAAATCAAGTTCGTCGCTTTGCAAGCTTTGAAAATGATGGTCACCGAGCCAATCATTATCTTCATGGGTCTCTACAACGGTTTCGCCTACGCCATTTTATTCCTTTACAACGACGGTATCTTCGACGTCTTTGTCTACAACAACAAATTGTCCTACATTGCTGCTGAGTGCACCTACTTGAACTTCGTTGTCGGTGTCGCCTTTGTCATCCTCCTCCAGCCGGTACAGACCTGGTTGTTCAAGAGAGACAGAATCAGAAACGGTGGTATTCCAAGACCAGAAGCAAGATTCTTGCTCTCTTTGGTCACCGTCTGGGGATTCCCTCTCGGCCTTTTCTGGTTCGCTTTCACCTCCGACGGTACCGTCAACTACTGGTCCCCAATCGTTGCAGGTTTCGTCTTGGCCCTTGCTGACCCTCTCCTCTGGTTGGCCATGTTGAACTACATCATTGACTCCTACTCCGCTGCAGGCTTGAGCAACTCCGCCATTGCAGCCTTCTGTATCCCATCCTTTGCCATTGCAGGTGCCCTCTCCCACGCCGGTGTCGCCATGTTCCAGAACATGTCCACCACCTGGGCCATGGCCACCTTGGGATTTATCTCCATCGGTATTGTCGCATTGGTCTACATCTTCTTCTTCTTCGGTCCTAGATTAAGAGCAGCCTCCAAGTTGGCCAAGTTCTCTGTCGTCAACATGAACTGATTGATGGACCAAGTCCTACCCATAAGGAACAGTTTTTTTTACGCTTGATTATATCGTCTGTTTTGATTTTAGAGAAATCATCCCCACGCACCATTCTTTAGTCTAATTTAATTTATAACCTCCCTTCTCTTCTTATTCTCTTATTCTTACTCTTCTTATTCTCTTTTACCTAAGCTTTCGTTCACTTAGAAAAACTAATTACACTTCAAAATTTAACAATTCGGGGCTTTTCACATGCTAGTCCCTTCTCTGCTTTTTTTGATCTAATCTCCTATCTCTGATGTAAATCCCCCTGTTGCTGCCGATCTCTCAAAGTTCACCCTTCGGCCTTCCCCGATAAGTCGATAAGTCGACATGATGTGCCTTCCACTCGATAACGCCCGCGAGTTCTCTCGCCGTCTCGCCTGCTCGGGCTCGCTCCTCCTCCCTCGCTCTGGCACCGGCCTCGTTCGTCCCTAATCGCAGGAGCCGGCTGAGATCCATCAAGGAGAACAAATTGACACGGCCGACAGGGGGAGAGGCTCGAGAAGACATGATCCGGTGTCCCTACACAATCCATCTCGACATCTTCGACTATCCATTAATCTGAGCAGCCGGACTCAAGACGCTCCCGTCCTCGACCCCCAGTCCCCCCCTCGCCAGTATCTGCTTCACCGATAAGTTCAGAACAAGCATTTTCGTACTGTCAGCCAACAGTAGATGTGAAAACCGGCGACTTCCCTTGAATTTGCTTTTGAAACAGGAAAAATATACATCATACTGAACTTGCACGACCTTGTCAGATTACAGGACACTACTACAGACACTGATTTTGCATATTACGACTCTTTGTTGTACTGCCCCCTCTTTTCGCCATCAATATAGAAAAAAAATAGGTTTCCGCCATGCTCCAGCCTCAACAACAGTCATCACAAGCTCAACAACAAGAACTGCAACAGCAGCAACAGCAGCAACAGCAGCAGCAGCAGCAGCAGCAGCAGCAGCAGCAACAACAACAAGCACAACCGTCACTGGCTGACCAGCATGCGCAACAGCAGATAAACTTACAACTTCCACAACAGATACTTGGACAGAACCCCCAGCCCCAAATACAAATGCAGCAACAGTTGCAGATACAACAACTACAGCAAATGCAGCAGCAACAGCGGTACCAGCATCTACAACAACAGAAGCAAGGCCAGCAGCTACATTTTTCTCAACAACAGCAGCAACAGCAGCAGCAGCAACAACCTCCGCAACAGCAATACACAAACCCAATGCTTCCACTGAATCCCCAGTACCCAGCATCAAATTGGAACCAGCAGAGTATGTCGCTGACCCAGCCATCCGATCCTGCTTTACACAGACTAGGAGTGAATAGAAGGTTATCCTCACACATGCAGCGACTGCCCTCCATCTCGAGCATCAGCGCATCGTCACCCTTGTCGACCTCCATGTCTCCAAATGGCTCATCCGTGAACGAAAATGTTCTGCATTTAGGCCCCGCTTCACCGTCGATAAATAACTCTCAGTACCCTGGACTGACTCTGGGATCAAACAATCCATCGCCCGAGAAGTCTCTCTTCAAAAACTTCTGGGGATTCAATAATTCAGATAACCAGCTGTCGCCGACAAACACATCTTACCCTCCTTTGCCCCCACCGCTACCACCACACGTTAACCCTGTAATGAACACTCACCAACCAAGAATGCACTCCATTTCGGAAATACCGCAGTTTGCCAACACCTATATGTCGAGCAATTATCCCTCCAAACTCTCCTCTAGTCCAAGTACTAGTATGCCTAAGAAGTCGTTAATGGGACCGCCCCATTTGAAAATGTCGACACCTAAAGAGAGTACTTTTTTTCCAAAGAATTCAAACAATGAGGCCTGTTCTCCTCAAAAGTCCAACTTTGGTATGCGTAGTAAATCTTTTGCCGTCTCGAAGTCAAAGTTCGGTATGAACCTTCCAGCCACACATGGTGTCTCCCCTCAAGATCAAGTCCTTGCGGTAGGAAATGGAGCTGCACAAAAACAGGAGCAACATCCAGATCAAGGTTATGTAGACAAGGAGCGTTTCTTCGCTCAACAGAGAAGAATGTCTATGCTACCCCCACTGGATGCATATGACGACTCGCAGCCACTGCACAGGCTATCTCAACAGTTTGATCTGTCTCGATACAATAAGGCGAACAATAATAATGGCAATCCAATGACTTTCGGCACTAGAGCCTTGTTGGAAAGTCAACAACAACAGATCATTCCACCGTTGAGAGCAGAAGGTCCCGTTCTCACGTCTATGAATGCGAACACAGGGAACACGTTCAATAATATAAGAAGAGAAAGTGTGGCTGCAGTGCACCACCATCAACATGGAATGCCTTATCCAATGTTGAATGACAATGATAAATCGCAGTTACCGCCTTATGATCCAAATTCCATGAACGGGATCCAAACTTACCCAAACCAGAACATGGACAATCTACCTTCGGATAGTATGGCCTTAGGCTACGGCCACAATCCCAGTTACTCAGTTGAAGATTACTACACTTTTGATAACGGCGATAGGAAAGTCCACAAACCGAAAGCGTTAAAAAATCACTTGAAACTACCGAAGTTCAATGCTGTTTCATCAGCTTCCGATTTGCAGCCAGCCATTAATGACAAGCCCAAATTTCGTCGTGTTTCATCTTCCCAATCTTTTGTTTCGCCCCTCTCTGCACTGACCACACAATTGAATTTGTCATACTCCATGTGCGTACCAGAGTACGATTACCAGAAATCCAAGAATCCAAGAAGAGCCTTAACCAAGAACAGTAAACCATGCCACAACGGTGGCTACGATAACGAGGTCTACGATTACATTTTGTATGTGAATGACATATTGGGGACCGAGGAGAACAAGAAGTACCTTGTGCTCGATATTCTCGGACAGGGGACCTTCGGACAGGTTGTGAAGTGCCAGAACTTGAAGACTCAAGAGATTGTGGCGGTGAAGGTCATCAAGGCCAGACAAGAATGCTTGCAGCAGTCCATTGCCGAGGGCAATGTGTTGGAGTACATCGACAAGAAGGTGGATCCAAAATACAAGAAGTACTTCATCGACTTGAAGGACAAATTCATGCACAAGTACCACCTATGTCTTGTATTCAAGCTGCTAAGCTCCAACTTGTACGAGATCATAAAGCAGAACCACCACCATGGCTTGTGCATCAAGTTGGTGAGGAACTTTGCCGCGCAGATCCTCGAAGCACTATGCGCCTTGAAGGAGATCAAGATCATCCACTGCGACCTAAAGCCAGAGAACATCCTGTTGGCGAAGCTGAACAAGCCCGACTTGAAGGTCATCGACTTCGGCAGCGCCTGCGAGGAGCACCAGCTTCTCTACTCCTACGTGCAGTCCCGCTTCTACCGCTCGCCCGAGGTGATCCTCGGCGTGGACTACTCCACCTCCGTCGACATGTGGTCCTTCGGGTGCATTGTGGCCGAGTTGTTTCTCGGCTTGCCGCTTTTGCCCGGCACCTCTGAGTACGAGCAGTTGGCGAGAATGGTGCAGACCTTCGGCATGCCGCCGTCCTGGATGATGGTGGAAAAGAAGGCCAGCAACTACGTCGTGAAGCAGGACAACCCTAGCTACGACTTCTTCAACGACAAGTCCGGCGGCAGATACTCCTACCGTCTGAAAACCCTCGACGAGTTCAACCGCGAGTTCAATCTGCACGAGAGCCCTGCCAAGCAGTACTTCTGCGACACCAAGCTCGACAAAATCGTCATGAACTACCGCCTGCCCAAGAAGAACATGCCCAGGGAAGCCGTGGACCGGGAGATGCATGAACGGTCATGTTTGGTCCACTTTCTCAAGGGCGTGCTCAACATCAGTCCGCTCGAGCGCTGGACTCCGCAGGAGGCCCTTCAGCACCCTTTTATCACCGAGGAACCCTGGACGGGTCACTGGGCCCCTCCTACTGCCCGCTTCAGCTCCGACATCCGCAGAGGAGGCCGTTCTCTTAGTCTTGTATAGCTTTCTGTCCGTCAACCCCTCTGTACCCCGTGCAGCCTGTAAAAAGCTTTTTTGCACCGATCGTCCCGAAATCCCGCAGTCTGTGCTCCCCTGGCCGACTTCGGCGGGCGCTGAAAAATTCATCATGACTGGGAAAGAAGAAGGAGGGAGGGTGGACAGAAGAGGAGCAAGCGGGCCGGAGCAGGTGGAGCAGGAGAAAGAAGGACAGAAATAGCCCAGCTCTAGTCCAGCGTACCAAGAACTACACACACGAGAGATGTCCACACCAGAAGCAGATCACTCGAGAGACCCTTGTCCGATCGTGATCCTTAACGATTTCGGTGGTGCCTACGCCATGGGTGTCATTGGTGGGTCCATCTGGCACGGTATCAAGGGGTTCAGAAACTCGCCATACGGCGAGAGAAGAATAGGGGCGTTGGCGGCGATCAAGGCTCGTGCTCCAGTTGTCGGAGGTAACTTCGGTGTCTGGGGAGGTCTGTTTTCGTTCTACGACTGCTCGATAAAGGCCATCCGTAAACGTGAGGACGCGTGGAACGCCATCATGGCTGGGTTCTGCGTCGGTGGCTCGCTTGCGGTGAGAGGCGGACGGAAACACATGCTAAACTCGGCCATCACCTGTGCGATCTTCTTGGGTATTCTCGAGGGTGTCGGGATGATGTTCCAGAGATACATGGCGTACGCCAACAAGCCTGTTCCGATGCCTGTGCCAGACCAGGGCGGTGCCGCTCCGCTCGGAGCCTAGTGCCGCCGACGACCCGGCTGCCGCTGCCATACACAACCACCCGGAGTACCTATGGCATAATCGATGCATATCAGAGATCAATAACAGTGCGATAAAAAGACGGCTCTTTGTTCCCCCTTTTCTTCCAACCTACACTATAACGAATTTAATACTCAACAACCACTTGTCACATAACCCGTATAACCCTTTTTCAATAGTCTAATGCTTCTTGGCGCCTGCTGGATTACTTACTTAGCACCTGATGTTTCATTTGTATAGAAACTTTTACGTAGCACCCGGAGGTCAATGGTTGACAGACCAGGATCGGCCTGCGTGCTGCCCGTATATATTACAAGATAATAGTGCTTCTACAAAACTGCTGAGGTTGTCAGACGAGCACGAGGCAAAGTGTTCTGTTTGTCTTGCGACTCTGTTCCGTCTTCTGCTACTTTTTCTCCCTTTTTTCGTCCAAAACCTTCATTCGCCGTTGCCGTTTATCTTCCGGCTGCTACACCAAAGGTACTCACAGCCTCCTGTAATCTGACAGACCGGCTAACCCCAATGCACTAATCATGGGAGCGCTTCCGCTGAAGTAGAGTATGTAATGCTCAGAAGCCGTCCTCACCTCTTTTCGTTTGGAGGTGCGCGCAGACGGCTCGCAAGCAACCCAGAAACATGTTGCCAGTGTTCGGGAAGAAAGAAGACGTTGGCACAGTATAGACCGGGAGTAGGAGGGAGTAATCGAAAGCAGGACCGGCAGATCAGAAGACTTACCCGAGTGTACAATGAACATCTCTACATCCACCGTTGTCACCAGAAGAAGAGGAGGCAAGGCCCACCAGCCGGAAGACGAGGAAAACGCCGCAGAGTTGAAGTTGGGTCCTGAATTCCAGCTCGAACAGGTCGACCACCACGGAGATGTGTCCAAACTAATCACGCTCAACTTATCAGAGGCCCGTATATTGATCCGTGCAGCTCTCAAGGAGCGGATGGAGATGATTTCGAAGTTGAACGGTGTTGAAATCGACACTTCAGACCCATCGGGCGAGCCGGACGACGACCAGCTAGCCAAATTGTCCACAGCACCAGGCGCAAACGAGATATTGCGCAAGACACTCGACCATCTATCGATGTTCTCCAGATTCAAAGATGTCGAAACGTGCACAGCAGTGGAAACTTTGCTTAAAAGTGAAGAGAACTCTATTTTGCACCCGTTCGAAATTGCCCAGCTGGGCTCCTTGTCATGCGAAGATATAGACGAAGCCATCACATTGATCCCAAGCTTGAACGATAAAAAAGATCAGCTAGATCTTCAGAGGAACCTCGACGAACTAAATAGACTCGAATCAAACTTTGCCTAATTTTGGCAAACATTCATGAATATACATCGTGTATACTGTATTTTACGCTTTTTACTAAAAGAATATATTTAAACTTACATTGTTCCTGTTTGTAATTCCTTGACCCCTCCTTGCGCTCACACATTTCTTCTAGAGTCAAAATGCCACAGAAATAGGCTCTAGAGTTGATTATGCTATTTTGTTGTGTTCCTTGTATGCAATATACTCCTCCTCGTGGTAGTATTCCTTTAAAAACCGCTTTCCACCTCCTATTTTCCACCATCTTGGCAAACAGCTTGCCAACCCAACGTTTAAATTTCTCTCATCCTTTGGAATAATACACCTTTTATATTTCTTGATCTGCTTACTTTCAGGATATGAAAAAATTGGAACATGTGTGTACCCAATATCTTCGAAATGAAAGATCTCATTTTTGTCAAGCAGCATGGCTGCTGCAATCGAATGAACAGGAGCATCACCCCAACGCTCGTAGTAGAACCCTCCAGTCTTACTCAAATAGTTGAAGTAGTCCAAGTATGCCTGTGATCTGAAAAAATTCAAATCTCCAATCTCAAAGTTTGACCAAAAATGGCACAGATTATATGAGGTTTCCCCTAAGTCTAACGCATTTGTGCCGATGGGGCTTTTGTCAGTAATAAATTCGGCACTATTGTTGGGATGCAAGTGTTGTGGGTACTCATTGAAAAAATCTTCGACGGTCTCCCAAAGAGTCGGAATGGTGTCCGGATATTCGTAAAGCGTAATGACAAATGAATACTTTTTACGCTGTTCACGCATGAGTCGAAATGGATCCATCTGGAAATCGCAGAAATATTCAACCCCAGGCTCAACTCTGAAGTAGTAATCGTACTGATTGACAAGTTCCTGCCTAAAGAAAAAGCCTGAGTTAAAATGGCACATATTTCTATACGATTTGGAGAAGCCGTATAAAATTTGTCGTGAGATAGCTTCTTCGATTCCCTCGTCATACTTTGTCTGGTTGATGAAAGATGGTGTGTTCCAATCCTGAGCAGGAATTAAACCGTATTCCGTTTTACCGCTGGCCATTTCGGTAGTCCATTGAATAAAATCGTCATCAAACGGAACGTCGTTCAAAAAGGTCCACGGGTAATGATAGTCTTTATTGAATCTATCTTCAAGGGAACGCATAGACGATAAGATATCTTCCAACTCCCAATTTCGACACAAAACCAAAATCGTGGCATTCTCGAGCCTAATGTTTTCTTCTGTGAGAACAGTGTGATTGAGGTCGTTCATATACACTGGCTCAATATATGAGTTACTTGCACCTTTGATCTTTGCACGATTGAGATACTTGCTTGTTTCATTGAATCTGGAATTGATTCTGCTTTTGGACTCCTCGAAGATGCCCCGGATCTCTTTTGAGGAAATTGATGGCTTGAAAAATAAGGAGTAGACAACAACCTGCGCCGCAATGAAAAATAGCAACCCTTTGAAAAGTAACGTCATGAATCGAATGTCATCAACATGGGTTGGAGCTTAGCTTCCACCTTCTAGCGATACCTTTGAAAGGCGATAAAAGCGTTCGTGTCGAGTAATACAATGGAAAATTACGGTCGAAAATGCCGATGCGATTAAAGGGTCGAGGTCGCTAAGTAATTTTTCATGATGATCTTCTTGTTCTGTCCGGGCTTCTCTCCTGTAGTAATTGCAAGGAAGTCGAAGAATCAAGTAATACAGTGCTTTATAAATATACATAAGGACCCGGCGAGAATTATCAGGATCTTTCTGACCTTTTGAGAATAGGAACCGCCTTGTCGTTGGCACGCAAATGGATATCAACTACTCCATTCATTCCGTCTTCGATAACTCCGCCAATGGGGCCGAATTTCTTGTTTGTTAAAAACGTTAGCACAGCGTCTATATTCTCCACTATCTGTATTCCTGTCATCCCGGGGTGTCCCACAACGATCGACAAAGATGGCCCTATAGAGGGAACAAAAGTCGTGTTTTTGCACCAGGCCTTGATTTGGGATTGCACATACTTTGGTTCGACACGATCGTCTTTTGCATGAGGCCGTTTAGCTTCTGAATACGGCATGGCCATCTGTACCATCAACGGAAAATTCTGTGATGACTTGCAGAAAATCGTAGGTTCAAGAAGCGTCGGAAGAAATTTGAACAACCTATGATCAATTACAATCAAGTCAAATTCGTGATGAGTTTTCAATGCCTTTTTCGACGTTCCAACCATGCTTTTGAATTTCTTATACCCAACAATTTCTGTAAATGAATCCGTCGTTACAGCTGTTTTCTCTGTCAACGGTATCCTGAAGGTGTCCACCGGGTCTCTCGTAACAAGCAAAATCGATGTTTTCTTTACTGTGTGCAATCGGTTTGGTATGACGATCATTCTCCTTGTACTCTCCTTCGTACGTGTCGTTGGCAAAAGTGTGCTCAGCTGCAAAAGAACTGGCTCGTTTAGCAAGCCATCTTTGTTCAACTTGTAGATTTGTGCCTCTGCAGCAAGCAGTGCTTTTTCCTGCATTATTCCATCTAGAGACGTGTACTCATAAGGCTCTTTTTCTTTGCTCTTCACATCCACTTGCTCCACTTTTTTCTTCAAAACTCCTTTCTTTTGAGCCATCTTGATCAGTTTTCAATTCAAATCGGCTTCTGGGTTTGATTGGTCCCCGTAATCTTTCTGGAAAGCTCCTGGAAGCTGTAGAGTTTCACTTTTTAGAAGCAGGACTGAAAAGAAAAAAATTCTACTTTGCACCGCCACGAAACATGTTGGTGGCGCATGCAACTCCCTTATCAAGCCATCATCATCTATCTTTTGACATGACGGAAATGTCACATCACCTCCCCATTACCAGTAGAGTTACAAAACTGGTGTCGAAGCAAGGGGCTGAGAGCTCAAAGACGACTAGTTTGATTTAACTTTACGATGGAGATTTGGGGGAAGCTCTTGGGAGTGCTACTAACCATTGACAACGCTTCGCTGATTACGGGGCCCCGGGATGCCGTAGTTTCGAGCATTGAGCATGTTGCCGCCCCTATAACAGAAACTTCTTCGGACCGATTGCCTGTCCTTCTTTGGCATGGAATGGGAGACTCATATGAATCTGCTTCGATGCAATGGGTTTCCGATACATTGCAAAAAGAGCATCCCGATTTGGACATCTATTCTATTTACATCGACAGAGATGGAGGTAAGGACAAAGAGGCATCAATATTGGGAGACGCCATGACACAGTTAACAGACGTGTGTGAGCAGATACAAAACATCGAGTTTGACCCTAAGCAGGGATTCAATGCTATAGGTTTTTCACAAGGAGGATTATTCCTCAGGGCGTTGGTACAGACTTGTGATGTTAGGTTTCATAATCTCATCTCATTCGGCAGCCCCCAAAATGGTATCTCGGACTTACCACCCTGTCAACCGGGAAACATTTTTTGTGAAAGGAGAAATGCATTGATCAAAAGCAGAATTTACACTGATTATATTCAAAACAACATTATACAAGCTCAGTACTTTAGAGATGTAAATGATTACGGAACGTATCTCGAGAAGTCTGCGTTCTTGAAATATGTTAACAATGAGCTTTTCAAAGACTTGAAATACTACGACAGGTTTGTCAGCTTGAACAAGTTTGTGATGGTGATGTTTGATAAGGACGAAATGCTAGTTCCTAAAGAGTCTGCTTGGTTCTACGATGAAGACCAAGAAACTGGCGACCTTATCTCATTCAACAAAACAGACTCTTACACCTTTGACCTCATTGGTTTGAAAAGTTTGCACGATGACGGCAAGATTGATTTCCTCAAAATCGATGACTTGCACTTAAAAATTTCCGAAAAAGACTTAATTTATATAGCTAAAACTTATTTGTAATACTTATTCTGTCAGCATTAAATGTATCTACTCACGAATCAAACTCAATGTCAGAGTCCAAAAACCCAAATATCTCCTTGTTTACTGCTTCTTCCATGACTGAGGTCATTGCAGTTGTGTCCTCTCCACTGCAACCGGTATTAGTATCTTCAGCATCTCCTCCGCCGTGATCTGCATAATGTGTTACTTGATTATTTTTGGAGTCATGACTACTTGAAAGCGGATATAATTTCCGAACAGGGATTACTTTGGGTAAAGTTTGATTCACTATGATAATATCCTCTGCAGAATCCAACTGACTAGAATTGCCGGATTCGTAAACTTTTTGAAGTTTAGGCAAGTCTGAATTACTCAGGATTATCATATCTGCTGCTCTTGTGGTCTTTGAGAAAACTGCCTCGTCACGTTTTTTTGAAGAATCTTTTTTTGGTATTGGCTTCACTCTTTTATGACGTTTGAGTGCCTTATCTAGTGCTGAATCAAAAGTATCACTAAACTCATCTGAATCTGACATATCTAGTAACCCCCTGTTGCGCTTCATCCCCGAATCCCTTATCGAAGTTTTGAAAAATCTAGAAGTTTTAAGTTTACCGTATTTGGATTCTGTACCAAGCTCTGAATTATCATCTTTTAAAGCCTTTGTGCTAGTTGGTTCCTCTGTACGTACCGGCGAAGGCTTGCTAACTTTTTTCAAAAAGACAGGCATTTTTGTAGGACAGTCTTTCACTAATGGCACACCTTTGTTGTTACTAGCAGTAGGTTCGCAGTTTAGAGGGTTGCCATCACTTAAGTCATCTGCTTTACCTATAATATTCTCTGTGATAACGACTGAAGTAAATGACTTATTGGGAGTAGCACATTGAGCAAAATCAAACGTATTTTGTCTCATTCTTTTTCTTTCTATTTTGCTTTTACGCCTAGTTTCGTAATCAAACTGGTCTCTACAACACATATGCCTACATTTGCTCTTGTCTTTGCAAACATGCTTGCACAGCTTAATTTTCTGTTTGGGTATTCCATGTTTGCAACAAATGTGACGACATGTACTTTTATCAGAGCATCTGTGGTTACATTCAGTAAAGCTGGAATCAGTACTAGTCGATACTGTGGAGAACGAGGCATCTGATGAATCGGCAAATTCCATTTGAGGTGTCCTGGTTACACCCATATCTACCAGTTTCTTTTTGCTATTCTCTTCGATGCTATTATTTCCAAAAATTGCTCTCAGAACTTCATCATCATCGTCGAAATCAAAAGATTGTCCCTTTTTTCTACTAGATGGTCTTGTGCCAAGACATTCGGTGGCAGAAAAGGTATCCAATTCTACAGTTTTTCCTAGTCCTGCAATCTCGTCACAATTAAGATATACTTTAATGTAATCCGATTTATATCCTAGGTCAACTTTTAAATTGTATTTTTCTCCCCCTACCAACTTTTTCAATGGTAGCCTCCGAAAATCCCATACTCTCCCAGAAACGTTAGTCAAAACATTTATATGAGCAAATGAGCCATTCCAAATGTACGAGATATTGTCCTCTGTGTTAAACAAATCAACAGCTACATCAAATTGTACAGTCCCTGAACTTTCACATTTAATATTTTCTACTCGTAGACTTAGCTCTGGTATACTGGCAATGCTCTTAGCAATCTTTTGGCCGGCCCCCGCCTTTATTCCAAGATAGTATTCAAGCTTGTCCCCTGTCAAACTTTTCAATTGATCTATATCTGTAATACCACGGCTCTCCAACTTTTTAGCATAAGTCAACCCAATACCGTCAACCTGTCTCAAAACTAAAAAAGAATTTTCCCAGCTTTTAGCATAGATACATCTGGTTAGCTTCAATATCGAAGCTAAAGATATAGCATCCTTTCTATGAGAAAAGACTTCCACAGCTGCTTTTAAAATTCTAGGTAAACTTTTGAAAATCAGAAGTTTTTCAGAAATGAATTCATGGTGCAGCTTCATAGAGCCTTGATACATCGGATATTCCACACCACCTAATTCAAATTGGATTAGCAAAAAAACTTTGTCATGAAATTTCTCGATCTTGTTATCTTTAATAGGATTTAGAATCAAAGGACTACTGTTGATATCCTTGAAAAGCTTCTTATCTGCCAGCTTGACTCGAATATCCTTGAATTCATCAGATTCTGAAATCATAAGAAGTGAATCTTGCAAGCTTAGCTTTTCTCCGTATTTGATGAACTGTTTCATCGTCTCATATAGAACATAACTCTTGCTCATAGCAATTCCATACGATGTTGAATTCAGCTCACCATCAGCAATCTCAATCATTTGTTCTTTTTCAAGCTCACTCAAAATACGTTTCAAAAAAATCTTCAATTGAGCTTCAGGTGTAAGGCGTGAATTGAATTTTTTGAACACAGTTGGGTATGCAGCAGGATTGTGTAAATAACACTGATAAAAAAAAGTAGACTTTAACCAAGTAAATGCTGTTCCCAATGTGTTGATGGTTTTCAATGTAATTTCAGCTGTGATATTCTCGTGGAGATTCAAATGTAACGAGCTTTCCAAATTCTCCGTTCCTTTCGCCAACCTGATGTACCTTTCTTTGTTAAAAGCATCGGTCATAATAACACAAACCCCTTTCGTTTCAAACTGTGGTCGTCCTGCACGCCCCATCATCTGCAATAAATCTAATTCATTGTATTCTTCTAATGAATTGTTGTTCCAAGCTTTGGTTCCCTTGATGATCACAAGGTAAGCTGGTAAATTGACTCCCACTGCAAGAGTTGAAGTTGAGCACAATATTTTGATACTTCCAATGATAAAGTTTTCCTCAACAAACTTCCTTTCATTCCAACTTAGGCCTGCATGATGATAAGCAACCCCCTGCTGAGCTAGATCCAATAAGTCTCTACTTACTCCACTTGGGATGTTTCGTAACCTAGTATTAGGATTATTTAGACCTTGAAGCAATGCTTTTGCAGTGGTGACGGTACTGTTTCTGGTGGAACAGAAAATCAAGGTTGGCTTACCTTTAGAATGTAGTCTTATTACCTCGGGTAACTTTCCATTTAAAAAACCTTCAAATTTGAATGGATTAGAAGTCCCCATGGTTTGATATCCGTAGACAGTCTTTCCCAACGATACAGCACGGTAAGTGTCATCATACACCAAAGTGGTTGCTGTAGTCGATTTCTCACTATCGTGAGATTTCCCTAACCAATTTGCTACATCGTTGATGTTAGGCACGGTTGCACTCAAAGCGATTATCCTCAAACTCAAAGGCATACTCATCATTCTGGTGATCACTACCTCTAAACTTGTACCACGTTTCTCACGCAAAATGTGAATTTCATCAACAAGTAAAAGCTTAACCAAATTCAAGAGCTTGCTATAATCTGCCCAGCGACGAGTTAACACATCCCATTTCTCTGGAGTGCAGATAATTAAGTCAGACTTTCGAATTGAATCTAGTTCAACAAAAGGTGAATCGCCTGTGAGTATTCCCACGGCGCAATTTAACGGCTGAAATTTTGAGCACCAGTCAGCATACCGTTCATTACACAATGCTTTTGTTGGTGCCATATAAAGGATCTTCGCATTTAGTAAGGAATCATCCGACTGATTAGAGCGAGCTTCCAACAATTTTATGATGGCTATTTCGAACAAAACTGTTTTTCCCGAGCCTGTAGGGCTGGAAATCACACAGTTGTCGTTCTTGTTGTAGATAGCATCAAAAGATTTGGATTGCATTGCATTGAATTGGGAAAATGGGAAAATAGAACGGAACATTTCAGGTAATAAATTGACTGATAAACAATTACTGGAAGTATACGGTTTTACTTGAGTTGAGATGCGTTTTTGGTAGTTGGTGTGTTGTTCCTCATTTAAAGCCGGTAGAATGGTATCACTCAATTCCAGTTCTGAGGCATCAGACACCAGGAACAATCTTGCTGAAGAATAAAAAAAAAGGAGACACCCTTTTGTTTGGTTAGCATCACAGGACCACAATGATAAATCATAAGTTATGGTCCAAACATACCATCCTGATTGCCGGTTTGCAAATTTCTGTAAGCACCGGAAGCATGCATCGCTACAGTATGCTTAGTCCAATGTCAATTCAAATGTTAGTTGTAGGTCTAGAGTTGAATATTGTTGAAGGAAGAATGAGCATGGACCACGGATGGCAAATTATCATGTACCTCCGATTAAGGAAGGTGCCAGTGCTAAAATTCATGATGGCGCGTGGCTCAGAACGGCTTGCCACGTTTGAAAGCATGTAGCTGCAATTTGGGATAAGGGCATTGGAAGGAGTGCCTTGGGAGTTGTTGGATTGCTAGAGTAATCATTAGTATCAACAGCAGCTGTACATTGCATCAAGCCAATCTTTAACGTTCCAGGTACGTGATTTGCCCCACTTTTGTTTTCCGATCATTTTGTTTATTTTTTTCCACTTGGACTTACAGATTAGCCAATAATAGGTTTCAGAACTTACTAAATTTATATCAAGGAGCCAGGAATGGAAGCAGCCAAAACAGACACGAGCGAAGAGCAGCTAGAATATGAAAGTGATGAGGATGAATATGAGCTTTTATATGTAGAGAGCCAAGCGGGCGGAAATGAAAACCTGAATAAAGATCACGTTGAAGACAACATAGGGAACGAGACTGAGTATTTTGAGATAGATACCCAAGAATTCAACACAAACACAGGAGAGAAATATGTGGTGACAGAAGGATATCCTGAAATTGAGGTGGAAGATAATTTTGAGGAAGATGACTATGAGGATGAAGTTCAGGATAGTATCGATAGCGACGATGTAGTGAACGGAAAGACTGAAAGTTATGGTAGTGAAAGAGATAGCAGCATTGAATACCAAGGAGAAGGAGTAGGAGGTTTCAAGGATGTAGTGGATGGCCAATCGGATGGGAATACACATTTTGTCGTTGAAATCTCCAGTGACGAAGATGAAGACGAATTTAACAATCATGGCGAGGGAGAAACTCAAGGAGAACAAGAAACCAAAAAGGCCAGGGAGACAGAGAGTGATGGAGTTATAGAAGAGACTACTAAGGAAGCGGCTGACGATCCATTTGATGATGACGACTTGATTGAATACGTAGAGGACCCAGATGAAGTGTATGAGAGACCAGAAATATCTGTTGCTGGGTCGAAGCAACAAAATCAAGACGAAGAGGATAAGGAGACTCGTGAAAGAGTGGGAGGGGATAATACAGAAATCCGGACGCTGACGCATCTACCGATCTATCTTGACTTCTGCGATCTTGTTTCTGATAAGGAGAAGGATTTGGGGAACGCGTGGCTAAACGAAGAAATCAAGGTTGATTTCGATTTTATGAAGCTGTACCCACCTGAATGTGAAGAGGACGAGATGTATGCAGAGTTCGATTCGTTGTACGGCAGTTTGGAGGAGTGCATTAGGTTGAAGTTCATTGATATTTTACTTAAAATCAAAAGTGTGATAACAAAAAGCTGCAAGATACAGGACCTTGAGACGGATATCGACATCCGCTTGACCTTTGGGGACTTGATGAACTTCACCGTTGCATCCGACTCTTTATCATCAGAGTCGCTAACTTTGGAGGACGTGTTGATCAGCTACGAACGATTGAAACTGCAATCGCCAAATGCGGACCTCCATAAGTTTTTATTGTTGAGGGTTTGGTTGAGCAGAAACACGTTAGGACAGTTTGGAATATTAAAGGAGGCGTCATTGAACGGGTACCGGCTAGAAAACTTGAGTAGTTTGATCTCCCGTAAGCGCAAGGGGGAGCAAGATGACATGAATATGGTGGCAACGAAGAGAAACAAGGTTGATACGGCCAGCTAAGACCTGTAGCTATGTAGTTCTTCCATTTATGTAAAGTCGCATGTATAGTAAAGAAGCAAAATTTAGTAACATAGTGGAGATCGATCTCCGAACGGGATTGAGTTAAAGATACGGGTTAAATGTTATATTAGTAAGTGTAATATATTATTAATTAAACCATGTTTAACAGTAAAACAGTTTTATTTTTGTTTTTATAGAAGAGGAAAGAAAAAAGGCTATACACGAAGAGACTTTAAATCTAAGCAGCGGTTAATCTCTTTTGAGAAGAGAGTCTACCTCTTTGTCTTGCGTTGAAAGCGATCTTTCTGTTTTCTGGAGCCTTGGCAACAGCTTCGTCTTCTTCGGTGACAATGATTTCAATGTGGGATGGAGAGGATTGGTAAGCGTTGATTCTACCGTGAGCTCTGAAAGTTCTTCTTCTCATCTTTGGAGCTTGGTTAACTTGGATGTGAGAGATGACCAACTTGGATGCGTCTAAGCCCTTTGCCTGTGGTAATAGGAGCGAAAAAAGGAGGAGATGGAGAAATAATGTTAGTATATGTTAGATGCAGGGGGGGATTGGTAGGGGAAGAATTTTGACAAAACACGACACCAGGTCTTGCTGAAGCACTGTTCTGTGGCTCGAGCTGGCTAACACAGGTGTTCTTGTTATAGTGGTGGCATTGCTCCATAGTGTTACGTGCGGGGAGTTCTTGCGTGCTGGGCTGGAGAGTCATGTTTGTGCAAAATTTTCACCGTGAGTGTGGGCAGAATACTTACTTCAGCGTTAGCTTGAGCGTTGGTTAACAAACCTTGGACGAACTTGACGGATTTGGCAGGCCATCTGGCCTTGGTGACACCGAATTCTTTACCTTGGGCAGTTCTACCGATGGACGAGTTGAATCTTCTGAAAGGAATGGCTCTTTCGTGGTCAAGGACTTGTTCCAAGTATTTCTGGGCCTTTTCGAGCTTCCAGCCAGAGACAGCCTGAGCGGTTTCTCTGGTGTTCTTGAAAGAGACTCTCAAGTAAGAACCTCTAGCAGAAGCAGACTTTGCTGGGTTTGATGGGACTGCTGCGTATCTAGCCATTGTTTGATCTGTTGAACGAAGTTTGCAGAGACTGAATCTGTACTGGTGGTAGGCTTTTTGCACGAAACTAGGGCTGATATCACTGTCTTGAAATTCCTCTCAAGGGTGTCTACGTGCACAGAACCGCTTGCGAGTGCTGTCGTCGTTGCACGGGGCGAGGGGTGCGTATGGAGACGCAGAAAAAAAAAGCGGGACGGAAAGGGTGAAAAATTTGGCAGCGGCGGGTTTCTGCATCCGTGCACCGGAGCGCGCCACGCCTCAGAGTGGTACGCGTTCAGCGTGCGGTGCGCGGGGTGCACCCTGCGCAAAAACAACAGTCACAATGACAAAAAGCCGCTATCTTACGTAAGCATGCGGTGCCAACAGAGCTTTCTGCCCCACGTGACAACCCAAAAGGGCAAGAGGAGGACAAAACGATGAGGCTCATCGTTTTCCGTTGCCACCAGCGTCCGGACCTGGACTGGGATAAGAGCACAAGAGTAGAAGCACAAGGGCAAAAGGACTCCTGGTGGAACAGACACAGGTTGTTCCTTGTCGAAGGGTCCCTCGGAGGACAGAGTAGGCTACGCGTGAGTTACAGAAGCAGGCAGTATAGCCTTAGGTCGAGATACTCCAACAGGTCACAAGTAATACTTGTCAGACAGCCACCCATTCCCATCCCGCCGTGTCAATTCCGAAGAAGTACACACCACGAGATAAAGATCATCGCTCCTTTGTTTGCCTGATGAAAAAAGGAATAAAAAGTGAATAGGTGGTTCGTGAAACGTCCAGATGACTAGATTGCAAAGAATCGTAGGCAAAGCTGTAATGACAGATCACTAATCCGGCAATACACCACCCCGAAGGGTGGTGCTGGACATGCCAGACACTATTCTCACTTTGAGGGTATGGGGGTTCTATCTCATCAACCAAGTTGGAAACAGTGGCTCTTTAGAAGAGTCAAAGAGAGACGAATCCTATAGAAATGATCCTATGAAGTACGTCGACAAAGAAAGAAGAACCCCAAAGAAGTGCATGCCCGGACAGTGTATGGTAAGGCTCCCACAGCGGCGGGTGGCGCTCTGCTTTTATACCCGCCGGCTGCACCGCAGAGTTTTTTTGCGGCCGCGGCCACACGGGGAAAGAGGGCTTTTTTTCTTTCTGGGGCAACGAGGTCTTCTTGTGCTTACGTCAGCCTGGGGGGCAGGTGGTGATGGCGTCTATCGTGGGCAGCACAAGAGGACATCAGGCTTAGGGCCAGGGGATGAAGCAGCGGGGACGGGTGGGGACAGCGTCCGGATCTCGGAGCAGTGGACAGGGAACACGGCAGAGACATACAAAGAGCTATACACACACAGATGCAGGTGGTACTCCGTTTGTTTGCGGTGTGGCTGGCGACAATGGCCGTCTGCTGCATGGAGGCGGTGACGGCGTTCGACATCGGCAAGGAATACTTTACGAAGATGCGGGTGGACGACGCGATAGTTGGGGTGCACTCTTCGGAGGCAAAGCAGGTGACCCCGCCGTCGACGATTGTGTCGTCGTGGTATGCGGCAATGCAGAAGGGGAAGCCGTCTTCGGGCAACGGGATTGGACACGGGTGTCCTGCGGACTCCACGCTCTGCGGCGTGGTGAGGCTCGACACGGCAGACGAGGCGATCCAGCTGTTGAGCGTGCGGGAGGAGGACGGGAAGTACGCGTACGACGAGCAGAGGGGTCTCCGTGCAGAGTGGAGCGGGGTGGCGTACGGCGACCTGACGCTGACCGTGGTGCTCGACTTCACGTGTGTGGACTCGGCCGAGGACCGCCTGGGGTGGGTGAACCACACGTCGGCGTTCATCGACGGCGACGTGCATCTTGCGTGGAGCAACAAGCAGTTTTGCAGCAAGGACGGCCGCAGCGGCGGTGGCGACGGCGGCAAGGACGGCGGCAAGGACCCGCAGGACAGCGGGCTCGGCCTGTTTGGCATGTTCTTCCTGATTGGCGCCGTGGCGTTTGCCGGGTACCTCGTCGCCCAGGCGTGGTTCAACACGAGCACGATGGGCAACTCGAGCGACTTCTTCAACGAGTTGGTCGACATTGTCGTCGACAGCATCTCGTCGATCCCGCGGCTCGTACTCGAGGTGGTGAACAAGATCACCGGCGGCGGCGCCGCCGGCAACGCCTCCCGCGGCGGGTATAGCGCTGTGTAGGAGTCCTCACTTACAAAGCTTAATGTAAACATCGTACATACATATCTATCACGCCTTGCTGGCAACAACCTTCTTGAGAGAGTCGACCGTGTTCTTGATGGACGTCTCGAGGTAGTGCTTCTTCTTGTTCAGGCTATTCATCGTGTCGATGTTCTCGCGGATCTGGCGCTTCATCTGCGCCTCGTAGTCGGCCACCCCCGTCTTGACAAAAGACCGGCCCACCGCCTCCCACACGTGCTCCTGGCCGCCTGTCCGCACGTCCTTCATCGAGACCTCGATCACAGAGTTGCTCCGGCTCACGGCCTCGATCGCCGCCAGCGTCTTCTGCAACTCCCCCTGCTGTGTGCGCAGCTGCACCTGCATCTCCGTCACCATCTGTGTTAGGCCTGACATTGTCTTCTATGGTCTGTGTCCTGTGTCCTGCGTGCTGTAGTTAATGTGCTCTTTTCAGCTCTCTACCTCGTCACCTCTCCCTCTTCGTCGTCTCTTGCCTCTTCTGGACGCGGTGGCCGAAATCATGCTCTCGTTGAGCCTGGCGCTCTCTCTCGCGGCGACACTAGTTCCACTCTCGGACACGTAAAGAGCACGAGGGAGAGGAGTGGCACAGCTACGGTCACGGCTACGGCTATGGCTGGAGGCACGCCCAGCTGTGGAGACACAAACTAGTGCTAGCTTGATAGAAGGCTGTCCTCTTGCTTTCCGACTCTCCCTCGGCATTGATATCGGCATCGGCATCGGCCCACGGTAGCGACATCCCCATCTCCTGCATCACTTTCCACCGACCATGCATCAGAACAGCGACTTGAAAGCACGCAAGAAACAGCAGTCCTCCGTACTGCCGCTGGCGTTGAAGAAACCGTTCCAGGTCTCCTCGTCGTCGGTGTCGTCAACCGCACGCAAGTACGTTCCCATCGTGCTGCTACTCTTCCTCCTGCACTTTGTTCTGGTCGGAAGCATACTGCCGGCCCCGCTCGTGTCTCTGATCTCGTTCGTTGCGTCGCCAGTAACGTACTTCTTCTCGGCAAACAACGCTCCGTCGTCGATCTCCATGTTCACCGACTCGAAGTACCTCGGCTCGAAGTACCAGCACGGCTTGACATCAAACAAGAAGATCATCGAAGAGAAAAACAAATACATCTTTCCCTTGATCCAGGAGGCTCCATTCTTGAAAGAGCTCGGATTGGACAAGCTCTTCAAGGTCACCCAGGACGGCTCGAATAGGAAATTCTACTCGTACTCGCCGGACTACTTCGATGACCTCTCTGCCACCAACGAAATGACCAACGAAAACGCTAAGGACAAGACCCCTGAGATGCAGAGCATGCAGACCTATGCCGACGCAATCAAACACTTCAAGGCTAACGGACATCGCATCTATACAGGAAAAGAGAAGCCGGAGGTTGTGTTGGTCACCGCCATCAATTTCGAAGAACTGGAGCCCTCCTACCTTGTTAAGATCATCCAGAACCGTGTAGACTACGCCCACAAGAACGGTTACGCAATTTACTCCCGTTGGGTCCAAGAATTCACCCCGATCTTCCAAGAGTATAAAAATGACCCCGAGGGGTGGTCCAAGATCTTTATCTTGAGAGAGGCAATGTATGCATTTCCGCACGCCAAATGGTTCTGGTACATTGACGAATACTCACTCATCATGCGTGACGATATCAACCTAAACAACTATTTGCTCAGGCCGAAGGCCCTAGATCCTATCATGTTGAGAAACCAGCCTTTGATTCCTCCGGATGGGGCTGTGAAAACCTACACCCATACAGTCGCAGAAGACGTTAGTTTGATTTTAACGCAGAATGAAAGAAACCTAAACACGGACAACCTAATCATCAAAAACGATCTTACAGGACGTGCAATTCTCGAATTATGGATGGACCCCCTTTTCAGAAAATATCCATCTTTCCGCAAAGATGAGTCCAACGCTTTGGCACATCTGCTGCAATGGCACCCAGTGATATTGTCCAAAACTGCCATTGTGCCTCCACGGGCAATCGCAGCACTTGCACCAGAGAAGGCTCCGGAAACTCGAAGTAACGAATTCATATATCAAAGTGCTGACTTCGTCGTCAGCCTTGGTGACTGTAAAATCAGCAAAGACTGCGAACGCATCTTAGCTCCATACTGGGACAAAACGCAGATGTTAGGAGCCAATCAAGGGAATGGCCAAGAACAACCTAACCATGCCGCCCAGGAGAAGCTGAACAAGAGAGATACTACCGATAAGATAGACAAAATCATGGGAGCTGAGGACAATATCGCCAACGACGCCGACATTGTCAATAACGAGAATATCTGATTGATGTTTTCCTGTTCAAACTACTTATCATTCTATATAACTCTCCAGGTGAAAGGCTGAAACTACCGGTTTACTTTCACCTACTATCATCTGTATACTCAACTCTATATGTTTCACTTTCTTTGCCCATTGTCTCTTCTATCTCTTCTCTTTACGCTAGATACTAATATCAACCATTCCTTCTTGTTGAAAACGAAAAAAACAGCTATAGATGTACAGTGTGATACTTATTAAAATGATCATAATACACAGTATTCAAGTTCATTTACTTAATCATAACTCAAGCGGATCACTCCTTAGGATCCACGCTTTGTTCCAAGACCTTTAAAGCTACCTGTCTCCTTCTTTCGTCAATATCTGACGAAATCGGGTCGCCAGAAGTAGGCTTCGACGTGGTGATGCCTTGTGTACCCGATACTCTAAAAGTACTTCTGATGTTCCCGATGTCCACTTCTTCGTCGTTCCAAGGACGCACCAAGCCTAGCAACACAGATAACTGATAGATTCCGTCAAAAAGAGGCTTCACATACGGTTTAGCAAGGTCAGGGAAAAATTCCACCAACGCAAAAGTGTCCGATGGGTCACCACGAGAGGGTGTGTTGACTGAACCAGCTTGCGAGACTGGAGATGGTAATACTTCAAACGCGTTGATAGCTGGGGAAAACTGGAAGTAACGTAAGTAGCACCACGATGTGAAGAACGACACAAATGCCGGTAGAAATGGTGCAGCATTGCCCTTGATCACCGATATGACCAGTGTGAGAGTGAGCAAGATGAAGGGCAGACGTTTCAAACGGAACTTGAACAAAGACAGGACCCTGATGTTAGTCTCTGGCGTCAATTGCTTGGCGACTGTAGCAAAGGGGAGAACCAATATGTAGAGACCATAGTGTAGTGGTAGATTCAAGTTACTGAGTGATCCGTACAGAAGGTTGGACAACGTGATCAGCACTATGCAGACTAGATTGGATATTATGATGATGATGGAGGTAAATTTCAATGCCTCCGAGAGAGGCTGCTGCGAGCTCAAGTAGTGCGTGATATTGCTCGAAGCCTCGTCATTTGCCGCTGACAACGACTTTGGGTTCCATTGGGACTCCAAAAAGGTCATTCCGACGTAAACAATGATCAAGCCGGAGATGAATTGGAAAGGAGAGGTCTCCACAAAGGCAGAGGTCCAGATTGTCCATGGGTGGAAAACAAAGTGGGCAGGCACCAACTGAAGCGACGGGATGATTATGTCTTCGAACACCAACTCCGGGTTGCCGGCAATCAAGTGCTTGTACGATTGAGTACGCACGTAGGACGTGATGGCCGACAGCGTCACCGTGATTGCAAGATACACCAAAGTGATGACCGGTAGAGAGGTGAATTGGGAAACCTGATTGGAAAGCGACTCCATGTCAAAGGCCATTGCTGTGTGTGTGTGGTCGTTGTACTTTATGTTTCCTTTCTTGCTGATATGAACCAACGGGGCCGTGAGTTACGGCACTTGCTGTCCAATTGGCACGGCGGCTTCATTTCACTCGTCCTGTTCGTGACAGAACCCAAAGAAGACAAATCACAACCCTCGGCTCCAGTCTTTTTCTCCCCAGAAAGAAGCACGGCTTTTTCCTGCTTGGCTAAAAGCTGCTACGGGGGTAGAGTCGGTAAAGGTCTGAGGAAACTACCAGGGCACACAACAGCAGTCGACAATAAGATGGCCGGGGCTTCTGAGAGCAGCCTGCCAGAGAAAAAGCCGGTGCCGATTGCCCGGGCTGACAGTGGCAACGGGAACGGAAGCAGTGATAATGATGAGATGCGAGCAGATAAGAACGGGACCAAACAGCGAAGGACGTCTAGCTCTGGGCTGACGCTGGAGCAGAAGAAGACGAATCACATAATGTCGGAGAACCGCCGGCGGAATCAGATTCGGTCGTCGTTTGACCGGCTGGTAGAGCTTGTGCCACAACTCGATAGCACCGAGAGCCGGTCGGAATATGCCATTTTGACCAAGACGGCCAACTACATTGTGCAGCTCCGTAAGGAGAATGAGCGTTTGGAGCAGCTCAAGCAAGATCAGGCTCTATAGAAAAACGTGTGCATTAATAGATAGGTGTATTGTAGAATAGAAGGACTAAATTGGAAAGAGAAACGCCGGATCACTCGTTCCAGATGCCGGCGTCGATGGTGCCGGCGTACGTGTGGCCGTTGTGCACGATGCTGACCTTCTTTGTGAGCTCCTGGTCCCAGTCAAAATACCTCTTTTCGACCCGTGCTAAACCGCGTTCGCCGTCGTTCACCAACACCTCTCCGACCTTTCCTGCGTCCCGACGGGCCCGAACAGGCCGTGCGCCGGCTGATGAAGAAGCTGGAGATCCAAACGGATTATATACAGGCTCTTTCTCCTCCTTCTGCTCTTGCTGGGCCTCCGCACTGTCCTCAACGACCCGCAGTTCCAGCTTGGCGTGGGCGTCATCGAGGTCTGGGATCTTCTCGTCGAAGACGACAGGCAGGACCCGGCGCACAGTACCGTTGCCCGTCCAGGTCCGGATGGTGAGTTCTTGGCCCATGTAGCAGCCCTTGTCGTAGTTGATGCCCCGCATCCAGTCGAGGTTGCACTCGAACGGAAGCGTCGCCGTGCTCTGGAAGTCGGTGTTTTCCACGATCCCGTGCTGGACCCGACGAGCAACGTATGTCTCCAGGGGAAGAAGGTCGACGTTGTCGATGGGAGGCTGTTCCTCAGGAGAGACGATTCTCAGGCCAAAGTAGTCTGACCGCTGGTCTACAGCAAAGCCGAGGACGTCTTTGCGGGGGAGCCGGGGGCTAATGAGCCCGCCGTCGCTGAGGAGTCTGGCTGCAAGCTGGTTGGCGGCAGCAGGGTCCTTCGAGGCGGAATTTGAGAAGTAGACGTCGAGCAACGTGTCGTAGAGTTTGTGGCCGTCGGGCGAGTTGTCGTAGTAGAACCACGACGCCAGCTTTTCCTCCTGGATGTCCACCTTCGCCCGGAGCTTGTGGAGCTTGAGCATCAGCTGGAGCGGCTTGAACTGTGCTGCGTTCAGCAACTCAATGAGGTACGTCGGCTCGCTGGCGGCGTCGCCGTCGAGCACAAAGGGCGTCGGGTAAATGAAGATGTCCGAGAAGACACGGCCGTTGGCCCTCAGGATCATGCCGTACCGCCCGTCCCGGCGGATGCCCAAGCGCATCGGCAGCTCTGCGGGGTCCTCCGGGTCGTACTCCTCGGCCTCGTGGAGTATGCCCCAGTTGCTGGACGTGATGAGTTCCTGCGAGAGGTCGATCGAGCGGGCGACGGCCTCGTTGTTGATGTCGGCGGCGGAGATCGTCGTCTGGTTCTTCTTGAGATGTTTCGGAAGCATCTTCACCGTCGTCAACCCGTTGATGAACACCGAGGCGTCTGGCCCGGACACCCGGAGAAACCTTGAGCTGTCGAGCTTCACAAGACCCCGGCCCGGGATCCGGGCCGGCACCGACAGGCTGCGCTTCGCTAGCGTCACAAACACCGCAGCGTTCCCTCTCTTCCACAAGGCAAACATGGCTAGCTAGTTGGATGTTCAAGCACCACAAGACCCCCGCAAACAGCACCATCGGAGCAGTCTAACGGCATCTAAACGTCAAACAAGGCCGGTTCAACCCCTCTCCGCCGCCGCCGAGGGAGATTTTCCACTATCTTCCCCGTCGGGAAACGGGGTTACTAATAAACGCTTGGCAACGTGACTGTTACGGGTTGTCGATACACAGGTGGCTACTTGGCCTCTTCGGACTCTTCGGCCTCGTCCTCCTCTTCCTCCTTCTCCTCGTCCTCCTCCACCCGCCCGCCCCGGGCCTGGATCCGCTTCGTTAGGTACACGTTGATGTCGTCCTGCAGCCTCGTCACGTACCCCCGCAAAGCACCCATTTCCGTCCCCGCCGTCAACGCCGCCGGCCGGTCCCGGTCAACGTACTGTCCGCCCGTAGACTCCAGCAAGTACGGCGACGGCCCCGTCGTCGTCCCGTCCGCCGTCAGCTCCGCTGGTGTCACTCCTTCCAGCGTGAACGTCGCTGTCGTCTCGCCCGCCACATACCGTGCGCTCGGAAGCCTCGTGCTGCTTTCCATGGTGCTTATAGTTGTCACTATTGTCTTCTCCGGCTTCCCTAGCTCCCCGCCGCCTCCAGCAGACCCTCCAACCCCCGTCTCCGGTCCGTCCTGACGTCTCTTCACCACCTCTGCCGGAGCTCTATGGCTTCTCACGCCCGGGTAACTTTGTTCGCGTCTGAAAATTTTTCAGGGCAGAGGACGGCCAGAGGTGGTGAAGAAAGGGAGTAAGAGGAGGAGGCTCTGAAGACAACAGAGGGGACAGAGACGGAAACAGCGGGATCAAGGAAGCACGGAACAGCAGCATAGCACAGCAGCACAGCGCACAGCACCATGGCATTCACCATTGTGATCGACAACGACCTCCACTTCTCCCTGCTCGAGCTCGCAGCAATCCTCGACCTGGAGCTGAAGTCCCAGGACCACCACTACAAGCCACTCTTCCAGAAGCTGCTTGACGAGAACAAGACGGCCGAAATCGTGCAGCAGCTTGCAGAGGTGCAGAAGTACTTTCTCAGAAGCTTTTCGAAGAAGTCGTTTGAGCCATCGGTGAACCTCTACATCCACATTGTGAACCTCGTTGCCGGGGAGGGAAGCGCCGGCAGAGCCACGCAGATCGAGCTGCTCTCGGGCCTCAGGGCACATATTGACCCACACAGCCCGGAGAACGCAGATGTGCTCTCCAGCTTGGAGGTGCCTGTCGACGTGATCCTCGTGTGCCTCACCAACATCTTCAACTCTCTTCCGGTCTCGTCGGCCGCCAGAGTCGACGCACTCGCCGCCATCGTCGCCATCGTCGTCAGCAAGAACGTCTCCGGCACCATTGGAAACATAGCCAAGCACACTGTGGAGTGGCTCTCCTCCGTCGAGGGCGCCGACGCAGCCAAGGTCTCCGGCTTGGTCACCGCCATCTTCAACCAGTACGCCGCAGAGGACGAACAGAACGCCATCCGGTTCCTCCAGGGGGTGATAGCCAGCAACAAGATACCGCTGGACTCTGCCGCCCTCGTGAACTTCTTTGCCAACCTCCTCAGCAGCACCGACATCTACGACATATCGAAGTACGAGAATGCGTTCGACTCCACCAGCGACGCCTCCTTCTCCAAATTGTTGAAGCTTTACGTGACAGGCGACAACAAATCATACTCCGCCGCCAAACAGGAATTCCTTTCAGCTTCATTTGCGAGCCAAATCAACTTTGCTAACCTAGATTCAAACTTCCAATCTCTCGCCATCCTCAACTACTTGGCATCTTCCGTCTCCGACTCGAACACCTTCTCATACAATACCATTGCCCAAGACTTGGGCATCTCGATAGACGACGTTGAATTGAAATTGATTACCTTGATCTCCCAAGGCCTCATCGCCGCCAAGCTGTCGCAGTCAACAGGCTCCGTCGTCTTAAACTCAATCAACTACTCTGCTCCTTCTTTGTCCACCAAGACAGAATTAGTCAACTGGAACGAAATCGACACTCTCTTAGGCTCCTGGAGCGAAAACGTTGCAAATTTACAGTCCATCGTGCAAACCTTGATAGTCAAGAGAGGAAAGAGAGTCAATGCTCCTCCTGTCATCATGTCTTTCCACCAACAGAAATTGGAAGCAAAGGAGGCTAGAGAGAAGAAGGCGCAACAGGCCAACAATTCTGAAGCTTCCACTGCCACCACCGATACTGCAGAAACCGTTGCATCTTTTGATGGTGCAGAAACCGAAGCTGAAGCCGAGAAAGTCGAAGCTGCTTAAGCTTCATCCATTATATACACTTTGTCATATATATTCACCTATATATATAACTCTTTCACTCTATACTCTTCATGACCTCGTATATAAAGTTTAATTTTGTTATAAACTACTCATTAGAAGCAGAAAACAATATACGTTTTAGTTTGCAAATATCCAATATAGCTAATACTTCACGAAGGCTTTTTTCGTGTCTGCAATCCTAACAATAATTACTAACACGGCAGACCCAAGACTGATGACACCACAAAATATAGCGAGCTTGTCGAAACCTTCTGTATTGCTAACATTTCCTTTTGGAATAAAAGTCCCGCCGATAATAGGGCCTAAAAAATTTCCTAATCCTCCAAATACAAAGAAAAACGACAAATACGAAGGGATATCTTTCCCACCAAAAAGCTGGCCAATGATGGGAGGAAATAGAGCAATAGGAACACCTGTAGCACACGACCACAAAACCACAAATGCCATTATTACGGCCGAATTGCTTGCTGGAATCCACATTGCCAATGGGAAAATTCCAGATAAAAGTAATGCAGGAATAAGCAGATTCATCCGTCCGCATTTGTCTCCAACAAATCCAGGAATTACCCTGAAAATGCATGCACAAGCATTAATAATAGCAACAGTGTATTGCTGAAAAGTGGGATCAACTTTTGCTCTGTTACAAAATAGATCAAGATAGAAAAACCCAGGAAACAAAGCAAGTAAAAACAAAAACCAAGCAACACTTACCATGAGGTATCTCAAGTTCAAGAGCACGGTAAAATTAAGACGCAAGAAGTTTTCATTGTCCAGCTTAGGCTTTGGTTTGACTCTGGGTCTCAAAAAAACAACTGCAATTATTACCATCGGAATGTATATAAATCCAATGATTCTGTTGGCCCATCCAAACCCAACTTTATCAATCAAGTTTCTTATTCCAATAGGCCAATAAACACCTCCTAAACTTGCACCTGCAGTGATAACCCCTTGTGCAAGAGCCTTACGTTTGTTGAAGTACTGGAAGGTGACACCAGTTGCGTGGACATACATTATACCTGACCCCAACCCAAACATCAACCCTTGGATGATGAAGATTTCTGCTACCGTTTTGGAAATCGACAAAAACATAAAAGATAGACACGCCAATAATCCCCCGATTGCAACCACAAGTTGTGGACCAACGTAGATCATAGCAATTGTTGAAGGAAGTGCCATGAACAGTGTCAGTCCTGCTTGCAATGCTCCAATGATCGATAACACATTGGAAGGAACATGCTGGTACTTCTCTTCATAGTAAGTTTGGTAGACACCATAAGAATTGCACATCCCAAAGGACATTGACATGATGCTAGCAGCAGCACCAACAACAAGCCAAGCTTTCAATCCCCCATCGATATTGTGCTCTTTTTCATTCAATTGTATTTTTTTTCCTTCGATGTCTGTCATCGATGTTTCTCTTCAATAGATGATTCAGACTCCCGTATGGTTCACTCTCTGTTGTTTCAATATCCTGAGCATCATTTCAGAAAGCTCAAGAGCTGTTAAAGCTCAAATAAAAGGGGATTTTATTTTCTTTTAAATAAACTGTTTGCTGCTATGGAAAGCATCATTATTATAAGTTTTCCAAATTATAAAGCATAGTGGAAACTGTATATCTGCCGGGAAATGTCCCAATTGGGAAAAAACTCCGGTGATTTTCACCTTTTGGGTAATAACGTTAAAAGGGAATAACTGACATGCAAATGTACCCTTTTTGTACCATATGAAAAGCATCTATAGTTATAAATATTCTGGTAGTATTTTTGGTTCGATTAAGTACTGGATGGGCTCAAAGAGATATATTGTCATTTCAACTATATGAGGCTAGTAAATAATTTTGACTGCAGAATAAACTCTGATTTGTGTCACCATTCGCCCTTTTCAGAATTTTCTAGTATTATCCTCAGCCTATAAAAAGATCATCCTCCCTCAAAAACGAATAGAGCAACACTTTGTAAGTACTTAAGCTCTGTTGATATCCTATCAACTCATGTATACAACTGATTTCTTCACCACAACAAAAACATTGTCGTGCTAGGAGTCATATCTTCATGTAAACAAGACGTTGTTCTTCAATGTCAAAGAATGTTTGGCTACAAAAGGTTCATATAAAAGAATCTAATAATTGTTCTAGGTAAAAAGGGTAGGATAATTAACTTTCCAGAAGTCTTCTTGAACTAGCTCCTTAATCGAAGTAGAGTTAAGGGTAACTCGACCTTTTCCATCTCTGACCGATAAGTCATCTATCTCGTCTAAATCGTAGTACCAGATTTTTTCTATTCCCATCTTTCTTATGTATTCCAAAACTATTTGATAGTTCAGCCCAACTTGATCATCACCATGCGAATCGTCACTCAAAACAAACTTGACACCTTTCGAGATCATGAGATTCATGATGTCGTTTTTAGGATAAGGTGTACTCCAACCTTTACGTATGGCAGATGAGTTCAGTTCCACAGTCAATCCAAGGTCTACAATTGAGTTGACAGAATCTTCGATGAGTGCCCATACCTCTGGCCAGTCTTCTTCTATGGTGATCCCTAGCTTCTCTTCCTGTGTCACCTTAACCGTATTGAATTTAATCTCTCCGTTTTCAACATTTTCAACCTCGATTTCTGTATTGGCAAATAGTCGAATCAAATCAAAATGGGCCACCACTTCGGGCTTGAGTTTACGGATCATGTTGTCCACCAGTTTGAAGTATTCTCTATAGAGTCCACGAACCCCACCGCACTCTGTGACTGCTCTGTCCCATGTCTGCTGATCGAAATCGATGTCCGTTCCATTTACATGATGTACACTTCCCACAATGAGATCTGCATCAATGTCGTTTCTCAATTGTAAACAAAGTTCTAGATGCTCTTCATTGATGCCTCCTTCACTCTCAAATCCCACCAATAGCTTAGTTTTCCCAGGGTATGAATCAGAGTTCAATTTTTGCTGATATGCTCTTGCAGATACCACGTAGCTTTTAAATTGATCCATTAAAGATTCAGGATTCATATTAAGCTCCAACTCTTCCGGGTAGAGAAGCTCCTGTGTCAGTCGTGGAACATGTTCTGTAAGACAGAACACCTTGAATTGCTTGCTTTTGGCAGTTTTGATGACCGATTCTAAAGTATCATGCGCATGCTTGCAGAAGCTCCCGGAGTGGGAATGATGAGAATATGGCATCCTTCAGTGTACTTAACACAGAAATATGGCCAAGCCAACTTAAACTTAGTATTTCCATTTACGATTCAACGCCAAGAGTGTGTGTTAACTCAAAGTGATAAATCCTCAATTCTCTATACGATCGCTTTGCTAAGCAGACCGAAAAAGAATTGCATCCGTGGTTATGCGTGACTATACGATAAGACACTTTCTACTCTAGATAGTGGTGTTCGTTATAAAGTTCATTCTAGAAGGTTACAATATGTACAAGACAAAAAGGAAGTAGGTACGACCAATTACCTCGTTACCCATTTACAGATTACGCCAAAAACTTGCCCAGAAAGGTTTGAGAAATGATCAAAACCCGTATCTTCTCAATCTATTACGTCTCTCTTCTTGATCACGTTCAGCTCTCCATTTCAAAAACATTCCCCATAGGAATCCAACCCACATACCTCCCAAGTGTGCAGCATAGTCAAAGTTTCCCCATCTCAGGACGCATCCGGCAACATTATATAACGCAAATAGACCAGCTGCAACAGATGCTCCACCTGGAATTGGGATGAAAAAAAATGAGATCCCTGCAGCAGGAAACATCGTAGCAAAGGCAGTGAATACACCTGAGATTGAGCCAGATGCGCCCAATGAACGACCAAAGTAACGGAAAATCTGAGAATAGGCAAGAGAAAAGAATGATGCCCATGCACCAGAAATCAAATAGAGGTTCGTAAAGCCGGTCACACCAAGCATAGATATCATGGAGCCAGAAAACGAATATAAACATGCCATGTTAACTAAGATGTGGAAGGGCTCCTGATGAGAGAAAGAAGATAGGATCAGAGACCAATTCGAATGGCGTGTGAGTGCGGATCTGTCCATAATGAAGTAGTTCTCAAGCGTTTTATAAAGGAAAGCATTGGAATAACGTATTTGCCAAAGTCCAAAAACAACTGCATTGAGTCCGATGATTGTCCAGATCAGCAGTTGTGGGTTTCTCTTGAACGCTGCCAAAGGTGTGTAGTCGAATAGATATGGCATTGCGAAATAGGAGACCACGGTGAATATTGTGACAAATATGAATGGCTTGACAATGTTATTCTGGACGTTATTGTAGTTTGGTTCTGAACGAGAGTATCCGTTTCTACCCAACTGATTGAACGTGGCAAATCTCTGCTGGATTATGGGCTGGATTTGTTTAAATCTTGATTTTGCATGGACATCATTCAAACAAAACTTAGCTGGTGAAGGCCGAACAACCTTACGCCAACTGTGAAAGAGCCTGGTGGTTGTAGGGCTATACTTTTGCCCCTTGATCGCAAGGTTGGCACATGTCACTGCATTCAGTCTTGAACTCACTGAAACGCCACCGAGGAAAGATCTGACCGATCTCACTGGGGTTGCTGCTCTAACAGGCAGGAGACCTATACGGAACATTGCTTTTCTTTGGTATTTAACAACTTGCAGTCGATGCTTTGCGTGCAAGTCGGCAAGCCTTTACAAAAGAACAGAGCTACACAAAAAGCTTCTAACAGCCAGCTCAAATGTACTCGCTTCTCGCCCCCGGACTGAAAATCAGGCCGAACTTTACCGCTTTCATCATGTTTTCTACTCTTGGAATGAGAAGTAGTTGAAGGGGAAGTTCCCCGTGGCTCCATTTTTGACAAGCCGTCCTTTCCACCATCCTGTGGGACTTTCCTCCAATACTGTAACGTAGTCACCTTTGCTGAAAGACAAGTCGGTTCTTCTTTCCCCTTCGAAACTGTAAAGAGCTTTTCCCAGTTTAGAGGATTTCAAGCACAAAACCAATTCTTTTCCTGCATCCTCAGATGGTGTGACGTTGTATAAATTGGAGTAATGGTTGAACATTTGGAGAGATTCGAGCCTCTCACATATGCTTTTCTGCACTTCTTTCACCTTGCGGGTGTTGTTTTCGAAGTAGATATTATTGAGATCAATGTTGGGGAAAAACCTTTTAGCAAGGCTGAAGGAATCAAACATTGACTTGTAAAGGTCATGCAAGTGGAAGAAAATGATGACAGAGATACACTTGGCGATTTCATTGCTTAACACAAGAAAAGATGGAAGCTCTGCTTTCAACACGTTGTTGAGATTGTCAAGCTTTTCTCTCGATTCTTCAATCTTCCTCTGGTTTTCAAAGATCCTCTTATATTCTTTATCTAACAATTGCGGTTTTTCCTTCAACTTCTTGTTGTCCGATGTATATTTTCTCAAGTCTAATTCAAGGTAGCCTTTTTCTTTGAATACTTTTTGTATATTTTTAACGAGTTTTAGATAATCTGTCAAAACATGATCGATTCGGCTTTTAAATTGTGACACTCTAGTAGCAACATCGGCTTGAATCGGTTTGACAATGGGGGAAACCTGAACTCTTTCGGCACCGATTATTTCCTCAAACTTTACTAACATCAGAAACAAATGGCCTGTGAATTCGTTGATTGAAGCCTCATGCCTTCTGATGGCATCCTGTAGTCCTTCATAATGTTGAATGGCTTCTTTAGCGTGTTGAATTTGGGCTTTAGTCAAGCCGTCCATATCATTCACAGCATCATCATATCCTAGGTTGAACTCAGTCAGTACCCGTTCTTTGAGTAATTGTGGCGCCTACAAGAAAATATTAGGTATATGAATTAGTATCTAGACTTATAATAACACAACTACATTCGTCTCTACGATTTTTCTCTCGTGAACTATTACAAAAGGTGAATGTGCATACCCTGGTGATAGATTTTCCCAAATCATTCCAGTCCACTTCAGGAAGAGCAAAGTTCATTTCTGGATTATCTTACCCGTTTTAATCAAACCATTCTGTATTCCGATAAGCTGTTTCTTTGTTATCACCTCATTCTGCTCCCTTTGATTTTGTAGGATGCCCCGCGTCAAACCCCGGCCACGCCAATATTTTGAAATTCTGATTCTTCTTCAACTGGTAATTGTACAATTCATTGGCATCATTATCAAGGATGACTGTGTCTAACATATAAAGACGCTGCTGCTGATCATAGGAACCTTCTTTCCCGGTAACTATATCATGTTTCATCTGTCTAACTTTGTCACGTAAAATATTTGTTAATCCCTCGACTATTTTGTTCGCAAATTCCTTATCTGTTGGAGTATTCACAATTATAGAGTGCCTTAATCTTTTCACAAGCTTGATTGCGCTGAGAGAATCTTCAAACTTAGAGCTGTTCTCTCCAAACTTTTCAGAAGAAGAGTTCCCATCATTCAAATATGCATGTGGCTTAAGGATTAGAATTGCAGCATAGTATAGCATGATGTGAATATGTATAGGAACATATCTTAGCACACTTAAGATATCGCTATCTCCAAGTACAATGTTCAAAACTGTTTCTGCAGCAGATAATGCCAACTCAGCAGAAACTTTACGGCTCTCCATGGGAGACAACTCTTTTGCCATGTCCAATTCTTCCTCGTCATCGTCTTCATCATCGCTTGCATCGTCATCATCATTGGTCCTTCCATGTGCTTTACCTTCATCTCCATTGAGCTCCACAATATTTGAAGCAGAATCAGCACATCCTTCAGTTGCCTCAATAAAATCATCATCGATTTCATCAAAATTAGGTAGATTCATCCCCGTGGCTTGGTATTTTCGCACAGCAGCTGAGTTTATGTGCAGCTTGGCAAAGTTATAGTAAATCAAAGTAGATTTCGAAGACCAAACTGGGTGATTTTTGAAAGGACTCAAAACAACTGTCCACTGAACCATCCATTTGTCCAATTCTAAGTTTGTTTTGAAAGGCAATCCAAACGATGAAGGGGTCAGTAAATCCCAAGCATGGCCACCAAATACTGCATTAATGGCCTGATGATATTCGACCTGTGAAATGAGCCGAATATCAGCATAACTTGCATTTACCAGTTCTGGGTTTCTCTTTTCTATAGCTGTAGAGCTAGACGCTTTTCCTGGCACATCCAAATTCTTTTCTTCATGTTTGCTATCTTCTTTTTCCGCATCATCCAGCAGCTTTCTGCTATTTTGTAATATTTTATCCTCAGATGCAAACATGCTCTGTCTGTTGAAAACCAAAGACTGTTGGCCATCAAGTATATAGAGGAGGTACCAAAGCTTGAGTCTCTCCTTTTTCGGAATTTTCGAATTTTTGTTTCCCTTGGTGTTGTGCGGAGATATTAAATTCATCGTCCGAGCAAGCTGTATAGCTAGACCAGTAAACATCTGATCACTTTTAAACCAAAACCCACAAAAACATAGAGCGATGATGGTATTGAATGCCTCTGTTTCATTATTTGGAATATCGAACAAAATATCTTTAGAGATTTCATAAATAATTTTTTCCAAAGTAGGGTGCAAATGGCTAAGAAAAGGATGATGGATAGATGCAATACATCCAATAGTGGCAATCAATAATGGACACGTTGACCATATATCGTCGATAGAATACTTGGATATATCGAAACCAAACAACTGTGGAGAAATGTTTGTGTTGAAAAAGTTGAACAATTCTCTTGCATCCTCTTTACTTAATACTCTTTTCAACTGTGCAGCAGGGTCAACTTTTTCAAGTTCATTCAATCCATCAGCCTCTTCCAAGTTCTCGGAGCCAGTTATTGACAGATAGGGCTGCCCTCTGCTATCAGACGAAGCTTTATGATGGCGCTTTGTCGAGAGAGATTCGGTACTCTCAGCCTCCCTTTTCTTTGTTAAATCATTATTAATGTATTCCTTACCTTCTGCCCGTAATCGATGCTGTTCTGGCTGTGTTGAGCTTTGTGTCTGCTGGTTTTGTAACAGGGAGAGTATTGCGCCGAGTTTAGATCCAAAACCTTCCAGCCTCTCTTCAACGGAATTCTCCCAGCTATTGAATCCCGAGGTGGGTATTACAGCATTTGACACATGATTTGAAGATGGAGGTGTTAGCCCTGTGCTAGAAGCCGGACGAGAGTTAGAAGACGAAAGAGAGGATGCGGAATGAGAAGGGTCGTTTTGGCCTCCATTGCTGTTTCCATTAATAGGGTTCAAGAGTCTTGGAATACTTTGCGGTTGCTCGCCTCCAGAAACGTTTGGTCTGCTTATCGGCGAGTGATTGTTTGGCTCTATTGCAGGCAAGGTATTCAATATCCTGTTGATTGGAGGAATTCTCTCATAACGCACGGGCGTCTCCGTCACTCCAGCGCCTGCCTTGTTACTAAGAGAAGAAAAGGAGGGTAAGTACGCTGGCTTTTCAATATGACCAGTGGAAAGACCGGATGAACTTTCTTGCTGCATTTGATTTTCAGACTCGTTGGCCACCTTGTAACTAGCCACCTTGTACTCGTAAAGACACTGCAAACCTTGTGCTTTGCATCGTTTGCACGCTTGGTCATGTTCTTCCTTGATACATTTGATTTTCGACCGTCGGCAGTTTGTGCATGCCTTTGGTCGGCGTAGCTTATCATTCGCTTTCGAGTGCTGGACAGCATTATCGATGTTATTATTTGTACTTGCACCTTTGTTTTTGCTTATTGTGCTGTTGTTTGCCGATTCATCCGTTGAGCGGGTCGGGCTGACACTTTCCGAACGCTCGGCACCAAGGTTCGGTGCTATCAAAACCTGTCTGGGGGGTGTCATTTACTTGCTCTAGTAAGCTTGAAATACAACAAAGCTTTCTCTTCTGTGCCCGGATCCCCGAGAAGTGTATCTTATGTGCTAACATGAAAGTGCCTTAGAAAATGGTGATGCCAAGAGCGGAGAAAAATGCAGAGTCGTTTCTCGCACGTGAGTGATAAAGAGAGGAAGACCTTCTTCACAATGTCTTCGCTTTGTGACACTAAAGAGATACTTTTGCAAGCACTGGAATCCAATTAGTTTGTAAGAAGATGCAGAAATTCTTTGCTAGTGGCCGGAGGTATGCTGTGCTAGGTGCGTCGACGTCTCCGATGAAGTTTGGGAACAGAATTTTGAAATGGTACATTAATCACGGGCTGGACGTTACTCCGATCAATCCCCGAGCTGAGAAGGTGTGTGATTTACCTGCTTTCAAGACGTTGAACGAGTTTCTTGGGTCTTTCAAGCAAGATGGGAAGGGAGCTATAAGCGTGAGTGTAGTTACTGCTCCGAACGTGAGCTATGAGTTGTTTCGGGAGGTGAAAGAGGCCCAGAATGAGGATAAGATCGCTGCAGTGTGGTTTCAGCCTGGGTCGTACGATGACCGGGTGGTGGACTATGTACGAAAAGAAATTGGTTTAGGCGATGGAGACGCTGTTATTTCTGATGGCGACTGCATCCTAGTATCCGGGGTAAGGAGGATGAGAGCCGAGTTAGCGGAGTAGAAAAGTGTAATATTGTCGGTGATGAAGTCGTTATCCACATAAATAAACTATATCTGCAAAAAACTACGCCCAGTTTTGTTTATTCTAACATTTTTTTAAAAAAGTTATACCCATTTTTCCACAAATCTTCCTTGTCCTTATTTGCATAGGTGTCATTGTCGGACTTTGAGCCGCTGCCACTTCCGCTGCCGCTGCTAATGACCACGTCTCCGTTTTCGGTGGTGTTTATGTATTCGATGCTCTCGTGGCTGAGGCCGGAGTCGCCGGTTATCGAGGAGATGTTCAGAGAGTTGAAGTCCAACTCTAGCTCTCCCGGCAAGTTATTACTGGTATCATTGTCGTTCTTATTGTTGCTGTACATGTTTGGTTTGATCTGGAACTCTGTTTTGATCAGGAAGGGGTTCAATGATTGTGTTCTCACGCTAGGGATGCTGTCACAGTTGGAGTCTGCGCATTCGATGATGTGGAACATGTTCGACCGGAAGGACGTCTGCATGGCATCGGTCCGGGATTCGCTGTCCATTGAGCTGAAGCGGAGCAGCGTTTCGAGGTTGATTGTGTCTTTGGCCCTCTCCTTTCCCGTGGAGGCGACGGCGGTGCCTGTGGTGGACACTGTGGTGGTCCGGTCAATCGTGTGTGCGACCGGGGTGTTATTAATATTAGTATGTGTTGTAGTGGCTGTCGTTTCTGTGTTGCCTAGCACGTCGAGATCGATTATCCATGCTTCCCAGCACTTTCCCGCCGGTGCTGTGTTGCCGGTATGATTTTTGCCAGTGGCATGCTGGTGGCCTGCGTTGTACAACCTGAGAACGATGATGACCTTTGTGTAGAGGTCTGCTAGCGTTGGGGGTTGAGACTTGCGTTTGCTGTGCGTTTTCTCTCTGTAGGACTTGGCCAACGCCTCCACCTTGGAGGCAACCCACTCACGCGGGGACCTATTCAAAAGGTAGTCGTCGTCGCCAGAGTGATGTCGCAGAGACGACGTGTCGCTGATGACCGGGTACACGGTGTTCTGGAACGAGTGCTGTGAGAGAGGCACGTTCTCGAGAGGCTCCAGAAGGCCCAACAGACGCACAAAGAGGATGGTGTTGAGCACCCCGTTGAGGTAGTCGCAAAGGGACGTGTCTGCAAGCACGGCCTTGAGCTTGAACGGCGACGGAGGCGACGACGTGGTGGGGAAGGGTGACGAGGAGGATGAGGATGAGGATGAGGATGAGGAGGCAGAAGAAGAGGAAACCGGCGTTGGCCCGGGCAACTGGCTCATCTGAATAGGGCTAGATAGAGGAAAGCGGCGTGTGTATAGTGCTGCTGGTCGTGCTGCTGGTCGGACGGCTTCTTCTGGGACGGACGACGGGGCAGCAGAGAGACGGTCCGGGGCTCCTTTCACGGTGTGTGCAGCGCATGTCCGGGCCGTTCTGCGGAGCCAGACAGGAGAAGGGTGGGCGGAGAGGAGAAAAGATCACCACCTGCGCGTGGCGGGTGTCCGAGACGTGTCTGGGGGTGGGGAGGGGATCGGCTGGACGGAGGGGTTGGTCTAGTTGGTATTAAAGGTGGTATATAGATACGGAGCGATACGGAAGCAAGAGAGAAAGGACAGACATGCAACGGGGGACGGGAGGGTCAGCCTGGGGTCGGGGTGGACGTCTTTGCCGGGCCCGGGGTGGAGTCGGAGATGGCCGGGTCGAGGTCGTGGTCGAGGTCGAAGTCCGGGCCGGGGGCTGCGGCGGCGCCGGCGCCAGGGTCCGGGTTGTTGAGCTTGTCCAAGGTGTGCTTGATGATCTGGACGGACGAGGAGAGGTCCTTGCGCATGACGTTCACGTAGAGGTCTGAGTCGGAGATCCAGGTCTCGATGGCCCGGAAGCGCCTGGACGCCCGCTCGCCGTCCATGCGGAACGCGCTCTCCTGCCAGATGGAGCGCTTGATGTCGAGGCGGTCGAAGTCCGCCAGGATGTCGTTGATCTCGGCCGTGTACAGCTTGTACACGTGCTCGAACGCCAACGACAGCGTGTCCCAGTTGTACTTGGGGATCGGGCGCAGGAACACGCGGGCAGCCTCCTTGCCCGAGCTCTCTGCGGGCTGGAAGTCCTTCACCAGCTTGTGGAACTCCACGAAGGCGGCCAAGTTCGGGTCCTGCGCCAGCTCGGCGTCGCAGTCCGCCGGCACCCGGGCCAGCAGCTCTGCCACAAGCGTGCCAGCCGACCCGTGCGTGCCCCGTGGCGCCGGCGCTGGCGCCGGCGACGGCGCCCCGCCGTCCTGCTCCATCTGCTCCATCTGCTCGTGTCCGTGCTCCTGCCCGGCCGCCACGTCCTGTACCGCATCGTCTCCAAAGGTGGCCGCCGTGGAGTTCACCGCAATCGACGAGGGGGTCTCTGACATCTCCATTGCCAACCAGACCCCCACCACCACACCACCCCGCCCCGTCCCAGGAAGAACCGTCTGTGTGGAACCACGGACCCGTCATCAACACGACATCGGTGCAGGCCCCAGGGCGAAAATCCGTCTGAGCCTCACGCCCTGTCCGAAACAGGCAACTGCCCTCAGCGCCCGCTGAGCTTTCTTTCTGTCTCTAGAAAGGCCACGGCGGCGTCGAGCCGGGACAGCTGGAAGTGTTGAAGAGAAAGCTGGCGGGCCGTGGACAGCGGTGTTGACGACGACGAGGCCGTGGCAGGCGACGACGGCAACGGCGGCGGCGCCAGGGCGGCCGGGGCGGCGGCGAGTGCTGCTGTTGAAGCCGACGGTGGTGCGTCGTGGTCCGGGCGTCTGCGCCGGACGTGGTCCCGCTGCACCAGCGGCGACACTGGTGTCGTCGGGTGGCGCTTGACGCCTTGTCTCTTCTGCGGCGACGGCGTACGCATGGTCGGATGTGCTGCGGTGCCTGGCGCCTGCTGTCCAGCCCGTGAAGAACCCCTCTGTGTCCGTGGCGACGCCCTCTGGCCAATCACCCGCTTTTCTCTCCCGCCGCCCCGCGACACACACATTGGGCGCGCACACTGGGGCCAACGGCCACGTTGGCGGTGTTGCTGGCCGTAGTGGCCACCTCTTCTTCTTCTGGGGGGGGCAGAGAGAAAGGCAGAGGGCACAAAGCAGTGTGTAGAAGGGGCGGGGAGGGGTGGTTGTAGTAGAAGTGCCAGCCTCCAAGCATCCCAGTAGTCGCAGCGTATCCTACCATGTCCAACACCGAAAGAACATTCATCGCCGTCAAGCCAGACGGTGTCCAAAGAGCCCTTTTCCCTGAGGTGCTCAGAAGATTCTCGCAAAAGGGCTTCAAGTTGGTCGGCATCAAGCTGACCTTCGCCAAGGAGGAGCTCTTGAGAGAACACTACTCGGACTTGCAATCCAAGCCTTTCTTCCCATCGTTGCTCTCCTACATGATGTCGGGCCCTGTCCTCGCCACCGTCTGGGAGGGTAAGGACGTGGTCAAGCAGGGTAGAGCGTTGTTGGGCGCCACCAACCCATTGCAGTCCGCTCCAGGCACCATCAGAGGCGACTTCGCTCTCGACATGGGCAGAAACATCATCCACGGCTCCGACTCCGTCGAGTCTGCCGAGAAGGAAATCGCCTTGTGGTTCAAGAAGGACGAGCTCGTCTCCTACAAGTCCGAGATGTACGGCTGGATCTACGAGTAAGCGGCGGCGATCATGCGCATGTGTAAACACCCCTCCTGTTCTATACTCCTGCTCTATATCTTCTAACCACGAAGCCCTATTTATTCACCTCTCTGCCTCCCCACCGCCGTAGTGGCCCTCTGTCAGCGCAAAAAAAACGGCGTTTTTTCTTCTCGACGACTTTCCCCCCGTGTCGCTCGCTGCTGCGAAAATTCTCCCGCCCTGGCGGCCTCGGCGGTCTTGACGTGTGCCACGGATCTGGAAGAAGAGCACAAGAAGAGTGGCAGAGTGGAGCAGAGCGGAGCACAGGCGAAGCAGCACATAGCACACAGCCCAGCAGCCGCAGCCACACCGTCCAGCACCCTTAGACTCCCCCCACAGACATGTCTGCGTCCATAGATTCGGCCAAAGTGCCCCAGTTCTTCTGCCGCCAGCCGAAATCCGTCGAGCTCATACAGGCAGAGCCCGTGTTCAGAAGCTTACCCAACTTCCAGACGCCAGAGCCCACCGCGGACACCCGGTGTGCGCAATTCATAGCCGGCGGCAAGGCGTTCCTGTACACGCTGCCTTCGGGCGTGCAGGTGGTCGACACCGTCACGGGCGAGGTGCTCGTGCGCATCCCGATAGAGGACGTGTTCGAGACAAACATCTCGCCGAACGGCAACTACGTGACGACATGGTCGAAGCTCACCAAGGACCCGGCTGCTGGCGCCGACGCGGCGCCCGCCGTGTACCTCAAGAACGTCAACATCATCAACATCGACCTCCCAAACAGAACGTTCCAAATCCTGCACTCTTTTCTCAACAAAACCCAGAACGGCTGGATCCCGCAGTTCACCGCAGACGAGTCCGTCGTGTGCTTCTACCGCAACCCGTACTCCTTGAACTTCTTCAAGCTGGCCGGCGCCAGCACCGTCTTCGACTTCTCCAAGCCGTTGTACACCCTCGACTTGAAGGAGTTTGGCAAGATCGAAGACTTCCAGCTCTCGCCGGGGAAAAACCCCTCCGTCGCCGTCTTCATCCCGGGCCAGAAGGGCAACCCGGCATACATCAAGGTGTACTCCTTGCCCAACGTCAAGAGCCCGGTCTCCCAGAAGCAGTTCTTCAAAGGTGAGTCCTGCACGTTCAAGTGGAACGCGCTCGGCACCTCCATCTTGGCCCTCGTCTCCACCGACGTCGACTCCACCAACAAGTCCTACTACGGCGAGACCCAGCTCTATCTGTTGGACATCTCCGGTCTGTTTGACCAGAAGATCCACCTCCCGAACGAGGGCCCCATCCACGAGATCACGTGGTCGCCTACGTCGAGAGAGTTCGCCGTCATCTACGGCTACATGCCCGCTGTCACCACCTTCTTCGACTCGAGAGGTAACTCGATCCACTCTTTGCCCAAGGCACCAAGAAACACCATCTTGTACTCCCCGCACGCAAAGTACATCTTGGTGGCAGGTTTTGGGAACTTGCCCGGCGACATCGACATCTTGGACAGACAGAACAAGTTCTCCAAGGTCGTGTCCTTCCAGGCGTCCAACACCAGTGTGTGCAAGTGGTCGCCAGACGGCCGGTTCATCTTGACCGCCACCACCTCGCCACGGTTGAGGGTCGACAACAGCGTCAAGATCTGGTACTTCAACGGCTCGCTCGTCTACTACAAGGCGTACACCGAGTTGAACAGCGTCGATTGGCGCTTCCAGCCCTTGACCGACTTCCCGCCCATCACCGTCTCCAAGGCCGACAAGGTGGACTGCGAGCCCGACCAGAGCGCCATCGACTACCTCAACAAACAGCCAAAGAAAAACGCAGCCAACGGTGGCAAGGTCGGGGCCTACAGGCCTCCGCACGCCAGAAGCAGCGCCAGCAGCAGCGGCACGGGCAGATCCCTAGCCGACTTGCACGAGCAGAGGGTCGGCGGCGGCCGCTCCTTTGTCCCCGGCATGTCTCCTTCCGCCTCCACCACCAACGTCTCCGACCCCGCCGGCTCCGAAAGCAAGTCTGCCCAGAAGAACAGACGCAAGAGAGCCAACAAGAAGAACGAAAACGACTCTCCAGTCTCCTCTCCTGCCGCCCCAGCGCCGGCCGCTCTCTCCACCCCGGCCACCGCCGAGTCGCTTGTCGTCGGCGGCGTCTTCTCCATCGAGGAGAAGAAGATCCGGAACCTCCTGAAGAAGCTCCGTGCCATTGAGGCTCTCAAGCAGAAGCAGGCCAACAACGAGCATCTCGAGGACACCCAGGTGTTGAAGATCCAGACCGAGGACGCCGTGCGCAAGGAGCTCGAGAGTCTCGGCTGGAAGGGCGACGAGTGACTCTCCTCCCTCGCCACCCCTACTTCTCCACCTCCCTGTATAGCTGTGTATTCTTTGTACTCGCCACCACATACTATCTATAGATACATATCATTTCCTAGCTTATTCATTCTCCTGCACCCTCTATCTTCGTGCCATTCATGTCACGTCCACACCTAATTACCGCATTCGGCCACTTTTGAGTCGATCGACTCAAATTTTCCGTTTGCAGCCGATCGTCGCGGGGCAGCTTTCAGCCAATGAGCGGGCCGGACGGCGAAAAAGGGGGAGGGACGAGGGCAAGAGGACGTTGCTGAGAGCAGCGCAGCGAGCGAGCGAGAGAGTGGGAGACGGGTCAGAGGTGGTGAAGAAGGAGGGGTGTGTTGTTTCTAGGAGTGGCAAAGAGAGAGGAGGGTGGTGGTGTTGGAAGAGAAGACGCTTGCCACACAACAGACACAGACACAATGTACAGACTTGGTGCCCAACAGATCGCTCGTGCTTCTTGTGCACAAGCAAGGTATGTACCGCCCGCCGTGAAGAAAGAGCGGAGGAGAAAGCAGATGAGCCAGGGGCGACCGCAACAGCAAGAGCAGCGTGTCGGCACGGTGCTTGCGAGTCGAGCGAACCGTTTGAAGCGGCAGGTTGCGATGGCAATTGGGCGGATGAGCTGGGGTTTCCCGGCTGCTGAAAGACGTGTTGACGAGAATGGAATACTAACATACGTAAACTGCGACGTGCGACGTGCGACGTGCGACTGCAAGCCATCTGGCCGCTGATACAGAAACTATGCTACTTTGAGAGAAATCGAAACCAGATTAAAGTCGATCAAGAACATCGAGAAGATTACCAAGACGATGAAGATTGTTGCGTCCACCAGACTGGGTAAGGCCGAGAAGGCCATGACCTCCTCAAGAGTCTACCACGAGTCCGACATCGACTTCTTCAAGACCGCCGAGACCGCTGCTCCAGAGGGCTCCGAAAAGACCTTGATCATCGCCATCACCTCCGACAAGGGTTTGTGTGGTTCCATCCACTCCCAGATGGGTAAGAAGGTCAAGGCTGCTGTCAGCGAATACCCTTCTGCAGACATCGTCTCCATCGGTGACAAGACCAAGAACCAGGTTTTGAGATCCAACTCCGACAAGCTTGTTCTCTCCTTCAACGGTGTCGGTAAGGAGACCCCATCCTTCAACGAAGCTTCTCTGATTGTCGACGAAATCTCCAAGTTGGGCGACTATGACAAGATCATTGTCCTCTACAACAAGTTTGTCTCCTCCGTCTCCTTCGAGCCTTCCGCCGCCTCCATCTTCTCCAAGGAGTCCATCGACGCGTCCACCAAGTTGTCCGTCTTCGACATCGAGGACGACGACACCACCGGTGTCTTGGCCAAGGTGGCCTTGACCAACGCCGTCTTCGCCGGTATGGCCGAGGGTTACGCCTCCGAGATCTCTGCCAGAAGAAACGCCATGGATAACGCCTCCAAGAACGCTGGTGACATGATCAACAAATACTCCATCTTGTACAACAGAACCAGACAGGCCGTCATCACCAACGAATTGGTCGATATCATTACCGGTGCCTCCTCCTTGGACTAGTGCTCGCGGCCCCCCGTATCCCCCACCCCACTACCTATTCCAACATTACGACGACTCTGAAATTATGATAACTATGATTACACTCGGCTGACCCGTCCGTGGCCCTTTGCCCGCCGGGCCGGAGGCCCGTTTATTATTTATTATATCACACTATGTTATGTCATACATATCTTATTTATTTATTTATTTCCATGTGTAAGTATCTGTGCATTGAATGTGTATACAACCCACACGTGTGTCCACCCACCAACTCCACACACCCCACTCGCAGGCTGCCTCCCGCTTCTCACCTCCCACCAGCCCCGGGCGTCTCCGTTCCAGACGTCGCCGACGCCCCCGGCCGCCGTCAGCCCACCCGGAGCTGCAACAACGTGTGACGTCCCTCAGCACCACCCTCGCCCCGGAGTGCTGGCGTGCTTCACCACCTCTGATAGTGCCGTAACCGCCTGAACGGAACGTGGTTCTCCTTCCAGGGACAGCGCCCCGAGTCCCGGGTCTTGCCTTTTCTTTCTTGTTCCCCCCTTCTCTTCTTCTCTGCCTCTGATGGGTGCAATTGCTTGCTACGACACAGGCTGTTCTTCCCATCTGCATCACACAGACAACCCGAAACCACACACAACATGTCTTTAGCAAACAAACTATCCGTCAAGGACCTCTCTATCGCAGGCAAGAGGGTCTTTATCAGAGTCGACTTCAACGTTCCATTGGACGGTGACAAGATCACCAACAACCAAAGAATTGTGGCTGCGTTGCCAACCATCGAGTACGTGTTGGAGCACAAGCCTAAGTACGTTGTGCTTGCCTCCCACTTGGGCAGACCTAATGGTGAGGCTGTTGCCAAGCTTTCCCTTAAGCCGGTGGCTGCGGAATTGGAGACGCTTTTGAAGAAGAAGGTCATTTTCTTGAACGACTGCGTTGGTCCTGAGGTGGAGAAGGCGTGTGCTGCTGCACCAGAGGGCTCGGTCATTCTCTTGGAGAACTTGAGATTCCACATCGAGGAGGAAGGCTCCAAGAAGACCTCCGACGGTAAGGTCAAGGCAGACAAAGCTGCAGTCGAGAAGTTCAGACAGCAATTGACCGCCTTGGCAGACGTCTATGTCAACGACGCCTTCGGCACGGCTCACAGAGCACACTCCTCCATGGTCGGCTTCGAATTGGACCAGAGAGCAGCAGGTTTCCTCATGGCCAAGGAGTTGGAGTACTTCTCCAAGGCCTTGGAAAATCCAGTCAGACCTTTCTTGGCCATCTTGGGCGGTGCCAAGGTCAGCGACAAGATCCAGTTGATCGACAACTTGTTGGACAAGGTCGACATGTTGATCATTGGCGGTGGTATGGCCTTCACTTTCAACAAGGTGATAAACGGCACCAGCATCGGCCAGTCCCTCTTCGACAAGGATGGTGCCGAGATTGTTCCTAAATTGATGGAGAAGGCCAAGAAGAACAACGTCAAGGTCTTCCTACCGGTCGACTTTGTCACCGGTGACAAATTCGCCGCCGACGCCACCGTTGGCCACGCCACCGTCGACTCGGGCATCCCCGACAACTTGATGGGTTTGGACGTTGGTGAAAAGACCATCAAGGAGTTTGAAGGCGCCATTTCCCAGGCCAAGACCATCGTTTGGAACGGTCCTCCAGGTGTTTTCGAGTTTGAGAATTTCGCCAAGGGTACCAAGTCCATGTTGAACGCATGTGTCCAGTCCTGCGCCAACGGCAACATTGTTATCATCGGTGGTGGTGATACCGCCACCGTAGCCAAGAAGTTTGGTGCCGCTGACAAGTTGTCCCACGTCTCCACTGGTGGTGGTGCCTCCTTGGAATTGTTGGAAGGTAAGGACTTGCCTGGTGTCGCCTTCTTATCCGACAAAAAATAGGGATTGGATCTTGAGCCTTTTTATAGTCCTTAATTACATATAGTCGTTTGTATGTACATACATAACTTTTACCGTGAGCCTACTGACGAATGTCCCCGCTTTCTTGCTCATATCATCTCATGCGGTGCTGAAAAATACAATACAGGCCAGTTCCATCATCAACGATTTCGACGAATTAAATAGTAGACATGATGGTTCAAGAAAAGATGAAAATTCTAGGAGAAAAGCTGAAGAAGCGGAAATAAAGTATACATGAAAGTAACTGGAAGCAGTAGAAATAGAAGTAGCAGAGGTGGAAGTAGAAGTGGAAGCGTAATTAGAATTAGAACACGTAGAAATGAAGAGTAAAGAAAAAGTATATACACAACCCTAGTATCAAAAGCATAAAATCAGGCATTCTCTCTTTGTGATTTATCTGTCATCTTTCATATTTCAATGCTTGCGGTTTATTCTTTTGGTTCTGATTTTTTCTTTCTGAGATTTTTCGATTCAGGTTCTGCTCGTGGTGAATAAGTTCGTTCCTGTACCTCACTCAGAGCCCTAATTTTTTTTAGTGGTGGACTCCAAGTACTTGTATTGCTCAAGTACTTCGGAACACACGCGGTCTGAAGTTAAGTCCTCGTTAGAGAAGTTGATAAACTCGAGCTTTTGCTCACAAAGGAGGTCCTTCATGAACCCCCACATTTGAAGCTCGAAATCGTATTTGGCGTCATCGATGAATCCTTCACCAAACAAACGGTTTCTTTCATCCTTGGCAGCATCATAGATGATGTCGTCCTTCTTTAGACTCCATGGATCCATCTTTGGGAAATTAGCATGCACAAAGAAGAAGTCAGGGCGGTCCCCAATGTCTTCCGTGCTTTCGGCATATTTGTTAAACAATTCATAGTCTTGAACAGCGTCGTATTGACCCATAGCACTACCATGGAAGTTACCATCCCTGAACCTACCTAATGGAATGACATGTTTCTTTACGGCATAGTAGCTTTCACCCAGGGCGTGAGCAGCAGCTAGGAATGTTTCCTTGTCACCTTCACCTGCAGCACCTTGAGAAAGTAATGGGTAGTAGTAATCAGGACCGTAAGTGTTGTAATACAATGACAGGACCAGAGACTTGAAGTGCTTCTTCTTTGAAAACAGGACTTGACCTGACTCACTAGTTGGATCAGGCATTGTGTGATCTAATTGGTGGAACAAAACAGTGCCTTCTGGAGCAATAGGTTTGTAGTAGTGACCGTATTCATGATAACCGTAATCACGACGTTTGCTGTCATCGATATTGATACCGATTATGTCATAAAAGTAAGGATGAGTGGTACGTTTCCAGAAATCTGGCCACAAAACCATACCATGGTCTTTGAAAGGGTTGGAAGAGAAAAGCAATTCTGGGTCCTTCAAAGGAGTGTTATCAGCATCAAGTAGCAGAACGTTCTCAAAACTTGATAACGCGAGAGCCAAACTTTTATACTGGTAACCTTTGAAGTCGTGTTCGTTGTATATTTTTTCGCCAACCAATTTTGGCAAATAGATACATTTAGCATTGTAGTGAGGAAAAACTTCTTGACAGATGTTCAACTCATATTCTTCGTATTTTGGAATCAGGACCTCAACAGGTAACTTTGAGCCAATTGCACGTAAGTTCATTATAGAAATCAAAGTCAACCATGAGAACTTGTTACCTCCAACATACACAATTCCCTTGGAGTCCGGTTCATAAATATTATCTGGGTATGAGTCTAGTAGCTTGGTGACCAATGTTTCGTGGTGTTTCATCAAATCCTTCTTTTCATCTTCAGTGACAACCAAAAATGAAAGCAACTGGTCCTTGGTGTAAAATGGAGTTTCTTCGTTGTGGACAAACTGAACACCCGAGTGGCCATCCTTGTACTCTTTTAAAGGCTGAACAGTTGGCTTAGAGTCTTCAATCAACTCGAAAATCTTTGCAAACAAACTGGTACGCAGTTTCAAGTTCTTGTCAGTGGTGGCCTCACTGTTAACGTATGCCATGATCGCTTTCCGACTTTCATCCCAGTCTGGATGAAGCGCAGGGTCGAATTCGGCATCATTGTCAACAGGTTCAATGTGACTAAAGTAGTTTTTATTCTCGTGTTCCTTTTCTGGCTTAGTCGGATCGTATGAGTATGGAGTGCTATCCCCTGGAGTTACTTGGTCTTCTGGCTTTACAACAGGAGCCGGTGCAAGTGCAGGCTCAATTTGCGCGTTAGGTGCTGGTTCAGATGCAGATTCAGGTGCATCTGTCTTCTCAGAATCCGCTTTTAATGCACCCTTAGGATCGGACTTGGATGCATCATCTTTGTTCCAGTTGATTTGGGACTTTAGGTTGTTGTAGTGTGGCTGCAACTTTTCACTGTGGTAGGTAAACACATAGAAGGAGAGGACAAGAAAAAGAGCTACAAGTGAAAATTTCACCATAGCAACTTTCCTGAAAATCATGTTGGATGTGTGACTACTGATTGGTTATATTTCTGTTCTTTAGTTACGATCTGAGGTGTTTTTGTTATTGGAATCGTTGTTATTCTGAAGTTTATCACAAACAAGTAGCAGTGAAGCTGTATCGAATATTGAGCTTTGACACTGCTCAAAGCTTGCTAACTCTCCAGTACACAGATACGGGAGATACAAGAGCAGGCAAGCACGAGAACAAACAGCCGCAAAGACGGCAGAAAAGGCTACAAAAACAGCAAAGAGCACAACAAAAACAAAGGAAAAGATAGTGTGCTTCCCTGCCCAGGCACGCCCAGCCTGAAGCGGTACCCGCATGTCGTCCGCTAATAATAAACCGATCAACAACAACATCGCTGACACCAAACAGTGGCCAGCTTCGCGCTCAATGCGCTGCCGACGCGTCGCACTCCAACCTCCTCTCGCAAAGCGTGTTGCACAAGCTCCCGGCACCTGCTACCGTCAGGGGCTTCATCGTGGCAGCGGTGGTATGCCGATATTAGGGCCCGGGGAGTCTTGTACTGAGCTTGAATGGCACTGGCCTTCTCGAGACTGACCCCACGGACAGTCATGAGGAAGCGGATGAACATTTCTCGCACGCTTGTGAGCGCTGTCTTGCCCATGATTTCGTGGAAAGTGTTGTAGCTGTAGACGACCTCCTTGTCACTGAACTCGGCCCGCATCGTGCTGAGAAGCTGTTTGTATTCCTCCTGGGTGCTCAAACTGCGTGGTTCCAATACGAGCAATGTCTTGCTGCTGTAGAGCTTGTTGATAAGGTTGGTGAGGTCGCTGATGAGGGCCAGGGTCTGGTCAGGGTCCTTTGTGCGCATCGTATGAAACCCAGAGTAGGTGGTGTTCATCGAGATACACGTTTTGATTGCATCCGCAAAGGCAGAGATGTCCGAGCCCGTCTGCTCCTCGACAATGTAGAAGATGGTTTCCATGCCTGTCCGCTCCAAGCGGCACTTCTGCTCCCGGTACCGGCCGTCCAGGATGGACCCGGCAAGGTCGTCCAACCGCTTACGTTCGAAGATAAAGTTTAGCGTGGTCTCCTGCTTTGTATGGCGGTTCACTGCGATCCAAGTCCCATCGCCCACGGGCAAGGCCCTCACCTCGAGATTGATGCCCATGTCCTTCAACGCGCTGCTGAAGAAGTCCCGCTCCTGCTTGGAGAAGACCTCCCTGTTGTCCAACAAAAATTTAATATCATAACTCCCGCTTTTCCAGATCTGATACTCAGATCTGCCACTGCTCTCGCTGGCCACCTGCTTGATGTTTGCCAACGGAGACGACATCATTGTTGTCACCGTGGCTGTTGCCGCTGCCGTAGTCGTTGCAGGGTGCACTTGCTTCCGCTTGATCGCACTGATGTCATCCAAACCTCCGCCACGGAACGGGCTTGATGAGGCGATGCCGAGGTCACGACTGCCAACAGCGGTCCTCAGATCTTTCGGAGAACTGCTTGCCAAGGGATTATTTCGCATGCTGTTATTCATGTTACCGGACCTGCTGGTCGCGTTCTCGCTCGCTTGATTTGCCGCCGCCAACGAGCTTGGGTTTGATCTGGGGCCAACCGGCGTACCCTCTGCTTTCTCGAACATCTCCTTCAAGATCTCAGCCACTTCTTTGCCCAAGTCTGTGAGAGAATAGTACTTGGGCGTCCCCTCGGCGAGAACGTACTCGTTTTTGATCAACGTGTTGACACTGGCCCACGCCGAGTGGAAGTTCCCCGTTGCCGGGTTCGCCTGGAATGACGACGTACAGTACTGCGTGGCATGCTTGACGATCTCGTTTCTTGTCATCCCGTTTTCGTGCTTGTCGTAGATGCTGAGAGCCATCAGGATTGCATAGCCTCCGGAGTTGATCTCCGGGATGTACCTCTTCTTTCTTGTCCGCTTGGTTGGACGGCTGTTCGCCCGACGGCTCGTGCCGCTGTCGGCGTTATTGTTTTCGGTGTCGGCGTCGGCGTCGGCGTCGTCACTGGAGTTGGCGCTGGCCTGGCTCCGCTTCTTGCTGGCGGACTTCCTGCTGCTCTGGCTCTCTGCGTCCACACTGTCCGGGGCATACTCTGGTGGCAGCTGCGGGAAGGTGTAGCCGTACTCGTTGCAGTATGACTGCAGCTTCGACGTCATGTCGTTGACAAGCTTATCACCAAAGAACTTCAAGTCCAACAAGGCTCGTGGATGCGTGATGGGGTTCGGGTATTGCTTGAGGCTCTTCATGGCGTTGTAGTAGGTATGAGCCACCCGACTTCTCAACTGGACTTTCACGTCGTGCTCAGCCTGCATCCACGCCAAAAAGAGATGTCGTAGGTCCACCGGGAGGTCCATGGCTACTGCGAGGTACTTGTCCGTCACAAGACACAGCTACCCGCTGTTGTGCATCCCAAATGAGCGGCCACAGCACGGTACCTTGGACCCTGTCTTTTCTCCTCATCTCCCCTTCAACTAAGCGTTTCCGGCCTCTCTTGCTTACGCGTTTGATCCGGAGAAAAATTCATGTCACCGCTTGGCTTAGTTACCGCATTGGTACACATGCGAGTTTATACTACATATATATATATATACAGGACCACCAAGGGAGCCGGTTGGATCCAGACACAGTTCACCCCACAGCAAAAGTTCATCGTCTCATCGGCTTCACAGAGGCCTTCTCAGGCGTGTCCTTCTTGCCCGACGCGGCCGCGTCTGCCGCCGCCCACGGGTTGGCGCCCGAGCCTTCCTCCTGCTCCTGCTTCTGTGCGTCAGTTTGGAGCTTGGCGTCGCTGGCGTGCTTGATCTTGTCGTGGGAAATGCTCTTGTCGGCGTCGAACCCGGACCGCTGCACGATCTTCGCAGCGCTCTCGGCCTTCTCCTGCGACGCGGCCTCGAGCTTCGACAGCTCCTTCTGGAGCGTCTGGTCGATCTTCTCCTCCTTCAGCTGCCGGTTGTACAGCTGCTCGCTGTCCCGGAAGCTCGCCATAATCTGGAGCTTCTTGAGCCGCTCCTGGTCCGCAATGAGGTCGTAGATCGACGGCGGCGTACGCCGGGCGTACTTCAACCACTGCGCCCACTGGATCGGCACCTTGTCGAAGTAGCTGAACAACATCTTCTGCGGCTCGTGCGGCTGCACCACCCGCCGCCCACGCACCTGGCCTCTGTCGAGGAAGAACTCCCAGTACGTGTTGGCGTCCAGGTCGTACCCGACAAAGAACTTCCGCCGGAAAGGCACTCCTCTGAGCGACCGCCACCGGTAGTACAACTGCTTCCACACGGGAACCTTCTTGTGGAACTCCTTGAGTTTCTCCGCTGCGCTCATCGTCAGCTTGTCTCTGACTCTTTTTGCTGGCTCTTGTCTCTGCCACTGCCCGCTGCCCCCTTCTTTTGCCTCCCTTCTACCCCTCCTGGCCAGGTCTCTTAACCTCCCGAATGCTCACCTGCCGCCCGCCTCACCGGCATCCCACGGCCGCTGACATAAGCACCTACATGTGCCCTGCTTACGTCAGCCCGCCAAATCTGCTCCGTGTCCCTTTTCGGCAAGTGCTTCTGCTGCCCCGGCCGTTCTGTCGGCTTCCAGTCGGTTCCTCAGCCAGGATGTTCTATTTTTGCACCCCCAGCAGACTCTAAGACACGGGACAAACCCAGGAGAGGCGCCGGGAGAGATACGCCGACGGCACCCTCCCGATGACCACTTTGTGTCGTCATTAGGGGTCTGTCGAGGGCCAATTTTTGTAGCCCCCTCTCCCGGCAGATCACCCCCGCTGCTCTCGTTGGCGTACCCCATCGACTTCTGGAAGAGGCCATCGACAGTTTACACAAGCCTCGTTGTTCTGGACCTGGACGGCCTGAATTCCAAAAGTTGTGCCCCTGGCTCTGGTTGGCCTGCATCAACGTCATCGTTACCGTACATCGTTCTGTCTTGTCAGCGTCAGCAGGGTGCCAGCTCACACAAGCCTGATCATAGCTGCAGTATCTCCGTCTGCGCCATCATCATCGACAGCACAGAGGAAGGATCTGCGACGCTGTGGAATTTTCCTTCGTTGCCGATCGAATCGTCTTGAACTGAATGAACACTGTGTTTCCTTCGAGAGCTGTAGGGACGGGGCTGGCTCACCTGGTGCTGGTGTTTCAGACACTCTTTGCTGTGGCAGTAACGGCAACGGCACTGGGTGGACCCTCGGGGGAACTAACTAACTCCACGCTCTACACCCTGTGCCGCAACTCGGATTTGTATGACCTGTTGGATACGATCGTCAACTACGAGGCCCGGTTCAACCACCGATACCACTACGACTGGGTGTTTCTCAACGACAACCCCTTTGACGACAACTTCAAGCTCTTGGTGTCCAACGCGGTCTCCGGAACGGCCCGCTTTGGACTCATCTCGGAGGAGATGTGGGAGATCCCGGAGTCTGTCGACAGACACGTCATGGAAGCCAACATCGCCCGTGTGATGGCGGACCCAGAGGGCCCCTACCCATACGCAGACTCGCTCAGCTACAGGAAGATGTGTAGATTCGAGTCCGGCTTCTTCCAATGGCACCCCCTCTTGCTCGAATACGACTACTTCTGGCGCGTTGAGCCCGGAGTCAAGCTGCATTGCGACATCCCCTACGACATCTTCAGGCACATGGTCGACAACAACTTCCGCTACGGGTTCACCATTTCAATGCTAGAGTACTCGAAGACCATTCCGACACTCTTCAATTCCCTGTGGGAGGTTTTGGACCGATCCTGCCAGTTGGAGCTTTTGAACTCCGACGAAAACTACTCCAACTACATTCTCAACGTAGACTCGAACTCGTACAGTCTTTGCCACTTCTGGACCAATTTCGAAATCGGGGACCTCAACACATTCAGATCCAAAGAATACAGCTATCTTTTCAACGAGCTCGACAAGTACAATGGCTTTTTCTACGAGCGATGGGGTGATGCTCCCGTCCGTACGCTCATCCTTTCCTTGATCCTAAAATACCCACAGATAACAAGATTCAAGGATCTCGGCTATCAGCACGATCCGTATCTCCAGTGTCCTCAGGATCTCACCATTAGAGCTGCCAACAGGTGTTCATGCGATACCAAGTTGGACATCACCAACAAATGGTTCAGTTGCTCTTGGTATAACAAAAGACGTGACGGTGTCAGGAGGTTGATTCCCAAGAAGCCCAGTCTCCAACTTGCATTTGATTTTGCACCAGCACTAGCACCATCATCATCATCATCATCATCATCATCATCACCATGATTATTAGCATAAACCTTGCATAAACATATGTATGTTCCTCAAAAGAGGAACTATAGCATCTCCCGAGGAGACCAAAAGCATTACTATTGAACTAGCAAAAGTTCCTGTGTCTGCAAAGCTCTTGCTTTCTCATATATACCAATTCATATTCTTTTTAGATAATATCAATAGTATCTCTTACTAGACCGTACTTGTTCTCAAGATAAGAGGGGCCTATCTGCTCCACCCGCGTCTGAAAAGTCCTCACGTAAAAAGTCTTCGGCCCTTCTTTAAAGGCGTTACTATGTACGTCACGAAAGTACCGAAGGGAGGATCTTGTCTAAAAACAGCTAGTAAGGCCACACATGTTTAAGCAATAATGTCCCCAGCATGGTGCACAAGCAGCGATCTATATTTGAGTATATGTCCTCGAGAAAAACCGTTGGAAATGACCAGCAAACAACGGTTTCCACGCCCACTGTAGTGAAAATCGAAGAAGAAACAAAAAAGGAAGAACGTATAGAGATGTTTTGCCCGATATGTGAATTTGAGCTTACCAGATATACTCTTGAAGCACGCTCGGTACACGTCAACCGATGTATAGACCCTCCTTTGGGGAAACGAGCCTCACCACAGAAGAAACGTCCGAAAACCGCTGATTCAGTCAAGGTAGAGGGAGAGACCTTTCTCGAACCTCTTACCTTACCATCTGGTACCACAACGCAAGAAGATACACGACAAATAAAGGAAGAGCAAACAGGTTTTGAAAAAGTCAATTTAGAAACAGCCCCCGATGAACTGTGTCAGCCAGATAAGGGGAAAAAAAGGCGAAGGTCAGGAAAGGTTAAACCTCCCATACCAGATCACAAAATTCTATCATTCCCCTCCGCCGGAGAAGAGAATGTCATTGCTGTCGATGCCTTTTGTTATTCTCCTCACGCAAGTATCAGTATCTATTTGTTGACGCATTTCCACTCGGACCACTATGGCGGGCTTTGCAAATCTTGGGACAATGGCGAGATCATAATATGCACTCCGATAACATCACGTTTAATGCAGCTCAAATTCAAGTTTCCGCAGGAGAGGATGTTTATTTTAGAGAACTATGGCGTGCCGACCAGCATCCCAGGAACAGACGTTCAGGTGACTGTATATGACGCCAACCATTGTCCCGGAGCGGGAATTTACGTCGTCGAATGCTCAGGCACGAGGTATTTACACTGTGGAGATTTTAGAGCCAGCAGCGACATGATAGATAAATTGAGTGCAATATACCCGACCGGCTTCGACAAGTGCTACCTAGATACAACCTATCTCGATCCAACCTACACCTTCCCAAACCAGAGCGAAGTTGTTAGCAGCACGAGTGAATGGATAAAGCAAAAGTGTGCCATTCACAAATCCAAGCAACAACGGGTGGTTGATTTCTTCAGATCCCGTGCAGCCCACGGCTTCGATACCTCTGAGTTTTTGGTAGTCATAGGGACTTACTCAATAGGCAAGGAAAAGCTTGCACTAGGGATCTCAAAAGCCCTGAACACTGGCATCTTCTGCCCAAAAGAAAAGTACGAGATCTTAAAGCAATACGAATGGGACGAACTCACTCAGAGGTTGAACACAGACGACGGGATGAACTGCGGAGTTCATCTCCTCCCTCTAGGGAAGACGCGGAAAGATATGATGGTCGAGTACCTGAAAAAGTACGCCTCCAAATACAAGGCGATCATGGTAGTAGTACCGACAGGCTGGACGTACGGGTACGGCGCAAAGCAAGGCGCTGGCAACAATGCCGAAGCCAAGCCTGTGAAAACGCAGATCGAGCAGATGGTCGACTCATTTGAACGAGGGTTCAACGTGGGCGGAAGCCGCGGTGACTTTGTGACCGTCCGCAAGATACAGGTCCCCTACAGCGAGCACTCCTCGTTTGCAGAACTCTCGCAGTTTGTACAGTGTCTTGACGTCCGGGAGTGGATCCCTACCGTGAACATGGGCTCGGTGGGCAAGCAGTTGCAACTCATTCGCCAGCTCCAAGGGGCAGGGTAAAAAAACATGTTGCGGACGATCGGCGTAAAATTTTTTCCTCCGCTAATTTGTTTTTCTGATGGCGGTTTTGGCCGGTTCTGCTCTTGTTGATGTGTTTTTGTTCGCTTTTGGGTGGCCTTTCTCCCGTACAGGCTACTTTTTCCTACTTTTTTTTTCTGACGTGTACCTCTCTCTAGCCTTTTGTGACTTGTAAGAAAGTGCATAGCTTTTTCCTATTCTGGAAGCCACACAAACCATTTCCCGTTGTTGGAGGACTTCAGAACTATCATAAATAGTGTCAAGTGCTGTTAAGAAAAAAGAACGAATAAAGGTTCAAAATTTTTTCTTGGCGTTGTCAGTACTAGAAACATTTTTTATATACTAAGAGGTTTGCAATTGAAATACGCCCACCATGGATATTAGTGTACTATTGGAGAATGCTATCTTGAACCCCAACCCTGCCGACAGACAGAAGGCAGAGTTGGATTTGAGCAAGCTTGCAGAGGAAAACTGGATTCAGTATGTTGGACTCTCGATACAGGTACTTGGCGATGAATCAAAGAAAACCGAGATTCGAATGTTGGCAGGCTTGAATGTGAAAAATCAATTGACATCCAAGGACTCAGCGAAGAAACAACACCAGGCTGAAAGATGGATTCAGATAGATCAACCAACGAAAACCCATTTCAAGCAGATTGCCTTGAGCACGTTGCTTTCCAGCGACGATAGAGTGGCAAACCAAGCCGCATCGTTGGTTGCCGCTATTGCAGATATAGAGTTGCCAAGATCGGAATGGCCCGACTTGATCGATATCATTGTTGAAAACACAAAGCCCGAAAAACCAGTCCACGTCAAAAGAGCATCACTATTGACCATAGGTTATATCTGCGAATCTGCCGACCCTACCAACTCAGTGGTTGCTGGATACTCCAACGGTATCCTTATTGCCATTGTACAAGGTGCACAATCCTCTGAAGAATCTTTAATTGTGAGAAAAACCGCCATTAATGCATTAGTGAACTCTTTGGAATTCATTGAAGCTAATTTCCAAAGGGAAGGCGAAAGAAACTATATCATGCAAGTGGTATGTGAAGCTACCACATCTTCTGACTTTGAACTACAAGCTCTTGCCTTTGGTGCTCTAGCCAAAATTATGAGTTTGTACTATGACTACATGGGTGTTTATATGGAAAAGGCACTATACAGCTTAACTGTTGAAGGTATGAAGAGCAAAGATGATCGTGTTTCTTGCATGGCAGTTGAGTTCTGGAGTACCATCTGTGAAGAAGAACTAGATATTCAAATAAACAGAGAGACTACTGAAAACCCACAGGATGACTACGTTTCTTTCAATTTTGCATTAATTGCTATTTCCGACGTTTTACCTGTTCTCTTGTCTTTGCTCACAAGACAGAATGAAGACTTTGAAGATGACGATTGGACCGTCGCAATGGCTGCTGCTGCATGTTTGCAGCTATTTGCACAAGATACCACCAACTATGTTGTTCAGCCAACTTTACAGTTTGTTGAAGCAAACCTTGGATCTTCCAGCTGGAGAAACAGAGAAGCTGCTGTCATGGCGTTCGGCTCAATTTTGGATGGTCCAGATAGAAATGAATTGAAAGGTTTGATTTCTCAAGCATTGCCACCTATCTTTTCCTTAATCAAGGATGAGAACTTGCAAGTCAAAGATACCGTTTCTTGGTGTTTGGGTAGAATTGCAGAATTGGTTGTAGATGCGATTGATACTAATACTATGTTGCCTGAAATCATGAAGGCCTTAGTTGAAGGGCTCAAGGATCATCCAAAAGTGGCCACTAACTGTTGCTGGACATTAATCAATTTGACAGAACAATTGTGTGGTGACCATGCTTCAAGTGATTCAACCATCTTATCCCAGTATTTCCCAACTGTCATCCCTGCATTGCTTGAAGTTTCTTCTAAGTCGGACAACGAACATTCCTCAAGAACGTCAGCTTACGAAGCGCTATCCACTTTCATATTATTCAGTGCCGCCAATGATATCCCATTAGTTTCTGCAATTGCAACAGAAAGTATTAACAGATTGGACTCAACAATTGCAATGCAAACCGAATACCAAACTGGAAGAAGAGCGCTCAGTGCTGAAGATAAGGCCTTACTGGAAGAACTGCAAGCCAACATTCTCTCCTTATTGACAAATATTATTAGAAGAATTGGCCACGATATAATCAATGTTTCTGACAGTTTAATGACCAAATTTTTGAGTTTGTTACAAATTCAGACTGCTGACTCAATTATCGAAGAAGACATCTTCATGGCTATATCAGCGATTGCCTCCTCCATCGGTAAATCTTTTGAGACATATATGCCTTCATTTTTACCATTTTTGACAAAAGCTCTAGAAAACGTTGACTCACCAGTTTGTAACTCTGCAATCGGTTTGGTTGTTGACATCTCCCACTCATTGGGCGACTCTTTCATTCCGTACTGCCAAGGTTTTATGTCTATTTTAGGTAACATCATTTCCAATGTTAATATTCGTCGTGAATTAAAGCCATTGATTTTGTCATGTTTTGGTGACATTGCATCATCTATTGGTAACGAATTCATTCAATATTTGGGTGTTGTCATGGGAATCTGTTTGAGTGCACAGTCCATTCAACCAACTGATGACACAATTGAGACTGAAGAATTCATTTTAACGCTTCAAGAATCTGTCCTGGATACTTATGTTGGTGTTGTCGCTGGGTTACATGATAATCCTGCACCTTTGTCCAACTATTTACCACAACTCTTCAACTTCCTCACCATGATATATGCAAATCCACTGTTATGTAACAATGATACTGTCTACCGTGCAGCTGTTGGTCTACTAGGTGACATAGCACAAATTTTCCAAGGTACACCTCTAGAATATTATAAACAAGAGTGGATTACCACTTTCTTAAAGAAGGCCAAAAACAATCCTAGATATTCCCAAAATACCAGAGACACAGCAAAATGGGCAAGAGAACAACAGAAGGCAATGGCAGCGATCTTATGATTCCATTGGGAATCCCAATCCTTCAATTCCATTCATTTGTTACTTTCATATTTGGGCTTGTTTTTTCCTCCCTCACTTTTCACTGAAATACCACCTCAACATCTTGTATCCTTTATACTTTTTAATTTTTTAAGTTGTTAACTTTCTTTTTTAGTTGTTTATATTTCACTTTTTACCTTTATTCTTTTACTCCTTTCTGAAGTCCCTCTTTACTTTGCAACTCCTTTTTACACTTTCTTCCCTTTTCTAATTTTAACCTTTGATTTTTTGATGTCCTAAATTTTACCTTTACTTTTCACTTTCCACTTCCCTATTTTTTTCCATTTCAACTTTTTCCTCTTCTCTTCTCTCTTCTTTTATAAATTTTTTGCATATAATTTTATTTATTCCTTCTCATTCTCCCCTTTTTATAAATTTTACGTTTAATTTGACCTATTTTCATGACGCCACACAAATCTTTATTTTCGCTCCGGACTCGGTTATCTACAAGTTCGCACCATCTGGAAATGTGGGGTGGCGGCAAAGATACGCGTTATCCTCATTTCTTGAGTCTCGGAAGCTAGCCTACAGTCAATCCCAAAAGATGCCTATTACATGCTACAACTAGAAAGGGAAGATAACTTGCAAAGCCAAATTCATTATGTCAGCCTTTGCCGCTAAATCTTTCCAGTCACACGATTATTCGCTGTACAGACCATCTTATTCGCTCGATTTCTTTAAATACATATTCGATTTTGCAAATTTGGTGAAGAACTCTCAGGATGGGAAGATACTGTCAATTCTAGATGTTGGTGCTGGTCCAGGAACATGCATGGTCACTATCATCCCATATTTAGCAACTCTAGTCGAGGAGAAGAAACTCAATGTACAGAAGATCAGATTGGTTGTCACTGATGTTTCTTCGAATATGCTTTCGGAGGCAAAGAAGAACCTGATTGATGTGATTGGCAAAATTGGAGCTCAGCATGCAAATCTTTTTGAACTCTTGTACTTTGAGGCTGGTGGTGAAGGGTTGACCGATCTTGTCGGCGAAGCATCGATTGATATAGTCATTGCCGCAGAATGTGTTCATTGGCTCAAGAGTAAAGATTGGCTCAATTGTATGCAACAAATCTTGAAACCAACAACAGGGGTACTTGCATTTTGGGGCTACGTTGACCCGGTTTTCACTGGAGTTGAGAAACCGGGAAATCACGAGAAGGAGATAGAAACGGCGAACGACTTTTACGAATCGTTTGTTTATGAAGCCGAGGGGAAGTTGGGAGTTTATTGGCAACAGCCTGGTAGAAGCAAATTACGTGGATTATGCAAGGAGGCCAACGGTCTTGTCTACGATGATACCAGATGCTGGGGCGATGTGATTACCGTTTACAGGGATCCTCTAAAGGGGGATGTTAAGGTGTTGGATAGACTGAGAGGGCAAGACGTTGACTTCGAGGTCGATGACGAGGCTTTCAAGTTGACAAAGTCATTCACCTTGGATCAGTTTCTCCGTTATGCGGATACGTGGAGCTCGTCCCACAAGTGGAATGCAGAGCACGACGAGAACAATAAAGTCAGCTCGGTTTTCTACAAGGGGCTAAACGAGACGACCAAGTGGGAGTTAGAAGATGTGATTGAGGTTGAGTTCAAGACATACTACACACTGGCAAAGAAGCTCTAGGCATGCGTGTATGGATTTTTTGAGGTATAACGGACCATAGTTACTGTATATGTAACAATTAAATTAGGTTAATATATGTATAAATTATATATCAAATAATATAAATTATTTATTCAGACTTACCACCTTTTCTAGCAATCAAAGCCTTTCTGTCCTTGTCCAAGTGTAATTTGGTGATGACGACCTTAGATGGGTGGATGTTCAATGGGACGGAAGCACCGTTGGACTTTTCCTTGGTTAATTTTTCGAGTTGGATGGCGAACTTTAATCTGTAGACAGAGGAGATGGTACCTTCTTGGCCCTTCTTGGAACCTCTGACAACGACAACCTGGTCTTCCTTTCTGACAGGCATGGATCTGACACCGTATTGTTCTCTTAATTCCTTTGAAAGTGGAGCAGACATCATGACTCTTCTAGCAGAAGATGGTGCATTGAAGTAAGCCTTTCTAGACTTGGATCTAGAAGAAGAAACGTCTGTAATAAACAAAATGGGGGGGGGGGGAGGGAGGGCGAATGGTGAGCAAAAATGTTAGTATATGAGTCTTAGTGGTGGTAGTGGTGGGAGTAGTGGCGGTGCCTCGCCGTAGCCGAGTGAAGTAGAATGAAGTGAGGTCCTAACGCCAGTCTGTTGTCTTGAAGGGAAGGCGTGTTCTCTGTGTACGGTGTGGAACTATTCCAGTACGAGGCTGTCATCTCGGCAGCAAAAGAACTGCATGCTCTTGTCTTTGCGGGTCATCTGGTACTCTTCTGCCTTTCAAACGTGCTCTGCACTCTGGAACCTGCTGGCTCTCTGGCACGCTCAGCCTTTTCACTTTTTCACTTCTTTTTCACTTCTTTTTCACTTCGACACCACTGTCTCCAGCTCCTCTGCTGCTGCTGTACATACCCTTTGAAACCTTAGCCATTGTGTGTGTTGATCTCTGGTTTGGTGATGGAAGGAGAGGAAACAAAATAATCGGAATCCAACAGAGCTAAAATCCAGAAGAGATTTTCAATAATGCCTGTCGATGCCTGAAAATGTTCTCCAATTACTATGGCGGTCTATACTGAGTGTTGATAATACTCTCTCCCTGTCCGGGACGGTGAGAGCGACGGAGAGACTGCGGGCAGCAGGTTAGCAGGCAGGCAGCGAGGCACGGTGTCTGGCACAACAAGACAGATTTTGCGAGGCGAGGGGAAGCGCGCGCCCGGGACGGTGTTCCGCTGTTTAAAAAGCGGTGTGCGGGGTGGTGTAAAAACGCGCCAACCCTCATGCAAAGCACGTGCGCAACACAAGAGGGTTTGGCTGGTCCGTCGATCGGCGAATTTTTTGAATTTTTTGAATTTTTTGAATTTTTTAAATTTTTTTGCCCTTGTCTCCATTCGTGACGCGTCGGAAAGGAAAAAAAAAAGTCTCTGATTGTTTTGCCACCCGCCCGTTTCGGACGTGTTTACGTGTCTGAGATAGGCAGGCAGCCTGTAACGGATTTAAGTGTGGAGAGGGTTGCTGCGGTTTTCGTGTCGTGCTCCGCTGCAGTTTGGCGTCTGGCTCTGGGTTTGGCTCGTGCTTGCCTCCTGTCTTGCCCTCACTAGTTCTTGTGCTCATTGCTATTCCTTCTTCTTTTCAGAAAAGGCTGCGGTGATTTGGCTTTTTTCGACTCCGTTCCAGCAGCAACAAGTTCACGCAGCAACTCCCCAGCACTACCACCACCACCACCAAAGCTAATATGAACGTTGTTAAAAGAGACGGACGCGTTGTTCCTGTCCAGTTTGACAAGATCTCGTCCCGGTTAGAGAAGCTGGCGTACGGGTTGGACACGAAACACGTGCATCCCTCCGCCATCACGCAGAGAATCATCTCGGGTGTCTACGACGGGGTCACGACAGTCGAGTTGGACAATTTGGCTGCGGAAACCGCCGCCTACATGACGACAATCCACCCAGACTACGCGACGTTGGCGGCCAGAGTGGCGATCTCGAACCTCCAGAAACAGACGACAAAGAAGTTCTCCGAGGTTGTCGAGCAGTTGTACCGGTACATCAACCCTAAGAACAACAAGCATTCGCCTATGATCTCGACGAAGACGTACGAGGTCATCCAGAAAAACGCACACGTCTTGGATAACGCGATCCACTACGACCGTGACTTCAACTACAACTACTTTGGTTTCAAGACCCTTGAGAGATCCTACCTCTTGAGATTGGACGGCAAGATCGCCGAAAGACCTCAGCACTTGATCATGAGAGTCGCTGTCGGCATCCACGGCGACGACATCGACGGCGCCATCGAGACGTACAACTTGATGTCCAAGAGATACTTCACTCACGCTTCTCCAACCTTGTTCAACGCCGGTACCCCGAGAAACCAGATGTCCTCCTGTTTCTTGGTCGCAATGCAGGATGACTCGATCGAGGGTATCTACGACACCTTGAAACAGTGTGCTCTGATCTCCAAGACCGCAGGTGGTATTGGTTTGCACATCCACAACATCAGAGCCACAGGCTCCTACATCGCAGGTACCAACGGTACCTCCAACGGTATCATTCCTATGATGCGTGTTTTCAACAACACGGCCAGATACGTCGACCAAGGTGGTAACAAAAGACCAGGTGCCTTTGCACTCTACCTTGAGCCATGGCACTCAGACATCTTCGACTTCATTGACGTGAGAAAGAACCACGGTAAGGAAGAAATCAGAGCCAGAGACTTGTTCCCTGCTTTGTGGATACCTGACTTGTTCATGAAGAGAGTCGAACAGAACCAGGAATGGACTCTTTTCTCCCCAAGTGAAGTCCCAGGCTTATCCGATGTCTACGGTGACGAGTTCGAAGAGCTGTACACCAAATACGAAAGAGAAAACAGAGGCAGAAAGACCATTAAGGCCCAAAAGTTGTGGTACTCGATCTTGGAAGCCCAGACTGAAACCGGTACTCCTTTCATGCTCTACAAGGACGCGTGCAACACCAAATCCAACCAACAGAACTTGGGTATGATCAAATCTTCCAACTTGTGTTGTGAGATTGTCGAGTATTCCTCCAACGATGAAGTTGCCGTCTGTAACTTGGCTTCCGTTGCCTTGCCAGCTTTTGTCGAGAGCGATGAACATACTTCCTGGTACAACTTTGAGAAATTGCACGAGATCGCCAAGGTTGTGGCCAAAAACTTGAACAAGATCATCGATGTCAACTACTATCCTGTTCCAGAGGCACGTAGATCTAACATGAGAAACAGACCTATTGCTGTCGGCGTCCAAGGTTTGGCCGACGCTTTCATGCTCCTCAGATTGCCTTTCGACTCCCCAGAGGCAAAGGAGTTGAACATCCAGATTTTCGAAACCATCTACCACGCTGCACTTGAAGCATCTGTCGAGTTGGCAATCAAGGAAGGTGTCTACGAGACCTACGAGGGCTCACCAGCTTCGCAAGGTGTGCTCCAGTTCGACCTCTGGGGTAAGAAGCCTACCGACCTTTGGGACTGGGATTCCTTGAAGGAGAAGATCAGAGCCCATGGTTTGAGAAACTCCTTGTTGGTTGCCCCAATGCCTACTGCCTCGACCTCGCAGATTCTTGGCTACAACGAGTGTTTCGAGCCATACACCTCGAACATCTACTCCAGAAGAGTCTTGGCCGGCGAGTTCCAGATCGTGAACCCATACATGTTGAGAGACTTGGTTGAGATGGGACTGTGGAACGACGCCATGAAGAATCACATCATCTCCGACAACGGTTCCATCCAGAACCTTCCAAACATCCCACAGGAAATCAAGGACTTGTACAAGACGGTTTGGGAGATCCCACAGAAGGCCATCATCGATATGGCTGCCGACAGAGGTGCGTACATCGACCAGTCGCAATCCATGAACATCCACTTGAAGAACCCAACCATGGGCAAGTTGACCTCGATGCATTTCTACGGCTGGAAGAAGGGGTTGAAGACCGGTATGTACTATCTCAGAACCCAAGCTGCCGCCGCCGCCATCCAATTTACAGTTGATCAGAACTCTGCCCAAAGCGCAGGTTCGACAGAGGCCATCTTGAGCAAAATCAACATCAAGAAGTACGTTCCACGAAAGCTCTCCAAGGTGCAGGACGTCGAAGCCGTTGTGCCTGCCAAGCCTGCCAGCATGCGTGAGGAGTTCAACAAGCTCAAGCTCGACGACGAGGTGCCACCGATCCCGGTCACCGTCTCCTCCCCAGCCACGACCGCTAGCACGACCGACTCCTCCAACGAGGAGATCGCTGTTGTCGAGACCATCGAGACCACCACCCTCACCTCCACTGCCGACGGTCAGGAGGAAGTCGATATCTTCAACTCCAAGGTCATTGCCTGTGCCATCGACAACCCAGAAGCATGTACCATGTGTTCCGGTTAGCACATCCTCTGCCACCTTTATCCTTTGTTTTTCTTTCTCCCTTCTGTCTATCTTTCTTTCCTCGAGTTTCTACTTATCTAACATTTCCTATTACAAATATTCTGGTTTCTTCTCTCACCTTTTCCCCTCTTTTTCTTCCTCTCTAGTTTAATACCACTACTACCCTCCGTTACCCCTGCACTCTGCTCTACGCCTTCCGCATCGTATCTGTCCATTGCATTGTAGTCGTATTAAAGTCGTATATCTATCTATCTATTGGCCCCCCGCCCGCCGCGTCTGCCTCTTCCTTGCCCTTACGCACTTACTTTCTTGCAGCCGGTGGCGAGCAGGCGTGTCGTGGGTGGGCTTGCGGCCGGTTGTTTGTTGTCCAGTGGTGAAGAGGCATGGGCTCAAGGGAGGGCTGGCAGAGGGGGCTTGGGTGCAGGCGTAAGAGAGGAGTGGTGTAGTCACGCAAGCGAGAACCAACAGAACACAATGGTATGTATGGCCCGGAAGGCGACGAGTGGTGCTTGTGGTGGAGCGAGCAGGAGAGAGGTGGGGAGAAGGGTGAGAATGACGGCTCAATTGGAAGAATGGTTATGGAACAGCGACCAATGGTGAAGGAGCACGATGATACCGATGTGGATACAGAATACTAACAGGAAATTTCTTTTGTGCAGTCTGACAAATTGAGCCCGGAGCAAATCGAAGAGTACAAAGAGGCGTTCTCGATATTCGACAAGAATGGAGACGGTAAGATCAGTCCTAGCGAGTTGGGCACAGTCATGAGAGCGCTTGGCCAAAACCCTACTCAGCAGGAATTGAACGACTTGGTCAACGAGATTGACTCGAACGGGAACTCGATGATCGAGTTCAGCGAGTTCTTGACCATGATGGCCAGACAGATCAAGGAGCAGGACGTTGAGGCCGAGATCTTGGAGGCGTTCAAGGTCTTCGACTCTGACGGTGACGGGAAGATCTCCCAGACCGAGTTGGTGAGAGTGTTGACCACGATTGGTGAGAAGTTGACCGACGCGGAAGCCAAGCAGATGTTGGAGGCTGCGGACACCGACTCCGACGGCCAGATCGACATCGAGGAGTTTGCCAGAGTTTTGAAAGGTAAATAAGCGACTGAAGCGGTGGGCGGACCAACAGACAGACAAGCCTATGAATATAAAGAAACGTATATAAGTATCAGTTGTATACCCAATTAGTTAACGTATCGACCGTCTAGAAGTAGAACAGCGGAGGCGCTGCGGGACTGGAGAGCCGATGGCGTCTATGGACATTATCATTTGCTTACACAAGGGACCTGCAGAGAGGTCACAAAGGACTACTATTATGGTAGTACGACATCTATAAGTTGGAGCCTAGTTTTTCGCCAGGACCTTCGAAATGAGCCGTCGCAGCCTTGGCGTTTGCACTGTTGCTGTTGGTGTTGGTGTTGCTGACGCTGTCGGTGATGTTGACGTTGCTGCTGCTGGCGTTGGCGAGGCTGCCCAAGACGGACTCAGCAACCGTGCCGGATCCGGTGCCTGTGACAGGGTCCGTGCCCGTAGCCGTGCTGGCGCCAGGGCCAATGCCGTGGTGCAGCGGGAGGCTGACGCTGTGGAAGTTGGACTCGAGGTACCGGGAAGACTTGACTTCGTGTTCCCACGACCACACAAAGTAGTCCGCCGGGAAGAAGGTTCGGATGCCCCACTTGAAGATGGCGAGGCGCTCGATGCGGTCGAGGGCCTGGAACGGCGGAATGGTAATCAAGCTGAAGAAGTCCTTGAAGATGAGGACGCCGAGGATGATCGAGATGAGGTGGCCGAGGAAGGACGAGTTAGGCACGAGGACGGCCGAGACGGCCAAGTAGAAGAGCGGGACAAGCAAGGTGGGGATGTTGTAGGAGGCGTAGATGTTTGTTGTTGGGGAGGTGATGGACTTGAGGCAGCAGTGGGCGGTGATGAAGGCAAACACCCAGCCGGACGAGCCCAGGATGGCTGTGTCAAGGATGGCGGCGTTGGCGAGGCCCAGCTGCACGAGGATGTACTCCGTGATGGTGTACGCGATGCCGGTCACGACGCCAAGGGTGTTGAGGATGATGGCTGTGTGGAGCGAGCCGTGGGAGACCTCGAACTCGGACAGCGTGTGGTGGAGCACCATGACGTTGAAGAGCAGGTGCACCAGCGACTCGTGCACGAGCGGGTACGCGTTGAGGAGGACGCCCTTGTGCTCGACGATGAGGGAGTTGGGGCTGAGCGCCCAGCTCTGCACGAACTGTGTGTTGAAGAGGGAGTAGACGTACGTGCCGCACATGAAGGCACACACGCCTGTGCTGATGACGGCCAGCGGAGGCGCTGGCAGCTTCGATGCCACCAGCGCCCGGTACCGGGAGAAGATCGAGGGGTGTGGGGGGACGCCTGCAGTAACCATGATGCCGGTGTCGAGTGGAGTGTGAAGCCGGAGAGAGGGCAACGCTGTGGACGTCCTGCCGGCGTCTGGCCGACCAGACCACATCAGCACACGGCCCCGTCCGGTCTTTTCTGGCGTGTCTCGTTTCGTCTGTGCTACTCGAAACGGGCAACGCGGGCCATCGTTTCCGCCGAGAGCACCGTCTGGGCGACGGCGGTTTTGACGTGGAGCAGGGTGTGCAGCACGTTGTCGAGCGGAACAGGTCCTGATGTGGCCGGAGCAGCACAGGACGCCGTCTCCGCCGTCTCCGCAGTGTCGGCGAGGACGGCGGCCGTGGCCGCCGTCCGGGCAGCCACGAGTCCGTGCACGAGCCCCACGTCCGCTGCCAGTCGCTGCTGCACGGCCTGTCCGAGCAGCGGCGGCACGTCCCGGCGCAGCTGGCAGGTGTCCTGCACAAGGTCCTCGAAGTGCTGGTACGTGGTGCGGAGCCGGTCGTTGAGGGCGAAGTCGTACGGCTCGACCTTGCGGGCCTCGGCGTGTCCGCCCTCGTGCTCGTCGCCGCCGCCGTCCTCGTCCACCACGCACGCCCCGCACAGCTCCTGCACCAGCCGGTCCAGAAACCGGCCCTCCACGTTCGTCTCCAGCAGTCTCTCCAGCTCCCGCCGGTCTTCTGTCTCTGTCTCCGTGTCCTCGTCTGCCAGCTGAGCCAACCGCTCTGCCAGCCGGCTCTGCATGTGTCTTTCGAGCGACCCCCGGATCCCCTCCACCTGTCCGCGGCTCACGTGCACCCCGGACCCTTCGCCTGGTCGTGTCTCCATGCTTGCTGTGTGTGTCTGGTGCTGCTTCTGCTGTTCCCGGCTCTTCTGCTGAGCCCGGCACCTCTCTGACCCTTGGTCCGGAACACGTCCGAAAGATCAACAACGCCTCTGTCCGCGGGCCTGACACACCCGTGCACCGGCCCGCGGCGGTGGCTGCTTCGCTCTCGCCATGAAGGAAGCTCAGCGGGACGAAGGTGGAAGAGGAGGAGGAGGAGGAGGAGGAGGAGGGGGAAGAGCATGGGGTGTAGGAGAGGGAAGAGCAGCAGAGGAGGAGACAAGCCTGCACAGCTGGACACAGACAGACGACAGTTGGCTCGACAGCGCAGCGGATTGACAGCGCAGCGAAAGTAATCCCAGCAGACAGCAGCGAAAGCACCAGTTCAGAACAGGCAGCAGGGCTCAGTTACACAGCACACAGCACACAGCACAGCACAGCACACAGCACAGCACACAGCACACCCATGTCAGCAGAAGAAGTCTTCACCACAACGCTGGGCAAGTCCGAGTATGCGCCGGCGTTTGCGCCCTTCTTTGGGTTCGCCGGCTGCGCCTTTGCAGTGGTGTTCTCGTGTCTCGGAGCAGCCATCGGGACAGCCAAGTCGGGCATCGGGATCTCCGGTATCGGCACGTTCAAGCCCGAGTTGATCATGCGGTCGTTGATCCCCGTGGTGATGAGCGGCATCCTCTCCGTGTACGGGTTGGTCGTGGCGGTGCTCATTGCGGGCGGACTAGCGCCGGACGGAAACTACACGCTCTTCAACGGGTTCATGCACATGAGCTGCGGCCTCAGCGTCGGCTTGGCGTGTCTCGCCAGCGGGTACTCGATCGGCATTGTCGGCGACGAGGGCGTGAGACAGTTCATGCACCAGCCACGGCTCTTTGTCGGGATCGTGCTCATCCTCATCTTCGCCGAGGTGTTGGGCTTGTACGGCATGATCATCGGCTTGATCCTCAACACCAAGGGCAGCGCCTAGCGGCGGCGGCGGCAGCAGCGGCGGCAGCAGCGGTCACACGCCTAGCGGCAGCGGCAGCGCTCAGATAAATAGGTAAATGTTAACTCTAAACGTGTACTAGATACAGAAACGCAGATATGTTACAAAGAGGCGTCCCGCCCTGGCCTCGCTAGGGGTCGGTGTCCATCTTGTCGCCGGCCGTGACGGCCGTGGCAGCCGCCGAGGACGTGCCGAAGGACACCCTGCCGGCGTCGTCGATGTAGTGGGACTCGTTCTCCTGCAAGAACGCAACAGAGCGGGACGAGTCGAGGAAGAGCAGGTAGCTGCGCTTGATGTCCTCGATCTCCACGAGGGCGGAGCGTCTCTTCATGCTCACGAGGTAGCTGACGCTGATGAGGTTGGCCGCGTACCGCAAGGAGGTCTCGGTGCCGATCTTGGTGAGCAAGTGCAGGGCGTCGACGTGGATGTCGACCTCCTCCTCCTCGCAGCGGATGCTCAAGATCTTGCCAATCTCCTCCTCGGAGTAGTTCTCGGTCTGGATGATGATGGTCCGGTCGAGCAGGTCCAAGGGCAAGCCGTGTGGCGAGCGGTAGTTGGTGCCGCGGGTCTTGGAGATGCCTCTGTTGGTGGCCATGATGACGATGGGCGAGAACTCGTCCTCGAGCAGGCGGTTGACAAAGGAGAAGCACTCGATGTCCAACATGTGCACCTCGTCGATGAAGAGCACGCCCGGTATTATCTCGGCCTTGCCCTCCTCCTTCCACTCGGCCACCTTGAGGTTGATCTGGTCTCTCACCTCGCTGCGGATCTCGCCCGTGTCGCCGCTGAAGAGCGCCAGGAAGCCCTGCTGCCTCGAGTTGATCACGTCGATCTCGTGCAGCGACACCGTGTGCAGCACCTCCTTTCTCACCTGCAGCTCGCCCTCGGGACACGACACAAACTTCGTGTCGGCGCCCATGGCGTCGTAGTCCCGGGCCCGCGTGTACGACCGGCCCAGCTTCGTGATCTTGCCGTTCGCCTTGTCGATCGAAATCACGTCGCCGGCAATCACCTTCTCCTTGCTCAGCTCGTCGATCATCTTGTTGCCCAGCTCGTACACCGTCTCCATGTCTGTGGTGCGGATCGTGATCTTGCCCTGCTTGTGGCCCCCCGTCAGCGACCGGTCGATCTGCACCTCCACCACCTCGCCCTCGATCACCTCTGTCTCCTCCTTGATCCGGATCCCGATGCTCTTGCGGAAGCTCTGCGTCAGGCTCTCCGTCTTGCTCAACTCCTTGCTGTAGATCTCGCTCGCCGTGATCGCCGTGAACGGCACGTCTGCCCCCAAGCTCTGCGACAGACCCATTGCAAGCGCCGTCTTTCCCGTCGACGGAGGCCCTGCAAGGAGGATCGCTCGACCGGCAATCTTGCCCTGCTGGATCATCTTCAGGATCACCCCGCACGCCTTCCGGGCCTTCAGCTGGCCCACCATGCCCTGCGACGTCTCCTTTGGCTGCAAGTGGTCGTCCAGACCCAATCCGCTGATGTGCGAATGCGACGCAATCAGCGCCAAGTTGTTTCCCCCGCCCTGTGCGCCCTGTGTGTTGGTGCTTATCGACATCTCTGGCTCTGTCTTGGTCTCCTACTCTACTCGGACTCTACTCTTCCTCTCTCTTCCTCTCTGTCTTTGCCCTCCGTCCTCTCTTCTTCTTTGCCTCCCCTCTTCAACAAAACTTTTCTCACCACTTTCTCCCGCTGGCCGACCGCGCGAAACGTCGCTGTGCTCAGCGCTTTGGCCTCTGCTGGGTGGCTGCCAGATAAGGCTGCCAGGGCAGGGACGACAGCACAAGAGGTGGAAGAGATGGAAGAGGACACAGGACAAGGGCTCTGGAGGCCCAAGACCGTTGTTGTGCTGCTCCCCCCGCCAATGGACCTCCTCACGTGCTGCCTGCCGTGTCTGCTCAGCACGACGCCGACCATCCGCATCAACTCGGCGTCCTTCCAGCTGCTCAGCGTGCTCGGCGAAGGGTCCTACTCCGTCGTCTACCTTGTCCAGTGCAGCTCCGGGGCCGCCAGAGGCCGCTACGCCCTCAAGAAGATCCGCACGATCTCCACGCTGTCCACGCAGAGAGCGCTGAAGGAGGTGGCGTACTACGGGCAGTTCCGGTCGCCGTACCTCATCCGGGCGCTGGACTCGTCGTCGATCCAGGAGCCGGACGGCTCCCGGTCCATCTACATCCTGCTGCCCTACTACGCGGGCGGCTCGCTGCAGGACCTCGTCAACTCCACCATCTTCGACCCGGGCCTGCGTCTTGCCGAACACGACGTGCTCCGTCTCTTCGTCGCCGTCTGCCGCGGCGTGCTCACCCTCCACCGCTACCACGCCCCACACGCCCCACACGCCCCGGACGACGACGGCGCCGCCGCCGCCGCCGGCACCACCCAGCTTGCCGAAGCCGTCCCCTACGCCCACTACGACCTCAAGCCCGACAACATCTTCGTCGCCCGGGACGGCACCCCCGTCATCGGCGACCTCGGCTCCTGCTCGCCCGCCCGCATCCACATCACCTCCCGGGCCCAGGCCGTGTCCTTCCAGGAGCTGGTGGCCGAGAACTCCACGCCCGAGTTCCGGGCCCCAGAGCTCTTCGACGTCCGGCCCAACGACTCCTTCGACGAGCGGGTCGACGTCTGGTCCCTCGGCTGCCTCCTCTACACCATGCTCTTCGGCGTCAACCCCTTCGTCCGTGAGGTCCGCCGCTCCGGCGCCAACCTCAAGCTCGCCGTCCAGGCCGGCCGCTGGTCGTTCCCGGACCAGGACCCTGACGACCCGGACACTCCTGCCTACTCCGACCTCACCACTGCCCTTGTCCAACAGGCCCTCACCGTGGACAAGGAGGCCCGTCCCTCCACAGACACCGTCTTGGCGGCCGCGCTGGCCGCGCTGGCCGGGCTCGACAGTTGAGCCGGGTGTGTCTCTGGTCGGGACACGTCTCCCTCAAGAGACACGGGGCACAAGAGAAGTGTGCAGACGAAACGGCAGCAGCAGCGGCAGCGGCAGTCCAGACGCTCCGCAGACACAGCACATGCCCCCCCAGAACAGTTCCTCGTCGTACCAGTTTGCGCCGTCCTCGATGGAGGGCTGGAACGACTGCCCCGTGCTGCCGCACAGCCTGTCGGGCGACGGTAGGAAGACGGCAGGCCGCAGAAGCAGGCGCCCCGTGCATGTGAGCCATCTGGGCGAACAAGGAAGGTCGCCGAGCTCTGCGACGAGCGTTGCGACCAGCTCCGGCGCCGGCGTGTCCAGACTCCCGCCCACACGGACGGCCTGCTCGGTCTCGCAGAGAGACGGCGTCCGTCAGCGGGTGCAGGGCCGCATCGACGCCCTTGTGGCAGCAGCGTCCACGCTTCCGGCAGAACAGCACACGTCGTGTGGAGCAACGCTTGCCGACAGCCGGACCCTCGAGAAGGACGCCGACGTCGTGTTCCTGGACGGGCTCTTCGCCGCGTGGGACGCCGCCAGCCACAGCATCGACGACGCTGCGGTCGTGGACCTGCTGCACAGGTTCGCTGACACGCACGCCGCCAGCAGCAGCACCGTCGCCTGGCTGGCTGCCCTCAAGACGCTCATGGCGCACGCGGCAGCGTAGTTCCGGCACCGCAGCGTTGCACCGCCCGTCCTTTACAGTACATTTGTCCCTCTATATATCGTCGTGTTTTGTATAGTTCACCTGTAATCCTTTTCTAGCATCTGCTTGGCGGCGTTGATCTTCATGGCAAGGTACTTGCTGCCGCCCTTGTCCGGGTGGTTCCCCATCATCAGCTGCCGGTGTCTGCGCCGGATCTCGTCCCACGTCACCGCCCGCCGCAGCACGTCCTCCCGCCCAAACCCAAGGATCTCCAGCGCCTCCTCCTTGCCCATCTTGCCGTCAAAGCCGCCGTACGGCATCTGCCCGTCCAGGTCGTGGAACCGCCGCCAGTACGGCGAGTTCGCCGGCCACACCCGGAACTGGCCGGCCGCCCCGCCCACCACCAGCCCGTTCAGACGGGCAATCTCCCCCGGCGTCAACCTGTGACACCGGGCCACTGCGTTCGCCGTCGCCTTCACCGTCAACGCCGCCACCGTCACCCCAATCCCTATAATAATCGGTAACTGCATCCCCCGTTAGTATTCATGTTCCTTCTCCGAACTTTCCCGTGCTTGGCCATACTTACCACCATAGCTGCACCTGATGTCTGTTGCAAGGAACGCTTGTCTTGTAGACCCCTTCCCATCCATTTCCCTCCCTCTCTGACTTTCGACCCTTCTATGGTCCAACCCTAAAGAACCGATGTAACGTCAACTCCAGTCCGACCTGCCCCGGTTGCCCAAAACGGCAACTCGCATTCTCTCGACATGAAAACCCACTTCCCTCGTCTCTTTCTTGACACGCTGTCCGTGTTGCTCCTGTTTTCACACACCTCAGAGCCAAACAGAGCACTCTCCAGTTCCAGCTGCACTCACCACAATGTATAGAACGGCTTTGCTACTGTCGTGCGTCTTTTTCATCTACGCCTCGTTTCTCTCTTGGTCATATCTTCAAGAGAAACTTGCGTCGTCAGACTACTCGTTAGCAGTAACAGATGCACCAGCATTCTTTCATTTCCCGTTGGTGATCAACATCGTCCAATGCCTATTCTGCATTGTGTCCGGCTCCATTTACCTTTACTCCAAAACTGTTGTGCCGACGACAAAAGAGAAAGAACATGTGGCACCTGGAATCAAGTTCTTCCCACAACTTTCCATGAAGACGCTTCTCACCTTATACGCCATTTCGTTATCTCAGTCTGTTTCTGCACCTTTGAGCTACATGTCGTTGGATCATGTCGACTACATTCTCTATCTTTTGGCGAAAAGCTGTAAGCTCATCCCCGTCATGCTGGTCCACTACATAGGGTTTGGCACAGTATACCCCAAATACAAATACCTCGTCGCGTTCATCATCACGTCCGGTGTGGCCACATTCACCATTGGCGGCATGAAGTCAGGGAAGGGAAGTCCAGGCGAAGACGGAAATGTGATGCTTGGGCTTCTCATGCTTTGTGGCTCCCTCCTGCTCGACGGCTTCACCAATTCGGCACAAGACATTGTCTTCAAAAGAAACCCAAAGAAGTTGACAGGAGCGCATATGATGGCATACTTGAACTTCTTCACCATGGCCAACCTTATTGCGTACACCCTAACCTTCACAGACCAATTCCGAGATGTATGCAATTTCATAAACATCAATGGCACGTTGGCCTTGCTCGACCTGATCAAATTTAGTCTTTGCGGTGCAATCGGACAGATCTTCATATTCATCACACTCGAGCAGTTCAGCTCTGTTGTTTTGGTCACTGTCACCGTGACAAGGAAGATGCTCAGTATGGCGCTTAGTGTCTTCTTGTTTGGACATGTTTTGAATTGGAAACAATGGTCGGGGTTGTCTCTTGTCTTTGCTGGCGTTGGACTTGAGAGTCTTGTAAAAATATTGCAAAGAAAACCAGCCGTTGCTAAGCATGAGAAAAAGAAACAGTGAGGACTCCATCTCCGTACAAACTTGTCTAATTACTATTTATCTTTAGCTTTTTTTTCTGGTATTAAAAAAACATTATATAAAGTACAGATCAAAAAAAATCAAAAATTTTGATACAGATGCAAATGATATAATTATACAAGTATGGTAAAGGAATGGAGCGGTTCAGATAGGGGTATTATCTTGCAAAAGAAGGGGGAAAAAGAGAAAAAAAAGTTGAGGGGAGGGGGGTCCTATGCCGTTATAATCAATATAATGCATAGTATGCCTTATCTATGTGCTAACTGCAGAAGACATTTAGCTGCTCCAATAGATGAAGGTGTGGACAGAAGTCTCGTAGGCGAGGACATTAATTGTGTTTCATCCTCGTCTTTGAGAATTGAATTGTTGTGTTTTAAGCTGTTGCTGGTGTTTTCATTTTTCTGGTTTCTACCTTCACTCAAAGAAGGTAGTCTCTTCTTCGATGACGGGGTGGTAAACTCTATGGCCGAGTTGGTATTAATGTTTGTAGTCGTGTTTGTACTCGTTGCTGGAACCGTCAGAGATCTTGCCTTTGTTTGGGCACCATTTTTTGGTTTCTTTACCTGTTTACCTTTCTGTCGTACAGGAGTTGACATGAGGACTGAGTTGTTAGTTTGTAAAATAGTCAGATCAGGGTCGTTTCTTTCCATCTGATCGATGCTGTGCCGTCTCCGAAGGAGTGGCGTGCTTGTAGACTCGTTCTGGAGAATCGTGGTGTCGTTCCCTTCCTTTTCTGTTTCCGGCTTTTCATCTATTGTAGTGTCGTGGAAGTCATGGACTGTGGAAGTTGACGCTGTGGCGGTGGCAATCGAATTGGAGTTGCCGATGGTGTTTTGGTTGGTGTCGCCATTGTTTTGACTATCCAGCAAAGAGTGACGCGAGATGTGAAAGATGTTAGACGCAGGGTAGCCCAAGAGTTTTGGCACCGGTGGCAGTTTGACCTGTTTTTTGTCCATGGCGGAGATGGCAAACTTCGACGGAGACGTGACGCTGGACACGAAGGCCGGTGCAGTGCCGTTGTTGAGGTGGGAGTGGTGGAAGTGGTGGTTGAAAGTGAGGATGCCTGGAGGCGCCGAGGATGGGACAGTGCTGTACTGCATGCTGGCTGGGTCACGGTTGGAGTTGCTGCCGCTGTTGCCGTTGTTGCTGTTGTACTCCCTGTTGAACCTCTTCAGGTTGGCAAAGGCGCCCTTCTTGGTGACGATGTCGTCCATGATGCTTTTCTTCTGGCCGCCCTTGAGAGCGGAGGTTCTGTGTGCAGAAGAGGACGAGGAGGAAGCCGATCTCTTTTTTGTCAGTTTTGTCGAGTGAAAGATGGATGCCTGTTGGAAGGAGCCAAGCGGCTCTGGACCAGCCAGCGAAGAGGGGAATTTGAGCTCGTGCAGCGGAGTCTCTGTCTGGTTTGTTTTCACCTTGAAGTACGCCAACTTGAGCTTCATTTTCAGCAAACGTGCTCTTTTCAATTTGGGGGAGTCCTCGTCATCCAGATCGGAGAGGGCGTCTCTCTTGACGGGGGCGTTGGCGACACGTTCGTCGGAGCCCTTGAAGGCGGCCGAGGCGCTTCTCTTCATCACGTTGACGCCATGTGTCTTGCCTCTGATCGGGGTCGAGTGCGCGTTGTGTCTGAGGAACGATTTGGAGGCAAAGAAGTCTTCGCCGGTGCTGTTGCTGTTGCTGTTGTTGTTGTTGGAGATGTTCAGCTTGGAGTCGGACACGACTCCCAAGACTGGACGGGAGGCTGGTTTGTGTAGCGTCATCGGCGAAAGCGTGTTCTGGGTGGCGGGGTGGTGGATGGCGGTCGTGCTGATCTTGTGCTAGTCCGTGTGTCTGCGTTGTGCCCTGTGTCGCTGCTTCTACCTTTGCTCTTCTATTTAACAAAACATCTGGCCTGTCTACACCTCTCCCTCTGAGAAACAGAAACAAACAGGCCCCCGTGACAGATCAGAAGACAGCGTGGCGGCGCACAGACGTTTCAGACGAGCCCGCCCGGCCAGAGACAGGCAAAGCAAAACACAACACGGCAGAACCTGCATGCGTCTCTGCAAACGGCAGGCAAACGAAAACAAAACAACCAGAGATCGAGGAACGATGCCATGCGTGCCGGAGAACCGTGCAGAGCGTGCACCCCGCTACACGCCCGGCGCTGCTTCTGCTGCTGTCTAGTCCAAGCGTTCTTACACTATTATACGAGTCAATATTTAGCCCTCGGCCAACAATGGCCACCAACAATCGCAAACTATTGTGAAACCGAGACAGACGGTCCCTTCATGTCGTCCAAACCGTCCTCGGGTGCCCGGGCAACGGCCTTTTCCCGCTGCAACGCGCGGAAACTGCCGCAAACGGCAAAACATCAACAACGCGCGGGAGCCGCAGCTCAAAGCGCGTTGATGTCCCGGGCTATCTCATGGAGCCGGGTGACATAGTGGTCCTGGATGTCATCTCCATGGCCGCTGGCGACACGGAGCAAGAGCTCGTTGAGGTAGGAACTGCCAAGAATGTCGACGTGCTCGGCGGTCTTGGAGCCGCCGCGGATGTCGAAGAGGTCGGGCTCGTGTTTGATCTCGACAATGGTGACCTTGGAGCCGCCGGGGTTGTAGACGCTGCCAGGCTCCTTCCACTTGTGGCACATGTAATGGGTCAGGAGGGAGACGGTGCCGTCGCCGTCGCTCATGAGAACGGCCCGCTTCTGCTCCATGTCGATGGTGACGTTCAAGCGGCTGACGGTCTTGTCGGCCTCCTCGCGGTAGTAGTAGGCCCGCTCGGTGGGGTTGCCGACGCCGTAGAAGCAGAAGATCTTCATGTCAGGAGCGTTTGGGAGCGGGACGTCGAGCGGGTTGGACCACTTGTTGAAGTGCTTCTCGTTCTCGCGGAGCTCCTTTTTGGTGGTGGCGTAGCCGAAGGAGTAGTGCTCGAGCGTGCGGTCCTTGAACCACTGCGGGCCCTGGTCGAGGAGGAAGTCGATGCTGTCGCCGACGGTGAGGTTGCGAGCGGAGTAGCGGCCGACCTCGTCGGTGAAGCGGATGAAGTTGCCGAGCGTATCGCCCGGGCTGCCGCTGGCGGATGTCTCGTTGAAGCAGTCCGTCTGGTTGAGGCTGAGACAGTCGTCCGGGGCGGAGTGCATGTCCCCCCACAACAGCGAGCCGCCCTTGGGCAGCATGCTGGGCATGCCGCCAAACGACTTCAACATGTCCGAGCGCTCCCGTCTCGAGAAGAACTTCTCCAAGCCGTAGACGGCGAGGCTGTTGAGCTGGATCGTGTCCTTCATCTCGCCCGAGAGCAACGCCGTGATCGCCTTGGGCGTGCCCATCACCGAGCCGGCGATGTCCACAAACGCCTCGATGTGGTCGTTCACCCAGCGCTTGCCGCCGTTACCGAAGTGAGGGCCGTCGGCCTCCACCCACTTGAGGAAGTAAAATATCACCTGCGAGCCCATCGAGTGGCCCATCAGCACCGTCTTCTTGCCGTTGAGCCGGTTGTTCAGCTCGATCTGCGCCTTCAACTTGCTGAAGTACCCGTCCCGCCGCTCGAGGTCAAGGTACGCCAGCCGCCAGTCGTACGCCGCACTGAACATGTTGTCGGGACTGTACCCGATCACCGCCAAGTTCTCTAACACCTTGTTCCAGATCCAGTACCCGGTCACAAAAAAGTCCGCCGCCTCAAAGCCCTGCGCAGAACGCAACTTGATCCCGGGCGGGTCCAGCCCCGTCTCCGGGTCCAACATGATGTGCTTCAACCAGCACACCTTGTCCGTGAGCATCGTCCGCAACATGAAGAACGAGCCCCACAACCGCTTCCGGAAGTACGACTCGCTCGGACACTCCTCTGTCCCCTCCAGGCCCCAGCTCTCAATTCCCGTGCTCGTCACGCCGGGCACCATGATCACGTTGTGATCCGCCGTGTACCCCTCCTTCTTCATCATCTTCCCCACCGCAAACGCCCCGCTCTCCATCTTCTCCTCGGCCGTGCGGCTCATCAACGTCTTCTGCAAGCCCTCCGGAAGAAGCCCTGTCCAGTCCATGTTGTCGAACGACAGTTTGTCGAACGAAAGCGAGTCGAGGTTCAAGTATTCGTCTAGCTGCGGAATCATGTCCGTCGGCAAATGGTCTCGGTACGAGTACACTGTCATCAGCGCCCCAAGCAGAATCCCGAGAAAGAGCACAAACCTCCGCTTCTCCCAGAAGTGCTCCCCAACGCTCTTCACCTCCTTCACCACCCGTTTCCTCGAGGCCTCCTTCCAGTACTTCTTCTCCGTCTTCAAGGCCTTCTCGATCTTCGAATCCAGCGCACTAAGGTCCGACTCTAGCGCCTCAATCTTGCCAATCGTCGCCTCCTTAGTCTTGATCATGCTGTCAATCTCCTTCTCCACCTGCTCCGCCTCCCGGTCCGTGCTGAACTCTTCGGCTCCGACCTCATCTGCAGGCTGCTTCTTCTTCTTCTTCCTATCGCCGTCTTTCTTGCTATTTCTCTTTCTTGCGGTCTTCGTCGGCATCTTCGTCAATTGTCGCCCTACACCTTCTCTCTTTGAGTCTACCTGCTCTGCATCCCTCACGCCAACGTAAAAGCAACTCCTTCCCGCCAAAACCCTCGTCTTCTGCTCCCGAGTCCCTTCTCCCGTCCCATCTTCCGGGCCTCCTACCTGCCTCACCCTCTACTGTAGAGCCCGCGGATCCTCGCTGGCAGCTCCCGTGCCCTCGGCGGAGACATAGACGGGGGCTGCAATATGTCTTACCTCTAGGGCCTGTTTCTGGCCGTCTGGGTGATGGCGGCATGCTGGGGAAGCAGCCACAGAGCAGCAGCAGCAAGTGCAGAAGCATCAGCATCAGCAACACGCAGCAATCATGACGTCGCAGTACCTCCGGTCCACCTTCTCCTCCTTGCGGGAGTATCTGACTCCGATTACACACAAGTCCACGTTTGCCACCACCGGCGAGATAACGCCGGATGAGTTTGTGGAGGCCGGGAACTACTTGGTCTACAGGTTCCCCACATGGCAGTGGTCGCCGGCGGAGGCTTCGAAGGCGAAGGACTTCTTGCCTGCAGAGAAGCAGTTTCTTGTGACTAGACACGTGCCATGCTACGTGCGTGCAGCAGATTACGAGTACAACGACGAGGAGGACGATGACGACGGCAAAGATGGCAGCGGCAACACGGAGGGCAGCGGGAAGCTGAAGGTTAGCGGTGCAGAGGTGCTTTCGAAAGAGCAAGATGCTTTGGACCACGAAGGCTGGGCAGCGCCAAGGTCCGCAAGCTCGCGTCCAACTCCGAAGGTGCCTCCTGTCGACGACGATGCTGACGATATCGACGAACGGAGCATCAAGGAGGTCTCCGAGGACGAGGACATCGACGACATTGATGACTTGATCGACGAGAACGCAGAGGACGTCGAGTTCGTCGACAATAAGGTGTCGAGAAAGACCCCGGAGGGGTCCAAGAAGAGGAGCTATGATCTCTACATTACCTACTCCACGTCCTACAGGGTGCCAAAGATGTATTTAGTGGGCTTTGACTCCAACTCGGTGCCACTCACTCCGGAACAAATGTTTGAAGATATCGCTAGCGATTACAGGCATAAAACGGTCACCATTGAGAAGGCGCCCTTCCTCAACAACACTACCGCAGTGTCCATCCATCCATGCAAGCATGCCACGGTGATGAAGGTCTTGATGAAGCGGGCCGCAGCATCGGCAAGAGAAAGGTCGCACAGCAAAGACACAGAGAAGATGATGAAGAAGATCTCCCACCTCGGTTTGAAAGATCATGAGGGAGACGATTCCCACGCAGCAGAGGATGGAGACGACTGGGAAGACTTGAAAGGGGAAAGCAGTGAAGGCGACGAGGGAATAAGAGTGGACCAGTACTTGGTTGTCTTTTTGAAGTTCATTTCCAGTGTCATTCCGGGCATTGAACATGACTATACAATGGAAGCGTTGTAATCAGCAGACCATCCATCAAGCTAGTGTTTTTTGTTTGTCAACTGTCTTTTTTGTTATACTTCAGCTTCCGTGTGGCCCTAATTCTGCTTTTATTTGGAAGTTGTTTTAGATTTGTCTTTCCGTTTTACTCTTTTTTTTCTTGCTGTGACTTTTTTGCTTCTGGGAGGTATCAATTATAAATGCAACTAGCTAACGGATCTTGTTTTTTCTTTTTTTCTTTTCTTTTGAACAACACGGTTGCCTCAGTATCCTATGTATGTGTATATATGGCAGCGTCCGAAGGAGCATGCTCAATCTTCTATAACTTTATTTAAGATTCTTACACTCTTGTCGATGTTTCCCGTAATCAACCTCTCGCCACTATGATCGAACGTGGAACAAAGGATACCACCTTCACTGTCCAAAGAACCTGGAACAGGAACCTGCACATCATTTTGAAACATTTCACCACTTTGCCAATCCCAGAATGCAAACTTTCCACCATCGCAACCTGCGAACACAACGCCATCGGTGCTGTTGCACATGGTATTCACTATCAAATTCCCTTCCTCTACAACATTGTGATTTTTCCAAAATTGGAGGTCCTGCTGATACTGGCACTCGGGTAGCTTGAACTTCTTGATTCCGTCACTAGACGAGGTTATAAGCTCTTCATTGCCTTCGTCAAGGCAAAACGCACGGACACTTTTAGAATGAAAGGTCAAGGTTTTCATGCATTTACCTGCAGCCAAATCCCAAGTTCTCACGGTCGAGTCCATCGAGCAACTTATCACCTGAGGGTCGTTACTTTGGCACTTCACCTTGTTGACACTACTCCGATGTCCCGTTAATACATGGATTGGGGTTCGTGTCCGAATATCCCAAACACGCACAGAAGAATCCCGACCCCCGGTAACAATAACATCTAGCTCGGGATGGATATCGATCGTGTAGACGGCACTCAAATGGCCATGATAATCTCTAATCACAACGTTTTTCTCAAGGTCCCAGCATTTCACCGTCTTATCTTCCGAACAGGAGAACAAGTAGGGGTGCCGTGGGGATATCACCATATCTCTCACAGCCATGATATGTCCAGATAACGTTAACTGTAGGTTTCCAGATGCCAAATCCCAAATTTTCATGGTCCTATCAGCCGATCCAGTGACGAAAAAGGAATTGAAAGGGTCCATCGTAACTGACGTGACCTGACCTGTGTGTCCAAGTAAAAGTTTCAATAGCTTCCATGGGCTGTGATTTTTCTTTTGGGTGATATGTCCCGTATCTCTGTTGGGCACAATCAACGAGTTGGCAAATGCATCTTCATTTGGCTGAATTACCAAATTGTTATCATTCTTGAGGTTGACATAGCTATTGTCGTTGTACAATGTCATTGCATCAGGCTGTCGTATTTCCGGCAGCCCTAGATCGTCCGCTTGAGAAGACTGTGTTATTCGAAGTCGGTCCAAAATTGACTTTCGATTTATTTCAGAATGGAATTCCTTGGGTAAAACGTTGAGGTAGGAGGGAAAATAAGAGCCTGCTATTGAATTCTTGTATATTGGATCGGTGATATTGTCATTATCTAAATCGTCGTCATTATCTTTCTCGGGGAAATATGTTTTCATATCCCGCTGAAGTCTCTGGTAGGCATCCCCCATTGTTCTTGAAATCCAGTATCCTTCAGTGCGAGAGTTTGACCTAACCAATCGACTCCCAAGGCCAAAAATCGAAGCACAAGAAAGCAGTTTCATTCATCCATACATGACATGATGCCACACGGTCGGTACATGAATACGATAATAGGTGAGGCGTAGAAAAAGAGAAAAGAAGAATATTTTTTTCGGTCTTGAAAAATTTCTTTCACCAAAAAAGATTGTACATTATTCTGAACCCCATTTTCATTTCTGATAGAGCAGGATATTTTACTATAAGGACAATCACAAAACAAGCCGAAATGTCTAATACTGAAGAAACGAGGCCAGAGCATGAGGAAGAGGGAGACGTCATCATCGGCGCCGACGAAGTTGATGAAGTTGTTGATGATGACAAATCTGATCAAGAACCAATGGACGAAGATTACGAGGATGAAGAGCTTGACGACAATGGTGTTACCATCAATGAAGACGGAAACATTGAAATTGATATGAGCAACAACTCCCAGAGCTACTTTGAAGACCATTCCGATTCGATCTTTACAGTTGCAACCCACCCTACGTTACCTATTGCGGTAACAGGTGGTGGCGATAATGCTGCTTACCTCTGGACGACGCATAGTTCTCCTGCTAAGACTATCACCAAGCTAGCCGGGTACGGTGAGAGTGTGGTAGCGGCTGAGTTCACATCCGACGGATCGTATTTGGTCACGGGAGACATGAGTGGTAAGGTGATCGTTTACAAATCTGCCAAGCGGGGACAGTTATGGAAGCCATATTCCAGAACCTTGGAAGACGTTGAAGAGGTCATGTGGATAGCTACTCATCCAAAACAAAACGTTTTTGCATTCGGTGGTATTGACGGATCTGTATCCGTTTACTCCATCGAACCTACACTAGACTTGATCTTTTCCGGCTACTCGCATTCCACGGAGTGCACGAACGGTGTGTTTGTTCAAGTCGACAACATGGATGAGTTGAAGCTTGTGAGTGTGAGTGAGGACGGTAGTATAATTGGATGGAACTGCTACACGCAGCAGAGCGAGTTCAAGATCGACAGCACCGACATGAAGGGTTTGACCCCACCATGGGTGACGATAGCTGCAAACCCTGCCAGCAAGATTGTTGCTGTTGGGTCGAGAGACTCGCAGGTTGTCATAGTGAATACGGAGAACGGATCGTTGCTCAACATGTTTACAGCGTTAGAGTTGAAGGAGGGGGAAGACATCTACGACTGCTGCATCGAGGCAATTGCGTGGTGCGAGGTGTTGAACCTGATGGTGGTTGGCTTTGTGTCGGGCGACGTGATGGTCTTCGACTCGAACACATGGAAGGTGAGAAAGACGTTGAAATGTGGCGACGCGGTGACGAAGGTGGAGTTCTTGAAGAACAGCCCTCTCTTCCTGGTCTCGTCCATGGACGGCAAGGTGTACAAGTGGGACGCCAGGACGGGTGAGCTCCTTCACGAGTGTGTCGGACACCACATGGGTGTTCTGGACTTCAGTGTCGACTGCTCCGGCGAGAGGCTGGTCACTGCGGGCGACGACGGTGTGTCCTTGGTGTTCAAGTTCTAGCGGCGACGGCGACGTCAAGCCATGCCCACGCCCACGCCCCGCCTGTACGTAGCCACGATATAGTACAAAGTAGATAGATAGATAAAAGTCTATTTCGGGTGCAGCTTTTCGTCAAGGATCCTCTCGATGGCGTTGGTGATGTACCGCTGCAACGGGGAGTCTGCGTTCTGCGGGTCCAACTGGCTCTCGAGGGCGTGCTCCACCACGGCGGCGGTCAACTTCCCGGTCAAGTCGACCTCGATGTTGACCCAGTCGCCCACCTGCTTCAGCGGCATGATCACCTTCGACTGCGTGTACGCCACCATCATGATCTTGAACGTCTTGGCGCCGTAGTCCACGTTGATGACCGTCAAGCTCGTGCCGTCGATACAGATGAAGCCCTTGTGCACGATGTAGCTCATGAACTCCGCGTCCCGCAGCCGGAACGTGAAGATGATCGAGTTCGTCTCCTTCTCCCTGCCGACGATCTGTGCAACCGTGTCGACGTGGCCCTGCACCATGTGGCCCCCGAACCGGGTCTCCCCCGACACGGCTCTCTCCAAGTTCACCTTGCTACCCGTCTTGAGCGAGCCCAAGTCGGTTTTCTTCAACGTCTCCAACGACACACCCACCTTGAACGTGTCCGCGTCAAACTCCGTCACCGTCAAACACGTCCCGTTCACTGCAATCGAGTCTCCAAGATGGCAGTCGGTCAGGATCTCCGATGCGTCCTTGATGGTCAAAGAGACGCCGTGTCCGCCACTCTCTGTGTCGTCCTGCGGGTTGTACTCCGCAACCGTGCCCATCAGCTCAACGATGCCTGTGAACATCTCGTACTTCTGCTACTGCTGCTGCTGCTGCTGCTGCTTCGTCTGCTGCACCTTACTCCCCACACACGCCACATCCCATGCTCCGTCTTCTCCGTCTTGGGCTCATCCGAACATGAGCCCGTGTCTCTTCCAGACCCCGACCCCACGCCTCCCGGACAAACCCTCCCGTCCCGCGAAACCCTTTTTTCTCTTTCAACAAGCTGGCTTGCTCTCGTTTCCCTTAAAAGAAGCCTCTCCGCCCTTGGACTTGTTCCGTTCGACCTCCTTTTGTCAGCAGACAGCAGCAGCAGTGACTGCAAAGCGGGCCTGCAGGCCGGGCGTTCAGCGTCAAGCACACAGCGTACACTGCACACACAGACAGACGTCTGTGCGGGAGTGCACGCTTGTAGAGAGCAAGGCATAATCCGCGTAGTCAGGGAAATATCACCATGACCATCAGCCGGCCTTTTGGCAGGGCACTCATGATGCCAATGGTAAACGATTCCCTCAAAGCAACACTTCAATCCAGCGTTATTACAGAGACATCCATGTGCCGTAGTTCCTACACCCCCACATGTGGCCGTTTTTGAACAACGCTGACATCACTGCCCGCAGCCATTGTTACTGCCATCGCCCCGGCAGGCGTGATCTCATCCGGCAGCGGTCACGGCCCGGCAGCAGCCCTGCTTATCTGCCTGGTTTCTCGTCGGATAGGCGTGCAGGGCTGTCAGCGCTGTATCAGCCAGACATCATGCCTTTTCCGGATGCCTCGGTGGAGTGCCACGGGCCGGTATAAGTACCGGATGGTGCCCCTTTCTTGCCCAGGGGGGTGATTGCAGACGCCCTTTAGTAGCTTCAGGCCTTTCTGCACCTACACATCGTCAAACACAGACAACACACGCAACACACAACATAACATGCCAAACAAACACATCAAGGTCACGGTCCTCGGGGCTGCCGGTGGGATCGGCCAGCCTTTGTCGCTTCTGCTCAAACTCAACCCCCACATCACCGAGTTGGCCCTCTACGACGTCGTCAACGTCCCCGGGGTAGCTGCAGACCTCCACCACATCGACACAGACGTGAAGATCTCGTGCTTCATGCGTCCGGAGAACAAGGAGGAGGAAAATAAGCCCTTGCAGGAGGCCGTCAAGAACTCCAACTTTGTCATAATACCGGCAGGCATTCCCCGCAAGCCCGGCATGACGAGAGGCGACCTCTTCAACATCAATGCCTCCATCTGCGCAGAGTTGGCTACCTTCATTGCGCTGAACGCCCCAGAGGCAACTGTGTTGGTCATATCCAACCCGGTCAACTCCACGGTCGCCGTGTTCAAGGAGATATTTGTCAAGCACGGCGTTTTCGACGCCAAGAAGCTATTCGGTGTCACCGCCCTAGACCATGTCCGCTCAAACACATTCTTGTCCGAGTTGATCGAAGGCACCCTTCCTAATCACTACGACATCCCCGTCGTGGGTGGCCATTCCGGCCACTCCATCGTGCCTCTCTTCTCCCAGTCAAAGGGCGACGTCTCCTTGAAGATCCTCAACGACGAAAACATCCTAGACGCCTTGATCCACAGAGTCCAGTATGGCGGTGACGAAGTTGTGGAGGCCAAGCAGGGCAAGGGCTCAAGCACGTTGTCGATGGCGTACGCCGCCAACAAATTCTTCAACATCGTATTGAACGGCTACCTCAACCTTAAAATCACAGAACTAGCAAGCTACATATATCTAGACAATGCCATTCCAGGTGTCACGGAGTTGAAGAGAGACTTGAAGCCTCTTTTGGACTCCCAGCATCTGGAAATGCCCGAGTTTCTGGCAACCCCAATGACCTACGGCCCAGACGGTGTTGCAGCTGTGAACTACTCCTGGGTCAAGGCCATGAATGGCAAGGAACGGGAAATGTTCTACATCGCCACAGACTTTATCAACCAGAACGTCGAAAAGGGTGTCAGCTTTGTTAAGGCATAGAAATACCGCCAAAAATATACCATTTTTTCTAGTCTATATCAATATTATTCTTTACGGTTTCGTCTTTTACTGTGGATCCGATTTTCATCACTGTTGCTTTATTTTCCTATGTAAGATACATCGATCAGTAAAAATTTACTTGTTTTCCGCTAAAAGCCTCGTCTCGTAACTTATCATATCCCCTTCGGTTTCGCAGCATACTTCTTATCAAGGGACTTCCAGAAGACGGTCAAGTTCCTGCTGCTACTTCTGTGGATGATCATGACAAACATCCCAACAAATGGGATGAACCCAATTCCAAAGTCAACCACGATGTTAAAAATCATAGTACCCATATCCTTCAACCCCAAAAAATGCTGCTCTGGGTTTCTTCTGACTTTCACGTGGCCCTTGTTCCAGCTAACGTCGAGCCCAAGTCCAAGCGTCACCATACAACAGAAAATCCACATGTTGATCGTCAAAACAACGTAGTTGCCGATGAAGGGAACGATTTGAAGCAATGGGCCAAAACCGAACCCAACTCTTCTAGACTTGTAAGCCGTGACAGATGGGTTGTGGGCACTCACACCATTGGCTCTGGCCTCAATTGCGGTTTCTCCGTCTATCTGGTTCAAGTTCTCATTGGTATAGTCTCTCTGGATTTCAGCACTTTCCCTGGCACCGAACAGGCGATTCAGGAAGCTGGAAACCTTCAATCCAAAAATACTTTCATCCATCCAGTAGCACATACTCTTGATCCTCATTACCTGGTCGTTCAACTCCGGGGGCACTCCGTCCGGGAGCCGCCGAGAAATTAGCTTGGCTTTGCCGTTGGTATCTATGAAAGTCTCAAAATAGGGATCAAAGTAATCTCCCGTACCACCATTGCTGAACTTGATAAATTTCGGCCTCGTGGTACCGAACTATAATTAAAGTTGAAAGGTAAAGTTAGTATAAACCATCCCTAGAGGTAGAAGCTAAGATAAAAAAAGCTCCGAAGAGTAAAAATTACTTACAACTTTCAGCATTACCACCTTCAGAAGTTGGTCAACTATGAACGTCATTTGTGCAGAGGCTGATGTTTAATAAAAGTATGACAAAGGTTTCAACAAGAAAGGGTAGGGATAGTCATCCCATGTACAGGCCTGTCAAAGATACGGTGGTAGCTAGGAAAGCGAGAAAAATATATACCAGCCTCGAAATTGAAGGGACTGGTTGTAGGCTTGTCTCCCCGAGGTATCCTGGCCGCAAGAGGCTGCCAGGGACACGCACATCTACAATTGCTAAACATAGTAAGACTGAGCTTACGGTCGAAATACTCCAACAGGTCACAAGTAATACTTGTCAGACAGCCACCCATTCCCATCCCGACGTGTCAATTCCGAAGAAGTACACACCACGAGATAAAGATCATCGCTCCTTTGTTTGCCTGATGAAAAAAGGAATAAAAAGTGAATAGGTGGTTCGTGAAACGTCCAGATGACTAGATTGCAAAGAATCGTAGGCAAAGCTGTAATGACAGATCACTAATCCGGCAATACACCACCCCGAAGGGTGGTGCTGGACATGCCAGACACTATTCTCACTTTGAGGGTATGGGGGTTCTATCTCATCAACCAAGTTGGAAACAGTGGCTCTTTAGAAGAGTCAAAGAGAGACGAATCCTATAGAAATGATCCTATGAAGTACGTCGACAAAGAAAGAAGAACCCCAAAGAATTACACGCCCAAGTATAAGGTAGAATAGAACTACAAAGGCGGGCACCCTTGCCCTTTTATACTTGTAGATGTTCGAGTAGTAAAAAATTTTCAGCAGCTAAAAGGGGTAAAAATGAAAAATTGAAAAAAAGCCAAAAGGCAGGGTTTCTTTACCAAGTTTCCATCTAGCCATTTGGTGGCAAAGTGTCATGTGGCATGTGACTCGAATGTCGAAGTTATTAACAAGAATAGTGTTATTAAGCAAATAATTAAACCCAGTTAAATAAGTTTGATATACAAATGATTTTATCTATTTATATACACCATTAGATGTAACCGATCTTGTTAGCAATGTCTAAAGCATCGTAGTCAGCAGTCAATCTGACGTAAGCCTTCTTGGTACCGTTTGGTCTGATCAAAGTGTTGACCTTAGCAACCTCAACTTCGTACAATTCCTTGACGGCTTGCTTGATTTGGTACTTGTTGGACTTGATGTCAACTTGGAAAACCAAAGTGTTGCTGTCTTCAACCTTCTTGGTTGCGGTTTCGGATGTGATTGGTTGTTGAATGACCTTGTATGAGTCCAATCTGTTGTAGTGTGGAACAGACTTGGTGTACTTTGGAGATCTTGCCAACTTCAAGGTCTTTGGAAGTCTGAAGGTAGTGGAGGTTCTGACCTTGACAGCCTTGGAAGAGTTAGCACCCTTAAGAGCGGATTTCTTTGCAGATTGAGCCTTAGCAGTAGCTATATGAAAGAATGATAGTGAGAATCGAGACAGTATATGTTAGTATTAGTTCATTGGTAGTTGCAAAAAGAAATTTCAGTTACTCTTCAGTTGTTCAATGATAGGATTTGAAGACGCTGGACGAGTGCAATATTCACCATCCGGTTTGCTTTCAGAATTTGATATATGCAAAGCTATGAAACACGTATACAGAGCAAAGGTGACCTTTCTGCACACAGCACTTGCTTTTGAAAATCTATTTCCTTCTGTTTCTCCACTTTTTTATTTCTCCTTGCAAAGGTGTTATCCTATCAGTCATTTTCTTAAGAGTCGCTATCCGTTGTTATTAGGTACTTACAAGAAGCCATTTTGTCTGGAGATTAAGTCTGGAGAAAGGTCTAAATCAAGATGGCCTTTACCCCATCCAGTACACAACCTTACTTCATGGTGGTAAAAAGTTATTTCACGATGAAGCAGCGTCAGTGGGAGGTAGTGAGAGAGCGACTGGCGAGGGAGCGATCGAGGAGAGAAATTTCATTGCGTGGTTGCGACAGGTTTAGTTGCAACAAAGCCCTCGCTATATGCACGTGACTCTATAAAGGGTTTGGAAGAATTGGTGGGGTTTACTTAGGTGGGGTAAGATGAGATGATAGTTTATCATTATAAATATGCTATTTACATGGGCCACTTGAGAGAGAATGAGAAAATGAGACCGTAACAAAGTGCAGATAATGTGATGTATGCGGATCAGATTCTTCTTCTAGAAGGTGCTCTGTTACCACCAAATGCGATCGGTGTCAAATCACTTAATCTCGATATGTACTCTCTAATGCCATTGCCTTCCTTACCTTTGAGTGCGTCGAAAAAGGCCTTTCTCCCCTTACCGAAACCTCTGACAATTATTTCTAGCTTGCCGCTATCCTGGAGTAAACGTTTTTCGTTGATGTTCTTAAAAATGTGGGATGAAAGCTGGAAAGACGCTTCGTACTCACCTCTTTGTGCCTTCCTGAATCCCAAGTATCCTGTCGACTGGGAAATGACTATTCTTTGTGGCAAAGTCAAGAAGTACAAGACTTTCTCGTTGAACGACTCGCCAGGGTGGTTTGCTGGGTAGTTTTTATCCATCAGAACCTTCGTCAGGGTTAGAAACGTGTTGTTCTTCTTGAAGTTGCAATGTAACACATTTTTCACAGTTTGTATGTCTTTTATCTTCTTGGTTGCAGCCTTGCTTTCTCTGTTCAATTTGGAAGGATTCTTTGCAGCTTCACCGAAGGTGGTAATAGTGTTTTTGGCGGCACCAGAGGTAGAAAATGCCCTAACGGACCCACGGGCAAGCTGAGCAAAATTACCAAACATCCTGGTAGCGTCAATCTGTGTACTCGGCTGATCTAGTACCTGTGGTGCTTTTTGGCAGTGTACCAACGTTCTTCACACAACCATTCTTCCGTCCACTCGTTTCGAATTCATGTTATTCCAGACTCGGCGAGAAGGCCTGGAAAAAAAGAGCCCGGCAGTTGAAAATCAGATTCGGTGCACGGAGGTGACTTTTTATCTACATGAATTATGATCCGAGGACTACTTCTGAGACTAGAACTCAGGGGAACATATCTAGAGAGAGGAAGATCCTGAAAGGAAAGACAGCAGCATTTTTGCATTTGGAAAGATGACAAATGTGTATTTGGACGTCTCGATAGGAGGCACATTCAAAGGGCGGATAGTGATCGAGCTGTTTGACAAAGATGCACCTTTGGCTACAAAAAACTTTAAGACTCTGTGTGCTGAAAAACAATTACGCAACACATACTTCCATCGTGTGATTAAGAATTTCATTATCCAGGGAGGTGACACCACTGTCAAGGATGGACTCACGGCTGAAAAGTACCCTAATCTTGGAGATATAGGCAAAGATGGGAATGGCAGTTCGTGTTATAACGGAGAGTATTTCGAAGATGAGAACTTAGTTGATCTTGATAGAAAAACTCTTGTTTGCATGTCAAACTTTGGAAAAAAGAACCACAACATGTCCCAGTTTTTTATCACGCTTGAAAAGTGTCCTCACTTAAACGGAAAGCATACAGTATTTGGCCAAGTGAAGTACGGTAAATCAATAGTCCGGGAAATTGAAAAAACTGACATTATTTCCAATAAAAACTCCGACACGAATGCATGGCTTCCGTGCCAGAAAATAGTGATAACGGATACGGGTCTCTGGGAAGATAATGACCCACTCCCGAATGAAATAGCTTGTATTGATACGATAGGTGGGGACATTTACGAAGAATACCCAGATGATAATGAGATTGAAGGTTTAGACTTTGAAAATGTTGAGCAGTCCTACAAGGTCACTGCCATCATAAAGGAATCTGCGACATTGCTGTTCAAAGCAAAGCGTTTGTCTGACTCGTTGATGAAGTATAAAAAGGCCTTGAGGTATTGCAATGAGTTATTGCCCGATGATGAATCTAACAAAGAAATGTATATGAAGTTTCAAGAGCTGAAAAAAACGCTTTACCTCAATATGTCTTTGATAGCATTGAACAGCCAAGATTACAACGCATGTATCAACTACTGCGGATTTCTTCTACAGATGGAAGATGTGCAACTCACAAATGTTCAAGCGTCTAAGATTTTCTACAGATTGGGGAAATCGTATGCCAGTATGAAGAAGTACGATGTTGCACTTGAGACGTTTAACAAGGGACTTATCGTCAGTCCCGATGATCCTTCCATCAAAAAGGAGTTTAATGTTGTCAAAAAAATAGTCGACGATGCCAAGAAAGAAGAAAAGGCAAAGTATGCAAAGTTCTTTAACTAATTCTAGTTCTGGTTCGAATTGAAATGGATTATCCTGATTAATTCAATCTCATTCACATGTAGCTCTTACGTAATCTCATTCTCATTTTGGGTCGAGATAAGTTGCATGATAAATCTCGTTTCAACGACAATGCATCCATCTAGCCTTAACAAGATGGGGTGTATGAGGGCAGTCCTTGCACTAGTAATCAACATACGAGATCCGAAGTTCATGGGATGAACAACACTTCAGGGACTTTGGATGGTAAAAGGAAGAAAAATGATGATGTGAAAATAAGTAATAATTGGCAATTTCAAAAACTTGACATTGAAGAATTAAAGAGCAGATTGCCAGATAAAACAATCTCATCTCTCTCTAAGGAGCTTCAAAATGTGCATGTGAGTGTTGCTAAACAAGCCATGAGTGCTGAAATGTCTAAAAGACGCCGTTCGAGCGTTCTCAGAAGAATGTCAGTGGGGCTTCAAATCGACCCACTGATTGTCGATCCGACTGCTCCACCGGGGAAAGTTAGAATCGATTTGGAGAGATCCCTTTTGCAAGATGAAAACCCGTTATACGAGGATAATAGCGGCGATGAGTCAGACGAAGTCCCAGAAGAGAGCAAGTATGATGATAACGATACTGAGCTGTACAAAAGATCGAACTCGAAAACTCCAGCATGCAGAATCACAGACTTTAAGCCATTGACAGTTTTAGGCCAAGGTGCTTACGGGAAGGTTTTTCTAGTGAAAAACAAGAACACTGGGAAACTTTTTGCGCAGAAAGAATTGAAAAAGGCCTCAATCATTGTCGATAACAAGAATGTTGAACGGACGCTGTCCGAAAGGACAATTCTATCAGAAATAACTTCACATCAAAATATTGTCAAGCTATTTTATGCACTTCATGATAGCTCCAAGCTGTATCTTCTGATGGAATACATTCCTGGAGGGGAGTTGTTCAGGTATCTTGTCCAAGAAAAATTTCTCAATGAGAAGAAAACATCGTTTTACATCATTCAGATGTCATCAGCTTTGAGATTCTTGCACAAGTTTGGTATTGTATATAGAGATCTAAAGCCTGAAAACTGTATGTTGGACAAAGATGGATATTTGATATTAACAGATTTCGGATTAGCAAAAAAATCATCTCAAAGTGGTGATGAAGAATATTCAAATGACAATTGGTGTACTTCAATCATTGGAACACCAGAATATTGTGCCCCAGAAGTGCTAAAGGGCGAAAATTATGGTTTCAAAGCAGATTGGTGGTCTCTTGGGTGTGTAACATTTGATCTACTCACTGGGAACCCGCCATTCACTGGCAACAGCCACAAAGCGATCATGAATAAAGTGATAAAGGAAAAACCCAAATTCCCCTTTTATGTGACAACGGAAAGTAAAGAGATTCTTAACAAATTGTTGAACAAGAACCCGGCAAAAAGGTTCGATGTAGATATGGACTGGGAAAAATTTCAAAAGCTACCATTTTTCAGGCACTACGAGTTCAAAGATGTCAAAGAACGGATAATTGAACCACCTATAGTGCCACTGATCAAAGACTTGGAGAAAGCAGAGAATTTCGACGTTGAGTTCACCAGCATGAAATTGAGCGATCTGAATGTTGGGGGGATAGATATAAATACCCTTGATAATGGCACGGAACAAGAGGATTTCTTCTCGGGTTTCTCCTTCACAGCAAGCAACAGTTTTGTCGATAGCTATTTGTGATGACACCACTGTTCCATACCAAAACAGCTTGTAAATATATATGCTTTATATGTATGTGTATACGTTGTGTGTATAAAAATATTGTTCCGTTTACTCAGTGAAATAGAATTACAACTCAAATACTTGGCAATTCATGTTGGATTTTTCCAGCGCCTTTTCGGTCAATGACCAAGGAACTCCGAAAATTCCAGCGTTAATTTTTGGCATATTAATCGTGTATTGAAACACATCAGGTTTGCCGTCGGCATCTAGAATCTGTTTATTGTAGTTCTCTATTATCTGTCTTGAAATGGCATTCTCTATAAGGCTTGGATTTTGTAGCTTACGCTTTAAATCAAGCATTGCAGATTCTGTATTCTTTGCTATTTCTTTCTCTGTTTCCTGTCCAATAATGCTGGTAAAGAGGCAGACAACAATCAGTTGATCTTTAAGTCCGTTCACAAATCCAGCATCATTTGATGAAACCGGCAACAATAAGGAAGTCCCAAGTAGCTCAGTGGGAGATTGGAACGAATGGCAGTAGGTGTGATATAGTTCATAACTACTGAAATATCTTGTCTTGAAAACGCTGGCTATTCCGCCTCCCCAGATACCCAAACAATTACAAGCATGAGCAATTAGTAATGGCCTGGATAGCGTGGTCTTTGTGAGTTGAAACAAGTCACCTTTAGTGTATCTAATCATCTACCTTGATGCTCTTTTAACTAGTAAAAGTTTCTACTAATTGCAAGTTGATCACAATGGACTTGACTTGGCTAAGAGATTGACAATTGAATAAGAGGAATATGAAGATCAGATAACCGCCATGAAATGTAAACACAAGTAGACAGGCACAGCCTTGTCATGTTTATGGAGAGACTTCCGAAAAAAAACTGTAAGCCGAAGACCAATCTTCTTTTTCTCGATGAGGTATCAACGAAGTTTGGTACTTTTGGGCATGAGTTTAATTACTAATATTAGGATGTTCACACAGTGATGGACCCCGAATTGAAGAGGGACCTCGAGGAACTAAAAAAGTCCCTTCATTCCAACAATCTTTCTAGCAGAAACAGAGTACTTTCTATAGTAAAAGATAGTAACTATGTTAACAACGTGAAAGAAAAATACTATCCAGAGATACCTATTATTCCCAACGATAGATGTGGGAGATGGTATGTCGATCCAAAGTACTATGAGCAGGAGTTAACTCCTTCATATTTCAAATCGACGGACGGTCACACGAACAACTGGTCATTTTCTACAAGGCGACTGAATTTGCATTTGCTTTCGCAAGTCAGGGAGAGAAATGGCATAATCATAGTCGATTCTACAAGAAGGGGTAAAAAAATTCCAGATTCTTTTAGTAAAACCGTTCCCATATGGATTTCCATCATCAATAAGTTTTTATTTCCGAATGTATCGTTTGATGATTTATTATTCACACCTGAAGAAACTGTCTCGGAGTATGAACATTCTAGGATATTACGTTTGCTGCCCGACTTTTACCAGAGTTTCGTGAAATTTCAAGATCTAATTAAAGGTAGGATACTTGCAAATGTGGAGGTGTCGGAGAAGAGAAAAATGCTAAAACCATTCTGGATATATCCCGGATGTAAAGAATATCCCATATTCGACGGCTGCGAAGAATACTTGCCAATCATTTTACTTTCTGCAAGTGAGCAATCACAGGACGGAGAAAATAAAATGTACGGGTACACATATGTTCAAGGAGCTGGGGATGATCATGAATTATGGTCCCGGGGCCTAAACCCTCAAATATTTTGGTCAAAGTACCAGGAAATGACTGAATTCATCCATATAGATGATCATCAAGCTGATGAAATTATTGATAAATTTGTTTCCGCGAGCAAGCAAAATCAAAATGTGCCACCTACAGGGACGTCAAGTGAATTCTGGAGGTCAGAAGACATTACTAAAGTCACAGAGTTACTATATTTCGGGAAAATAGACGAAAACTTATCATTTAAAGAAAGCGAGATTGATAATAAGTTCAGTTTCGATAAAGTGGTCGTTTTGGATACATCATTCAAACATCAAGCAGATCATGAGAAACAGCAAAAGGTGTTTGCTTTTGGTCTTGACTCAGGGTCTAAAAAGTCTTCCAAACAGCTGAGGGGCGTTTTGCCCAGCATAATGGAGGTTCTGAAAAGCAGAAGTGATCCTTGTAAAACCCTTATTGTCTGTAATAGTGGGGAAGATTTATCTGTTGCAATTGTGATTTGCTACTTGAATCATCTCAGCGGGATGGATAAAAGAACGATAACCAAGGAGACGATTCGACGAGATCTCATCAGACTCTTGGAACTAAGAAAAGTCAATCCACAGCGTGCAACGCTTAATGCAGTGAATTCATATTTAATGTCTTGATATAGAATCTATTAACGTAGGCTCGACATAATTTTATATAGTAAAAGGAGACACAATTGAGAGTTTTGATTAATTTTTTATTGTCCGTTTGAATGCATGCAAAAAGCTCTAAAAGTCTACTTTTTACCATTAGGGGTAGAAGATTCAATATAATAGCTGAATTCTTGCGACGAGCTGTTACTTTCAGAGGCACCATCTCGTTCAAAGGTCCGACTAGGATATTGCTTATTTTTTTGATACCGTTTGTAGTTCTTTGGCTTGGAATATGAGTGCTGAGACTGCTGGTGTTGTTTTTGCTGAAAAGATAATGGTGTTGAAATGTTCGGCTGGGACTGCTGTTGCTGCTGTTGAGGAGTGGAGTAGTAGTAATAAGCAGGAGGAGGTGGTCCACCTTGTGCAAGATAGTAGTTCATGCTATAGGATCTCATTGGAGTTTGTGGCACTGACACAGGGAACTGTTGGGTAGTTGGATTCTGCGAAGGATAGTAGTAAGGTTGAGAAGTAAGAATATAACCTGGAGTTTCGTTGCCGTAATTCTCTTGAGTATAATTGAAGCTATGATTCCTTGAATTGTTGTATGGGTAGTTTTGAAACGATGTCATAGAGGAAAATCTAGAAGAGCTGTATAATCTAGGACGACTTAATTTACTATTGGCTCTTGAGCGTCTGGTGTTATTTTTCCATGTACTATTATCGGCTTTCGAATCTGGGGGTGAAACAAATGAGGTATTCAACGTTTCTGTCACTATGTCAACCTCTTCATCTTCTTCATCTTCTTCATCTTCTTCATCTTCGCCATTTCCTTCATCTCCTTCAACTTCTTCAACTCCTTCAATTCCTTCAACTCCTTCAACTCCTTCAATTCCTTCAACTCCCTCACCTCTTTCTTCTACCTTATCTACTTCATCTCCTTCAACTCCTTCAACTCCTTCATCACTCTCCTTGGCGTTTTGAAGCCCATTCTCAATCACATCATCAGGTTGGTTCAAACTTTCTCTTACCTCACCAACGCTGACATTCATGCTGGTGATACCAATATCATCATTTCCTATACTCAATTTCACCTTTTCTGTATCAGAAATACTGTCATACTCAATATCAGAATCAATACCATTCTTTTGATCCAAGTCAGCATTTTCAGATGATTGATTTTGGCTTTTCACCTTTTTGTTTACAGAAGGAGATGAAATGCCTATACCTGAAAGGGCTGAATCAAATTCAAGGGCCAAATCCGTATCTATGGATTGATTTGAGTCCAGCGCATAGGTGAACTGCTTATTAGCAGTATTTCCCATATTTGTCCTTGGTCTGTTATTAACTTTTTTATTACGCTTCTTCTTTGGGGGGTTACCACACCTGTCCTTACCATACGAGATTCTGAACTTTGTGTATCTATTATCAAAGGAATTGTGTAGCTTTTTACTTCTTTCACTTTGGAAATCATTGACGGCTTTGATACAGGACAAAATGTTAGTGAAGTTAATAAATGCACAAGACCCATTTTTGAAATAGTTGATCTGTTCAATCTCTCCAAATATTGAGAAATCTCTGCGCAAGGTATCCTCGTCTGGAATAGTATGGTATAGCTTTTTCAAAGTAGTTGATTCGAGATCTTTTTTACTATCAATTGAACCTTCTTCATCGTTAACAGCAACTGGCTCTTCTTCTGCAAAACTCTTATCATGTTCTTTATTCTTTCCCTTATTGCCAAGTTGAACTGGTATCAGTTCATAATCATCTTGATCTTCCAGTTCTTCATTGACACCAATATAAAGGTTCCTACATGCACCGTTGTCAACAGCTAATTGGATTTCAGGATTTAAATTACCAGAATTTCTACCCCATCCAACTTTGGCACACTTGGAATTAATGAAAAGGCTTTCTTTGAATGTTCTAGCAATGAAGTTTGCTGCGTCATGATGGTATACAAACGTCAAAAAAGCAGCTTTCCTATCGGAAAGCAGTTTGATGTTCTCTAGGATACCTCCTCTAATTTTGTTACAAACGTCCTCACTAGTTGTTCCACTTGGTAATCCACCCAGGTAAACTGTTCTATTGCCAATATTGTTTTGTATTAATGAAGTAACCGATCGATTGTCATTCAACCTATAAGCAGGAGAATTGTCATACATTTGGGGAGTATAGGGCTGATGCATAAATTCGTGTAAAACAACTGGAGTATAACTATCTTGGAAAAATCCGGAATTGTTCATAAAAGTGGAAGAGTTTAAGTTGTTTGAGAGCTCTCCGTCAAAATCAACGTCCTCTTCGGTGTCATCAACAGGATGAGCGTTATCTGGATCATCAATGATCTGGATGTCTGTTTCATCAATACTCAAGTCCTCATTATTTGAGTTTTCTAGACTTTCTCTGGTATTATTGTGGTAGTTACGATTACTGTTGATGGCGTGGCTCTCATCTGGATTTCTATCATCTTCATAGCTTGGTCCACCGTTACTCTCATTGGTGTATGAGATAAAGTCATTCGATATACGTGGAGAAGATAATGAAGTTGAAGTTCTTGAATAGGTAAGCATATTATTTGGGCGGTTCTCTTTGAAAAGATCTAATTCAGATTTATTTGCAAACGTAGTGTTCATGAAAGAGTTGGATGCAGAAAAAGCCGGTATGTTTACTGAATTTCCGTCATTCGAGTAAAATATCTTGGAATCTGACAGGATTGAATTACTCAAAGGCAACTGGTCGAAACATTTGATGGCATTGAATATCGAGGTGAAGTAGACAAAGGCTGCATTTTTATCAACGTTATATTCAACAGACTGCAAGGCCCCGAATTTGGAAAGTTCCGTGATAAGTATCTTTTCAGATAAATTGTAAGGCAGGTTCGACAAACAGATTGCTCTTGAAGCGCCGTTGTTATTGATTTCATTTTGAATATAATCCGATAGAGGCAGAGAGCTTACCGGAGTTAACATTAGTTTTGGGGAATTCAATAAGTGTTTCATTTCATGCATAATGTCGGTCATCTGAATGTAGCATTCATTGGCGGTAAAGGAGTCCATGAAGGATACAATCACCGACCGGTAGGTCGAAGGAGAAGAATGGGATTTTTCGACAGACGGTGTAGCCTGATTTGTTGACGGATCATCGGTCAGATCATAGTGGCAAGTTTCAATTGGTCCCAGGGTGATCAATTCTAAAACATCAGTCAAGGAGATATCTGACCGCAACTTAGACAGCTTAAGAGTCCTTGTGTTGATTGACGCTTTGCCGACATTTCTCAGATCATCATGGTCATCGGCATCAGCGTCGGCATTTTCATCGACGTCCAATTTTGCCGATGAGCAGTCGAGTTGTGAAGAAATCGTTTCTGTCAGAGGAGTGGTTCCGCCGTCTTCGGTGCCTTCTTCTTCGTCTATCCTTTTGCTTTTTGCCTCTCCGCTCTCGCCGTGGACCAGTTTCCTAGTGGAGGACCGTTTGTGTTCTTCGGCGAGTAGTTTCGAGTTCAAGTTGAGCCTAGAGTTGGAGTTGGAGTTCGAGCTGGAGCCCGAGTTTGACGCCGGGTGGGAGATCGAGTTGTGCCTGGACACGCCTGGGTGCTGGTTCGAGTTCATCCTCATGAGATTCGACTGTGAGTGCGAATAAGATCGCAGGTAGTTCGGCGACGAGGCCACGACGGTGCCAAAGTGGTCGTTCATGGGAGAGTACATGTGGGAAACGAAAGAGGAGTCTGCCGTCTGGTAGAAGGGGGAGCCCATGACGAGCTGTTTCGGCAGGAACCGCTGCGGATAGTAGGGGCTCTCAATTGGCGGCGGCTGGTTCGGTTGGAAGTGGTTGAAGCTGTTGTTCAGCGACAGTGAGAGCTGCGGGTGGGGCGCTGGCGGCGGCACGACCGCAGAGGGAGCAGCCGGCTGGCTGTAGAGGTCCTGCTGTTCGTGGGCTGCGGGCTGGCCCTGTGGTCGTATTCCCAGGGAGTTGCTGTAGCTGCTGGCGCCGGCGGCGGTGGCGGGAGCGGTGGCGGAATGCAGAGCTTGCTTTCTGGTCTGCCTGTCGTCCACACCGTGTGTGGGTTTGCCTGTGTGTCCCTTGGGCATGATCTGTGCAACGCGGTCCACAACTGCAGCAGACGTGTGGGTGTACCGGTGTGTAGGTGTACCTGTGTGTACCTGTGTGGGAACAGACACGGTGTTTTCAGCGCTGGCTGGTGAGGGTCCGACGGTGCTGGCTGGTGGGGCAGGCGACGGTGCTGCTGGCGGAGATGGAGGCTCTTCTGGTAAGCAGCGAGAAACAGGCTGCCAGAGCAGGGGTCGGGCTGGGGGCGGCAGCGAACAAACGGACGGCGAAGCTATGGCCACCACGAACAATGATCACGCCTCGATGGTACCGGGGGGGTGAGCAGGACGCAGGCAAGCAGGCAGGTCGGCCTGACACCCGAGGCCAGCCAACAAACAAACAACAAAGGATGTGTGGCAAGTGGAATTTCGAATCTAGCGCCGAGAAACGAGCAAAACCGAGTGCGACAAACGGAGTGCAGGCACCGCCGGCTTGTCTCAGGCCCCTCCCTGTCACCGCCCTGCGAAGAAGCGGGAGCCGCCCCCGCAAAGGGGAGGCCGGGCAGACCCTGCGCCGACAATCTTACCGGCGGCCGGAGGCGATGGCGGCGGCGGCGGCAGCGGCGGCGGACTGATTCTGTGCATGGGCACGCGCCAGGGGCGGGCCGGCCGGCCTGATGAGCTTTGCGCCGGCGGGAGAAAACAAGGGCCGGCGGGGAGCCGGGCGGGCAAAAACTCGGTCAGTTTTTTTCGCCCGGCGGCACACGGACGTCAGCTGTCGCGGGCGGCGCGCGGCGGAGAGCAGCCGTTGCATGGAGACAAGGGACCGCCGGCTCAAGTGACGTATTGCAGCGTATCTGTCGCCCCAAACGGCGAGGGTGCGTTTTTCGCACAAGTGGGCCCAGGAGCGTCGGGCGCGAGCCAAAGAGGCAGGCTCAGGAGCGCGCGCTGGGGCCTCGGGGAAACGGCCCGGCGGGCACAAAAGAGCCGGGGTCGCGACGCGTCGCGTCGGCGTCGCGTCGGCGTCGCGTCGCTGGCGGGTTACTTTCTTTTAACGAATCCATTAGTGAAAAACTTAAAATAAATAAGTATACCTATACGTAAGTGATTGAGCTATAGAAGGTGTCGGGGCCTGGTGCTTAAGCGGAACCGGAAACCTTGGCAACGTGTTCCAGCAAGTCGACAACTCTGGTGGAGTAACCATATTCGTTATCGTACCAGGAGATCAACTTGACAAAGGTTGGGGTCAACAAGATACCGGCCTTGGCGTCAAAGATGGAGGATCTGGAGTCGGAGATGAAGTCGGTGGAGACAACGGCGTCCTCGGTGTAGCCCAAGATGCCCTTCAACTCGTTTTCGGAAGCGTGCTTCATGGCAGCACAGATGTCTTCGTAGGTGGTTGGGGTCTTCAAGTTGACAGTCAAGTCGACAACGGAAACGTCGACGGTAGGCACTCTCATGGACATACCGGTCAACTTGCCGGCCAAGACAGGCAAGACCTTACCGACAGCCTTGGCGGCACCGGTGGAGGATGGAATGATGTTGCCGGAGGCAGTTCTACCACCTCTCCAGTCCTTGTGGGATGGACCGTCGACGGTCTTCTGGGTGGCGGTGATCGAGTGGATGGTGGTCATCAAGCCGGAGTCGATACCGAACTTGTCGTTGATGGCCTTGGCCAATGGGGCCAAACAGTTGGTGGTACAGGACGCGTTCGAGACAATCTTCACGTCTGGGGTGTACTCCTTGTGGTTGACACCGACAACAAACATTGGGGCGTCCTTGGAAGGAGCGGTAATGATCACCTTCTTGGCACCGGCGTTCAAGTGCTTGGTGGCTGGCTCGATCTCCTTGAAGACACCGGTGGAGTCGATGACGTAGTCGACGCCGATCTTGCCCCATGGGATGTTTTCTGGGTCTCTTTCGTTGTAGACAGAGATCTCCTTGCCGTCGATGACAATCTTGTTTTCCTTGTGCGTGACCTCGCCCTTGTACTTGCCGTGGGTGGAGTCGTACTTGAACATGTAGGCAGCGTACTCTGGCGCAATGAATGGGTCGTTGACCGCAACAACCTTAATGTCTGGTCTGCTGAGAGCAATTCTCAACACCAATCTACCGATTCTACCGAAACCGTTAATACCAACAGTAATAGCCATTTTGTGTGTGTGATGTGTGTGTGTTGTGTGTGTGTGTTATTCAATCAAGCCAATTGATTTGAAGATGCAGAAGGAAACAAACGCAACAGACCAGGACCCAAGCAGGAAGAAAGCAGAAAGAAGGTAAGAAGAAGTAAAGAAACGCAAACAAGAGGGCAAGGGACAGCACTACCCACCCTCATAGCCGGCAGGAGGGCGGAAAAGGGCGAAAACGCACTCAGTTATATACACACCACTCTCGGGCCTCACCCGCTCACGCCCTCACCAGTCAGTCACCCGCACCTGCTGGACGGACATCACCAAAAAATCCCATCGGGCCTTTCCTCACCACTCCATCTGCTGCCACCCCGGTCTCCCGCAACCCATAGTGCAACACCTCCCCTCATGCTGCACTTCCCACCCCACACGCAACAACGTGCCGCCACAGGCGGTCACCCTCTCCGGGGCATGGTGTCCCTTTTCCGAGAGCTTCCTCGCCTCCCGGCTGCGCCGCGGCCTCGGCCCCAGCTTACGTAACGTTGCCACTGCTGTTGCCGTCACCTCACTACTGCCCACGGGCCCTGCTGGAGTGTCACCACCGGGGTTATCGAGGCTGCCCCGTGGCATGGTGTGTCGTTATCTGCTGATGCGTTGCTACTATTACGTATGCAGGCGGCTTGTACGTTCCAGGTGGTGCAACAGCACGTCCGTCCAGCCACCTGTCTGGTGTGTGGTTGCTGTGGGTGTATTTCTGTCTCTGTGTCTCTGTGTCTTTCTATCTATATATGCGTGTATATACATGACTTCCGCAGCAGACGGCCCGCCAGCATCCATCCCGCCGCCCCACCCCGCCTCTGTTTGCTCCGGGCCTCCGCAGCCGAGGACCGCCATCACGTATCTCCGGGGCTCTCTGGCCCTATGTGCGCGTCCCGGAGCCGCTGGTGCCGGGGCCTCGCCCCGGCAGCACGCAAGCCCCGCACCGCGCTGCTCAACCGCTTTTCACGTGTTGAGGTTCCAATTAAACAAGGACACATTGGAGTTGCCCTTATTGGCCTTAATATTGTTGGCACTGGTGCCGGAGTTGGTGTCGGAGTTATCACGGGCAACGTCGTCCTGGCTCTTGACGGAGGAGGAATAGTTGGCACGGTGTTGGTGCTCGTGTCCGTGCCTGAACTGGTTCTGCGGAGGAGGACTCACAGCGGTGGAGCTCAACGGAAGAGTGCCGTTGCCGTATGGGTTGTAGTTCGGACTCTCCTCAAACGTCATCGACGAGGGCTGCAGTTGGTGGCTTGCGGTGATGTGGTTGTCGCCGCCGGTGCTGTAGCCGTACAGCTCTTCGAGATCGTGCGCGTTGGTGGGGTCCATTTTCTGCTTCTTCGTCTGGGTGTTGTCGAGCTCGAAATCGATGAACGGCAACCCCAAAGACGCGTCGACCCCGAAGTCGTTGAACATGAGCAAATCGGAAAAGGATTTCACACTGAAAGGCACGTCTTTGACGTGGGAGTCATCAAGCTGCACCGGTGACCCCATGGACTGCAGATTGAGAGCACTGTTGTCGCCGCTGGTCTTACCGGCGTGACTGTTCTTGCTGCTGTCCTGGAACAGGCTGTTCTGCAGTCTCTGCTGTTCAACCTGCTGTCTCTGGACCTGTATCTCGGCTTCCGCCATCGCTTGCGTCTTAGCCTGTTGCTGGAGCAGCTGGATCTGCTTCTGTAGGTTCTCCTGTTGGGTTTGCAAAAACTGCTGCTTTTGTTTGATCAGCAGTTTCTGTTTCTCCATCTGTAGCTCCGGACTACCGCTCATGGTGCCGTCGCCGTCAACATTCTTCAAAAGCATATTGAGGCTCTCCTCCTCCATCATTTTCGGATCTGCAGACATAAAGTTGAACAGATCATCATTATTGGCGGCAGCGCTACTAGTGCTGTGGTCCATAATCTGGGTATTTCGGTTGCTGTCGTTGTAGTTCCTCTCAGGATGGCGGCTCGCCGAGTTCTTTCTGGCACGCTCGACAACGCTATCCTTGTTCTCGTTGTTAGAGAAAATATCGTTGATAGCTATTTTGCGCTTATCGCTGAGAGACGTCTTCCCACTTTGGGTCGAATCGTCTCCCAAATCAATCTCCATCTCTTCGGACTTCACTGGAGCCATTGAAGAGGGTTTTTTGGCAAAGCTTTCAAGATTGGAGACCTTCTTTAACGGTGAGCCCGTGCTCTTCTTTTTGCTTTCCTTCTTCACAGATTCAACTGGATCCAGATTGTTCATAGAGCCCGTCTTAGGCTGCGATAAGATAGCATCGATAGCATGCTCCAAGCAACCGACACAGTTGTTAGATAGGCACCCAAGGAGTCCAATCTTGTTTTCGATCTTTAACTCATTAATGATTGAGGTCAATAGTAGTTTGGCCTCTTGGAACAATGATCCTCCCCTCGTGTATTCCAACGAATTTCTAGCCGCCATTAATGAAAACCGGGCCGTCTGTCTAGCAATGTTGATAGGAAGCGGCAAGAAGTAGAAATTGTGTTTAGATGTATTCAAAACCCTCATTGTAGTTAGGATCGAAGTAGTCGCTTGCTGAATGCTTATGAATGCAGGCGAGCACTTAGATGATGTCAAATTGAAAGTGGACTCGCCAGCCAGTAAGGGCATGTAAATCAATGCCTTCGCTTGATAGTAAAGATAATACAACGTCAACTGGGTTTCATTCAAGTTGTCAATGATATTAATATCCTTGGAGTTGTGAACAGTGTTAAACGAAACGTTCGCTGGTAGGTTTCTTCTCCATGTCTCTAATAAATCTTCCATTATCAAACACTTAGATTCATTGATGTTTGTTTGCTTCAACCCTTCACTTCTCCTGAAAATCGAGTCCACAATGGTACCCAAAACTTTGGAGTATCTCATCACACTCAAGGCCGAATCACAGACTTTACCGACTAAAGATAATTGAACATTGTTCTGGAATGTGATCAAACTGATATCAGAATCTTTGTTCTCCTTATCACTTGATGAGGAGGAAGGTAAAGCACATTCAATCTCATAATCTTTCAATAATCTTGGAACACCCAAGATAAATGCACTAAAACTATCAAGTGTGTAGATACACCAAAACAATATACGCCTTTCACCCTGTTGTAATTTGGAAACACTGGACCCGTTAGATCCGAGAACTGCTGCAGGGCATCTATGTAACCTCAACTGTTGGCACATGGTAATCATTCTGCCCCTCAATTCATAACTGGTTGTTAAGTCGTCTGTTGCTAGACAATACAATAACTCTATGGTGATAATTTGTAGTGAGGATATTGAACAAATCGATGACATGTTGGATTGTATCAATTGCTTTATTATATGATCATAAAATTGCAAAATCTCGCTATTGCTTGATATTTTCTTGTCACTTGACTTGCCATTATTGTCTTTACTTTCATTATCGTTCAAACTAGAATTTGAGTTAGATGTAGACATATTGGAACTGGTGGGAGAAACAGAGCTCTCTAGAATAGCGCTGTTCGATAGCTTTGCAGCAATATTACTCCGTTCGTTGGAAATCATCACAAGACATGTAATTATGACTAACAACTCACCGAACTTTTCAAATCCAACTAATTCGCCATCCTCATAGTTTGCATCTCTACTCTTGATAAACTTTTTATAATTGGCCATGAAAATCTCTTTATTCATGACAGGAATCACCGTGTTCCAAGTATTGAAGAAAATTGTTATGCAAATATCCAAGTTCATATTATTCGGTAAATTGAGACTTTGGAAAAACGCCTTTGACTCAGATTTGTTCAAGTCATTGAAATTTACGCCTTTGAAAGTTATTGGAAATAGATTATATCTCTCCTCTTCGTTATAAGCTTGCTTCAATAAAGCAATTGAGCGTGCTGTCAAATAAGGAGCTTTTGAGTCAAAACCATGGGTTTTGATTATCCTTGCCAACAAGGTCGGTATAAACAAAGTTTCCTCTGTCGACCGTGGAATAGAGGCGGCAATCAAATTGGCCAAGTTCAAGAAATTCTTAGTTCTCAACTTATTTTGAAGAGAGATTGCAGCAGCGGCACCCGGTGCGTTGATTTGTTCGAAGGAATTAGGATTATAAACAAATCTGTTTTTACTATCTGAATCGTTGTTTCCTGATAAAACATTGTTGTTGAAGGGAGTCCCGTCATTCATATGGCTATGTTCTGAATTGGATAGGTGCAAATTTCCACTCAAGCTCGAGTGAGAAGTGAAATCAATATTATGCGCGTTAAAACCATTTAGATGACTTTGGCTTGAAGAGAAGGCATGACTTAACTGTGGGAAAGCAGAAGCTTGACGAGAATAGTGACTATCTGTCGAGTAGAGAGACTCGTCGTCGCTTAAATCACCTTGGTCTATATCAACTGAACCTGCAATTGAAACTGGCCGATTTATCACAGAGTGATGCATACCACAATTACAATTCTCGTCGTGGGTATGTAAAACTGGTTTAAAGTCAACGTCCAACCTTGAGACGTTTTCGGTGTTAAGAACATGCGAGGGACTTTCAAATTCACTTCTGCCATTCAAATCCTGATTTCGTACATCTTCGTCGTTGCTGGAAAAGTTTTTGTTCGATCTGGTATCATTAGTTTCGATGTTGTTTTCGGAGTTGCTCATGTCAACGTCATCGTCGCGTTTGAATTTATTATTATTGTTGTAGTTGTTGTCATCATTAGAGTTAGCGTTCACGTTATTATTCCGAGAACTAATCATATCGAAGTCTGTATCCAATTCGTTCTTTATTTTTGTTTTGGCAAGTGAGGTGGACACGGTAGTAGGGGTATTTTCCGTCGAAATGGAATTCGAGCTTGAGATCAGGGAGTTCTTGTTGGTGTTCTTTAGAGAAAGCAGCTTCTGCAGCTTTTTGTTCTCGTACTCTAACTCTCTCACTCTTTCCTCCAAAGACTCTGTGTACCCCCTCGGAAAAGCCTTTCTCGCCAACTTGTCAGTGAAGATGCACTCCAGACCCACCACTTTACAGTTTGCGCACTGTCTGTTCCCATCCTCGTCCTCTACTATCGGGTCATCGTTGTCGTAAAAACACCTTATCTTTTTCTTCCGGCAACGATCGCATGCAACAGAAACTCGGGTGGTATTTGATCCAGGCGGCTTGATCGTTTTCGACTTGACGCTGGAAGGCTCTCTCGGGTGGTGGTTAGTCGGCGTGTTGCTGTTGGCGAGATTCAGCGATGGGTAGACAGACGCCGGACCCGAAGCAGGGGAGTTCGAGCTGTTCTCCGATTGCGATAGCATCTGCGCCAAATTGAGCTGCGAATTGCTCTTGGCATCGTTATTTCGGTCGCCAGCACCATTCGTGAAGCTGTCCGCTCTCCCCTGTTCGTTCTGCGTCTCTCCGACGGCGGCTGTATCTAGCATTTTAAACTCCTTTCTCTCCTTGCGTTCTTGATGTATTTGCTGTTCCGTCCCGACTCGTCGGTCTTGCGGTGGGTACTCTGTTTAGCTGCTGTTAAAAACTTTGTTTCAACAGGTCTCGTTCTTCCTGTACTTCGCTCCCAGAAGACAACCCCCGAAACCAACCCCACACAAAAGCTATCATCTCCAGCCAGGGTAGTAAGGCGTTGACTCCGGGGCAGCGAAAAAGCCCTGAAGTGGAAAAGAGGTGCCTTTGCTGAGTCATAGAGCTCAGCTCAGCTCAGTGCTCAGCGCTCCCGCGGTGCGGGGGTATAAAAGGCAGGGCATATCCACCCTAGCTATTACTCTCTTTGTAAAACGTTTCGCCGGGCGTCTGCGATAGGCTGCTATTCTTTTGGTGAAATCTTGAGCAAGCTGCCACAGTGGCATCCTCAGTGGCATCCTCAGATGAGGATGCTGGTGTGGAAACACACCCAGAACAGTGCACGGACGATTAGATGATGATACCCTTAATTTAACAACGAATTTCTTCACCTGATAATCCATGAAGAGAAAAAATTTTGACAGAGCTTTTTAACCCTGATTTTTCGTCTGTGCACTTTCTGTTTCCCTTTGTCGTAGAAAACTATCCGTAGTAACGTGTTGTAGTACTGTTGTCTTGTCTTTGCTTCACTTTCTTGTTTTTCGTGCCAGTTGGAGGTTGAACAAAAAACCCCAAAATGAGAAATTAAAAAATTTTCATAGATGGTAGGCGCCTATCACATCAAAGGCAGGTATACATTTATCCTGCGATAAGCGTCCTCGTCTTCTTCTTTTTCTTCTTCTCTACTGATGCACTTTTCCCTTGGCTCTGCATAACAATACACTACTCAAAATGCCCGACGTCCGCTACGATGATGACTCCACTCCGGCTGTCTGCGATACGTGTTTGGGAACCAATCCCTATGTCGAGATGAAGAGGCTTCGGAACGGCGCAGAATGCAAAATATGTTCGAAACCCTTCACCGTTTTCAAGTGGAGTGCACAGGACGGTAATGCATTTTCATCAAGTCGGAAGAAGACTGTCATCTGTTTGACCTGCGCCAGGTCGAAAAACCGCTGCCAATCATGCTTGCTCGATCTCACTCTTGGTATACCTATCGAGATGAGAGACAAACTTCTCCGAATAGCCAAAATTGACGCGGCCAAAGACTTGAACATGTCTACCGACATAGTGTCCAATGCAAAAAACATTACAAGTAGATTGTACAACTCGAATTTGTTGGAGGAAAAACTGAAGAACGAAGAAATCACTCATCTTGCAGACAATGAAGAGCTGAAAAGAAAGCTGGAGCAGAATCTAGAAGCATCGTTGAACAAACAGGATTCAAAACAAAAGCAGGGTCACAGCTATAATAAAGATCCAATTTCTCTTTCAAAGCAGGAGCTGCTTGATTTGTTGAAATCTTTTCCTTTCAATGGAAACTTACAATTTCGTCCTAAAAATGCACATATACGATCTTTCTTCTTTTTTGGCAATGGATCGTCCCTATCCATGTTCCAAGTAAAAGACTATTTTATTGGTTTATCTCCAGAATTTACCAAGGACACGGTATCTTCCCTTTATACACAAAATGCAGGGAAATTTGGCTATATCGAATTCAAGACTCGTGGAATTGCTGAAAAAGTTGCAGATATAGTGCATGGTCGTCAAAAAAAGGTTCTGGGGTGTGACAAGTACAAGAATCCGTGCCTTGTTGTCATAAGTGGTTCTCCGGTACGATTGTGTTGGGCTGCTAACTCCAATATGTCTGCATCCGAGTACAGCAATGATCAACTAAGAAAGATTGCCTCTGTTGTTGACAAACAGTTGATCAAGTTGTCAAAGGCGGATTCGGAAATTTCCCGGACTTCTAAAGCTGGTCCATCTCTTATTGCAAAGTCCAAAGTCTCAAAGGCATGACAAAGTGGCCAACATTGGGCACAACTTGCTGAAAGTTTAGTTTATAGAGGTATTTGCTAAACTTGAGCGCAGCGTAAGAGTCAGACTCTTTACATCAAAAGGCTTTTGAATGGCCCTACACCGACTATGTATCCTTCATTTTCACCTATTCTATATATTTTCCAGCTTAGACTAATATACCGTAGTATTCACACCTTCTGTATCTTTTAGCAAGTGGTTCCCATTGAACTATTATTCGATCACTAATCGGGAGGATCAAAAAGCCTGTCAAACTTAACTCTTTAACCCTAGCTAGACTTTCAACGTAGATGATTTTAGTGCTACACAAACCGAAAAGCTTTAGAATAAAAAGCATGTATGCAATCGGTATAGCAGTTCCGGGACCATTCGTCAAAAACACATCAGGCTGATTTTTAAGCCTACTAAGGATCAAATTTATTAGTGTAGACTTAAAGCTGAGCAAAGTGTTGATAACCGCCTTAATCTTTCCCTCCCCTATGTTTCTTGCTCGGTATATAGTTGTGATTCCATAATCTTTAGCATTGTTTCCCAAAAGATTATCTTCGAATTTTTTTAACTTCAAAACAGATGTCGAATCCCCCGAACTTATAACGTACTCCCTGTGCAAATTGTTGATCCCGGTTGACCACTGTTCCAGAATACGAAGCATTTCCCCAGTATGACCCCCAGAGCCCAAGAGCACCATCAAACACTTCTTTTTATTAGTGGCATTCTTCAACAGCAAAAGGTCACGCTTTGATGTAGCGTGTTTCCTCATGTGGCAACATGGCAACACTTGAATCAACCTTACCAATATACCCAAAAGCAGCAAGAAAAGGCCTGTAGCCAATATTGTAAAAACTGATTCCTCCATGAAGCTCCTCAACCGTAGAAGTATTCAACCTGTGACCAGAATTTAGTCGGTGGTTCCGAATTGTAGAATATACTGATACATTCGTGCCCGTTAGTCGATCTTTTTTGCTCAGCTTAGACGAAATTCTTCCATCATCTCTTCCACCCTATGAAATTTCAACGCGCTAAGATAAAGGCAAGAAGTTTTAGATATGTTCAACAAAGTGGCAAGAAATTGAGTTCGTTCTATTGAGAATCTCGAAAAACGGATGACTTCTTTCTCAACCTAAAAATGTCAAACTATGAAGAAGAGCACAACTTGAACAATAGAAGCGTTGATGGCTCTTTGTCGTCGAGTCGTGAGAGAAATGCATCGGAAGACCGTCCGGATCATGAACGACACCCAACATTACAACAAGCCTTAGATAATTTTCTCAATACACCTTCGTACTCCACCACTAACATAGTGAACTTCAATCGTGAGAGCCTACAAGCTAGTGGATTGGCTATAGAGCCCCAAATGCTAGAAATGTTACAGTCATTAGTTACATCATCAAATGGCGTAATATCATTTCAAGATTCTGCGGAATCAAAAGGTGTCGATGACTCCTTTCTTGATACGTTAGAAAGAGTCAACGTTAAGAAATTGAAAGATGATGATACATGTCCGATTTGTACAAATGATTACAAAAGTGATAAACATCCATTGGTTGTTGAGTTACCGTGTAATTCTCAACACAGATTTGATTTAGAGTGTATCGGTCCTTGGCTAAAGCTAAACAGAACCTGCCCGTTGTGCAGGACGGACGTCACCGTTAAGAAAAACAAGGTGGAACTTGTTGATAGTGAAGAAGAGGACGAGGGTTGGGATATGTATGGATAGAATGTTAAATGATCTATTATATAAATTGTTTTGTTTATATTAATTTATATGTACATGGTAATTCGATAGAAAAGTAAGTCGTTAATCTTCTCTATAAACGTTTGGACTGAGCTATTTTTCAATAGTTTTTGATTTCGAGTCGATCTGGTCCATTTCGCTCTCGGACATGTGTCTAGTGAATACAGGATCTTTCAAAAGCTCCAATACCTTCTGTGAAACAGGATTGGCAGCATCGTTGGATAAAGTTTCAACTGAAGATTTGAGGTCAGAGAGTGATTGTTCACCACCTTCCAATCTTGCCATCTTGTCTGCTAATTTGAGAGGTTCTTGAGTGTACATGTTAACTTTGACACCTACACCCCAAACTGAGTTCTTTTTCAAATAAGCCAACCACAGATCAACGACTTCGTTATCCGAATCCCAGATCTTAATCATTCTTCCATGTGTTTTTCTTTCAAAATTTTCCTTGGATTTAGCATGTACAAAAGGTGCTCTAATAACAGTCCATCTTTCTCTTTTGGTTGAAATTGGTTTTGGGCCAGTTGCAGGGAGTCCTAAGTAATATGCCGCTCTCAAAGCGAAATCACAGAAAAACTCAACATTAACAGGATCAAAACACTTGAACACAACCTCGGCCTTGAGATCTCCATATTTGATTTCATGTTTGAGTGGTGCATAGTAATTCAGCTCTGCGTTGATTGGGATTGGACTTTTGGCATCAGGTGCAATAACCTCTTCTGTTACCGTCTTTGGATTATATTGGGAAAAAGTGTCTATAAGTCTGGCCGTAGCAAGCGTTTCTTCGTCTGCCTTTGGTAAATCTTGAGATGCAAGTTTCAAGTCAGCCAATTCTTCAAGGGCCTTGTCTAAGTCAGAACTCTTTTTTTCGCTGGACTTTTCATTCGTTATTTGGCTTACGGAGAATAATCTCTGGCTTTGTATCATAGGGCGAGCAGCCGCCACACGAGTTATGGCTGTTCTGAAAGCTGGTATATACATTTTAGCTGTGTAGTCTATTTGTCAACGTATGGGTGGATGGCAACAACAGTCGTAGCTTGTTGTTTTCCCTGCGTTTCCTATTCTACTTCAAACTCTTCATTATCAACTCATCCGGTTTGAACTTCAACCTCAGCTTCACCACTTCACACTCTACAGAGAAAAAGTCGAGAAAAAAGAGTGTGTGGTGGTGCACGGGTGTTCAAAGTTTTACCATTTCCGTATCTGTTCATGATTATTTCAAATTTTTCACTTTAACTCTAATTAGGGAAAGTAAAAGATAATAATGAAAGTTGTTAAATAAAAGGAGGGGGTAAGCAAGACCAGTATGGGTAGAAGTAGTAAGGATAAGCGTGATTTATATTACAGAAAGGCGAAGGAAGAGGGATGGCGTGCGCGTTCCGCTTTCAAATTGCTACAACTAAATGAACAATTTGATCTTTTCAAAGACGTGAAGAGAGTGGTAGATTTATGTGCTGCTCCTGGATCCTGGTCCCAGGTTCTGAGTAGAGAGATTTTCAAGGATAGCACAAACGAGGATGCAAAGATTGTTGCGGTTGATTTACAGCCAATGTCCCCGATAGACCACGTTATAGAACTACAGGCAGATATCACACATCCGAAGACCTTGGAAAAAATAATGGACATTTTCGATGGAGAAAAAGCAGATTTTGTTTGTTCCGATGGTGCTCCTGATGTTACGGGGTTGCATGATTTAGATGAATACATTCAAGCACAGCTCATTTTGAGTGCTCTTCAGCTTGCGACCTGTATCTTGAAAAATGGTGGTACCTTTGTTGCCAAGATTTTCAGAGGTAGAGATATTGATTTATTATACAGCCAGCTCGGTTATTTATTCGAAAAAGTCATATGTGCTAAGCCAAGAGCCTCCAGAGCCAGCTCGTTGGAGGCATTCATTGTCTGTATAGGTTACAAACCTAGAGAAGGTTGGGTTCCGACACTAAATCCAGAACTGTCTACTGAAGAATTTTTCCAGGATATGAAGATAGGAAGGGCCAGTCTTAACAAAGATCTTGAGTTCATTGAGGAAGAAAGAAAGGTTGCACCATTCATTGCATGCGGAGACTTAAACTCGGTTGATTCTGATGCTACTTATGCATTGGATGAGAACTTGAAAACTTTGAGCTTAGATCCTGTTCAGTCCCCTACAGCTCCTCCATACAAAAAGGCATTGGAATTGAAGAGAAAGGGACAATTGAAGATCACCAAATAGAGGGGAGATGGACAATTTTCTTTGTAAGATAGTAATAATATTATTTATATTAATAATATGATATATATTAAAAAAGGGTTATAGAACATACGAGACATGAAGAACAAAGAGGTGAGTTAAGCACATTTGAATGTTGATCTAACTTACTTCTTTTCTTCAGCACCCTTGACAAGGGCATCTGGCTTCAAGGTTGGGAATAGAAGAACTTCTCTGATAGTGTTGGAGTTGGTCAAGAACATGGCCAATCTGTCAATACCACAACCCCAACCGGCAGTTGGTGGTAAACCGTATTCCAAAGCATTACAAAAGGTCTCATCGATCAGTTGAGCTTCATCATCACCTTGTGCCTTTTGGTTAGCTTGCTCTTCGAATCTGGCTCTTTGGTCAAATGGATCGTTCAATTCTGTGTAAGCGTTGGCGATTTCCTTGGTGGCGACAAAAACTTCGAATCTTTCGCATAAACCTGGGATCTTTCTATCATACTTGGCCAATGGGGACATGATTTGAGGATGACCGAAAATGAAGGTTGGGTTGATCGAAGCGTCTTCGATTTCACCAACAAGCTTGTCCAACATTCTTGCGTTGGTTAAAGGTGGAGGACAGTCGAGCTTGTGTTTGACCAAGATGTTCTTCAAGAAAACATTGAATTCTTGAGTGTGGAAGGTATCTGCTGATGGGAACTTGACGTCGAAAATTCTTTCCAATTCTTCAATCATGTTGACTCTCTTCCATGGTCTCGAGAAGTCTAAGGTCAATGTTTCACCTTCAGGACCCTCTGGTTGGTATTTGACCTTGTAATCACCGGTGATGTCCTTGACCATCTCTGAGAACAGTAATTCGGTCATGTCCATCAAATCGTAGACATCAGCGTAAGCCTGGTAGAATTCACAGGTGGTGAATTCTGGGTTGTGTGTCATATCAATACCTTCGTTTCTAAATTGTCTTCCGATCTCGTAGACTCTTTCCAAACCACCGACAACCAATTCTTTCAAGTAAAGCTCTGGCGCAATTCTCATGAACATTTCCATGTCCAAATCGTTGTGGTGAGTGAGGAAAGGCTTTGCCGTGGCACCACCAGCAATGACGTTCAAAATTGGGGTCTCAACTTCAATGAAGTCTCTCGTGTCCAAGAATCTTCTGATGTATTGGATGATCTTGGATCTAGCAAGGAAGATCTCTCTGGATCTCTTGTTCATGATCAAGTCCAAGTATCTCTTTCTGTATCTTGCTTCTTGGTCCTTGAAACCGTAATGCTCGGTTGGCAACATGTGGAGACATGGAGTCAAGAGCTTGACCTTGGTAGCGAAAACCGATAGCTCACCTTCACCACCCTTGGAAGGATTGGTTCTACCTGGGTAACCTTCAACACCGATGATGTCACCTCTTCTCAAAAGCTTGTGCATCTCGGCGTAATCTCCCTCGGCATCTTGCGCTTGGGCCATGACTTGAAGGTTGACACCGTTGTTCTGCAAGTTGTAAAACTTCAACTTTTGGCCGGCTTCTCTCTTGACCATGATTCTACCTGCAATGGTGACCTTGACATCTGGAAGAGTCTCGCCCTTCTTTAAGTGGCTGTACTCCTTGATGAAAGGCTCGAACTCGCTGGAGACATGGAACTTGTGTGGGTAAGGGTTGTTTTCCGTGTGTGGTTGTCTCAAACCATTGATTTGAGCAGATCTGATCTCGTAGTACTGTGCTGGATTCACGTTTGCCAACTCATCGATTTGCTTGGAGATCTTTGGTGCTGTTGCTGCTGCGTTCTTGGCCTTCTCTGCCTTCTTCAATTCAAGAGCTCTCAACTTTTGTCTCTTCTTCAGCTCGGATTTCGAGACGTATTCACCGCTTGGTTCGTCCAAGTAGGTCTTTTGCAAGCCTTCGGCGACTTGCTCCACTTGCTTTTCAGTAGAGTCAGACATGTTTCTTATTGGTTCTGCTGATCTTCAAACAACGGGCCCGCAATCTGACGCCTGTGTCCTGTTATCTACCCCGATTGGTCGGTCTTCTCCAGCTCCAACCTTCTTCAGTCCTACCGTCGACTCAATCAGTCAGCGACACCACCGAAAAAATTTTCGACGGATTGCGGCGATCGGCCCAAAAACGCCAAGTTCGGCCTGTTGGCAAAAATTTTTCATTCTCTTCACGAGGGGGAGGGCAGGCCTGTTTGAAGAAAGGCAAGTTGGGATTAGAAGAAGACGCCAGGAAATCCGACGTGGAAACAGGTGGTGTGCTCAAAGAATCGATCCAGAAACAGAAAATGTCTGCCAGTCAAGAAGCTACCAAAGAGGTAGAGGCTTCCCCCTCTTATACCGTGAAGATCAACGCTAGCATTGCGCTCAAGTTGGCCAGCATCGGCGAATCCTCCAATTCCATCACCACCGGTCCTATATTCGGTTTCGACGGTGTCGAAGACAACATCATCAGTGTCACACATACTATTGCATTTCCAACGTTCAACAGCAGCAACAGCAACAACAACAACAGTGCTGACGACTTCTTCAACTTGAGATCGTCCAACTCCAGATTCCAGCAAGACTACTTGAACAAGCTTGAAACCGCGGGGTATACGGCACATCTTTTGGGATGGTTCATCTGCTCCACTGGTGGCAAATACATATCACAATCTGTCGTTGAGTCATTGCTTCAACTTCAGGACACATTGAGAAACAACAAGAGAGAGATCCCATCGCTCTTGATGGTGTACGACCCATCCAAATCCAGAGACGGCTTCTTGAGCTTGAAGTGTTTCAAGTTAAGCGACGCATTTTTGAGAACCGTAAAGAGTGAAAACAAGTTTGTCGCCAAAAACTTGATCGAAAATAAGCTCTCATACAAAAACTTACTTGAAGAAATGCCTGTTATAATCAAAAGTAACCACCTAACAAACTTGAAGATTCAGGAATTCGACTTAGACTACTCGAGAGACAGCGACACTCTCTTGATCGCTCCTTCCAGCTACGAAAACATAAAGGCTTCCACTGACCAGCTGTACGACGCCATCAACCATTTCAACCACAACTTGGGTAACTTAAATTACTTCCAAAGAAACTTGGCCAGAGATATCTCCAAAATCAACAAATGGGAATCGAAAATTCAACAAGAAAACGAGGAGAAGCTTAAGGCTGATCCACGTGCCAAGGTGGAGAACCCAGACTGGAGAAAGGAGTTCAAGTTGCCTCCACCTTCTTCTAAGTATGAGTACTTGATCGCCAGCAGCGCTGTCAACAACATATGTAACAGTCTCGAAGTGACTGAAAATATCGAGTACGTTAAGGCTACAGGTGTTGAGAGCAGTCTTCCTCTATAGGTTAGTTTAATTGTATAAGTAAATTCAATAAAATGGCATGTTTAAGCTGGATCGATTTACCCCACGAATTATTTTTTTACAATTCGTGTTGCATTTATAATATTTTGAGAGACCCTTAAGTGCAAGCATTCTTCCAAAAGTGCGCAATTGACCATAATATGTGAACCACAACTTCGAACAAATGTCACGCAAACATCAAATGCAGTCTTAGAATTAATGTTTGATTCCTGATACCTTTTGCAGATTAAAAGGATGCTCTTCTAAGTACAACACCGGTCCGTGTCGTGTTCCTCAATGCCGCGTTAAGAGCGGACTTCACATTTCATGTCTTCGGAGGCTAGGTAGAGTTTGCTAGGTGTATTTAGGAATGTATTATGGTGTTGTGTGTAAAGATTGTTTATAAAATGAGTAACTAATTAGAAAGAATAGTATGCATGATCTGCGATTTTTAGGAAAGATTATGGAACGTGACCTCATTCATGGTATCTACTGGTAGCTTTGTTATAGTCTGAATGGTCCGAGTTATTGTTTGAGTGGTATGAATCTTCACTAGTCCCTTGGCTATCATCATTGAGCTCTTCACTTACTTCAGCATTGTTGTCAGGTTTGCCTGTTTCTTCATCACATGGCGATGACTTGTCCTGATGTTGCTGCTTGTAATCAGGTCCTGCGTGAATCCATTTTTTCATAAAAGGAGTCAACAAACCAGCTGTGATGACTTGAATAGCCTGGTACAAGACCAATGGAACCAATAGCTCTCCCAAATGGGGATTATGATCCCCATATTGTGAAGAAACCAACGTGACGCCCAAAGCTGCTGTCTTAGCTCCCCCACACAAAAGAACTGAAACGGTATCTGCTCTGTTGTAGTAAAATGGTCTCACCAACCTGTAAAAAAACTTGTACACCTTTGACGTTGATTCTTCAGGGTCCTTTTTGAAAAAATACATCAAGAACAATGGTCTCGAGAAAATGAAGCAAATGGCCGTGAAAAACAGGTAAATTCCGAAGTTAAAAAAGCAAATGAATATAATAGACTGATGGGAAACAGAAGTGAACGCGTGTTGGTAGAATGCAGTCGAGAAAGAAGAAAACATGATAAGTAGCAACATGAAAGAGCCCACTTTGTTGAACTTGAACGTCACCAAAAACCATTTTGTTTGCTGGGGAAACACGTTTTGGATGACTTGGCCACAAAACAAGGGCAAGAAAACACAGAACCCGATCTGTTTCATGACATTCCGGTAAACGTCGTTGATGGTGCTACCGTTTGCAGGATTTGCAAATTCCCATTCTCCCTGGCAGTACATTTGCACTAAAGCAGGGGTGATGAAGGCGCCAGCCAAATTGCCGAGAAACACCTCACAGAGCGTTAATAGAACATTGCCATCCACCTTCCTAGTCATCACCACATTTGAGCTTACGGTGGTGGGACAACAGCCTGTGACAATCAATCCCACTAACATCCACTCGGATATTATAGGGTTGTTTGCCCTTTTGATGGCACATGCAAACCCAAAGATTATCGACGAGGTGACGAGAAATTGCAAAAGAAACACAGTCAAGTGTGCCCTCCAATGCAACACATTTTCCACCAACTGCTTGGTTTGCATGGAAAGACCCGATCCAAGAAATATAACAATGACGGCACCGTAGCCGATCGAGTATTGACCTCGGATTAGCCCTCCGTGTCTTGCAAAGTTGGGGGCAAACCTAGCAATGACTATGAAGATCGCCAACACAATGTAGAACCAGTACCCAAGCCAGATGGTTCTCCACAAAAAACTGTAAACCCTGTACTTCCGAGGAGATGTCTTCTCTAACGCATCTATTCGGTCATCTATACTCAACGAAGGTATGTGGAATCTCATTCTGTGGCTACCGCAAGAGAGTTGATATCTGATTTCAAAATAGATAATCGATCCGAAGCTACAAATCTACAAGGAATTATCAACACCCGAACTCAAGAAGTCCGTGGAAAATATCACTTCCGAAGCTATTCTTCCTTCTCCCCGTATTTGAGGTACCCACACAAAAAATCCCTTCCTGCACAATGATTCCGTTTTGAGCCAGCAGCCCCGGCTGGGGATGTAGATCATCTCCATCAAAAGGGAACGCCGGAAGTGCGGCACAGTCGGATTACGTGCGCGGATAAGGGACGGTACAGCGGTGTACCAAGAAGTTTTGCAGCTTTGAAAGCAACGGGCTAGGGGATGGTAAGAAGGAGAAGTAAAGTATTGAAGTTATACATACGAAAAAATTAGCGTCGAAACAAAATCGAGGAAAACAAAAGGATGAAAGTGGAAAGAAAAAAGTATAGTGTCTACCTACTGATGGACTTGAGCCGGCAAGTCTCGAGGCTTCTCTTTCTGCAGTTTCCCTCTCAATGGTCTTGTCCAAGTTCCAGTACACGACTAAAAATACAATCGCGCAGAAACCACCTGCAGCAGCAATACCCGTGAACGGCCAGATCAAGTTTGGATCGACCAATGCTCCGGAGACACCTTCTGAGATGGCCGAAGAGATAGCACTGTTGAACAAGAACAAGGCTGTAATTAGACCCTTAGCATTATCTGGGGCTCTAGTATATGCCAATTCGTAGGCAGTAGTCATGCAGAAACATTCACCCAATGCACACAAACCGTAGTTAATAATTTCGTACCATGCGGTTAGTGGCGAAGGGTTGTCACAATTAGTTGCGTAGTAGCCACATGGTGAGGTTTGGTAGATTCTCCATTGTAAGATTGCCGAAACCATGGAGGCGCATGCAGCGAGCATGAAACCAAGGAAGATCTTGTGAACTTGTTTGAAGTTGATGTTCATCTTTTTGAGTAATGGGTAGATAGCATAATCGAGAATTGGGATGGCAGCGACAATGGTAATTTGATTGAAGTTGTTGAAGAAATCGTTTGGAATACCCTTGGAAGTCATGGCACCGGCCTGTGCAGTCAAAGTAGAGCCTAATCCAGAGTCACTTAAGTTGAAGATGACCCAGAAACTGAACATAGTACATTGAGTCAATGTTGACTTGTAATCCCTGACTTCTTGTTCGGTCCAGTCGATTGGGATCTGTTTTTTTGTGTTCATGAAAAACTCCCCTCTTTCATTCATGTTGGTTGGGTAAGCGTAAGACCAGAATTCCTTGTTCTTTAATCTCTTGATCCAGTTACCCTTCAAGCAAACCTTTAGAACCTGGAAGAGTTTCTTTAAGATGGAACCTTGTGGAACCTCTGGCTTAAGGTGTGGACGGACAAACAACATGGCAATCACGACAATACAGTACATAATACCTGGACACAAAAAGGCTAACCAGTAACCAACATCCTTTGCCGAATAGGAGGTAGCGATTTGCAAGAAAGCACCAATGTTAATGCACCAATAGAAGATCATGGTCAAAGTTTGCATGGAGGCATCCCTGTCAATGTAGACGATTTCACCGGTTGGCAGCTTTTTCAAGACGTTTGTTCTGTAAGGATACTGATCGAGCATTAAGGGCAATAAGTTAGCCTTTATGAAACCGGTACACACAGCCAAGGAGAGAATACCAAGGACGGTTGGAGCCATAGCAGCTTGACCTTTGGCAATGACAGGAGGAAGGGCGGCGATAATGAACAAAATATGGGAGATGATACCAATCCAGACACCAATCATGATGGTTTTGAACTTACCCCATCTGTCATCTGCAAGATAACCACCGACTAGCGGCATGACGTAGGCTAAGAACTGCAACAACATGACCAAAGCGTTTGCATCCTGCAAACCCAATCCCAAAGCACCGGCGTTACCGTTCTTGCCTGGCATGACTCTACCTGTTCTGGAGCCCTCAGGCAAAGATCTCATGATGAAGTTGGTCAAAATACCCTGGACACCGTAATATGAACCTCTTTCTGCGAATTCACAGATCAAAATCATCATGGCTGCAAGAGTTGGTCTCGTCGTCACGTTTCTGTATGCCTTTTTATCCTGAGCAGTAGCCATGGCCAAACCGGCTGGGTTGTATTCATCAGCGTATTCTGGGAAATATTCACGGTCTTCAAAGTCTACCGAGCTGGAGTCCACAAATCCTAAGTCATTGACTGCTGGGAGATGCTTCTCGGACTCGGCAAATTCAGACTGAGACTTTGTATCGGAGTCATTATTTTTGGTAAAGAACCCCATGATGTTTTTTGTGTTTTTGTTGGTGGTAGTGGTGATATTATCTACTGGATTGGCTTTGACTGAAGAGAGAAAGAAAGAATATGAATTTACAGTATTTGTGAATACAAAATACAGTTCAACGGAAAAAAAAAGGAAGAGGGCCAGGTGAAGTAGCTATATATATATGCAGCTGAGAGAGTTCCATTTCGGAAGGAAGGGGAGATGAGGAGATCGTCCAAGGTGTGGACTGTGGAGCAAGAGATCTGGAGCACAGATTGGTGGCAATGATTCTGATATCAGAGACAGCACGATATGCAATGGGAGCTAAACTTTACAGAGTCCACAGTAGGCAGGCTCCCCGAAGGACACGGACGCACAGGCAATGGTCTCGGAATAGATGGCTATAGCCGAAGCTGATTAGCACTTCCGTCTCTCGATGGGGCCCTTCGATCTTGAGGATGCAAGAGCGGGGAAATGCTTCCACTACAGTGGGGAGAGATTGAGTAGACGAGCAGATAAGCTGGTCCGACGCTACGTACTATGGCAACGGTATCTGATATCGTTCGGATCCACCGACGATTGTGGCTGGCTGTACCTTCTCCTTACATCCGTATCCGTATCAATCCACGGTTGCGTGCCAATTACCTGATGCAACAGCCTGACAGGCAGGTCGGCCTGGCCGGGAAAAACCACACATGAAAAGCGTTTCAGCCCCACTACTAGGGCATGGCCAGCTGGCGCTAGACAAGCGTGAGGCTGGACGTGGACTGGCGTTAGGCTGGCCGTACGGGTACGAGTGAGAGGGAGAGGGATCGATCGGAACAATTCGCTGCATTGGGAGTGGCTATAACGTGTCCCGGGTACCCTAGAGAGCTTATCAAGGCGGCCAGCGCTTGAGGCAAATGGCTGTAGCCGGCAGTTGGCAAAAGCCAACAACACACGACAGCTTTAGAGACTGAGGCTATTGTTGTCCAGGGCATTGCCGTGGATGCAAAGGCTCTATTTTTCCTCTTTTTTTTTTTTTTCTTAAATCAAGATTTCGCAGACTTTGACCAGTTTGGCAATCTCTTGTATTGCTACATTGCGCAAACCATCTACGAGCCCCAGGCAGAGCAAAGGCACGTGAGAGGCCGAGTTAGGAGAGGCCGGCCTCCGTTGCAGAGTAAAGATTGTCATCTGCAGGTTTGACGGGGACCAAGATGATTTTAGCAGTAACTAAATCGCGGCGGGGGAGATTGAAGGAGGCCGACGCAGAGGGGAGCAGAGGGGAGCAAGCGTCTGGAGAGGCGCTGCACCCTAAATGAAAAGGCATCCTCATCTCAAATCCACAGTCGATGGTGTAGTAGGTTGGACGGCACTACTGGGTCTACGGAGGGAGACGGATACAGCTCGAACGGTTAGTGTGGATGGAATCCGCAGGCTCGAAGAGTTGGCTTCATAAGATTTTTTGTAGTGCAAGCGTATACTGGTTGGACAACACAAAGGGCAAAGAAAACGGAGGAGGGCGCTTTATACAGTGGGCTCGGTGGTGCCGTGTAGTTCGGAGCCGGCGCCACAGTAGTGGCAGTGCTCAGAATCTGATGTTGAAGTGAGAAAAAATGTAGTGGACGGGGGTGAAGGGCACCACCAACTCGGCAACGTTGAAGCCTGACTTGGTCAACTCGTCGATGTAAAACTGCAAGAGGTACACCTCGGAGAGACAAATCCAGGTCAGTCCGATGGCCGCTGTTACGGCTGGAGGGAGTCGGATGCGCAGACACTTGTTCCACAATGTCTGGACGAGTGTTTCCAGGATGATGAGAACAAACTGAGCAGGAAAGAAGATGAACGAGTAGAAGCACCTCGACAGGACGCCACTCAGGGTGCCGGAGTGAATGCCCGAGAAGGGGCTGTTGGTGTTGTAGCCTGCGCCGAGGGACCAGGGCATGTTGAGCGTGCCCGCTGCGTGGAAGATCCCGGAGAAGGTGAAGACGAGGAAGAACATGAGATACTTGCGCCAGGTTTCTGTGCCGTAGCGGGGGCGGTCGTTCCGGTGGGTGGCCTTGTAATCGCAGCCGGCCAGAAACTTGGACTGCGGAATGGCCAACTGGTACATCAATTTGTGCCAGACGTTCCCCCACAGCGAGCGGACGGTGTACTGGCCCTGGAAGGAGCCAAACAAGGGCGGGAACTCGTCGATGGACGCTGTGCGGAGCACAAAGACGTGCACAATCATGGTGAGCGTGTAAAGCGTGTCGATACCGAAGTGGATGCAGTAGGCGGAGCCGATCGCCAAGATTAGCTGCTTCCAGACGGGGAGCGTTGAGTCGCTGGCAAAGAGCACGAGGTCCCGGGTGTGGCCCGGGCCCCACCCCTGGGTGCGAATGTAGGCTGTCGACAAGTAGATGTGAAAGAAGACGTCGTAGAGGGTGTAGCCGACGAGCAGCTTGTTGACGAGAAAGTGTTTCAACCATGTGGAGACGTGCAGCCGGCGCCTGTGGTGCTCGACGCTAGACATCTGCCAGTTCCAGCCATTCCCCGTCAAGGACACCAGGACGGAGCGCTGCACACACCAGCTGAACTTCTGCCACGTGCAGGGCCGCAGCGCCCGTACGTGCTCCCGGGTCTCGTACCTGGGTCTGTAGTCCGTGAGCTCCGGATACTCCACCAGGAAGAAGAGGTTGAACGTGTAGAAGAAGAGGTTGAGGAGCACGCCCTGCAGAATGAGTGCTACGGAGGCATCCCCGCCCGAAGTGTCGATGGGAGAGAAGAACTGGGCCTTCACCAAGACCGCGTAGAGGAGCGCCGTGGAGACGTACGCACGATAAGGACGGGGAGGGATAACGGTCAGACACACGGGCACCAGCACCGCCCACAACAGGTACCAATGCACGGGCAACAAGTATATCGATCTCAAATCCATGGCTGTTTGTCCCTCTGGCCGGCCTCCCACTGAGGGGGCGCCGGCCTGTTTCCCTGGAACTAAGCCCTGTCCGACCTGTAGAAGCCGGACACAACGGTCCAGTAACGAGGATCCCGACCCCAGGAGGTTCAACTTCTCCCACCCTCACCGGTGCACGGGTGCAGCCCGCAAACTCTTTCCCGCGCCGCGAGATTTTTCCCCGGCAAAGAAACTTCAGCCCTGCAGGGCGCCCTGCAGGGCGCTGCGCGGAACGCGGCCGGCGATGGCAAAGACGGCAAAGACGGGGCACGCCGGCGAGGGCAACGGGCCCTACGACCGCGAGGCACCATTTGCCGGCGCACGTTTCTTTTTCCGATGGCGGCGGAAAGGGTGGGGCAAGCATGGCGGAGATAGCATGGCGGAGCGGAGGCAGGATTGGCAGATAAGCAGCCACAGATAGCGAAGGGAGCCAAGGCATTGGCATTGACGGGGACGTATTCGAAAGTGGTGTTGCCTTTCGCTTGGCGATGGGAAGAGCAAACGGGCTTATCTTGTTTCCTTCCCGTTGGGTCGAGTGTGTGGAAGCGAGGAGGGATACGCAGCCTGGGCGGGGGAGCAGAGATAGAGAGACCAGAGAGGCGACAGACAGATGCCAGCGTGTGCGTATAAAGACTGGGCTCCCCGCCACTTGGGGCCTGCAGCCCTCCGGTGTGTGCCACGCTTTGCGGTAGTGTGCCTCTACTCCTGGCCCGCCCTGTCCGGCGCTGCAGCGGTCTCCTCCGTGTGGTCCACCACCACAGCCAACCACAATAGCCCAGTCTCCACACAATGCACGGTGAGTCGCCGGGCTTGCTCCGGCATTGCCTCTGCAGGGCAAGTGTCGCCGGCCCGCGGGGCCACTACGGCAGAAAGCGAGGCGCCGGAAGCAACACGGCAGGCATAGCATGTCAAACGGAGGGTGACAGTATAACGGCCGGGCTGTGCAGGCGGGGCTATTGTTCTCTGCCCGCTGGTGCACACGGAAGCAAATTTTTTAGTCATCCGAGACATGCCTACTGGGTCCGAGGACCGGTCTTGCACAGTGCAAACGGCCCTTTGTGGCGTCTTTTCTTTTTTGCTTATTGACTGACGGCATGAATAGTTCCATGCATATTGCCAGCAGACGTGTACTATGGCGTCTCGGAAGATTTGACGTCCCCCGATCACCCGCTTTTCCTGTCTGCCGCTTCTATTACTTATTGAAAGCTTTTCCTCGTCGGTTGTGCCCCCTCTTGTTCTTTTCTTTTCTCTGCCCGTAACTCCTTCTCCCTCGTAGCCTTCTGTTTCTTTTCTCTCTTCTCTCTTCTCTCTTCTCTCTTCTCTTTTCTCTTTGCTTTCCTTGCTCTTTGGAAAAGAAGAAAAGAGGCCTTTCCATCCCAGCCGCTAGACAATGTTCGACAAGCTAAAGGAAAAGAGCTTTTTCTCCTCAGGGAGCGTGAGGAGCTTAAACAGCAGCGACAACACCCATAATATCGACGACTATGTCGACTCCGACAGAGTCATGGAATCTTCTCCGGAATACGTCAACAACGAGAAGAAGTCTCTCTCAGACAACTCTTTCACAAAGGAAGGTATTGCCAGCGGAGAGTTTGAAATTTTCTCCGACCACGAGTATATGGCAGAGTATGCCGACGAGTACAACCCATCTGGCTTGGCGGTTGCAACCGAGGAAGACAAGCACAAGTTCAGAAATGTGACGACCAGACCGGACTTTGCAGCCATGATGATTTTGATCTGTGAGTTTGCAGAAAGAGGTTCTTATTACGGTGTCCAGGGTATTTTGACCAACTTCATCATGAGACCTTTACCAGAGGGTTCCAGAACAGGTAGAGTCATGCCTGGTCACATCGGTAACGCCGGTGCTTTAGGATTGGGTTTGAAAGATGCAAACGCTTTGGTCATGTTGTTGCAGTTCTTAGCCTACGTCATGCCCCTAGTCGGTGGTTATGTTGCCGACGACAGAATGGGCAGATTCAAGACCATCCTAATTGGTGTCTGGGTTGGTATCATCTCTCACATCTTGTTCATCATCGCCGCCCTTCCTCCTGTCATCGCCAAAGGTCAAGCTGCTATGGCTCCAACCGTCCTTGGTATTCTCTCCTTGGCTGTGTGTACCGGTTTCATCAAACCTAACTTATTACCCTTGATGCTCGATCAGTATCCTTACAGAACAAACGTCTTGAAAAAGCTGCCAACCGGTGAAGTTGTCTATGTTGATAGAGACCATTCCATGGAAACTTTGACCATGATCTTCTATTGGTCCATCAACATTGGTGCTTTCTTGCAAATCGCTACCTCCTATTCGGCAAAGGATGTTGGTTACTGGTTAGCCTTTTTGTGTCCAGGTATTATGTACTGTATTGTCGTGATTGCCATGTTGTTTGTCCGTCCACACCTTAAGCCAGAGGTTCCACAAGGTTCCATCTTAAAGAAACTCTTCCAGGTTCTAAAGGTTTGCTTGAAGGGTAACTGGATCAAGAGATTAAAGAACAAGGAATTCTGGTCTTACGCTTACCCAACCAACATGAATGAAAGAGGGGAGTTTTTCATGAACACAAAAAAACAGATCCCAATCGACTGGACCGAACAAGAAGTCAGGGATTACAAGTCGACATTGACCCAGTGTTCTATGTTTAGTTTCTGGGTCATTTTCAACTTAAGTGATACTGGTTTGGGTTCCACTTTAACTGCCCAAGCAGGTTCGATGTCTTCTCAGGGTATTCCAAACGATTTCTTCAACAACTTTAATCAGATTACCATTGTGGCTGCCATTCCAATCCTCGACTATGCTATTTACCCGTTACTCAAAAAGATGAAAATCAATTTTAAGCCAGTTCACAAAATCTTCGTCGGTTTTATGCTCGGTGCATGCGCCTCCATGGTCTCGGCTATCTTACAATGGAGAATCTACCAAACCTCACCATGTGGCTACTACGCAACTACTTGTGACACCCCTTCGCCATTGACCGCATGGTACGAGATCATTAACTACGGTTTGTGTGCATTGGGTGAATGTTTCTGTTACACTACTGCCTACGAATTGGCATATACTAGAGCCCCAGACAATGCCAAGGGTCTAGTCATGGCCTTATTCTTGTTCAACAGTGCCATCTCTTCGGCAATCTCAGAAGGTGTCTCCGGAGCATTGATCGATCCAAACTTGATCTGGCCGTTCACGGGTATTGCTGCTGCAGGTGGTTTCTGCGCTATTGTATTTTTAGTAGTTTATTGGAATTTGGATAAGGTTATGGAAAAGGAGGCAGAAGAAAGAGAGCTCGCAAGGCAGGAACAAATATTAATGCCAGTTACTTCCAACGCCCAAAGTTTAGATCCGGAAGCAGAATTTGAAATGCGTTCAGCCGTTCAATCAGTACACTGATTCTTCACCGGGAAACAAAACTATAGATCATCCCACAGTTGTGCTTTATATAAATATTTACGATTATGACTTTATTTCACACATGCATTTTTATACATTAAAATAAAAACAGGTTACATTTTTCACCGCTCTAAACATCCCCTACTCAAAAATCTGAAACTCAAAAATTTCAACGATAATATTAAACTTTATCAAAGCTAATGCTAGTTGTCCTAATTTAACTCGATTATAAAAAGAACTGCTTGTTTTTAATAAGCAGTTCAGAATTTACTAATTGAGCGTTTCTCTCCATTTCCAGAGACGATCGATCTGGTCCGTCCATATTTAAAAAATATATACTCTTCGCATAGGCCACGGTCACGTGCACAATCTTGCCTTTTTATGCTAAAAGGATGAGAAAAATCAGTTGATGATGAGCCGTTTTTTGTCCTGCGGCAAATAAAATAACAGATTGCTGTTTACCAGAACAAAGTTCAGCAAAACGATCTTGAATTATACATTTACCCAGCTGTGTCACTATGTCAGAGCCAATTACCGCTGCAGAGTTATGTTTGAACTTGAAAAAAGACCTTCATGAAATCTCTCTGCTAAGCTACGATGCTCGCAAAAAGCATTTAGAGTCAACATCAAAGTCCTTACTTAGATCATCCTTCCAGCTGCTCAGTCATGAAAAGAATAATCTTCCGGACTCGCAAGTTTCACAGCTATCTGAATATTTGATTGCATATCTGGGTTTTGATCACTTCATATCAGTGGAGGCTTTAATGAGTCTCTACAGGTTGAAAAGTTTGAATGATGATTTTGACACCTTATTGGAAGAAAAAATCGATGATTTGATAGAGACGCAAAATTCCAAGTCAGACGTATACAAGGTTTTTAAGATTATTTCGCAATTATTTGCATTTGACCCGGTCTTAAGTTCTGCCATCTTTACAAAAAAGGCGCCCTTCATCAACCTATTGACAAATGAGGTGACACTCTTGACAAACAATTTAGGTACTCTTAATCCAGAATCGATCAAAAACCTTAACATCATATTGCTCCTGCTCTCTAATGCATGTATGGAAGAGACATCAAGGTCAATGATAGCTACCATGCATATCAATATCCTCTTAAAATGTCTCTCCATTACAGATGATGCCGTTTCCCAGAGCAGATGCTATGCGGCAACGACTACAGTAAAATTATGGAGGTTGATCAACCCAGAAGTTCTTGAAAATAATGCTGTTTTACTTTCCTTGAACAACTTATCGGACATCATTATTGACTGTTTGCATCAGGGTTTAGAGTCTTCAGTGGAAGGACTATCATTATTATGCACTAATATTCAAATTAAGAAAAAGGTAAGAAATGAGAAAGTAATGGAGACATTGTTTAGGCTAATGAAAAGCAAAGATCATACGGTTTATGGAATCATATCTATTTTGGCTCTCGTAACCCTTCCTATTAGGGTTTTGAAAGTTCAACAGAGTTCAGTAATGAGTCTTAAGGATTCCAATAGCATTAGTAATATTGATGCCATGACCAACAAAAAAGTGAATGCCACCAAATTGGAAGATGACATCGTATCAATTCAATATGCTAATCAAAATATAATTAAGAGAAATTTCTTTTCAATTCAAGTTGTTCCGATCTTCAAATCATTAGAATCTTCGAAAGGGTTGGTCGGTCAATGTTTGAAATTGATGCACAATGTTGCTTTCCCAGATATTGATCAAACAGGAAAAGAAAACAATTTTCTAAAAGATAAGGCCAATTATGCAACCTATATTTCAGAAATCAGGGAGATTATTAAGCTCTTGACAGCATTTTTGATTGGTACCTCCCAAAATATAAAGTACAAGCATGATAAGTTTATAACATATGACACTGAAAAAACTGAAATGCCTGAGCATGACTTGGAGCTTCGTTCGATAGCAATCAAGTCATTGTGCAGTCCTGAAATAAGCGCACGTGTGAATGAAGTTTATGGCACTGACAACGAAGAATTTGCGTTGTCTCCTGTTCCTTTCATCCTTGAAATACTGGTTCAACACGATATCGATACAGGCTGTTCGTTAGAGACAAAACAAACTCCTTTTAGCTCAATAAAAAAGCAAATATTTTCGACATTTGATGTATATTACGCTTTTGTGGCTTTGGCTGCAATTGCCTCACTCTCATTTGAAAAAGTGAAGCAGTCAATTTTTACATTGGGATTTGATTGCATTATAAACGCACTTAACTCCGGAGATGAAAAGCTTCAGTTTGCCTCTCTCCAATTGTTGAACGAAATTTCTGACATACCCTTATGCATTGCAAATTTGTTTAATTGGGCTACTGAAACAGATGAACATTACCAAAACTTTTCTATATTATGTCACTTGCTGCAATCCAATAATTACGATTCTCAATGTCTGGTATTGCAAATTTTCTACAGTGTTTCAAGGTTTGAAATCGTAACTGAGAAGTTATGTGAAAGCGAATTGTTTTGCTCCAACCTAAACAAGATTTTCCAAAATCAAGATTCAGACGATGCCTTGATATACTATGCATTGTTGCTATTTGGTCAATTAATACCATTGAGAGGAAAATGTGCAGGTTATGATTACTTGAAACTTTTTGACGAATCAAAGAACATTTTCCAGAAGCATACTCAGAGCCGGAATGAGCAGATAAGAGAAAGTGCTAGTCTGATTGTAAAACATATGTAGCTTTGTCTTTAGTAACATAAAAAGTCAAAAATTTAATGAATTACTTAAGAAAATTTTGCACGAAGGCTTCTGTCTGTGGATTTATAAACGTCTTGAGTTCCTTTTCATTAACAGAGGCTGTTTTGACAAATGATTTTAATGATACTTTGAATAATGCTTCATATTCACTTCCGCTTAAAGCCTGATACTCTTTGAGATAATACTCTTTTGATGCATTCAATTCTCCGACAAAGTTTGCAGGAGGACTGAGAAGATTTTCATAGGACAATTCATTTAGCTTCATCTTATGTTTCTCAACAACTTTCAAAGAAGAAATATATTCTTCATCGTAGTAAAGAGGACTTTTTGGGTCCTTCGTAGATAAGTGATTCTTATCAGTTAGAGCGATATCCAATACTTCTAAAAAGTTTCTTCTCGGTAAGCATTTATCTAGAGCAAGAAACTTTGTAGAGCCATTGGTAGCTGTGATTAAAGGATCCGAAAAATTCGTTGGCTTTTCCGATACACTGGAATTAATGTCCATGCTTAACATAATTTCATTACCATTAACAGTTGATGCAACATCCTCTTTCACCTCATCGCAATGATTATTTGCAATATCCATATCTAAGACAATCTCGTCATTAGAGATTGGTGCCTCTTTTTTCAACTCATCGCAATGATCATTCTCAAGATCCATGTCTAAGACAATTTCATCATTCGAGATTTCATCTATCCTATCAAAACAAGCCTTTTTTGTACTTTCTTGCAAAGCTTGAGCTGACCCAACTCTTTTCTTTGATTCTGTTTCATTACTTTTGAAACTTTCATCCCAATTGATTGTTGCAACGAATCGTACATGAAGGTGTGCACTGAACCAGTAATTCGGTTGTATTACTTTAAGTAGTTCCATATTGAATGGAGAGCCAAGGCAATGGTTTTTGATATCCTCCCTGAAAAAAGGTTTATTTTTCAATAGCTTTTTCACATCACCATTGTCATATATTCCTTCAGGCCAGTCATGGGAAATCATTATCATTTTATTTGATTTCCTCATAAGATATAACTTCAAATAGTCATCTTTTCGATAGTGATATATCGACCTTATAGTTGACCTGTCATATGGAAAATTATAAGACTGTGGTGCTAAATTCATAAAGTCTTTTTTCCAATAAACGCCAGACATACCTCCTATTCTTAGTCCCTTATACCATATCACAGAAGTTCTTCCCAAATAGTATATATTCGGAGCGACGAATCCTCCATATTTAAGTTCTTCTAAGTAATTAGAAGCTTCATGGTTACCTCCAATAAAAATAGTAAGTACAGGGGCCTTCTTTTTTCCTGTGTAATAATCCTGAAAGTTTCCCATCTTTTTATATTTGTCTGGCACACTCATGGACTGCAAATCCATCCGATTTCTTATACTTTGAAAATCACCACATATAATCAGTAGATCTACCTTTTTTTTGGAGATTGATCGATATATTTGATCTAGACACCCATGACAGCATCCTTCAACTGCAACTCTCATTTTGTTCATGAACTTAGTCATTCTCTCTTACTATGCAAATTGAGTTGATAACAAACATACAAGAGCTCTATCTTCTGCATACCTAGTAAGTTCAATTTCCTTTTTTGAAAAAACGAGATTTTTTTGGTTTATTTTTTTTCACCGTGAAATTTTTTTATTCACTTCAGCATGAAGAACCATCATCTGCTTCTTTGGAATTTAAAGGTGTTCTGCCGGGTAAACAACCATGTCTATCCAGAATAAGGGAAGCAAGAGAAGTGCAGAAGTGGCTACTGAAAAGCCCAGCAAAAAATCCAAACATGTCGAAGTTTCTGACGTAGAATCTGAATCTGCAAATACAGAAACTTCTGATTCGGAATCAGAAGATGACTTGGACAAAATGGACAGTTCTGACGATGATGACAATGATGACAGTCGCGATAGTGACAAAACCGTTGCTGGCGGTGACTCAGAAGAAAATCCCGACAAGAAAACTTCGAAAGAGCAACATGAAGAACAAAGAAAGCTATTAAAAGAGAGAAAGAACAAAAGGAAATCTGGTGTCGAAGTTGAAAGAATCAAGAAGTTATGGGAAAGGTTAAGAGTGCAGAACCCACCATTACCTAAGGAGGTCAGAGATAAGCTATCCAATGAAACTTGGGAGCTATGTGAAGGTGTTTTGGGGGATCTAGTATTAAAGCATGATGCCTCCAGAGTTGTTCAGACTTTGATCAAGTACTCTTCAAAGGAGAGAAGAGATGACATCTGTAAAGAGCTAAGACCATATTACTACAAGCTAGCTACTTCTGCTTATGGTAAATATCTTTTGATTAAGTTGCTCCACTATGGAAGCAAAGACTCAAGGGCAATTATCATCAAAGAGTTGCATGGTAAGTTAAGAAAGCTAATGAGACATAGAGAAGGTGCATATGTTGTTGAAGATATGTTCGTATTGTATTCCACTGCCAAGCAAAGAAACCTTATGATTAGAGAATTCTGGGGCTCTCAGTACGCATACTTCCCGGATGAGAATGATACCAGAAGTATTGTCGAGGTCTGTAACGAGTCTGCAGAAAAGAAGAAATTGATCTCAGGAAATTTATTTGGTACTATCAAAGCATCAATTGAGAAAGGTTCTATAGGATTCCAAATTTTGCATGCGGCTATGAAGGAATATGTGCAAATCTTTGAAGGACAGGAAGTTAGAGACTTCATCGACTTAGTCACTGAGCAATTTGCCTCATTAGTACATACTCCTGAAGGATGTGAAGTCGCATGCATTGTCTTGGCAAAAGCCACAGCAAAGGAAAGAAAGGGTTTATTAAAGAGCTTGAGAGAGCATGCTGAGGCGTTAGCTACCAACGAACACGGACAAACGGTCCTACAAGTTATTTTCATGACTGTTGATGATACTGTTTTGGTCCAGAAGACTTTCCTACCCTCATTTGAAGATAAGATGGATACTTTATTGGTAAATAAGTATTCAAGAAGACCATTTATCTATCTTTTGAATGGCCTAGACAAATCGTATTTTTCTCCACTTGTCTTGAAAGATATTAATAGATACTCAGAGCTGTCGAAAGAGACATCCAAGAAACCAGAAGCTGAAAGGAGGAGCCAAATTCTCAAACACTTTTTGCCATCATTTTACAATGCTTTCTCAAAACAAGCTTACGACATGTTAGGTGAAAATATGGGAGCCCAGTTTGCTCAGGAATTACTCTACAACAACGAATTCCCTGAAATCAGCACTGAGCTTAGAGAAAAATCTATCGACCTTATCATCGACTGTGTTAGAGGTGATCTTACCAATGAAGATCACTTAATAAACAGACCTTATACTCCCAGATTATTGAAGTCGTTAATCCAAGGTGGGAAATGGAACAAAGAAACTAAAAAAGTTGACGAAATACCAGATATAAGTTTAGGACTCGAGTTTGCCGCTAAGTTTGTGTCGGAGATATTTGATTCTGGTAAAGATGAAGCCACTTTAGTAAGCTGGATTACCAACAAGGAAAGTAGTTTTGTTTTGGTCGCTCTTTGTGACAAGTTTAAGGAATTCCCAAAGCACGATGTTGCTAAGGAATTTGTCAAGCACTTGAAAAAGCAAAAGAAGACGATCAAAAAACAAGAAGAAAGCAACAAGGGAGCCAAGTTGCTTGCCAAAGTTTTAGAGTTATAGTATTGTATTAGCCTACAGTTAGTGTTTTTGTTCTGTATAAAACTTCTTTACATCTAATTAGTAAATATTAACTACAAGCAGTAGTTCAAGAAGTAAAATCGTATTGAAAACCACACAAAATTCTTTTGTGGATGTCCCGCGTATTGCATCCGTGCACCACATTTGATGATTCGCTTGTTTCCTGTCTGTAGATTTAATTCCGTTGATGGATGGCAAAAGGGCAAACGCTTTGAGCACAAGAGATCTATCAACCTTAGAAAAGTACCCGAAATCGTATCTACACTAAATTAATTAAACCCTGTTCTTGGACGGTCAAGTATATAGAACTGAAAAATGGCACCGAACGAAAACTGGGACAAGTACAAGAAACCTATAGAGGAAGAAAAGGATGAGAAAGAGACAGAGATCAAGCCTTTGAGTGAAGATGATATTCAGGTTTTAAAGACATATAGTGCTGCACCTTATAGCGTGTCAATTAAGAGCATAGAGAAGGATTTGAAAGAGTTAGAAAACAAAATCAAGGAAAGGATGGGAATTGAAGAGAGTGACACTGGTTTGTCGAGCCCTAATCTTTGGGATGTTGCAGCGGATCGTAAAAGAATGAACGATGAACAACCATTGCAAGTCGCTAGATGTACAAAAATCATTAAATCAGAAGACGCTGAAGACACAGACGAAGTGGACGAGAAGGCTAAATACATCATCAACATCAAACAAATAGCTAAGTTTGTGGTTGGATTGGGAGAACGTGTATCACCAACAGATATAGAGGAAGGAATGAGAGTAGGTGTCGATCGATCGAAATATGAAATCCAGTTACCTTTACCACCCAGAATTGATCCTACGGTCACAATGATGACGGTTGAAGAAAAGCCGGATGTCACATATAGTGATGTTGGTGGTTGTAAAGAACAAATTGAGAAATTGAGAGAGGTTGTGGAATTGCCACTTTTATCGCCTGAAAGATTCGTCAAGTTAGGTATCGATCCACCTAAAGGTATCTTATTATATGGTCCTCCTGGTACTGGTAAAACACTCTGTGCCAGAGCGGTTGCAAACAGAACGGATGCTACTTTTATTAGAGTTATCGGTTCTGAATTAGTTCAGAAGTATGTCGGTGAAGGTGCTAGAATGGTAAGAGAGCTCTTTGAAATGGCAAGAACCAAGAAAGCATGTATCATTTTTTTTGACGAAGTTGATGCAATTGGAGGTGCAAGATTCGATGATGGTGCCGGAGGTGACAACGAAGTACAGAGAACCATGTTGGAATTGATCACACAGCTTGACGGTTTTGACCCAAGAGGTAATATCAAAGTCATGTTTGCTACTAACAGACCCAACACTTTGGATCCAGCGTTACTAAGACCTGGTAGAATAGATAGAAAAGTGGAATTTTCCCTTCCTGATCTAGAAGGTAGAGCCAATATTTTCAAGATTCATGCCAAGTCGATGTCATGCGAAAGAGACATTAGATGGGAATTGATATCAAGAATGTGTCCTAACGCCACCGGTGCCGAACTAAGATCAGTTTGTACGGAAGCTGGTATGTTTGCCATCAGAGCAAGAAGAAAAGTGGCCACAGAGAAGGATTTCTTGAATGCAGTGGAGAAGGTCATCAAGGGAAATATGAAATTCTCTTCAACAAGTAGGTATATGCAATATAATTAGACAATTTACGTGTAGATTTCTTTTGTATTAAACCCATCATTATAATATAAATCATTTAAAGACCAAGTATTAAACTGCTATTCCCACCAGCTACAGCATCCCATACCATCAGTTTGACAGGATGCAATCAAGGCATATGGTGGAGTTTGTTCTTTTTCAGGTTGATTGGTGCTTTCAGTACTACTTACCGGACCTTTCGGTTTGACATTGGTGAAAACCTCTTCTTCAATCCGAAAATTGATTTTTTCATTTATGTCCAAATAAAGGGTTGTGTCTTCATCCATCTTCCAGATCCATGCATTTTCATCTATCGAAAAGTAGCTACTCTCAAACAGTAGTGCCTTAGGTATGAATATGTCATTAAAAAAACCAATGTTTACTTTGATTCCATCGGCTGTACATTTTTCGATCCACCCTGAAATCACCTCTCCAATAAAAGGTTTGAAAATTAGTAGTCTGCATTTCACATTCACATACATCGCTCCATCACCAGGTCTGAATAACCCTGTATCGTATTCTATCAGATCATACACTGATATGACTAGTCCTAATTTCGGTATGATTTTGTTTGCATGTTTAACATTCAGTTCTTGTTTTATGGATATATCTCGAGGTAGGTTGAAAAGGTGTGGTGGGATTCGTATTAAATCCGATACCACTGAAAGTTGAAACATTGCGCTGTTTGCTGTGGAGGGTGTATATTTGATTACTTTAGCTCAGGGTTAGTGATATAATTTAACAAGATGTATGAATACACTTCCTTCAAGAGAGAAGAAAAACTCCAAGAAATCGAAGAAAAATAAAAAATAAAAAAATAAAAAAGCATCGAAGTGTGAAATCACCAACTTCTCAGATTTTCAAGTTACGTGCGGAAACTTTGTTGATTGGGATTATGAGCATAATAAAGACTCCATAAGCAGCTGGATAAGCATACAAGTAAGTTGAATAGATATTTATAAAATGGTGAAATAAACAGAATTATAGTAAGATAAAATAGTATGTGATATATAAGGAAACAAGAAGAAAAATATGAAATCATGATGGAATTAGTAAGATGGAATAGGTTTTCAAGAAATAAATATCGTGAGAGAATTTAGCCTAATAAAATAAATAAATTTAATGATGATGATAAATAAATGGTAGTTAATTTATTTAAAGCAACACATCTCCCCTTAATAAGCTCTGACAGCTGGTGGAACTGGTTTACACTCGTTTTCATCCAACGTGTGGGTGATAACGTGTCTGTAACCAAGTTTAACTGGAGAAGCTGTCTTGGTTTGCCATGATAATGTGTGCTTTTGCCAGTTCTTGTCATCTCTTTCAGGGTAGTCATCTCTTGCGTGTGCACCTCTTGATTCTTTTCTTGCGGCGGCAGAATTAGCAATTTGTCTAGCACAGGTTAACAAGTTTTGTAATTCTAAGGTTTCGGTCAAATCAGTGTTCCAGATCATTGATCTGTCGGAAGTCTTGATGTTCATGAATTTGTTGTCGATCTTTTCCAATTCAGCGACACCGGCATCCATGTTGTCTTGGGTTCTGAAAACAGCAACGTGCTTTTGCATTGCCTTTTGCATTTCCAATCTCAAGTCAGCAGTTGTGATATCACCCTCGGCGTTTCTTAATCTGTCCAAGTTCTCAATCGATTCGAAACCGATGTCAGCTGGCAATTCCTTATGTGGTTGGCCTGGCTTCATTTCACCTGCAATAGTGTGAGCGACAGCTCTACCAAAGACGACCAAGTCCAACAAGGAGTTAGCACCCAATCTGTTAGCACCGTGGACGGAAGCACAAGCAGCTTCACCACATGCAAACAAACCTGGAATGACAACATCTTCACCCTTTTCGTTGACAGTCAAACATTCACCAGTCCATTTAGTTGGAATACCACCCATGTTGTAGTGGACGGTTGGGATAATTGGAATTGGTTCCTTGGTGACATCGACACCGGCGAAAATTCTGGCGGTCTCGGAAATACCTGGTAGTCTTTCCTTCAAAACGGAGGCTGGTAAGTGGGACAATTGCAAGAACATGTGGTCCTTCAATGGACCAACACCTCTACCTGCGTTGATTTCCATTGTAATGGCTCTAGAGACAACATCTCTACAAGCCAAGTCCTTAGCGTGAGGTGCGTATCTTTCCATGAATCTCTCACCCTCAGAGTTGATCAAGTAACCACCTTCACCTCTGGCACCTTCAGTGATCAAACAACCGGAACCGTAGATACCGGAAGGATGGAACTGGACGAATTCCATATCTTCCAGAGGATAACCTGCTCTGGACACCATTGCGGTACCGTCACCAGTACAGGTGTGAGCAGATGTACAGGAGAAGTAGGCTCTACCGGAACCACCGGTGGCAATGATAGTTTTGTGGGCCTTGAATCTGTGCAAGGTACCATCTTCTTGGTTGTAGGCGATACAACCGACGATCTCGTCATTGTGCTTCAACAAGTCCAGCGCAAAGAACTCAATGAAGTAATGGGTATCGTATCTCAAGGATTGACCGTAAAGGGTGTGGAGAAGGGCGTGACCGGTTCTGTCGGCAACGGCACAGGTTCTGTATGCTTGGCCACCCTTACCGTAGTCCTTGGTTTGACCACCGAAGGCTCTTTGATAGATCTTACCCTCCTTGGTTCTGGAGAAAGGAAGACCGTAATGTTCCAATTCGATAATGGAAGGTGGCGCCTCTCTGGTCATGTAGTGGATAGCGTCCTGGTCTCCTAACCAATCGGAACCCTTGACGGTATCGTACATGTGCCAGTGCCAGTCGTCGGCATGCATGTTACCGAGAGCGGCGTTGATACCACCCTGGGCAGCAACAGTGTGCGATCTCGTTGGGAACAACTTGGAGATACAGGCCACCTTGAAGCCCTCCTTGACCAAACCAAAGGCGGCTCTGAGACCTGCACCACCGGCACCGATCACGACACAGTCGTACTCGTGGTCAATGACGTGGTAGTCCTTTGCCATGGCGGAAGCCGCCTCCTTACCGTTCAAGTTGTTGAACTGGTTGATGACCTGTCTGCTGGAAGGCGTGCTAGAGAAAAATCTCTTGGTCGAAATGGTTTTTATACTTCTTTGGAATGAGAGCATTGTGTGTGGATTATCTTTCCTGCTTTAGTGTGTGAAGAATAATAGATTTGTGGTAATATCGGGAGTCAGGAACAGTTACACGGTGATCGGCTTGACTAGTATTAAATCAATTAACTGTCGGTCAAGAGATGTGTAGAACGGGTGTGTGGGTGTGGTGTATTACTAATGGGGGGAAACAGTAGATGGTGTTGCGACTTCTCTGCTACTTGGACAAAATCAGGTCTGTGACAACGGGATCGGAAGTATGAGAACAGGACTAGACGGAGAACCTCTAAGAAACGCCACTCTGAAACCCTTTCCTCCTGTTCTTCGTACACACGCAAACCTGGAATGCTGGCACGCTGGAAAAAAACTCCATCCTCACGCATTCACCGAAAACCTCCCTGTTGATGGCAAATTGCGACTCGGAGAAGCCTCCCCGCGTTTCTGGCCACCACCCGGAGACACTTTTTCGTCGGAGCCAGCCAATGGGAGTCCGCGGCCGTGTAAGCAGCACCAGCAGCGCCGGGAGAGTATACTGCGCAGCCGGATAGCAACAGCATCTTCTTCCGCGCACAATGGAGAGAGGAAGCAAGAAAAAAGCGGTAGGCCGATCGTCGCGTGATTACGTAAGCTTACTGTTTTATTACGTAAGCTTACTGTTTTATTACGTAAGCTTAGTATTACGTAATGATCTGCTGATTACGGCGGGTGACATGTATTGTTGAGCTTATAACTACAATAATAGACTTCACTAAATCACTATACCAGTATACCACGCGGGAAAACGGCCATCAGGCGGGACCGGCTTCAGAATATCCGAATATTCGAGTGTCAAGCATCACTACCATCACCGTGACGTTGTCACAGGTGCCGTTGCGGATGGCGTAGTCGCACAAAGTCTCGCTGGCTGCTTTGGCGTCCGTGACGTTCTTGATCAAGTCGACGGCCTCCTGGTCGTCGCACACGTCCCACAACCCGTCGCAGGCGATGATCAGGAACTCGTCGCCGTCGTTCACCTCAGTCATCGTTGTGTAGGGGGCGCCGAGTACATACTCCTTGAGGTAGATGTCGCCGAGCGATCGGCTCACCGCCAACACCCCGTTCACCCGCCCGCCGAGCACGAGCCCGCCGTTCTTGTATATGCGCTTGATCTCGCTCTTGTCGCTGCCCTTGTGCTCGTAGCACAAGCGCTTCGCCCTGCCCCTCCTACTGATGACGATCCGCGTGTCTCCTACGTTCGCAGTGTAGAGAATCCTCTTGTGTTTCTTGGTGGGAATGAAATCGAACGGAGCGTCCTGCCCCAGGCGGCCGGCGGCCTCCGTGTGGCTTCCCTTCGTCTCGTGCTGAGGGCTGGCGTCCTCGCCTTCCTCATCGACCTCCTCCTCCCACCTCAGAACCGCAACAGCGGCTGTCGAGCCACTCGATCCAACGCCCTTCATCTTCGCAATCTCCTTGTCCGCCTCAAGGAAACTGGAGTTCAAGTTTTCCCGCAAGTCTGTGAACTTGTCGTTCATGATGCTCTCGTATAGTAGGTTGTGTAAATTGGTGCCAGCCCATCTCGCAGTTTGCTTGCCTGCGTGTCCGTCAAAAACTCCAAAATATCCCCAATCAAGTCTCTCACAGAAGTTTGCGACGTATGTGTGAACGTCCTCCATCGTACGTCTGTACTTCGAGTTTCGGTTTTCACTCACCCCGACACTGAACGAAAGGCCCTTGCACGGGTTGATCTCAGATTGATCTTCAACTTTCTCGTGTTTAACGCTCTCGTCAATGATATCTTCTCCGGTGACAATCCCCGACTCCTCCTTCGTGACCTTATCCAGCGGCACCGTGGCCATTTCGTCGCCACTGCGGCCTTTTTGCAATGCGCCGTCTTGGAGCGCTCCGTTAACCTCGTTTGGCTGCTGTTGCTCACCCTCTCTCTCTCTTTCCTTGTCCTTATCCTGCTCTTCGCCCTTGCTATTTCTCCGCGTCAGATCCACAGAATGTCTTTTCAAAAATCTAATCATATTTTTCTGTTTGTTTCAATTCAGTACAATATGTATGTCTGTGTACCTCGAGCTTTGTATAAAAATTCACCGAAAAGAAGCCAACACTTGGTGAAAATCTCTCTTCCCCATCCCTGCATTTTACTCCTCCCAGGACTAGCGTGTTTATTTTACGTGGAATTAATAGTGCGTCGCCACACTCGTCGCGAAAGCGAAGAAAGCACGCTTCACAGCAAACGGCTGACAGCATAGCATGACACCACCAAGCACAGCACAGCATGGCGGTTCATCTTTTTGCATATGAGGTCTGGTCTATTAAAGCACAAGTGGGAGAGATTATACAAATTTACGTCTGTTCCAGTGGAACGCACATGCCCTAAAAAAAACGCCTACATATATAGGCCTTCAAGGTTCTCCTCAATCTTGTTCTTCAGCACTCTCTCCTTGGCTTGCTTGAAATCCTCAGCAATCACTTGCATTCTTCTTTCCCTCAAAGCCAAAAGACCAGCTTCAGTACATATAGCCTTGATATCAGCCCCACTCAAATCATCTTTGGTGCTGACTATGTCATCTAGGTTGACGTCGCCAGATATGTTCATCCTGGATGTGTGGATCTGTAGAATCTTCTTCTTCGTCGTAGGATCGGGGTTCTCAAAAAGAATCTTACGGTCAATTCTACCTGGTCTAATCAACGCCGGATCTAAGCTCTCAATCTTATTTGTGGCCATTATAACCTTGACATCTCCTCTATCATCGAAACCGTCCAACTGGTTCAACAACTCCAACATGGTTCTCTGAACTTCTCTTTCACCACCGGAGGACGATTCATAACGCTTGGTACCAATTGCATCAATCTCGTCGATGAAAACAATGGATGGGGCGTTTTCAGAGGCAACCTTGAATAGCTGTCTACACAGCCTTGGACCATCGCCCAAGTACTTCTGGATCAACTCCGATCCCACAATTCTCAAGAACGTGGCACTGGTCTGGTTGGCAACAGCCTTTGCTAGTAACGTCTTACCTGTACCTGGCGCACCATATAGAATGACACCCTTTGGTGGCTTGATACCCATTTCTTCGTACAATTCAGGATGTGTTAACGGTAACTCAACGGCCTCCTTGATTTCTTGAATTTGGTTTTCCAAACCACCAATGTCAGAGTATGACTCGGTTGGCGATTTGTCCATCTTCATCACATTGATCATAGGATCGGCCTCCTCTTGTAAAGCACCGATTATACTCACCGTCTTGTGATGCAATAGGACTTGACACCCCGGTTCAAGTAGCGATTTGTCAACAAACGATAAAATAGAGACGTAATATTCTGGTCCGCTCGATGACGACACAATCGCATGATCATCATCTATTATTTCCTCTAAGGTACCGATCGACATTGGTGATCCCCTCACATCATCTATCTTCTCCCTCTCCTCAACTTGCCTTTGATCCGTCGGTTGCAAAAGCTCCTGGTTTGTGACAAATTCCTCTTCCAATAAAAGGTGATCCTTGATTCTTTCCAACCTTAACAACTTCAATTTACATCTAGTGTTAGGTAAGACGCTGGGAAGCTTGGCATTCTTGTCTGATCCATTCTTTCTCTTCTTTCTGCCGAATGTTCTCGTTTGTGCAGGTGGTTCATACTTTGGCTTCTCCTTCTTTTTGTCGCCACTCTTCTTCTTGCCTTGTCCTGGAATGGATGCGTCCTGTCCCATTGTCCTTATTTATGTAATGTATTAGCCTAAGCCTGATGTCATGAAGCACTAATAAACAAGTAGGTGCTTTTGCCACACTCAGCTCTCTCCGCAAGGGCAATTTGTAGATGGACCCGGGAGTGTCTCGTCTTCCCTCACTACACGCCTTCCTCTCTGAGAAGAAAAAATCGCCGATCGTCTCGCCCACCAAAATTTCACCTCGTTAATGCACTTCTTACATGCACGAGAAGACGGTACATATTCAGGAGGGAAGAGAGTACATCGAAAGTGTAGGTGTATCTGTTTCAGAGAAGACCAGACCAGTTTGAATCAGTCATCCACAGCCAATGTCGCAAGATTCGAAGGCCACTTATGTGCAACTTTCAAAGCCGTATTTCACTTCTCGTGAAATAGATGTCATAACGAGAAAAAACGTAGACTTGAGTCAGAACATACGAAATTTCAAGTCCAAGACGAAGGAAACATTCCAAATTCTCACCACCTTGATAATAAAGCTGAAGCTCCCGATCAGAGTTTTGCAGAACTCCAGCTATTTCTATCAAAAGTTCTATCTTTTGAATAACAACTACAAAAAATACTCGAATCTACATTTTGAGGTGGGTCTAGCAGTCCTCTTCATATCGTTGAAATTGAACGATTACATCAAAAAAGTCTCTGTGGTGATCTCAGAAGCATTCACACTGAAGGGAAACCATCTGTCAAGTGCAGACATTGAAGAAAACAAAAAGATTATCATAAGCTTGGAACGTAAAATATTGGAATTCCAAAGTTTCGACTTCAGAAACTTTCTTGTTGAGGACTTCCTTATCAAATTTTTGAAGTTCTTCAACGCAGAGAAGCAGGACAACGGTGAAGTTAACGCTAATTTACACAACGGCGATACCAAACAAGGAAACAAACTCACAAGCAAAAAAACATTCTCCTACTTGAGTTGGTGCATACTGAACGATCTTTACTTAACTTCTTTGGTGCTCCAATACCCAGCACATTATAATGCAATGGTGTCGATCAAATGTGCTTCCATCATATACAACGAGCTCATTATAGATGCCGAAAACTTGGACTTGAATAGAAAGCCCATCAACTGGGATCTCAAAAAGCTAATAGCAGGAAATAAAAGTGATTTGTTCATCATCATGGGGTGCAATCAATTGTTAGAATACTATATCGACAACATCGGGATCACCTTTCTCAAAACCTGTTTAGCCGAGCTAGACTTCAAAATCGAAGAGAAAAAACTGGTAGACTTATTACTTAACATAAAAATAGACCTTAACAGTAAGATCCCGTCACATCTATCATCCGACAATACAGCAAACTCAGACGATGACCTCTTTTTCCATACTAGGGACACGGATATAGCCAAGAATGGGTCAATACGGTTCTTATACAACAAGCAAAAGTTTACTGATGAAGTCAGCATGTACAACAAATAGAACTTATAGTTTTTATTTCTCTAATTAGGTTAATTTGATCTCTTTATACCGCTCCGTTCTCATTATATCGAGTAGCTTTAACTTATTTAATATTTCGTGAAACCTTTCTGAGTCCTGTGAACTCTTCCTTAAATTGAAAAGTCGCTTCATTAAATACACTTCTGTTATCAAACACCATTTATTCTCAACTCCATTATCATCGAATTCAACCTCATTCAACTCTTCAACATCGCCACTCAATTTTTCTAGAAGTTTCAAGACCTCTTCCGTACTTGTTAGCTCATCTATGAAATAATCGCTTATCAACCATTTCAAGTAAAACCAGACTGAAGAATCTTCTGGATCTGTATATATAGCTGTTTTTACCAAGCTCAACTCTTTCTTCAAAAAACCAATTTTGTCCTTTTCGGCGAAAACTTCAACATACTCACTGGCATATTTGTCACCGTCTTGCGTTTCAACTTTTGGACTTTTCAAAAACAATTTCACAATCAACTGTGATCTATTATGCCATGCTGAATAGTTTGAGATGTCTTTATTGATCATCTTTGTCGTAAATTTGAATTCATCAAAATCGATCAGCTCGTCCGATTTGGTAAACTCGGGGTCGTTTTTCATAAATCCAGCAATCAGTCTTCTGTATGACCAAGCGTGGTAATTCCTTGAGTCCACTTTCAAAAAGGTCTCAATCAATTGAAGCTCCATAAGCCAATTACTTAGTTTATCAAGTTTCAAACACCAAACTCGATGATTCCAGATCCAGTATGACTTAGGCGATTGTTTCAACTTTTTAAGTACAAACTCCAACTCCTTTACTAATATGTCATGTCGTGCTTTAACGTTGTCTTTTGTAATACTCTTGAATACAAAGTTTGTGATGAGCTCTTTTCTATAATTCCAGACGGTGTACAACTCTTGATTCCATTCGAGTAAATCTGTCACTAAATCGTAGTACTTTTGATTATATATTCTTTGTTTCCTTCCGAGTAACACACGTTCACATAGCTTTTTGTAGACATCAATCTTGGGTTTCTCTAGCTTCATTCGTTTCAATGCATCTTCTTTTGTTAATTTCAATGATTTGTCCCTTCCATGCTATATTAAAAGTTAGTATCCCAAATCAAAATAATGCTAAAGTCTCTTTTTTGTCACATACCATGCTCTCAAAAGAGCTGTTTTGGCTGTATCCCTGTACAAACGACATTCTCGTTTTGAAATATTGCAGATCACTTTGTCTCCGTAAAACTCCATAACTGAAAGCCCAAAAACAATCCAAAGTTAAGTAGATGATAAAGGCTTCTCAACAATCTTCATCATCAACGGCTTCGCTATTCGCTCACCTACTTCCTCTCATTCTGAAGCCTACCGCCTTGGCTGATATGTTTGTGTTGCGAATAGATTTATTGCCTTCTACACAAATTATATATAAAGATCAGCTACAATCATGGAGGTCAATGATGAAAGAACCCTCAAATTGAGTGGGTCGAGTAGAGTCGTTTCTGATTACTTTGAAATTTGCATTCACAATATATTATTCCAGAGACACGTTTATCCCAAAGAAGACTTCAAAGTCATCAGGAAATTTGGTCTCAATTTAGTATATTCCAAAGATGATGAGGTGATAAGTTATATTAAGCAAATAACTCGACAGCTACATCGTTGGATTGTTGATGGAAAAATCAACGTGTTAACCATGCTTATAGTTTTGAAAGAAACCAATCAGGTTTCTGAGAAGTGGATGTTTCATATAGATCTCGTTCACGACAAGAGTGAAGAAGATCCCAGTTCAACCAGCAACAGCCGAAATGTGAAAGGTGTGAAAACACTAGAAGATATACAAAAAGAAATACAACTGATAATAAGGCAAATTAGCTCTTCCATTACATTTTTACCTGAATTTGAAGATCCCCAAACTTTCAAGATATTAGTCCATACCACCGACAATTTTGAGGCTCCTAAAGATTGGGATGACGCAAACCTGTCAACGGATATTGAAGGAAAAGGTGTTGAGAGTGTAAAGTTTGACAATTTTGCTACAGGTAACCATAAAGTCTCAACTTTCGTAACGTATCAAACCAGAGAACAGTAACTTCTTTTTGGAACGAAGTTGATAAAAGTTGAACAATCACTTCAAGTTAACCATCTTAGCATATGAAAGTCATCCGATTGGGAAACTGTGCTTTAAAATCATAACGGGCTGGAATGTATGAAGATCAATTCGAGTAGGTGTCAAATCATTTTATGGAAGTAGCAAAGTACTCAAAAAAAGTTTTTTTAGTAAAAACTTGCTTTAAGGTTAACACATGACTAAAGAGCCAATTCTTAAAGAAAAATTGAAAGTGTTAGTATAATCTTGGCCGGCATATAGCATATTAATCAGAGTCAAAGTTAGACTTGAAGTTGTTAATGTGTATCGTCAAGATGCGGCTTTTTCTTTTACAGTCGAGAGAAATAACTGCATACCATACCAAAATCAGGTCTTACTCATGAAACTATTCAGTTAACTGAACTTGGAGAGTTTAAACTTTAATCTCCTAAATGTGCCAAGCATAAAACCGCCAACAAATGCAAAGTTAGAGTCACAGCTGAAATCACCAAGTGGAAAATAATATACTTTAAGTTGACTATAATGGCAGCACAAACAAAATAGTTGCCTAAATTATGCTTACCCTCAAAAAGAGCCAAGAAATGCTGTTATGGAGGAGAAGTGAAGATTTGTTAAGTAAAACAAACAACTGAAAGTGTGGTTAATTTTGAAGAGAGTAAGATCAAAAGCGTTGGGCTTTCGATTTTTATTTTAATTATTTCAAGAAGTGTTATCATATTGATCCGCTCTGTGAAGCCAAACATGTGCTATAGAAGTGAAGGTACGTAACAGTTAGTTCACACAAGACTAACCCTATTTTTAGATTCAGTGGTGATGATACTTTTAAGCTTTTGGTTGTTGCTCTGTGGTCTACCGCTGTATACATATTCAAGCATTATTCATTGATCAGCAAACAAAATACAGGTCTGTTTATTCTGGTCTTTCATTTACAGTACCGCAAAATCTCACTGATACTAAAAAACCTCATACTACCGATGCCCTGATACCCCCTTTTCATGCGAACTGAAATCTGCACAGGAACTGTATTTCTTGATAGGAAAAACTGGCGTACGAATAATTGGAGTATTCCGCCCTGTGTTTCCGGAGCTTGTTGAAGAAATAACATTGCGATCCATGATCAAAACGGTAAGTACTAAACAATGGGCTCTCTTGAACCAATGACCAGGCTGCGGCCAGTATTAGGTTTACTTCGAATAAAGAACGTTCCCCGACTAAAGACAGGAAACATTTAGGTTTTACTCAAACTATAGAAGATAGCTTATATTTATGAATATGAAAATAATTGCGGTAATCTTTTTTTTTGAACTGTATAGATAACACATCGGTATTTGTTTGTTTTAACCGAGCTAAGCACCATTGTTTCGGGTCTTTGTCTTGTACGAAAGCTCGTTTGGTGGATTTTTCCAGTCGATATTTAAGCTGATTTGTTTGTTTCTTTTTAATGCAGATCCGATAACGTGCTCAATATCGGCTCTAATTGTACCTGTCTTGAGGTCAACAAAATCAGTTAGAGTTAAGGTTATAATTTCATTGTCTTCAGTGTTAAAGGCTTCATCTTCTTGCTGAATGATTTTTTCTATAACCTTGAAGATTGCTGGTAAATTGGCATAGTGCCTGTCTTTCACAAACTTCATTCTCCAAAGAACAGACCAATGCACCTTGGCATTGAAAGGAATATTCCTATTCTCCCCTAAATTTGGCCAGTAAAGAGGTCTCCATTTTCCCTGTTGATTTTCAACCAGGTAGCCAATAGGGATAATCTCACACATCCACCAGAACAAAGTCGAAATGATGCTTTCGTCTCCCCTACCTTTAAAAGTATCTAATTTCCCGCCCTCCGTACCGGTATCAATTCCTGAGTACCTTGGGAAAGTTGGGAAAAGAGGGCTTCTTATACTGAAAACGTGAGATCCATTCGTATCGTGAGTACTGATCACATGACTTTCATCTCTCGTTGCCAATTGAGCTTCTTCGTCATCAGTGGGCAAACAATAGGGGCTAACGTATTCCGGATACTTGTACTTCTTGAACGATAGAATGTCATGACTGAAGGAGAGACTACTTTTCAATGGGCTGAATTTGGAATTGAATTCCTCTAAGGAGTTTGTTTTAAACAAAACGCCAAATTCAACGGCATACGACAATACCCATCTGAAGGGTAAGTTTGAAATTCTGTTACCGTTGTTATCGTAGGGCCAGTTTCCCCCCACGTCCGAATGATCACCAGGAAACCAGACTTCCAACAAATCGCTCGAACATTTCTTTGAGAACCGAGCTGATACCTGATGGGATGTAGTTACTGAATCTTCGTTTGGCACTGACAAAATCGATGGCACCGAGTCATTGTTTGATTGCTGAGATAGCAATGAACTGAGAGAATCGCAAGAGTGCTTACTGTTCAAAAAACTCGGTAGATATGTGTGTGGAACAAACAAGTTTTGTTTGAACTTTGACCTCCTTTCGTGTATACTTACTGTGTGCCTGATATGCTTGACGTTGGAGGTGTTGGAGGTGAAAGGGAATAATCGGTCGAAAATGATACCACAAGAGTTGATCGAGTCGAACAAACCCATGAATTCTATTGACACGTCGTATCTACAAAATGTTTGCTTGAATAGTCTCAAGGAATAACTACATTTTGCTGGATTCGACAAATCCGTAGGCTGTCCTATTTGTTCCCAAGTTTTGTAGATCTCCCAAGCTGTTTTGACCATCGACTCCAATCCGCTATCCAACAAGCCGATTTTTTCAATCATTCCGGCCAATATCCTGGCTACAAAGGACCCTCTACTAAACCCAAATAGATAAATTTTATCGTTGGGCTGGTACTTCTCGATCAAATAGCGGTATGCCTGGATGACATGGTAATCAATTGTAAATGCAATTGCCGAGTCTACTGTATTTTTGATAGGGTTGTGGAAAGGGAACGAGGCCCAGTGCTGGAATGAGGTTTGCGATAAATCAATATCGATGCCAACACCGGCTACACCAAAAAACGAAAGCTAGGAGCACGCCATAAACCTTATGGGAGTCAGATATTAGTAAACATTGTTTTAATTTCTCGAAAAAAATCTAGGCTCTTCTGATACGACGCCATAGAAAAGGTGGGGGTTAGTCATGATAATACATACGCTGATAGAAGCAGTGCTGATTTGGCGAGTTTTTTTCCAACAGCTTGTACAACTCCAATATGTTGGACGGTGACTTCGTGCCGAAATTGTTGTCCGTGCCGTCGAAACACATGATGATGTTGTTGGTCATGTTCTGTGGCTGCAAACTATCGCACTACTATATTTACTCTCTTTTACGTTGCTTCAGCCCACTCCACTATAGGCTGCTGTGTTTTTTCTGCTGCGGTTGGCTGTACTCTTTATCACCGGGTACAATGTGAAAAAGTTTTTCCTGTATCTCAAGAGTAACGGCGAAGGCCCAACCGTCACAAGGGTCATCATTCTAGCCCCCCCCCCCCCTACCTTTTTCGGCAAAATTAACCGGGGCACTCTCCCACAAAAAAAAGGGCCGCTTTTCCTTCCTGAGCCGTTTTCACGCTAGGAAAGCGGGCCGATGATTTTTTGATAAGCATGCGAGGCGAGAAGGCCAGTATGCCATTGTTTGGGCATCGACAGTGATGCCTGGACTACTTACGTCAACCGAAAGCGGCTTATCGGCGGGTTTCGAACCAGTTATTGTCTTTCGGGCGTAACTGTTCGGCGGTATGAGGGGACGGGTGGTCCAAGTCAGAATTGTGTGAGCTGCATGGGAGTATGATAAGAAAGTTTTTTTCGTCTTTCAACCTCTTCAGCTAACTGTTGTGCAAGAGTATATAAAGAGGCTTGTCTGTACCAGTTGTACGTGGCAATAGCTGTTTGTAGAGTTGTTTGGGAGTACTCTGCTTGTAAACAGAGCAAGCAGCATATTAGTCATTGCATATACTCATCACTAGAGCAACATGTCAGATATTGAAGTGCCTTTGCCGCAAGGTGCAGGTTATGCCATCATTGTCGGATTGGGAATGGTGTTTTCTGTCGGAATGATCTTGACGACCTTTGTCCTCCGACGCTACCAGAAGGAAGTCATCACCTCCGAAGAGTTTTCCACCGCCGGAAGATCTGTGAAAACCGGTTTGATTGCCGCTGCGGTCGTTTCCTCTTGGACGTGGGCGGCTACTCTATTACAGTCGTCCACGCAGGCCTATAAAAACGGTATTTCCGGACCTTACTTTTACGCTGCTGGTGCATGCTGTCAGATCATTCTCTTTGCATTCATAGCCATCAAGGCCAAGCAGAAGGCACCGGGTGCCCACACGTACTTGGAAATCATCAAGGCTAGATATGGGCCAATTGCACACGCCGTCTTCATCTTCTTCGCATTTGCAACCAACGTGTTGGTCACCGCAATGCTACTCACAGGTGGTTCGGCTGCCGTGACAGCATTGACCGGTATGAACACCGTTGCTGCAATCTTCTTGTTCCCTGTCGGGGTTATGATCTATACCTTGTTTGGTGGTATCAAGGCTACTTTCTTGACAGACTATATCCACACGATTGCAATAATCGTCATCATTTTAACGTTTGCCTTCACCACCTACGCCACGTCTCCCCTATTGGGATCTCCTGCAAAGGTGTGGGAGCTAATTACTCAAGCCGGTATCGATCATCCAGTTTCTGGTAATGCTGAGGGCTCCTACTTGACGATGCACTCCAGATCCGGTGGTATTTTCTTTGTCATCAACATTGTTGGTAATTTCGGTACCGTCTTTCTCGATAACGGTTATTGGAACAAGGCAATCGCCTCCTCTCCAGCTGCCGCTTTACCAGGCTACATTGCCGGTGGTATCGCGTGGTTTGCCATCCCATGGCTAACCGCTACAACGATGGGTTTGGCTTGTCTTGCGCTTGAAAATAGTCCAAGCTTCCCAACTTACCCACATAGATTGTCAGATGAGCAAGTCTCTGCCGGACTAGTCCTACCATCCGCAGCTGTTGCATTGATGGGTAAAGGTGGCGCCGTGGCAACTTTGTTTATGGTTTTCATGGCCGTCACGTCAGCAATGTCAGCCGAATTGATCGCCATTTCCTCAATCTTCACATATGATATCTACAAAGGTTACGTCGATCCAAATGCTTCTGGTAAACGGTTGATCTTTACTTCACATTGCACCGTCGTTGCTTTCTCCTTAGCGATGTCCGGTTTTGCAACAGGATTGTACTACGCTGGTATCTCGATGGGTTATCTTTATGAGATTATGGGTATCATCATCTCGGCTGCAGTCATACCAGCAACAATGACGTTGTTGTCTAAGCACCAAAACACAATTTCTGTTATTGTTTCTCCAGTTTTGGGTACAGCAGTTGCTATCATGTCATGGTTAGTGTCTACCCACACATTATATGGCGCCATCACTGTCGACAACACCTTCATGGATAACCCAATGTTGATCGGTAATGTTGTTGCATTGTTGTCGCCAGCGGTTTTCATTCCTATTCTTACTTTGACCTTTGGGTCTCAGCAGTTTGACTTCGAAATTTTAAAATCAATCAAAAGAGTGGATGATTCTGCCGAGGTCGAAGAAGATTTGAAAGACATCATTCCAGAAGGTGTCAATGCTGAAGAAGAAAGCGAAAACTCAATGACCAAAGACGTCGAGAAAATCAATCCTGTTAAATCAAACGTAACTGAAATTGTGGATCATCTAGCACATGATTCCAAAGTACTGAGTGAGGCAAGGGCGGAGGAACAGCACCTTAAGAGGGCATCCAAAATTGCAGGTTGGTTATGTTTAGCGATGAGTTTCTCACTACTAGTGATTTGGCCCATGCCAATGTACGGTAGAAGCTACATCTTTTCCAAACATTTTTTCACTGGTTGGGTTGTTGTTGGAATCATCTGGATTTTCGTTACTGGTTTCATTGTTATCATCTATCCACTATGGGAAGGAAGAGTAGGCATATTCACCTCATTCCGAGGCATTTATTGGGATATGACTGGACAGGGTCATAAGCTAAGAGAATGGCAGACTGCACATCCAGAGCAGCTACATGCGGTAAGAAGTCAAATCAGTGCTGAAATTTCAAGAAATGGCGGAGCTGAAGATATCGACGAGATATTGGGCTAATTAACGTCGTGCCAAAAAAAAGTTTGTGAGCTCTTATTCTGCTATTTTTACCTTAAATACTCTATTTCTACTATAATTACTTCGATTACTTTATTGTAACCTTTGCTTGTCAAATTCTAAACGATACTACACCAGTCCGAGTCAAAACCTTGTCTTTCCACTATTTCCAACAACATGCACAAGTTCGGGAGGCGCAAGCTGTTCTAAAATCAAGCTCTGCATATTTGGGTTTTCTAGCGATCTGTCTGTTCACGCCGTCTGCGTAAGCGCTTATCCCCAGGAACCGGCCCGAGACGGCATTAGCGCGCCGTGCTGGCAGATGGGGAGAAAGGGCGGGCTTCGTCAAGATAGCTTGCCGAGAGAAAAAGAACTAAAATACTTGCTTATTTTGGAAATTGAACAGCTCTGACAGAAAACTCTCCGGGATGTTCTCTACTCAAAAAAAAGTTTGCTCATGCAATTGCGTGAAATAGGAGTCGAAGTAACTCATCGTTTTTGCTTGAAATACTGTGTCATTTCCATTCTCTTTAAGGAAGTAAAGCAGTAACACTGGTAAAATTGGCGACCTTTAAGCAGCTAAGCAGCAGAAAGTAAGTAAATGAAAGATATAAGATTGTCAAGATGTCCTTTTTTGAATATCTTGATTCATTGAAACCTAAGTTCTGCACTTTTTCCACCGAACACAAACTTTCAAATCCCAGAATCAAGTATGGTTTCAGCACGAATATTACAGTAACGTACTCTGATAGTCACGGTACTGATAGTGAGCAGAGACCATACGTTTATTTTGCAAACGAGGTTACTTTATTAGGGCTACATCAAGCAGTTATTCAAGATGAAGTGCCAATTTATGATGGTATTAGGCGTGAGTTGATAAACACAGAAGGTCTGGTTGATACAGGGCTAGTAAGATCGTACCTTATGAGATCTACCCTCCGCAGACGTTTAACAACAACTTACCTAGATAAATTAGAATCAGAAGGCATGCAGAAGAATGCAATTTCTTTAGCTTATAATTTGCTAAGGATGTTTTATTTGAAGTTGTATGAAGAAGTCAACTACAATCCTGAAGGCATTTATTTTGATAATGGACACGTTCGGATTTTCAATAGGCAAATGTTTGGGGCTACAGCCGGAACCCTGTGCGGCCATTCAATACATGTCAACCATTTGTGCAGACTTGAAACTGATGATCTTACTGAATCTAGTGCAAACAATTCAATTGCCTGGGAAAATTGCATGAGCCAAATCGAGCTGAATATTATTTAATGGCTTTAAGTGCATGGGAACAAGTTGGTCCATTCAGTCTTGCTCACAGTTCGCCAGGATTGGTTGATAAGATAAGGATTAATGCATCTCGTAAAGTTCTTCTTGAAGAGCAAATCCCTTTCGAGCGGTTCACTTTGTTTGACATTTTTGGTGTCATTAGGCATGTTATCAATGCTAACAAATTATTCACTGATTTTGACTATGCATACATGATGGTATGCCAAGTGCTTGTTAATCCGGTCTCGAGGACAGCAGAGTCTGCAGCATGGCTTTTAGAGGAACAAATTGTTGGTATGCCAAGACTAAGAATATTCTCCGGCGAGTACAATCAAATGTTCTGGGGAAAAGCATATGCTAGAGACAACAAGTGGAAGTCAACATACCAAAACTGGGCTACCAAACCTAAAATGGCACTATTCCACGCGATTTGCCTGACAGAAGCAGTACATGTTGAGTTAAGAAATGTCTCTAGAATGGATGCTTCAGCCGAAGTCAATATAACTAATTTTGTTGATTTAGCTATAATGGGAAACCCGGTGCAAAATGCGGGTATCATTGTCGACCTAGCATTGATATCAATGAGAAATGGTAGGGAGAAGATAATTTCTTATCCGATAAGTGGTGGTCTGACAAGGCATAAGATTCATAATCCTGGTATTAGCATTAATGTCCTTGTGACAATTTCAGATAGGCTTGCAGCAGAGCACCATAACTTAATGGGAGATTTAGTTGTCGGAAAAGAGAGTACTATTGTAGTCACTACAACATGTCCATCATTCTACCCGACATTGACAATGGGGGTAGATGTTGAGAAGTATAATGCCAGAGCACTTCAACAAGAAGTTACTGTTAATCTAGTCAATGCAGATGAGCATGGAATTGTATTTACTGACGTCAATGAATTCTACAATTTTATGAACATCACCAGGATTACGGGGTTCGATGTTAGGGCTAGGGATATTGTTAATGACAAATGGACAACAAATTGGGCTGATGATACAAATGATTTTTTTTTCTACAATGATTTTGATAATAAATGCCAGGCATATTTTGTTGTCGCATTTAACGATATAGTTAAAAGGCAGAACGACGGGAAAAGAATTAGTACTTTTCAAGGTGTTGTAACAATGTCAATCAAATTAGAGAATGCATATGGGAGGCTTTTCATCGACACAAAGACTTTAATAATGTATGGGTCACCTTTTAAACCTCACCAAATAATTGATCCACTTATTGAAACGACTTCTCCTAAAGTGGCAGCGAAAATGATGAAGATAATGCCTTTGGACTTGCCACAGAGGCCAGACATGTTCCAGCAGTACTTCCCAACATGCAAACGTAAGCAATAGAGTTTCCCATTTTTGCATACGTAATAAAAAGAGCTTTCCACGTGTTTTAAATAGAGGGATTTGTGGTACAAAGTGACTTGGCTGGAATTGCCCCTGCAGAACGAATAACAAATAATGTCTTTCTAAGTTGTAGAGATTAACATGCATATCTAGATTTGCCTACTCTTTTGATTCTAACAAAAGCTCTTATGGCCAAGTTGGTAAGGCGCCACACTAGTAATGTGGCGATCCTCAGTTCAAATCTGAGTGAGAGCAATTGTTTTTACTTTTTTTTACATGCACAATGCAACTAGAAATATTTTTCATCCGCTAAATTTTTTTCTATAGTTCATTTTAAAAGAAATACTGCTTGGAAATCCTCCTTACTTCGATCAAAGTTAAAGTTAGCACAAGCAATAACCACAGTGAACCATGCCAAGAAAGAAATCAGCAGCAAAAAAAGCAAAAGAGCTTCAGGAAGCCAAATTGCTGGAAGTATCTGAGAATAAACCTTTACCTCTCAATATCGAAGATCTCAAAAAAGAGTTGAGGGAAGACGACAAAGAAGATGACTCAAACTCTGATGAAGAAGATGAAGAAGACGAAGAGGAGGACGACTACGGTGAGCTGTTGACAGAAAATGTTGAAAGTGGCCTAAATGAAGTTTTGAAAGCCATCAAAACGGGTGATCAAAGACTTTTTGATTCATCTGTAAGTTTTTTCAAAACTGACGACGCCAGTGTTGACGGAAGTGATGATACGACGAAGGCTTCAAAACCAATTTATTTGAAGGAATACCATCTTAGTAATTTATTGGCTGGAGATGAGGAAAAAGGCCAATCAATAGACGAAGAAAAACCTTATGCTCTTCAACAAAAAGAAGATAAGGAAAACTTAGTCAAAGAAATTCACAATGCTTTAGGAGGCGAGGACAGCAGCGATGATGACGATGACAATTTCTTGATCAAGAAAGAGAAGAAAACAGGAGAACATAGACCTTCAACCATACTTTCCCTACCCGATCCTGAGAAGGAAGGAAAAGAGAAGTTCCTTGAAGCCTTCATGGAAAATCATGCATGGTTACCAAATAAGGGAGAGGAAGTAGGCGTCGAAAATGAGGATGATTCAGACTTTGATAAAGCTGCAGAAGATTTTGAGAATGCATACAATTTCCGTTATGAAGATCCAAAATCAACAGAGATCGTCAGTTATGCTAGATCCCAAGCTACTATGAGACGTGAAAAAATGAACAGCAGAAAACGGGAACGTTCCAAGCAACAACTAGAGGCAGCTCGTGAGAAGGAGGAGGTCAATGAGGGCTTGAAGAAAAAGAAGTTGAAGAAGATGAATTTAGTGATGGATAGGATTAAAGAGATAAAGGAAGCAGTTGGAGATCAAGTGAGTGATGATAAAATTGTTAAAGTGTTTGGTGACTCCTTAATGAATGAAGATTTTGATGATCAAGAATGGGACGCCAAAATGAATGAAATATTCAACGACGAATATTATGCTGAAGACGATCAGACTCTGAAGAAACCAGAATGGGATGACGATCTCGGATTGGAAGATGAGAAGTCTGGTGATGAAATAGAGGATGAAGAGGTCAGCGAAAAGCTTCAGAAGTCAGAAGAAGATGTGGTAGTTAGCAGTTCGGTAGTATCGTCCCATAAGTCGGAAAAGAAGGATCAAAAGCTGGCCAAAAAGCAGGAGAAAAAGAAAGTTAAAGAAGTTGTTGAACGATTAGTAGAATCTAGAACTTTGGATATCTTGGATGAGGTCCAAGAGGAACGTGGTAGAGACAAGGGTACGTCAAAACATTCATTCAAATACAGAGAAGTTTCTCCAGAGAGTTTTGGTTTAACGTATAATGAAATCTTTCAAGCGGATGATAAAGATTTGAACGAACTAATTGGCTTAAAAAAACTGGCGCCTTACAGACCCCATGAAAAAGTTACCAAGGACAAGAGAAAAGTGACTAAGAGCAAAAACATGAGAGAATGGAGAAAGCGTACCTTCGGATCGGAGGAAGGTATATCAAAAGCTGCTGATATGGAGATAAAAATCCCATCGATCGTTTTTGACAACAATTCTAGATCAAGCACTCAAGAACCAAAGCAGAAAAAGAGAAAGTCAAAGTCCAAAGGCGGAAAAAAACACTAGAAGAAACTAAATTTGTATAATTAACTATATTAATATAATTATGAGACTTTATTTAAAAAAGTATCTATGACAGATGCGTAAGTTTCATTTGTCTGTGCATAGAGGCGAGTTCAAAGAGAAGGCAGAAAACAGTTTTGCATGCACTTAAAGAGTGGAAGCTGTAGAAAAGACTTCTACAGCCTGATTAAAGAAGTAGTTCTGAGCCAAAATTGTCAATTGACAATCAAACTCCCAATAATTAATGGACAGTTTATACTGCAGCGACTAAAATTATTGCCCCTCACCAAACAAAATCAATACTTTCATGTCAAGTTTTGGCTCAGTTACGCACACAAACGTACATTGTGGGAAAATTGACAGAAGGAACGCAGCTATCAAATGCTAGGTTGAAAAAGCAACTCTCTATAGTGCAGTATAGTATGCCGAAAGCTAACGGTGATCCTGGAATTGATGAGCTGGAAGAATGGGCTGAAATTGAAAATTCAGAAGAAATAGAAGAGGATCCATTGTTCGGAAATTTTGAGCACGATAAAGGATTGAAGCTGTTGCTGTCACCAAAAAGCAGTAAAACTGGCCAACGAAAAGGTAAGAGGAAGAACCAGAAAATTGATACGAAGAAATCTAAGCGTATTTCCACCGGGTTGGATATCTTACAACAATTACAGGTCCATATGAAAGACCCATTAGATAAAGAGTTAGGGTTTTCGTTGAATAAAGAGCATACCTTTAGATCAGCGAATAGTTCAAACTCTAGAGACTTCATGCATTTGATGGATGAAGTGAAACGGGAGCGTGAAATCAAGGTGCTTCTCTCAGATCAGGATAAGGCAGAGCTCAGAGCGAAGGAAGTTGATGATAAGATTTTTCAGTGGATTCGTTCTAATGTTTTTAACAAGTTTCTCGATATTGAGAATAACGGACACAAGGTACATAGTAATTGGATTTCACAATTAAGGAAATCCTTGAAAGCTATTGTGGCTCAAAACAATGGTGAATATGATGTCAGCGTGATCAACAACAACATAATCGAAGACCCGCAATACAGCAATTTCAAATTCTTTACGAGCCAAGGAGCCAAGACTAGTCAATGGAGAGGTGTCTCGTTTCTCTTTGATGAGTATAGTGTTGAAAGTATGGTAGAAAGTCTAGATGTGAAGTATGTTGAAGGGTTTTCCAGTCAGAAGGATGACATAGTAGTCAATAAGACATATAAAGATCTGAGAAATGTTCTGAAAGCCCTAGGAGTCGACGATAAACTAGCGTTGGGTGAAATGAAACCTATTCGGAAGATGTTCGACGGAAAAAATGATCTGCCACGCCTGGGATGTGGATTTCAGGTGTACAAGTTCATCAAGACTGTTGAAGCCAAGAGCTGTGCAGATCTTTTCTCAAGGAAGGATGTGGTCCACGCTTTGATTTTAATGAGTATGGACTGTAACGTCCAGGTGGATCTTAAACGATTTTTCTACGATGGCGGGTACTACACAGCGAAAGAGATTGTCTTCAAAACGATAAAAGATCTGAAGGATCCTCTACCTATGGTGAATAGTATATTAAGCAAAGTATTTTTGCAATACTGTCCTGATTTGTGGTTTAAGTTCATCAGCGGCGTTGAAATCACCAATGACAAGAAAGACATCTTATTTGCGGGCAAATTAATTCTCCGATTTTTGAGTGAAAACAAGGTGAACGATGGTGTTGAGGTCTACGATAGCTTTGAAGAGGCCGAGGGCGTGGAGGAGTTATTTAATATATTCTGCACCTTCATGAAGGATATGAGCGGGGAGTGTTTCAAACTCGAGGACGAGAACTTATCGGAGTTGGTATATATGAAGATCGAGCTGATCAAAGAGATGGTGATAATAAATCATGGGGTGATAAAGAAATGGAAAAACAGCACAGAAGATAACGACAGGTTCAACGAGTTGAGGAGCACGATCCTTCGGGTTAAAAACCATTATTTCAAAGAATATGCAAATAACTTCAACCCGGTCATCCCAAAATGCCGGAGGGTGTTGGACTTCTTGTACCACGAGTTGTCTGGCCTCGAGGTGGGTGACTTTTTTGTTCAGGACGGATCCAGTCAGTCAAAATAGTTCGGGACAAACTTTCCTCAAATCTAGAATGGACCTGATGATGTGGATGTCCAGTGCCGGATAGGCGTTCAGGTCGTCGGGCAAGTCGGAGTTCAGCTCGACGTACTGGATGATTTTCCCCCAATCAAATCTGCGTGCCGCCTTCACGTTGATCTCGGAGTCATCCACGAAGTAGATGTTCTTTTTGCTCACCGCTCCGGACTCCTTGAACACCTTCTCGAAGGCGAGCTCCATGGGCTTGCAGATCAAGGGGAACTCGTTGTAGTCGCAGTACGACAACCCGTCGAACAAGTCGCCCAACCCTAGCAAATGGATCACCCGCAACGCGTGGTTCTTGTACGCGTTGGTAAAGAGCCAGAGCCGTTCAACCTTGCCCGACCTCTTCATGTCCAGGAGCAGCTGTCTTAGCTTCGGGTTCGGCGTCAAGATCTTGTCCAACGGCAATGCGTCGTCCACCACCCGGTTGTACTCCATTGCGTCCACCTTGTGCAGCCTCACGAGCCCCTCCAAGGCCAACCCGTATTGTTTATAGTAGGACATGTGGAGCTGGTGCGCCTCCTTGTCGTTCAAATGCAAGTGCTTTTTGAAATATCGGTGGATGTAGATCTGCATGAGGTCGTGGATCCTTGTCGACCGCCGGTACAAGCAGTTGTCGATGTCGAAGTAGAAGATCTTGCCGTCTGCAGAGACCGGAGGAGCCGGGCTGCGGAGACTCGAGTCCGGGTACGTCAGCGTCACCGCAGGAAGGTTCTGCTGTAGACTCCGCACCTCCGCTGCCAGTCTCCGGTTCTCAGCACTGTTCTCCGACACAAGCGAGAGATGTGACCTCGACTCTCTGCCCAAGATAAGGATCTCCCGCTCCTTCAAGTCGTCGTCGTCCAGCTTGTCCAACTCGGCGGAGGATGCACATGGCTTGAGGCTGTCTGCGCCCTCAGTGCCCGTTTCGGAGGCCGTTTTGCCCTGCGCCTGCACTGGCGTCTGATTGGCGGCTGCGTACATGTCTCCGTGTGCGATACAGCACAATTCCGTGCCAGAAACCACTGCAACAGACCCCTGTTGACCTTTCTGTCTTCTATGACGGTCTCAATTCATGTTGATCCGGGCCCCCCAAGCCCCCGTGCGTTCCAGATCTCTTTTCCGCGGGGCCGAGGGGCCGATCGTCTCAAAAAGGGCGCGGCGACGCCCTTTTTGGAGTCGCCGCATTAGGAAATGACGCGGTCAAGCCCCCTTTTTATTTTTAGCAGGCACCGTTGTTCTCTGTTTATCGTTATCGGCAGGCTGGTTTGCGGTGTTGATACGTTGTTGATGCAAGTGTTCCCTGTGCGATTGGGTTAGATCAGCAGCAGAGAGCAGCCGTTCCCTGGGCCTGCACACACTCCTGTTCTGGTTGATATCTCAGTGGGCGTTCTTCTGCAGCCCCGTCTTTCTTTTCTGCTGTTTTTGCTTGTTTCCACGGCAGCTCACCAACTGTGCTGCTATAGTCCCAAACAACACATACAGCCTCTGCCGACAATGCGACCTTCAGTATTCACAATTATTCCGCAGCTCGTGCCTCTGGCGTTCTTGATTCTGACGTCGATCAGTTCGCCAACGTTGACAAACATCTACCTGGCCAAGGACACAAAGAACAGAACCTATGGGATCTTCGGGTACTGCTCGGGCGACTCACACTGCACGCCGGTCTCCCTGCACACACAGCTTTCGAAGGTGCTCTCGTCGAGCGTTCTACCGTCGTCTGCGATCGACAAGTTGGACCCGTATCTCATCATCGCCCCGATAGCGGCGGGCTTGACGTTCATCTCGGTGTTGTTCAACGTGTTGGCGCTTGTCTTCAACGGCTCGGCAGGCTTCCATTCAAGAGTGTACTGGGCCTTCGCCATGACCGTCACGATTTTGGCGTTTCTCACGTCGAGTTTTGTCTGCATAGTCACATTCCTACTGTTCTACCCTCACGTCGAATGGCTAGCGTGGTGCTTGATCCCCTCTGCTGCTATCAATTTGGGCGCAGTTGTGTCGTTGGCGTTCTCCTTCAACTCGTTATGCACTCCAGACAAGGAAATGCAAACAGATGACGAGAGCGAGTACAACGAGAAGGCTTCGGTGCTCAATCCTCCCAACATCAAGAGCTTCAACCCTTACCTCAATTCCGACGCAACGTTATTGAATAATGTCCCTCCGATCACTAAATCCAATATGAACGTCATGACACGCTCTCTCAACTCTTCTGCTTCTTCTTTGTATACGAAGGAACAGGATAAAAACGACTCAGTTGTTGTCACAGAGAGGATAAACACAAAAAATTCATCCTCGAACATGTCTCTCAAAGTCCCTCAGATTTCTAATCCTTATTTGAACCAAGGGGCAAACGATAGCGTTGGTAATAGCAACAACAGCAATCTCTTTCCAAATGAAAGCAGCAACAGAAATAACGACAATAGTGCTGACGATGAACCAGATCAGCGTCTTTCGGATACCGAGAACAACTCCGCAAATAGCTCTTCTTCTAATTTCACGAGCATATCGCAAAGGCCTATAAATCCTAAATACTATGCCGGATCTCCTCCAAACAATAGGTTACCTTTGAGTGCTGCAAACCAGTACGGCTCAAATGGTCCTCAGATGAAACAGAATACCATGACACCACAACAATATCATCAACAACGCCAGTATAACCAGTATCAGAACCAAATGTCGTCAATGCCGATGCAAAACAAAAACGCTTACATGAGAAAACCCAAACCTTACATGGTGATGGGTCATAGACCACCTTTCCCTAACCAGCAACCACCGGCCCAGCGTTATCATAACGGCTTTAATCAAATGGCTCAACAGGCTCACAATCAACCTCATCAACCATACTCTAACTACAACACACAAAATCAGCAGTTCAATCAGCTCAATCCATACGCACCTAATTCTTCGAAACCTAGAGGTAACGGTTTTGTGCCGATGAAATACAGAGCACGTAACAACATGGCCAACTTACCAGCTTCTGCATTGGGAAACGATGGCCCATATTCTGGATTCAGGTGAATTAGATCTTTCTTTTTTATGCTTTCTTTCTTTTTCCTTTTTGGCTAATTGCCAATTTTCTCTTGCTTTTACTTTTGCTTATTTCAAACTATTTTGTTTCTTTTTTTACAATTAAGCTTCATTCGTATCCTCATTCAACTCAGTTAACACACCTTATAAGAAGGACGTGTGCGGGACATCTTTACATATTTTCAATCACAAGTTTAAAAGTTTTTCTTCTAAAGTTGTGGACGGTATGGTTTCTCCCATGGATGTAGTGAGAGGAAGAACTTCTTCAGTGGCGGTCGGACCAAGAACAGTAGTTTTCACTTCAGTATTGGCGTTATCCCCATCATGAACATAATGATCAACACGCCTGGGCTTTACCATTAACAACATCAAAAACAAGAATATGAGCAAAACTAAAAATAGAACAATCTTACATTTTCTTGTTTGTTTTTGGTAGCCTTCAGCTTTATTGAGTTGTTTATGTGCACCTTTAACATTTTCCGCTGTACGATCCAAATTATATGCAATGTTATCCAATATCGTGCCCTGATCGATCACAATGTTCTCCAACTCCTTGAAGATGATACTGATCTCTACCACATTCTGTGAGATCTTGTAAATTTCTCTTTCTCGCTCTAATAGATACTGCTGGTCGTCGATTAGTTCAGTCTTGTTTAACTGTAATTGGGTTTGCTTGGACTCGATTTGTCTGCTACTTTCAACCATAGCATTTCTAGAATAGCTCTCCACATCAGTAGTTTCACCACCCAGTAAGTCAGCATCGCCCTGTTTATCCTCAATTTCATCCTTTTTCAAATACCTAATATATCTCCCTTGCATCTCACGAAATTGTCCACTTAGCTCTTGTGACACAAGAGCAAATTTCTTCTTCAAATTACTAACTAGAATTCGAGTTCCTCTAATAGATTTGTCCCCATTATCTCTAAATCCTCCATCATCATACTCACCAACTTCCTTGCTTGACAATAATTCATCCAATCTCTGTAACTCATTTATAACTTTGTAGATCATCCGAATCTCATTCGTTATAGTATTTGACAACTCATTGACAATGTTCATTTCTCCTTGAATCAAGTTATCATCAAATTGAGGTAGAAGCACCTCCTTATACTTCTTATTTAGTTGTTTCATATTTTCTTTAATTCGGTGTGTTAAATCATTTCCCCTGTTTTCAATTGATTGGATGATATTTGTGTACTCGTCATTTTGCACGTTATGATCATTATGTGCTGTGACAAGATCACTCAACTCAATGTCCCCTCCAGCGTCTACATTCAATAGCCCTTCTTCTTCTTGTCTTAAATGCTGAAATCTAGCATTATTGTTAGTTTCCTTTGTACTCTTTTGCTTTGAATGATGTGGAAAGGTACTCCTGTATGCTAAATATAAATTTGTCCTATCTCTGAGCATTATGGGTCTTTGCATGTGCAAGTAAGTGCAATAGAACCATATTTTTTGAAAGAGACCTGCGTGTTATCTACCATGTTAATAATATACGATATTAAACATTTAAGTCTTTCAAATTATTATTCTAAATTCTATACAATTACGTAATCCGTTTGCTCTATGTAGAGTTTGTAGTGCCCTGATAATAAACTCCTGGCGCCATGAGTATATACCTTTCCATGGCTTCCCTGAATCTGTTCTTATACTGCTTTGGGGTGATAACGGTAGGTTCTTTACCCACACCAGTGTTTCCTACTAGTCCCTTTTCTTTTACCCAACTTTCCAATTTCTTATCCCACGTAAAAGTGCGAATACAGTCAATAATACCGACAATCAATTCACTATTGGCATGATCAATCCCAACCACCAATGAGTAATCCATCACATTCATTTTTTCCAAAAAAAGAGTATCATTCCACAATGATGCCCTTAGTAACCTTTTATCATTCTCTTTGACAAACAATGGTGATTCGTAAATATACTCTACCATGTTTTCATCTAATAAAACCTCGTTTTCTTTTCCAGTTTGTTCCACGTGCCTATTTCTCATGGACCCTTTCAAATCAAAGATTCTATCAATTTTCTTATCATAGAAAAGATTTTCCATAATTAAAATGTCCATGGTGTAGGACTTGGCATTCGACACAGTATTCTTAACTTGAATTTGATAAAATCCAAATATCTTCACCAATACGCTGGGTAAGTCATGAAACAAGACATGAGCAAAGTACTCAAAGTAGCTTGGAGCAAAATGAACAAAAGCCTCTAATTCTGCTTTGCTTAGTTCCTTTATTATGAAACGCTGGTCCGAAGTTTTCAAGAAAGCAGAACCACTTTTACCTCCCGTGGAATCCCATTTGACACATCTCGACAGACTTTCAATAAAGTTGTCATTCACACCACATTGTTTACGTAGAGCATCAAATTGTTGTGCAAAAAAGATCTTACAGGAGATAGCGGAATACCCATCTTCAAATTGATACTTCAAATGGAACCCTTTTCTCAGCATAATTTGTTCTAAGTCGAGTCGTTCTATACTTTTCTTCTGGTTGGTTCCTCCAACTTTATCATCAATCCTTATCTCATTACTTGCCGTGTTATTCTTAATCTCGTTGCATTCTTGAGCAACTGAAACATTTTCAGGTTGGTTTTCAATATTGTTGATAGCATTATCATAAGCTTCTTGCAGCTTATGATTTTCAGCTATATCCACAGTAACTGGTTCTTTAACACATACATCATCTTTTTCGTCATTTCCCTCCTCCGAAACTATCTCAGTCTGAGTTGAGTTCAAATTATTGCTATTTAACTTCAGTCTATAGTCACTAGTGCTCAAACAGAAAGCAATAATCGAACTTGGCTCATCCTCTCTAACAATCACATCAGAATCAACAAATATATGTTCAGAAGAATCTAGAGGGTATGATAGAGGCTCCCATAATGTAGCTGAACGGTCGGCCCAAAAATGCGTAAGTGACTTTAGGAGAGATATTTTTTCTGGCTGTACATCCTTTTCCTTTTCTCTTTCCCTCTCTCTCTTTCTTTCTCTTTCTCTTTCTTTTTCTCTTTCTGCTTCCCTCTCTCTTTCTCTCTCTCTTTCTCTTTCTTTCTCTTTTTCTTTCTGTTTCTCTCTCTCTTTCTCTCGCTCTTTCTCTATTTCCCTTGTTCTGTCTATTTCATTTTCTTTGAGGTCCAGACTGACTTTTTTTTTTCGCAAAGCGTCCAGGCTCAAGTTACTATTATTGTAAGTAATCTGCTGAGAGTTTTTTAACGCTTCGGCATTGACAGCATCACTTGCATTTTTATAAACCTCAATCTGAGGTTTCATGATGCTAACTTTGGGGGTATACTTGTTGTAATTATCGAGTTTTTGTTTTTCTAATTCTCTTTGGTTGAAATACTCTTGGGTATCAAAGAATCTCGTTAATTGTTTTACTTTACCTGCATCAAGTCCTCCTTCCAAAGCTTTTGAAGGTGGAAGCCAAAGTAGCTTATCAGATTTTTTATTATTTAGCTCGTGTATTCTGTTCAAGATAAGTTGACTTTTATGTTTCTTCGGATTTGAATTTTCGCCTAACTTCGTTTCTCTATCAATAGACTGTTCTATATCTGGGTCATTGACATCACATTGTGAAGTTGTTTCAATTGAAATTGGTTTAGCGTCGGCATGACTATTAGTATCGTCAGTCTCACTTTCAGTCTCACTTTCATCTTCATCTTTGTTAGCAAGACTTTTAAACAAACGATCTAACTGGAACGCAGTAATTTTCTTCACATCCTTTTCACTCGGTAGAAACTCTTTAGCAAATACTTGGAATTTAAAATTCCAGAAACTTGAAAGCTCTTGTACCTCCCTCAAAACAGTGTTAAGTTTCAAATGCTCCTGAATTCCTGAGTCTTTATACATTGTAACTAGTAACAAGTCAATTTCATTCCGCTGTTCCAAAAGTTTCGCTTTGAGTTTGCTCAAACTCACATTTCCTGCTTCCACTTGCTCTGTACCTAAATCAGTACCATCTAATTTAATTCTTACCAATCTATTATTTACGGAATCAAAAAATTCGGAGCTTTTTTGTTGAACTTCATGGAAATGATTAAGCTTGATTTTATAATGATAAACCGGGTTCCAGAAAAGTTTGAACTTCGGGATTATCAGTTGTAAACTATCAATTTTACTATACTCCAAATGAATTCTATAATTTTTGAAGCTAAAGTAATGAATATAATCTTTGAAAAAATCAAAATCCGGATTATTGATATTGCATTGACAATTGTTATTGTTATTCAAAATTTTGAAGTCGAAAGATTTATTGAACCAGAATATAAGTTCCAGGAACTTCCCAAATGAATATTTGTACGATGTATCATTTAGCGGTAGTACAGGAGTAGAATTCAAACAATTTTTGCAAACACTCCAGGTCATTATATTGTTTGAGAGCACATTCAAGCTGTTCGATTCAATAAATATATCTATTTTACCATCGTTGTGGACATAAGACCTGTAGTGGTCTTTTAGAGGTAACTGACAATTTTCATTGCAGAGATTGTTGGCATTTAAGCATATATTTTCAATGAATTGACCAAGACTGAAATCGCTTTCCCAATAAAAGTCAATCAACTGAATTTCTGGTCCAATACAAGGGGTCGAGTTTTTCTTGGAAATCATGCTGAACAAAATTGCAATATTTTGATTGTAATTGGGATCAAAATATGTTAGCTCTCTGCTTCGCCAAAACTGATCCCATTTTTTCAGATAGAAAGCCATTTCAGTCTGCCAAAAGCTCTCCCTATATAACTTGATTGAAGTCACTAATTTCAATAAATCCAGCTCATCATGTATTTTGAGGTCATCAATACCAAGCAAAGACTTAATGTCATTGTTTTGATCAGCCGGGTCTGAAAGAAATTTTTCATACAAGGACTGATTTTCAGCAATCTTGAGTTTGGTTTTTTCAAGCTGAACTAGGATCAATGGCTTGTTGAATTTAACCCAAGGAGAAGTGCTAACTAGCCTAACGTTAAGTAAATTCACAAAATCATTGAAGCTTTTGAAGTCATAAGCATAGAGAGGTGCCAAATCATTGAGACTGTCAATAAACTTTATCCGATCATGGTCCTCCACCTTTAGACACTGATCTCTCATGAAGCTTGACTCTAACTTGATATTAGTAAAAGTGTATATCATTATCATCAGGCAACTCTTAACTTTGGTCAAAGTTTCGTCATCGGCATCACGTAAAATGATTGTCAACCCTATTTTGTTGGGACATCCATCAAACAAAAGGTAGCTTTTGACAACATTTCCGAACTTAAAATTGAGAACTTTAAACATTTCACATGTCCCAATTTGGGGTTTCATGGCTAACAAGTCGATGGAGGTTATAATTGTAGAGTTTGTAAATTTAGACAATTTGATTAAGTTGCTCAACTTACATTTGGGAACAACCGAAATCCCAAATTCAGCAAAAATTTTCAACGCCAGCCCGTTAATGGAGTTTGAAGAAATAACGATTGTCGGTTTCAAATTCAAAATCCTATCGACTAGTTTTTTGATATATTGGTCTTGCTGAGCAATTATGGACTCTAAGCTTTGGAAATGATGCTTATTATTGATGTCTTGATCGTATTCGAGAGGAAAAGTTATGAGCATAATTTTTGGGGATTTGATTGTAGTCGGCATGGTTTTTAAAGGTAATTTTTTGGAGAATACTATTCCTTCTATTGTTTTGGTCTCACGTAAATCTGAACCCAGAATTTTCTTTATTTTGATATAATTTGCAAAATTATAGTTTGATTCATTCGAGTTGATATTACTATTGTCAACATTCTTCAAGTGAATCTCAATATTGTTTATTTTATTTAAAGATTTTATTAAAACGTCTGACCACTGAAGAAAGTTTTCAATTTTTTTGTCTACCAAAAGCTCATTCAGTAATGAAGAAGCATATTTCTCTCCGACTTTTTGAAAATCGTCAGAAAAATGGATGTCCGGGTTAATATTATCAAAATTGCTGTTGTTCTGCTGGCCAATTCTGCTTGTATAAGGCCTTGATGATTTTCGATTCTTGATTCTGTTACTAACTAATCGTCTTCTGTTTGTTTTACCATAATTCAGCATGTTGTTATTCAAAGCGTTGCTTGATCTAAAAGAGTGAACTTTTGCAAGAAAATGGGACGTATTGCTGCTGTTACTCCCGCTACTGTTGATATTTCCCGTGTTGACGGTACCTATATTGGGGCTTTTGGTGTCCATAGATTCGGATGATTTTGGCCAATTGAATTGATGATTGTTCATGAATGATATCATTTCATTTTCATCCTCTGAAGAATCATTAGAATTGTGAAATGTATTATTGACATCACTTTTGCTATTTGAATCATGTTGGATAGGATTAATTGGATTGTGATTAGGTATATCTATTTCAAGTGCTTCACCTGCTCTTGTAGTAGGGATGGTCATCATAGGTGGGGGCGTGGGCGTCGAAATACTGTGCACTTTTCCAGTTGCGTTGAGAATATTAAAATCTGCACCAAGCCTATTATTATTACTAGCTGAACTGTTACTGGAGTTTTCCTGGTTGCTGGTTTTCCGTTCTTCATTTTCTCTTCCGTTATTCTCTCCTTCGACTACTCCACTATTACCATTACCATTACCATAAGCGTCATCTTCTTCGTCGTCGTCGTCGCTCGAAAAGTAGCCATCATCATATCTGTCTGCTAAATTATTGCACAACAAACACACTCTCATTTTCCCATGATGGTTGAATTTTTCGCCATTGATGAAGGTGGTACAGTTTGAGCAGAAGATCTTGCCACATATCCTGCAATGATGTTTTCTCAAAAAAGTGGTGAACTTCCGATCGCATGATCTGCATTTGATAGCGGATGCATCATCTAGCCAATAATCTCGTCCTATCCCTGTATTTGCTTTCACTTGATTATTTGCATTCTTGCCTATATTTAGATTCAAACTTGAACTCAACTCAGAGATAAAAGATTGTTTGGATTCATTTCTGTTTTGCAGCTTGAGTCGGGATACGTTTTCTCGTAACTTTGGGTGCCTTTTATTATCAGTTTCTACCGTGTATGAGTGTAGTAGGTTAGCTATTATGTTTTCGGTTACGCTGGAGTTATTTGCCGCATCGTCGTTGTTATCAACACCATTTGAGATTGCTGGAGAAGGGTAGGAGTTTAAACTCACAAGGTGCGTAGTAGACGAGGACCTCGAATTGTCGAGTAGTTCTGTCATACTAGGATATTTTCAGAACTTTAAGTTATTGTCACCCTATTGGCTGCAGATCAGAGGTATCCTGGTGATGAAAGGAGGATAGAGTAAGCCGGGAGAGTGATAAATCATGTCACGGATTCGTAAACATATGGCAAAGAAATTAATGTTACATACATCATGATAAAGGAATTATCGACGCGTCGATTATTTGATAAAGTTTGAGCTTAAAAAGAGAGAGGTTCTATAAATTCATAGTTAGATAGCAGTTATATAAGAATCATTCGTCGAAAACGATCTTCTTGTTAACTTTGGGACCTACCTGAACCTCCGAGAGTTCTGCCTGTGGCTTACTGGTGGTAGCAATCGGGTTTTCATCATCGAAAAGAGGAGGAAGGCCTCTTAAGTTTCTCTGCAAACGATTCAACTGGGATAAAACGGTTGGGTTTATTCCAGTGTAAGTCGAGGATGATACAGAAGCCAAGTCTCCTGTGTTTGCAGTTATAGAGTTCAAGGGGTGATTGTTGATGAATTCGTCCACATGAGATAAAACTGTTTCATCTTCAAGAAATGTCTGTGATTGCGTTATCTTAAAGAGAGTTGGATTGTTGGTGTCATCTTTTATCGCTCTGAATCTCTGTCCCTGCCTCGACATGTTGCTGTTTGTGACTAGGTATATGTATTAAGGAAAGGTGCACTTGTTGATCTTAATACAAGTTCAACTGCCAGGCACACTTTTTGTGCTATCAGGATCCAGATGTTCTTAAAGTACAAAAAAAATTTGCAGTATTCTTTATGTGTTTTACGTAAGCAATGTGGTGGAAATGGCAAGTCTTGTAGAATTCTATTAACAAAACTATACACAAGATATACAGATATGCACTTCAGTAGAAGAAACATCAGGGCTGAATTTGTAAGCTTTAATATTGACAAGGTATTGGCTGGCATACTGTGTAGCAGAGCTGGCAGTGCAATCAGTGGGTCAAGAACCAACGACCCTTTTCAAATCTCTTTTTGACGATTTGTCTTCCGGTACGAGACTTCATTCTGGCAAGGAATCCTAATCTTCTCTTTCTCTTAAGAGTGTTAGGCTGGTATGTGTCACCTCTGGAGCCACCCCTGGAGCCAAATCTCTGCTGCATGAACAGACTCGAAACTGCGAGCAGTCCTGGAGCAGAAAAGTTGACATTCGACGTCGCTCCACTCTTGAATATTCCGAAGGACGACTTGATGATCGATAACATGGCAGTGCCTCTCTTGTGTTTCTTCTCTTCCGGTGTTTTCTCTTAACTCGTACGTTGGTTTTGTGGATCACCCCTACCTGATGTCTCCTTCTACAATTCAAACACTTCGAGCCGAAAGCCAGGGTTACTGCTTCTGTTTCTCGCATTAAAAAAAACTCGGGGCGCGAGGAGAGTTTCACGTCTCCACTTAAAATTACAGTGGTGGCAGTTAGGTTCTGTTGCCGGAAAGACAGAGAAGGAAAGATTGGACAGCCTGGTCAATTGAAGGAGTATCATAGTACAGCCGTAAATCATTATTTTACTTCCCTCCCAGCAGTGGCTGTCGACATCATTAAATGGCAAGCTAACAGTCCGTACCATACCGACAATGGCGATTTATTTTTCTCTACTGTTCTACTCTTCCCTTATGGCGAGCCTGTCGTTTATCGCAGGTCTTCCGCCCTTCTGGATCCTGAACAAATCAGAGCAGGCTTTGCCATATCTGATCACATTGACTTCCGGGTTGCTTCTTTCAACCTGTATCAATATAGTGCTACCGGAAGCGATTTCTCATTTGACCGAAAAGCAATTGAGCTCACCTACCTTGGGTCCCCAAATTTTGTTAGGGTTCATACTTTTATATTCGGTCGATGTATGTTCTTCATTGTTTTCTAAGTACTACAGGACTCGTTTGCTAAACTCCATTACAACAAATGCTGATGAGGTTGGGCTCGAGTATGAGAATGGCAACGATTCCTCGTATTCCAGCAATGGTTGCAATATTATCGCTTTAAAGGCGTATTTATTTTCAGTCATATCCAACTCCACTACTTTGGGGTTGCTTCTTCATTGCCTTACCGACGGCATCATCCTCACAACCTCCTTATTGTCCGAAGATTCAAATCCCCATGATTCAAACGCATTTGTCATCATATTAGCAATATTTTTGCACAAACTCCCCGCTTCTTTCTCTTTGACATCGATTTTGTTGAACCAGAAATTAAAAAGCTCCGTCATCTTGTTCCACTTACTTCTATTCTCGATATCTGCACCAATTGGTGCGTGGATCACTTTACTGATTTCGCAGCTTTTGAATATTGCAGGAAATCCTTCCTCAAACACATTCATACTATTGTTCAGCGCTGGCGCTTTCCTATACGTCAGTTTTCATACCTTTATTTCGTGTCATAGTCACGATGCTGCCGCAAAATCAGATGACTTTTCAGGATCAAAAACCAATTGGAACTTTTTGATTACTATGCTTGGAATGTTAATTCCTTTAGTAGTAGCCTTCACACACGACGACTGATGTATGCACATCTTTCGTCGTCGACGCTCACTACTTATACAATGTTAGACAGTTAATTACAGTATTGATGCGTTATTGTACTTTTTTATATCCTTATTTCTATCGATTATTCTCTACGTATACGCTTTCTGTTCAACCATTCGTCTCTTTTATTTCCGATTGCGTTAGAAATGTTACCACTATTCTTACCTTTCAAAATCTTGATATATATACCTCCTTCAACTTCTTTCTCGTTTTTGGCATTTAATTGCCTCAAAGAATTGAGACGTTCTTCTCTCTTTCTTCTTTTGTTCAATTTGTTTATTCTTTTGTCTTCCTCCGTATCATTGAACACTATCTTTTTGTTTCTACTTTCAGCTTCGTCCTTAGCGGAGAATTCGATATTCTGAAGTAAATCTTCTGGTAATTCGTCAAATACTTCATCCTCATCTGATTGGATCTTTTTCTTTTGTTTCTCTAACTTTTTGATTTCTTGTTCTAACTTTGCAGCTTTCCTTCTTTCTTCTTGTTCTCTATGTTTCGCTTTTACTTGAGCTCTTCTCTCTTTCAAAATTTTCTCTTGTTCTGTTTGTTTTTTCTTCATGTTCTGTTTAGTAACAGATAAAGACTCTTCTTCAGGAGCATCATCGCTGTCCTCTTCACTTTCACTAATTTTGTCTTCTTTTTCACTCTCTCCGATTTCCAGAATATCTGACTTCCCAATATTCACAACCTTCTGGACTTGAACCTCATCATCGTCATCGAAAGTCTTATGTGATCTTGTTCTCACCATCTTGTTTAAGAATATTAATCAACTATGTTAGAAGAAAGTATTTAGCAAAAAGTTCTGTACTGAAATAGAGTTAACACGAGTAAATCTCAGTGTTAGTTATATGTTTTAATGAAGATTTAAAAGACAAAAAAAATCATGAAAAAAAAAAATAGTAAGAAAAACAATTTTTTCCCGATATAAAATTTACCACTCTTCTACGGCTTCGATAATTATAATGGTGGCAATGACAATATCGATGACAATCTTATTTTCGTCAAAGCTTATTCCAGTTTTCTCACATTGTTTGTATTACAGTTCATTACCCCCAACCAGCAGAAAATTTTATTCCAGATTTCTTTGAGCTGGTCCGTATCCCCAATTGAATATAACAATGCAGTTAATATAACCAATAATGCTAGTACTGCCACTAAAAGATAAAGCTGAGTAGACGTTAAGTTTTGAAGCATATAGCAGTAACTGTCATTACTAGCCTCTAGCGTATTGTTGGAGATACTTCCATAATGCCTGTCATAGTTGGCCTCCAAATCAACACCTAATGCATGTTTCCCTTGGTGGACAAGTAACGAGGATTCGCCACTTGCTTCAGTCGGTGTAACAGTAGAAGTACCAGTTATAAGTCTGCTTTCATCCTCGTTGGAAATGATATCCTCAAACTGATTGTTTTTACGTGGTGAGTAGGTCGGATTAGGCACTTTACTTGTTTTAGTACTGACAGCTTTTTTCTTTTTGTTAGACAAAGCCTTTTTGACTACGTTTGAGTTACTCATTACTGATTCGATTAATTGCAATAAGTTTGAATTTTTTGTCAAATAAATACAGAGACACTTACCTGTATCTATACCTGTGGATAACGTGTTTAAAGAAGAACATAATCCAAACAAAAGGGGAACAGGGCATAATTCTGAAGGTAAAAGAAATCCCATTTTTCCTGTGTCACCCCCGCGTTCACTAGGTCATCTTAGATAAGAGAATAGCCACCGTCAACTACTAAGTCACATCCGGTTGTATAGCTACTTGCATCACTGGCAAGATAGACGTAAGCACCGCTTATTTCTTTTGGCGAGGCCATTCTACCCAAAGGGGTTAGCTTACACCACTTTTCAACTAAAGCAGGATCCATTTTCCCTGTCAACTTTGTTCTAACGTATCCTGGAGAAACACTGTTTACTCTTATCTTCCCATCTCCTATAGCTGACCATTCAACAGCCAAAGACCTCGCCATTTGTTTCACTCCGGCCTTAGCAACGTTATATGGAGTTTGCAATTGAGGTACATTGATAATACTACCAGACATAGAGGCTGTGAGGATCAACGACCCGAAACCTTGTTTTTCAAAAATTTTGCCGATGAAAGAACAGCAGTAATATATCGAAGATAAGTCAACTTTCATAAATTTCTCCCAGTTGTTTACCAATTGCTCATATGACTCAAACTCATTGACCCCGCCATGTAACCAGCCAATGCCGGCGTTGGCAACCAAAACATCAATCTTGGAATATTTCTTAATTACATTATCAAATAGTCCTTCGATTTCACTCATTTCCAATAAATTGCATTTGTATGAATCGATTGTCACATTGTATTTTTTTGTAAGATCTTTGACAACTTGATCAACGGGCGTAGAATTGTAGACAATGATAACAGTTGCACCCATTGAAGCGAACGCCTCCACAACGCTTGAACCAATTCCTGAGGAACCACCTGTAACAACACATGTTTTACCTTTCAATGAAAAAAGCTCCGAAACGGGAGCTGTGATTTCCGGGGTTTCCCTGACTTTGAACATCTCAAAAAATTTATCAGTTTATGCTTTAGTCTTTAAAGATACTTATGAATAAACAAAGACTAGAAAAAAGAGGGAGGTAGCGGTGGCAAATGAGGAAAAGTAGATATCAAAACTGCACATGCTGAAACTGGGACAGGAATTTCACATCCTAACTCCTCGGAAGATAGATAGTATGTTTCTCAGCCGAGATCGATAGCGAGAAAAAATGTTATCGGTTGTTTCGGTAATCTATGCCGACGTCTGACATAAGCAGAGAAGACTACATGCATGAGCAGAAATTAGGGCTTTCCGAAAAAGGCCATTGCCTTGGCAGATTAGGATCCCAAAGTTTCTTGGTACACCGATTAAATTGTAGTACTAGTTTAAAATCTGAGCTCGGTGACAGCTGGTGCCACTCATTCGTAGAATTTGAGTGCAACATCCATAATAAAATGTACAATGCATAAGCGCTTACAAGTTTGATCGCTCCTGGCGATGATGCCTTAAAAAACCCCTGACTGAGATATTTGAAGGGGTTAGCATGTAAAGAGACTTGCAAGGAAAGCTTCTACCGGTAAACGTAATGTTGGTTTGAACTGTTTGGTAGTGGAGTTATAAAAGTTAATACAGTGCATCCATATACAGCAATTTCCTTCTTCAATCCAAATTACGCTTATCTTACTCTTCAACTTCACTATATTGTTCGTTTATACTGGATCGTCTAGTACTAAAAACATCCCTTTTTTTACATACCCAGTTGACCAGCTTTCTTGTCCCTGTTGAGATAAGATGCCGAAGTCAATAAGTATCAATAAATTAGAGAAAGAGGCTTATAAAAGACAAGGCATTAGAGAAGAGTCTTGTAATGACAAGGCATCCGACAAGAGGCTTAGAATGACAAGGCATCAAGTAATCAAACACTGGAAAGACTAGCCGACGTCATGAGTGTATAAATAGGAGAGGTTTTGTCTCCTATCTGTGTTTAGAATTATTAGTTATTAAGAGTTGTATAAGTTGTTTTTGAATAAGAAACAAGAATAATATAAATTGAACAATATACAATGGATATTCATAACAGAATAGCTAGACTTCAACAGTCCTCACTGACCATAATTATGCACTGAAGTAGAGTAGTGATACGTTACAATGGTGTTTGGATATTCTACTCTGGGATTTGAACGGGAAATAAATCTTAATGCTATGGTTACGTCATCGCAAACCAGTGTATGTGCGCTGCAAAGGAATTTGCTTAGCCTTTTTACGTTTCTGAAAGGAAATGTTTTCAATCAAACCTGTCAAAGATAAGAAACTTTGGGTTGGGTAAAAAAAGCACTATTCTAAGGATCTAGGTTGTACGACGGTTAATTCCTTATGGAAAGCATAAGTGGCCGAGCGGTCTAAGGCGACAGACTCAAGTTCTGTTACTGGTAACAGTGCGCAGGTTCGAATCCTGTCTTATGCACCATTTCTTCCTAGCGGCCTTAGCTCAGTGGGAGAGCGCCAGACTGAAGATCTGGAGGCCCTGTGTTCGATCCACAGAGGTCGCATTCTTTTTCTTTTTATCTTGTTAAAAAAAAGATGATGATGAAGGGTGAAGAAAGAGTCAATAATATTTTTTTCAATAATATAAACCTGAAAATACAAATGCAAATTAACCTATTAATTACAATATAAATTATGTACCATTTCAAGCAAAATCTCCTTGCCATGAATTTGAATCAACTTTTACTGCTGTGGTTTGAGAAACTTTTAAGGCGGAATCGAAAGATGACTCCAAAATATCATTCATCTGAAGGTTAGCCAGAGGATTTGAAAGGTCCGAGCGGATATCATTCCCATCTTGGTCAACCAATTTCTTTTTGTCATTGCTTATTTCAATCTCACGATTTGAGATTTTGTTCATAAGTTGCATGAAGCCACTTTGTTTGAATTTGTTGGATGTATTAGAGGACACGTGCTTTGGAGTGTTGTTCATTATATTAAATACGTTTTGAGCAAGGATCGCAAACTTTACCTTATCTTCTTCTTCATTGACAACTTTGCTGTTTTCTTCCTCCTCCTTTGCAGACTGGTTCTGTGAAACAGATGTTGTATTAATTTCATTTTCTAATTCACTGAAAGCACTGTCGAATTCGTTATTCATTTCCATGAGATTTGTTGAGGACTGACGATTCTGTTGCTGCTGCGCATCTAAAGAAACTTTTGTTGTTGAGCTCATGTGTGGACTTTGCATCTGATGCCCATAAAGGTTCATGGACGATAACGGGTGATTAGCATGCTGCTGGCTTTGACCTTGGTAGCTTTGTTGGCTTTGATGTTGCTGCAAATGTTGAGGAGCGGCGTCTGACAAAGAAAAAGACCGGAAATCAGACACCCAGTTGTTTGGCTGTGACTGCATGTGCAAATTTGCTTGCTGGATATGTGACTGTTGCGGCTCATTTAGCCCAACATCATGTAAACTAAACTCATTGTTCAAGTGAAAATTTTGACCCGAGTTTGAAAAGTTGTTATATTCATGCTGAACAGTATTGTCTACGTTTTGAAAACGATTTAAATTATTCTGGACTTGTGCACTTCGTCCACTTTGAAAGTTATTGAAACCACTTGTATTATGACGTTCATTAGTAGTCGTATCGACAATTTTGCTCAAAGGATTTGAAGCTGCTTGGCAAGCGCTTGACTCATTGAAAAAACTCATGTTCTGTAAAGTTAAGAGCTTTCACTATGGTACTTGTGCTATATAGCAAACGGTATTAGAAGGGTTTTGGCCTGACAACTTCAGGATGAAAGAAATGAGGTATAGAGGGAAGGAGCCTACTCCATTTGGATTCAGTATGATAGTCGCAAAATCTACTGTTTTGTTATTTTTACCCTGCCACGCACCTCTCCGATACCCCGGTCACGGTGGACCAACTAGCCTCTTTTGGAAACGCTGACCATTGAATGACCGAGAAAAAATTCTAAAAAAAGCTTACTAGTAAAAAACGCCGGGGGCAAATTAAAAATAAAAAAATAAATGCCGCTCCCAGGAATCGAACCTGGGTCTCATCGGCCACAACGATGCGTACTCACCACTATACTAGAACGGCAACAGCGCGGAGTTTTAGTGCAGCAAAAATTATAAAGACACATACATTTTACCTGATGTTTTATAAAATTAACATGTAATTTTTTTTTCAAAAAATTGCACGTTTACTAAAATATCTCACCTATACACAATACTTTATCTTGTTGATTACGTAAGTTTTGAACTTGCACTAATTTACATTGTTTGCATATGAAATTATTTGTTTTTGTTGAAGTTGTTGAGATAAGATGCCGAAGCCAATATCAATAAATTAGAGGAAGAGGCTTATTAAAGACAAGGCATTAGAAAAGAGCCTTGTAATGACAAGGCATCAAGTAATCTAAAACTGGAAAGATTAGCCGACGTCATGAGTGTATAAATAGGAGAGGTTTTGTCTCCTATCTGTGTTTAGAATCATTAGTTATTAAGAGTTGTATAAGTTGTTTTTAACTAAGTAACAAACATAAGAAAACGTGTACATATACAATGGATATTCATAATAGAATAGCTAGATTACAACAGGTTATGAGCCAATTCGCTCTCACTTGCCCTAGAGATGAGAGCTTGAAGCTTTCTTCGTCTATGAACTATCCTAAATGGAACAGTTACACTGGTATGCTTGTTGCCACTCAAGGTGCTGGCCTTGATATTTATTTTACAACTGGAGATATGATGTTACCTCCAGCTGAACCGATAGACGACACTCTAGTTATGCAGCTCCAAGTTGCCTTGAACAATGCGATTCAAGTTGTACTGTTGAATACTGTGTCGTCAAAAGTGTTGTTAAAGTATCAGTCTGATAATGCGTTCGGACTTGATTTACTTATGTTGATTAGACGTGATTACTCCCAGGTTACATCACGCCAATTGTATGCTATGGTTAATAAAGCTTGTGATGCTTCGGTCAGTAAGTCTGCCGGTGATGAAAGTGCTCTGTCCTTGTTCAGAGATATATGTGCTCACTTTAACCACTCCTCGGAAATTACCCAAGTGATGGGTTTGTTTTACTTAAGGATGTTTAAGTCCGACCAAGCGAATGCTCGAGTTTTAGATGTGTCAACTCCGAACATTACGTTGTCAGCGGTTGAGAACACTCTGCGGGATCTTGTTCCTACTACGCAGGGTTCAGTATTTGCGGCTACTTCCAAGAAACCTTATGTTAATAAGCAGAAGTGTTACCGATGCCAGAAACGAGGCCACGTTGCTAAGGATTGTCCAGCTGCTGCCCCGATTGCTGCTAGCAGTTCTAGTGGTAATACAGCAGCTCTTGTCAACTCCTCATCCAAATCTATCTCTGGTATCTCTTGGGCAGTCTTCAACTCAAGAGAAGACTCAGTTATGCCAAGTCGGAGCTACATTTTGGATTCTGGTGCTACACTTCACATTTCAAATGAGCGGTCTCATTTTGCTGAATTTACTCCGGCGTCTGGCTGCATTACTGGGATCTCATCCAATCCTCTGGTCGTTAAAGGTACTGGGACTATCCGCTTTGTGCACCCAGTTACCTCAAAAGTTCTCACCGTGTCTGACGTCTCCTTTGTCCCCGATGCCACCCAAAATCTTATATCCATTAAAAAGGCCTCCAAAACTGGTTCATTTACATTTTCTCATGAAGCGGTTCACTATCTCTCATCTTCTGATGATACAGCTAGTAAAATTGCGACCGCTTGTGGGCCAGACCTGTACGAGTTTGATTATACTCCGGTAGTTGGTGATGCACTTGCAGTTCCTGGTGATATCAGTCATGCGGCCCTCGGTCACCCTTCGCCCGCAGTTATGGCCCAGATGGGAGTACCTTCTGGTACCAAGATGGTTGAGTGTGCCTCGTGTGCTGCAGGAAAGATGACTCAAATCTTTCCCAAGCAAGCTTCATCACCACGGGCAAAGGCACCGCTCCAACTACTTCATGCTGATGTGAGCGGACCTTTTTCAACACCGGGTTTTGCTGGTGAGAAATACTTTCTCACAATTGTTGATGACTTTTCAAGATGGGCTCACATAATTCCTCTCAATACGAAAGACGAAACCAATGCATATTTCAAGAATTTTATCTTGACTGCAGAAAACCATTTTAGCTCACGCGGTTTGAAAGTTTCCAACGTTCGTACTGATAACGGAACTGAGTTTGACAACAAAGCAATCAACCACTTTTACTTTGAAAAAGGGATCAGTCATCAGTTGACGGTCCCGTACAATTCGTCTCAAAATGGTGTTGCCGAACGGAAACATCGCACGTTAAAAGAGAAGGCTCGTGTTCTTCTTCATTCATCAGGTCTTCCCTCGCGTTTTTGGTCCGAGGCAGTCAAGACGGCTGAATTTCTAGTGAACAGGTACCCGTCATCTTTATTGGACGGGAAGTCACCTTTCTTTCGTTGGTATGGATATGACCCCTTATATTCTGTGCTGCATCCGTTTGGTGTCCAGTGTCATGTGTTGATACCTCCGGCCAAACGTACATCGGTGTTCTCTCCGGTATCCTCAGATGCTATCTTTGTGGGTTATAGTCCGGCCCATAAAGCTTACCGCTGTTATGTTCCGGCTCTGAAAGATATTGTAATTTCAAACAACGTGAAATTTAATGATAATGTCTTTCCATGTTTGAAAACGCCCACTGTCCTGGATGAGGATAGCTCGAACCGTCTACCATCAGACATTCTCTTTGGCTCCTCAGCTTCCGGGGCTTATCCTCCGAGCCCCACTGACTCCAGCCAGAGTAGCGTTTATGGTTTGTCATCTGCTGCACCACACGGTGGCACACTGAGCCAAGTGATCCCTCGTCGTGTCTCCTCTGTTATTGACCCATCGGTATCTCCTAGCGATCTTGAATCTTCTTCTGCTGATTCCGTCGCCTCTACTGAACTGGAAGATTCCTTCGCTGGATGTGCTCCCCCGTCTGAAACTCAAGTATTATCGTATAAGGAGTCTCTTGCTCACCTGACTGACAATATAAATCCTGCTGCAAATGAAGCTCAGAAGCTCCCAGACATTTCCACCAATACTTTTGATTACCAGGAATCTGATCGTGCAATTGCTCTTGTTGATCCTCCTTCTGAGAATCCCGCAAGTGTTCCTTCTGACGAAGACCATATCGATGCTTCCTCTGAACCTTATTTTCCGCCCGCCTCTCTTCCGGATTGTGTTCCTGATGCGGTACCTTCCGTGGTTCCAGTGCTTAATCCCCTCCCACGCGTTTCTTCCCAACTATCACTATCATCTGTTGCAAGTGATACCGAGCTTTTAGGCCTTCTTCAAGATGATTCTCCTCCTGATGCTTCGGCCAATCAAGCGATTACAGATTTTTCGCTTGCTCTTGATCTTACTTCCGGCCCAGCCTTAGTCCGTACTATTTCTGAAGTGACTGATTTTGAAGGACCCATTCCAAAACGCGCTGACCATCACACGGCCTTGTTGGTCTCTGGTCAAGTGTTCAATGCCATTCATGCTGTTCATAGAGCTTATGTTACCACGTCGTCTGCTGGATACATACCCTCGACGATTCAAGAAGCTCTGGCTTGTTCCGACTCTGCCGCTTGGACTAGTGCCATCAACAAAGAACTTGATGCGCATAAAGAGAATCAAACCTGGACTATGACGTCTCTCCCTGCTGGGCGCAGAGCAATTGGATGTCGGTGGGTGTTTACTATCAAGGACAATACCACTCCACCCACTTACAAAGCCAGGCTTGTTGCTCAAGGTTTTCGTCAAGTACATGGTATTGACTATGGTGAAACCTTTAGTCCTGTTGTTAGGTATGAAAGCATTCGGGTGTTATTTGCGTTGGCGGCTCAGTTTGATCTCACCATTCATCAAATGGACGTAACCACCGCATTCCTGAACGGTGATTTGCATGAGGAGCTTTATATGCAGCCTCCCCCTGGATCTCCTGCTGCTGGTTCAAAAGTGTGCCATCTGAATAAAAGTCTTTATGGCTTGAAACAAGCACCCCTCTGCTGGAATGTTAAAATCAATCAGGTATTAATAGATTTTGGCTTTGTGCGGTCGATGTCTGAGTTTGGTGTTTACTCTTTGGTTATTGAGAAGTCGGTTACACTTGTTGCCTTATATGTTGACGATCTATTGATCCTCTCCAACTCTCCTTCTTCAATTGATTCCGTCAAAGACGTTCTGTCTTCTCATTTCAAAATGAAGGATCTTGGTGCAGTTTCTCGGTTCTTAGGGATGCAAGTTTCCCAACGTCCTGGTGTGGTTTCCATGCATCTCGGTCAGTACTTAGCAGGATTCTTGGGTGATTTCAATATGTCTGACTGTAATACAGTTCAGACTCCCCTTGCTGCTGGGTCGTCCTTGGTCCCTGAGGGTAAGCCACTGTCTGATGAAGATGCTTCCCTGTATCGCACCATGGTGGGGAAATTATTGTTTGCTGCGAATACAGTGAGGACCGATTTGTCATATGCGGCCTCGGCCCTGTCAAGGTTTATCAAAACCCCGTATGCAAATCATTATGCTGCTGCTAAACATGTTCTTCGGTACATAAAAGGTACTCTCGGTTTAGGATTAGTATTCAAGAAGACCACGAGTTTCAATTTAGTTGGTTACTGCGACTCCGATTGGGCTGGTGATAAGGTGGACAGAAAGTCGATTACCGGTTATGTTTACATGTTAGGAAATACTGCAATAACATGGAAATCCACGAAACAGCAGACGGTGGCGCTATTATCTACTGAGGCTGAGTATATGGCACTGGGTGACGCAGTTAAAGAATTACTATGGTTAACACAACTGTTGAAACACATTGGACTTAAAATGAACAAAGTCCCCTGCATCTTTGAAGACAACGAAGGGTGCAGGATGTTATCAACGCATCCGGTCCATCACCAGAGAACCAAACACATTGATATTAAACATCATTTTGTTAGACATCATATTTCGGAAGGAAACTGTGAGATAGTTTCAATCAACACTGAAAATATGGTTGCTGATATGTTGACTAAAAGTTTAGCCAAGATTAAATTCAATAAGTTTGTTGGTCTAGCTGGAATGTCGAACATATCTACAAGTGTTTAGATTATGGTGGGGTGTTGAGATAAGATGCCGAAGTCAATATCAATAAATTAGAGAAAGAGGCTTATTAAAGACAAGGCATTAGAAAAGTGTTGTAATCTAGCTATTCTATTATGAATATCCATTGTATATGTACACGTTTTCTTATGTTTGTTACTTATTAATATATAACTAATATAACTAGCCTACAAACTAATATTCTCAAACATAAATACAAGGAACAAACCTCTTGTATTTATACACTTACACCTTCGGTTAAACTTGCCATTATTCATTTATCATGGCGGCTAACTTTCCAGTTTTAGATTACTTAAGATGCCTTATCATGATAAGACTCTTATCTCTTATCACTCAATCCTTATTGGCCTCGGCATCTTATCTCAACCCTAAGATACCTTATCATGATAAGATTCTTATCTCTTATCCCTCGATCATGATTGGCTTCGGCATCTTATCTCAACAAAAAGAGCCTTGTAATGACAAGGCATCAAGTAATCTAAAACTGGAAAGATTAGCCGACGTCATGAGTGTATAAATAGGAGAGGTTTTGTCTCCTATCTGTGTTTAGAATCATTAGTTATTAAGAGTTGTATAAGTTGTTTTTAACTAAGTAACAAACATAAGAAAACGTGTACATATACAATGGATATTCATAATAGAATAGCTAGATTACAACATTTTCACTTCTAAGACTTAGTAATATGGTACCGTTTAATCTATCCTCGATTCGTCATTCAAGGGTGGAAGATCTGCTTCTTGAAGCTGACCCGTGACAGAAAATGTACACGTACTGATCCGTAATCAAGAAGTTGTGAGAATTGACCGTTGAGATAATGAAATGCTGCACATGGTGAAATACGCCATCTGGATAAAAGTTAACAAGGCATACGTACTGAAAAATAAAAGCAAAATCACGTGATAGAGGGTTTGCGTAATTTTTCCATCAACAGTCAGTGATATTAAAATTACTCTTTCACTTTTCCAACTAAGCCTGGTTAGCTCAATCGGTAGAGCGTTTGACTCTTAAACAGAAGCGATCAAAAGGCTGCGGGTTCGAGCCCCGCATCGGGCTTAATTTTTTTTATGGCTTTAGCTAAGCTGAAGAGTTCTTCTTTTATCGGTGTAATATTTAGAAACTATAAGTTGAACTCTAGCTATAAAATGAAGCTTCACTGTAGTAGAGATGCCGAAGTACAAGCTTTCTTTGTAGGGACGTCGAGAGAACTACATACGAGCGAGGATACTGAACTCTGTACAATCATACTCAGTCCAGACAAATTACGGCTAGATTACACAAGATAATCGCATCAACTTTGTGTCTAGTGGACGACCGACATCCGGGACAGATACAAGCTCTGCTCGTTTGAGGAATTCATGTTATTCGTCTCAAGTTCATTTTGAAATGGCAGGCGAGGTAAGAAGGATACCTCCCACCTAGAAAAACGAGAGGTTTCCCGGCGGGCCAACTTTTGCGCCACAATTTTAATGATTATTTAATTAAACAGATTGTATATTTTGTTTTCATTTTAATCTATTAAACTTATCTTGTAATGTCTATTTATTGTGTTTCCGTTACTGTAATAATTCTCTCCTTGTTATACCTTATTTATTCTTATTTCACTCTTCCTTAAATTCTGACATCTTAAGCGGGCATACCTCTGAGTGCATACACACGGCCTGAAGGAATTACTTGTTAAATAGTTACAAGCTTGGCTCCTGCAATCGTGGTGGTATGCTAGCATGTATCTTACTGCCCAGCTATTAGTGTTACGGACTGATCCAGACTTATATGGGTTTCCTGGCATGGTATAGTGTAGCATCAACTCATTGCATAATCTGAGTGAATAAATATACAGCTAATACGGTAACCGCGTGACGAATACACAATATGCTGATTCTAGTTAGTTCTTTTAGAAAGTTGTGTATTGGAATTTTGCATAGTACTAGGCTCAGCCGCTTTGTAACTAGTCCCCTGCCATGACCCTAGATTCGTCATTAGTGTCGCATCGTCGGGCAAATATGTATCTTCGTCAGCATAGTGCAGAAATTCTGGTATACCCTGTTCTTCAACACATTTGATGACATCACTGAAATCAGTTAGATTCGATACTTGTATGATAGGGTACTCAAGTTCGGTTGACTTCCAGAACGAATAGTTCCCAAATAAATCATCTCCCATGCACCCTTCAAACTGTTGTGTACAAAAAGATGCGTTATACACGCTTGCTATAACGCTGTCATTACCGATTGAAGTTATGTGTGATTGAACAAATACACTAGTAGCAGATACTGAAGCTAACAGACTAACTAAAGCCAACATTAATATAACATACTATGGGAACCGTTGTATTACTGTCACTTCTGTTTGCAAAGTATGGCAGGAACATGATTCGATCTAATTCTTGCTTTGTTGAGTTCTACAGAAGCCAGTCTCTTGTCCTCTTAGGTCAATTCAACTTACCCAATATAGAACAGCAAGTTAGAGAAGCAAGCAGGCTGATGGGTCAGGATAGCGAAAATCATTTTGTTGGCCAGTCTAATAATGCAGAAGGGAATTGATAAAAGAGTAAGTCTGGTGGAATAACGACAAGGAGGCTGAAAGAATATCTTCTGTGCAAGGTGGTTCTGAACCAACTTCTTGGGATCTCATTAGTGTGATGTTAAGGTCTAGCCTCTATTATGAATATCCATTATATCGTATTCTCGTTACTTAGTTAAAACAACTGAAATAACTTCTAACAACTAATAATCCTAAACACAGATAGAAGAAAAAACTTCTCTTATTTACATTCTCGGGACATCTGTTATCTCTTATCTTGATAACGTATTTCACCATGTACGACATTTCTTTATCTAGATCCTAATGTGTTGAAGTCTAGCTATTCTACTGTGAATATCCATTATATCTTAATCTCGTTACTTAGTTAAAACAACTTATATGAATTCTAATAGCTAGTAATTCTAAACACAGATAGGAGAGATTTTCTCTCCTATTTATATTCTCGGGACATCTGTTATCTTAACAGGTTTTAGATTACTTGATGCCGAATCTTCATACGGATCTTTCCTTATCTTTGAATGCCGCATGTTTCGTTATCTCTTATCTTGATAACGTATTTCACCATGTACGGCATTTCTTTATCTAGATCCTGATGGCATTCGACATCTTATCTCAACACCCCACCATAATCTAAACACCTGCAGATACATTTATCATACCGGCTAATTTAACAAACTTGTTGAACTTGATCTTACTCAAGCTTTTAGTCAACATGTCAGCAACCATATTATCAGTACTGATTGACACTACTTCACAGTTTCTTTCCGAAATATGATGTCGGACAAAATGATGTTTAATGTCAATATGTTTGGTCCTTTGATGATGGACCGGATGTGCTGATAACATTCTGCATCCTTCGTTATCTTCAAAGATGCATGGTACTCTGTTCAGCTTGAGTCCTATGTGTTTCAACAATTGTTTTAGCCACAGCAGCTCCTTTACTGCATCACTAAGTGCCATGTACTCAGCTTCCGTTGAAGACAAGGCCACTGTTTGTTGTTTAGTCGATTTCCATGTTACTGCAGAATTTCCCAGCATAAAGACATATCCCGTGATGGATTTTCTGTCTGCTTTATCTCCTGCCCAATCGGAATCACAATATCCAGTTAAGTTGAAGCTTGAACTTTTCTTAAACACAAGTCCGAGACCTATCGTGCCTTTTATGTAACGGAGAACATGTTTGGCAGCTGCCTGGTGATTTGGGTACGGAGTTTTGATGAACCTGGACAGTGCCGAGGCCGCATAGGCCAAATCTGGTCTCACTGTATTCGCCGCAAATAACAGTTTCCCCACCATGCTGCGATACAGGGAGGCATCAGCGTCAGGAAGGGGTTTGCCATTTGGTACCAAAGATGCACCTGCAGCAAGAGGCGTCTGAACGGAATTACAGTCAGACATATTAAATTCACCCAAGAAACCAGTCAGATATTGCCCAAGATGCATGGAAACTATCCCAGGGCGTTGAGTAACTTGCATACCAAGGAACCGAGAGACCAAACCGAGATCCTTCATTCGAAAATTAGAGGCCAATACGTCTTTGACGGAATCAATGGAAGTAGGGGTGTTGGAAAGGATCAATAAATCGTCAACATATAAGGCAACAAGGGTAACAGACCCCTCAATGACCAAAGAATAGACACCAAACTCAGACATCGACCGCACAAAACCAAAATCTAATAATACCTGATTGATTTTGACATTCCAGCAGAGTGGTGCTTGCTTCAGACCGTATAAACTTTTGTTAAGATGACAGACTTTAGATCCAGCAGCAGGAGAACCAGGCGGAGGTTGCATATAAATTTCTTCGTGTAAGTCTCCATTCAGGAAGGCAGTCGTGACGTCCATTTGATGAATAACAAGATCAAACCGAGCAGCAAGTGCAAATAATACCCGAATACTTTCATACCTGACAACAGGACTGAACGTCTCACCGTAGTCCAACCCATGGACTTGACGAAAGCCTTGGGCTACAAGCCGTGCTTTATAAGTAGGGGGAGTGGTATTGTCCCTTATGGTGAATACCCAACGACACCCAATGGCCCGACGACCGGCAGGAAGCGAAGTCAAAGTCCAGGTGGCATTTTCCCTATGGGCATCGAGTTCTTTATTGATGGCTTGAATCCAGGCTGCAGAGTCAGGAGACGCTAGAGCTTCTTGAATAGTTGAGGGAATATAGCTGGCGGAGGACGTTGTTACATATGCTCTATGAACAGCATGAATGGCGTGGAACACTTGACCAGAGACTAACATGGCCGTGTGGTGGTCACCACGTTTTGGAATGGGTCCATCAAAATCAGTCACTTCAGAAATTGTACGAACTAAGGCTGGACCGGAGGTAAGATCAGGAGCAATTGAAAGCTCTTTACCCTTTTTATTTTCCGAAGCATCGGAGGGAGTATCATCTGGAATAAGGCCTAGAAGATCGGTATGACTTTCAACAGATGATATCGATAGTTGGGAAGACACTCGTGGAAGGGGGTTAAGCACTGGAACCACGGAAGGTATTTCATCAGGAACACAATCCAGAAGGGAGGCAGAAGGAAAATTAGGTTCAGAGGAAACAACGGCGTGGTCCTCGTCAGAAGGAACACCTGCGTGATTCTCAGCAGAGATATCAACCAAAGCAATTGCACGATCAGGCTCCTGGTAATCAAAAGTGGTGGTGGAAATGTCTGGGAGCTTCAGAACTGCATTTGGAGCAAAATCCATATTATCAGTCAGATGATCAGGAGACTCCTCAGACAATAATACACAAGCTTCAGGCTTAGGAGCATCTGTCGAAGTCAAATGGGGGAGATTGCATTCAGCTAGGGGATCTTCAGGCTCGGTAGTTTCGACAGAATCACCAGAAGAAGATACAAAATCGGTAGCAGATACTGAGGGGTCAATAACAGAGGAGGGACGACGAGAGATCACTTCTCTCAGTGTGTCACCATGTGTTGGAACAGACAACGGACCATAAACACTACCTTGGCTGGAGTCAGTGGGACTTGGAAGATAGGCCCCTGGAGCTGAGGTGCCAAAAAGAATGTCTGACGGCAGACTGTTGGAGCTGTCCACATCCAAAACAGTGGGCGATTTCAAACAAGGAAAGACACTATCATTAAATTTCACATTGTTTGAAATAATAACATCTTTAAGAGCCGGAACGTAGCAGCGATAAGCTTTATGAACCGGACTATAACCCACAAAGATAGCCTCTGAGGATACCGGAGAAAACGCCGATGTACGTTTTGCCGGAGGTATTAACGCATGACATTGGACCCCGAAGGGATGAAACACAGAATATAGAGGTTCATATCCATACCAGCGAAAGAAGGGTGAATCCCCGTTCAACAACGATGACGGGTACCTGTTAATTAAAAATTCAGCCGTCTTGACTGCCTCGGACCAAAAACTCGAGGGAAGACCGGATGAATGAAGAAGAACACGAGCTTTTTCTTTGATCGTGCGATGTTTCCGTTCGGCAACACCATTCTGAGACGAATTATACGGAACCGTCAACTGATGACTAATTCCTTTTTCAAAATAAAATTGGTTGATTTCTTTGTTGTCAAACTCAGTTCCGTTATCAGTACGAACTTGGGAAACTTTCAAACCGCGTGAACTAAAATGATTTTCCGCAGTCAAGATAAAGTTCTTGAAGTACGCATTAGTTTCGGCTTTCGTATTCAGAGGAATAATTTGAGACCATCTCGAAAAGTCATCCACAATTGTAAGGAAATACTTTTCAGCTGCAAACCCTGGAATCGGGAAAGGTCCACACACATCAGCGTGGATTAGTTGTAGCGGGGCTTTTGTCCGTGGTGATGAAGCTTGCTTGGGAAAGATTTGAGTCATCTTTCCTGCAGCACACGAGGAACACTCAACCATTTTGGGGCCACGAGGTACTCCCATTTGGGTCATAACTGCAGGCGGAGGGTGTCCAAGGGCAGCATGACTGATAGCATTAGGAACTGCTAGTGCATCACCAACAACAGGAGTATAATCGAATTCGTACAAGTCTGGTCCACAAGCGGTAGCAATCTTACTAGCCGTTTCATCAGATGAGGATAGGTAGTGAACCGCTTCATGAGAAAAAGTAAATGAACCAGATTTGGAGGCCTTTTTGATGGATATAAGGTTTTGGGTGGCATCAGGGACAAAGCAAACATCAGACACGGTAAGAACTTTTGAGCTTACTGGGTGCACAAAGCGGATAGTCCCAGTACCTTTAACGACCAGAGGATTAGATGAGATTCCAGTAATGCAGCCAGAAGCCGGAGTAAACTTAGCAAAGTGAGATCGCTCATTTGAGATGTGAAGTGTAGCACCAGAGTCCAAAATATAGCTCGGACTAGGCACAACTGAGCCTTCTCTTGAGTTAAATACTGCCCAAGAGATACCGGAGATAGATTTGGAGGAGGAGTTGACAAGGGCTACTGTATTACCGCTAGAATTGTTAGCAGCAACTGGAGCAGTAGCTGGACAATCTTTGGCAACATGACCTCGTTTCTGGCATCTGTAACACTTTTGTCTATTCACATACGGCTTCTTGGAAGTAGCCGCAAATACGGAACCCTGCGTAGTAGGAACAAGATCCCGCAGAGTATTCTCAACCGCTGACAGCGTAATGTTCGGATTTGACACATCTAAAACTCGAGCATTCGCTTGGTCGGACCTAAACATCCGTAAGTAAAATAAACCCATCACTTGGGTAATTTCCGAGGAGTGGTTAAAATGAGCACATATATCTCTGAACAATGACAGAGCACTTTCATCACCGGCAGACTTACTGACCGAGGCATCACAAGCTTTATTAACCATCGCATACAATTGACGTGATGTCACATGAGAGTAATCACGTCTAATCAACAAGAGTAAATCAAATCCGAACACATTATCAGATTGATACTTTAGCAACACTTTTGAGGAAACAGTATTCAGCAAAACAACTTGAATCGCACTGTTCAGGGCAACCCGGAGCTGCACCATTAAGTTTTCATCTATCGGTTCAGTTGGAGATAGCATCAGATCTCCGGTTGCAAAATAAATGTCAAGGCCAGCACCTTGAGTAGCAACGAGCATAGCAGTGTAGCTATTCCATTTAGGATAATTCATAGACGAAGAAAGCTTCAAGCTCTCATCTCTAGGGCAGGTGAGAGCAAATTGGCTCATAACCTGTTGAAGTCTAGCTATTCTACTGTGAATATCCATTATATCTTAATCTCGTTACTTAGTTAAAACAACTTATATGAATTCTAATAGGTAGTAATTCTAAACACAGATAGGAGAGATTTTCTCTCCTATTTATATTCTCGGGACATCTGTTATCTTAACAGGTTTTAGATTACTTGATGCCGAACCTTGATACGGACCTTTTCTTATCCTTCAATGCCGCATTTTTCGTTATCTCTTATCTTGATAACGTATTTCACCATGTACGGCATTTCTTATCTAGATCCTAATGGCATTCGACATCTTATCTCAACAGCGTTCTCTCCTATCCATGTGTAGAATCATGTGCTATTAGAAGCCATATAAGTTGTTTTAATTATGTAACAAAAACAAGAAACCATGGATATCCATACTGGAATAGCTAGACTTCCACATTAGACCCCAACATAGGTGTCAAAGGTTTTGACTGATTTTAGGGAAAGAGTTTCAGTTGTCAATAATCTCCATCCTTTGGATCACAAAAAATCAGAACGATAAATTCATGTTACTCAGAAAACTTTCCGGTTTGCGAAAATCAGTCTTTGAAGTCGAAAATATTTAAAAAAGCAAAGTTCACGTGGAAGTTTCAACTCACCAGAAACATTTCATCAGTTACTCAAAATGTTAAATCACGATGGAATTAATGATTGGCCGAATGCTGCACAAATTATGGTATAAACTGATTGCCTTCAAAATTTTATTTTTTCAAAATAATGTAGATAAACGTTGTGTTGGAAAATATTTAGAGATAATATTCCACACTTCACAACAGTGCCAAAAAATTTGAGCCAGCTAGGCCAATTTATTTCTCTATAACTATCAGAGAGTGGCCAGTGTATTGCAGTAGCAACTGGGTCTCTTTTAGAAATACCAAGTTTATTAACTTTCTGCTTTGTGGCCCAGCTATTAAATAATTTAGCATGGAGTGCTATTAAATCTGTTGAATCGTAACAGTCAATTATTTACCATGCCGTTGCACTTCATTTTCTGTGTCTCAGCTGAACTCATTATTCCTGCAAATGCTTTCTATGACACAAACGTTAAAACGATTCTTTGACAGGAAAATGAAATCAGGTTAATTGCATGCTATTAACTTAATATTGTTCTGATTTGCTTTACCTTATCTTGTTTCCAAGTTAAGCTAGCTCTCCACCTTGAAAAAGCATAAACCGGCGTCTATTGCTCCTTACCCGCAAAATAAAAAATTCCCAAATTCTTGTTCCCTCCCTGCAGAAATCGCGTAACTTCACAGCACAATCGTGTTTGTAGCCTCGGAAACACAAATAACTTTTTTGAAGCACGTTGTAAGATGACCTTCTAGTCTATACATGCATGTAAACTTGTATAAATATAGTAGACAAATTATCTTATAGCGAACCATGTCTCAACCAATCAAAATATATCACAACCCCGCTTGCGGTACTTCTAGAAACACCCTTGCTATGATCCGCAATTCTGGACAGGAACCTGTAATCATTGAATACTTGAAAACACCGCCTTCAAGAGAGGAACTCATTGGCTTGATTCAGGATTCGGGATTATCTGTACGTGACGCTATGCGGAAAAACGTGGAACCTTATGACACTTTGAAACTGGAAGAGTCACATTGGACAGATGAGGAATTGATTTCCTCCATGTTAAAGAATCCAATTTTGATAAATCGTCCATTTGTTGTCACAGAGCTAGGCACAAGATTGTGTAGACCTTCTGAGGTTGTCTTAGATATTCTTCCTACTCCCCAGCTTAGTGAATTCATTAAGGAAGACGGTGAAGTGATCGTTGATAAAAAACTGAACAAGATTTGAAAAAGTTTAAGTCGATACTGCAAGTAAAAGTTTCTAGCTTAAATAATCTTCATATATATTAAATATATTTTGCATTTATAGTAGTCTTACTTGGAGGAAACATTTTGAAACGGTTTTGGTACAGGTTATTGTAAATGCCACGGTTGCGACAGCACTCATAAACTGCACTCAAGATCTAGTTTCCATACCATTAGAATTTAATTTGACTGAGAAAGTTCTCTGATGCTTACCACAGAAAGCGACAGTATAAATTTAAACGATTCTGATTTGGAAGGCTTAAACGTATGTATTCAGACGTTTGGTCCAATGTCCATGTCGACTTCGGACAAGCAACATATCATCCTGATGCTGTTATGCTACCATTTGTGCCATCAGCTGTAGCAACTATAGTAGATGGAGGATTAGTCCAGAGACAACATCCGATACTCAACAGAGAAAGACTTGACGTAGCCTTGAGAGAAGCTTTAAATATATGATTCAAAATACAGGACTCAATTCATTCTGGGAATGAATAAAAAAACTTTCCTTTGAGACATAATGCATTTGTAATGCCTGCCTATAATTGGTCAATAGTATTTTCATTAATATATTTTCATTAAAATATTTTTCTCTAATGAAAACACTTGAGTAAAAAACTTCATTTAACTTTAGATATTTGCAAAATATTCTCCCTTGAGCTTCTTGCTCAAGTTTGAGATGATTTGCGGGGTGAAAACAGACCCGTTAACCATCACATTAACCATCACAAAGCCGATGTTAATATCCTGGCCATGGTGTCAGTGTAGTTGTCCCGCTTTTCGAGAATTATGGCGTACACAGCACTGAAGTTCTTCAGCGGTTGGTATCCCCTCTCTCCTTCGAACGCTTTCGGGAACTCCCTTGGAGCTCGTTTGCCGTTGGTATCATGGGCAAGTCCTCGATGAACAGCTAGTATAACTTGAATATCTTGACACAGTACTGGTAATGTCTCAGTTCCAGTTTCGTCCAACACAGGCGCCTTGATAGGAAAAGAGAAAAAAGCATGATCGTTTATCATCAGGACCATGATTTCTGCCAGAAGCCTGGCTTTATCCTCTAACCGGGCATAGATTATATAGGCCTGCTTGTCTGTAGCATCCCCAACGCTATCTCTAAGAACCTTGATCTTGTCAACAATCTCCTTATTCATCTCGACCGCATTCTGGTACTTTCCGACGTTCAGTAAGTAGAAATATGCAGTGTTCCAGAACGTTAGGTATCTGTCGAAGATACCGACGGCATGGCTAGACATAGCAGTCACAACGACCATAGTGCCTGTGCTGGCAACGTCCAAGCTCATCAAGTGCTCCTTTGACACAAAATGAAAGAATAGGTAGTACATTATCAACTTGATTTCCACTGCATAGACAATGGAGTCGTCAGGAAAGTACTCCTTCTTGAGCCAGGATCTGAAATCATTGAGCTCGAAGTAGGTGGTCAGACCGGTGGTAGGTTCGTGCCAGTGCTGATTCCGTCGCAGCCTCTGTAGGCAAAGAACATGGAGTGTCATTCTCACGAAACTTGGTGAACAAGTAGACGTGTTTGTTGCAGGGAAACTTGATGCAAGTACGGTCAGCTTCAATGTCCGACATGGGGTTATGGACAGTAAAGAACAGATCCTGGTTGGTCAGAAACCAGTCATCCAGGTTGTGTTTTTTCATCATTTCTTAATCCGGCTTTATGAGGACCTTGACCTCGGTGTTTTCCTGAACAGTTATCTTGGTCTGAGGACATTTTATCCGACACAGTACGTTAGGATAGGTTTCCAGTCATCATGTGGCTCCTTGATGTAGCTAATCAAAGGAATCTCGTCGGCAAGCTCCTTTCTGTAGGGAGTGGCCATACATTTCTTGGTGATAGAAGAAAAACCCCTCGATTATTTCAAATCTCTTACTTTTTAAATGCTGTGTTCTTCAGATATCTTTGTTTCGGTAACGCTGCTATTGGTTCTATTTTTTTATGGTCATGATGAGGACACTGTGCCTGGGGAGAATTTTTGCAATAGCAGCCTAGCCCATGTCCTTTACGCAATATAACTATCACAGAAAGCGGTCGAGATACTGACGAAGAGGATGACTGAGCCAACAATCGTAACCCAGCCATCAACGCGCTACATGGAGGCTTGTTTTTAGTATTCGGTTCGATCTTGTTGTAGTATCCGACGGATACATCTTTACAAAAGCGTCTGGAGTACTGGATGTGGCAGAACATACGAACTACTCAATGATAGGCTTTTTTCAGCCTTCGCTAAGTATATATACATCTAACCGATTAATTGGTACAAAATAGGGTTTATCTACTGACAAGCTGGTTAGATCCGAGTACAGTTGCCAATGATTGCACTCAGTGCTTTGAACACATCGGCTGCGTAGACTACTGTCACTACAACTTGCAAGACAACTATCCTCATCCCCTGGTTTCTGTTGTTGTTGCACAAAATTGTCACAAGAACAAACAGCCGCCTGGATGCCACATCGCTGTCACTGCTGTTGCGACTGTCACTTTCTAATGGTCAGGAAGAATCGTTTAATCAATCAGATGTCTTATCTAAACAAAGAGCCAGCCGCTGCTGCAGCTCTGTTCATGCTAAACACACTCTCAGGTTTGTAATAGCATGTTCAGCTGTACTATAGAATATCCGTTGTAGTCTGCTCTGAATGGACCGGAATCTTTCCAAACCTCAGTTTAGGAAAAGCCAATTTCGGCATACCATGAGACAAGAAGAAACAGAGAAAACGCCCAGAATTCCCCGCCGGCGAGCCCACAGACCCGATTTTTTCCTGCATACCAATCACAATAAAGAGGGTGTCTTTTAAATTGCGCTCTCACGTTAGGGGTCTAGCGTTTTTCGATTTTTCTCTTCGATTTTTCTCATTAGACCCTTTCATTAACAAATTGATTTTCACTTTAGATCTCTCTTGCCGTACTGGAGCGAGAATTCCCATATTAGTCGAATTTTCACAGATCTTTATCCTTATCTTCCGATGTCGGGTGTTTCTTTGCTTGCACCAACACCTTATCTCAACATGTACGGCATTTCTTTATTTAGATCCCAATCAGCTTCGGCATATTAACCCAAAGATTAAATTTACCCAATCTCTATCCTCCCCACTTACCTCCATTTGAACCACGTATCCACCGCTCGTTTTCATTGAAATTATTTCGTTTGGCGAAAACAGAAGAGAGCTTTTGACTTATCCCTTCGAAAAGATTGAACTGCCGCATCACTTTTTCTATCAGCGTGTCCGCCGACCGCACGCCGTGACCCAGAGCTCTTATTTCGTTCGGAGCCGAAACCTCAAGAAAGTGTTTTTTTGAAAGCTCCTGCATTTTCTCAAAGTTACAACACACCGCAGGCAAAGAACCCTTTGGTATGCCCCAACAACGCTGTCATCTCAGCAAGGCCGATTATGTAGAAGAGACCGTTGCGTACCTTCTACCTGAATTACCTAATCCCTGACTCTTTCCTCTTAAACTACTTAGCCTGTGCGTGCAAACTGGAGACTGATCACAGCATGTTTCACCTCATTGACATATTCTAAACTATTTTCCACGAAATAATGTGAAGCTGGCTTAAAATTGATAATTACGAAGTCATTGGTGCGCTTCAGTTCCGCCTTATAAATGTTCTGATGCCAAGACAAAGCTTTCAGATAGAATGGATTAACTTTCTTTGGAACAGTTCCTCAAAACTTCAATTGCTATAAAAAGAGGTGAATATAACCAAGAATTAAGGGACAAAATTAATCATAAAAACATATTTAAATAAATCCTTCATTAGCCATAACAAAAATTCATTCAGCGTTTTTTCTTAGTTTGAAATTTTGCAGTTGGATAAACCGTAAATTCATTTTCGAATAAAGCAGTTACTTCATGAGCTCTTGAAAAACTTGTGCTGTATTATTAAAAAAAAGATGGCAAATGAAGAGCCAACAGCTGCAATCTTTCATCAAATTTCAACCATTGTAACTTAGCAATGTCGCTCTAAGTTTACAGTTCGGGTAGCTTATAATTTTGCCTTTTTTAATCTGTTTTCGCAGTACATTTTAATGAAAGCGACACCTACTAAAAACCCACTGCTCCCAAAAAACAGTCCCAAAAGTATCAAGACCTCTTTCTGTATATGGCATTTCCTTCTGTGCTCTTCTTTTGTTGAAAATGTAGCAGTGCCATTTTCTATTCTGTAAAAATTCACCTCAGCACCCACTGATTTCTTTTTTAAAATTCCATTCTCACAACCGTCGGAAGGAACAACATTTTCAGTTGCAAAACATAATTGGGGGAGCTCCAGCGTCCTGTCTCATGCTAACTCCAAGTTTCACCATTTTTTGCTCCATTTTTCCCTACAACAGTACTATTTTGAACTGCTGAGCTGGCAAACAGTATCCTGGCGGCAATGAAACACTCTGCGAGAAAAAGATACGAAATTTACTTTAGTATTTAACATGATTTAAAAGGACGCATATTGCCCCGAAATTAATATTACTTTATATAGTTCATGGAATACCGATTTGAATTCGAACCGACAGAATATATTCAAAATGATAAGAATGAATTCTGTTTCAAATCGGGATGTGCAAGACAAGGAACACCAATAAGCTTCTAATTTGGTTACTTTTTCTGCTGCTCACGTATTGCCCCTTTTGGTCAAAGCACAAAATTGAACAAATCTTCTTTGTCTTGCTGTTTTTGATAACGATGATTCAACATTTTTTGGCTGATTGGTTTCCACTGTTGGTTGGAATAATGGAAAATGAACCAGATGGCAATCCCTGGAGAATTCGCAGTAGGTTTCCTTTGCTTTATTACTCGAAAATGGCGAGAGAGCCATCAAAAGAAATTAGAAGAGTATTATGAGAAAAAGAACAATACGGAATCGAAGAAGGTTTACGAACTGAGCATAAACTCAAGTGTTACAAGAGGCTACGCGTGTTATACTTTCTAGATGTCATGAGTGTAATTCTCCTATTCGAAGGTGCATCCTTAGTAATATATGAGTTTGAACCAGAGTCTAAGAGTTTGTATGGAAAACTTTTAACTCTCTTAAAGAAAAGACAGTCCGAAACGGGGGCTAACAATCCACACTGCTCAAACATATGAAGTTGAGAACTTTCAGTAACCAATTTCTTCTGAACAAATTAGACGGTTTTTATTCGAAAAAAAAACTCTGCTTTTATGATAATGGGGATAGAATAATATTTATCAGATGAAAATACCCGTCTCAACATATATAATAGAAGCTGGTTGATTTTTTAATTTCTTCCTTGGTGATCTTCTGGAAAGGAAAAATTTTCAAGTGACGAATATTTTTCTGCCAAGCCTCCCAAAGTTTTGTTTATCTTCTTTACCACATTAAATAAATTTAATACAAACACAACGAGCCACCACAAATAAGCTGAATTTTAAATTCATTAAGTCTAAGTTCTTTGAAAAATTATATTTATCAAGTGCTGAAGTCTGAATATTCTATCGAACATCCATCGTAGTATTGCTATTTTTTTTTGATACTTTGTTGTTCATGAGCTACAGCTTATGTATTTTCTACAAGTACTAATTCAAACAAAATATACGAGTAGAAACCTCTAACATTTAAAACCTTTGCAAGTCGGCTAATTTTACCATTTTAGTTTAACTCAATGCTGTGTCTTAATGCAGATCCTATCATCAATAACAATGCTCTATATATCGTTTTCTCTGATCTCTCAATGTCGCTCGTTTCGCTATCTATCTGGATTCTTATCAGTCTTCGGCCTATTATTTCAATACCTCACCCCAAGCTGAATATCGTAGTAACATTCAATAAACGAACCTAGCCAATAAACTCATGATTTGAACTTGATCAAACATTTAGTTAGCAAGTCAGTGACCATGTTTTTGGTTCCGATTGAACCCATTCCACAAAGTTCTCCTGAAATTTTATGCCGGCGTAATTGACGCTTGATATAAATTGTCTGATTCTGTGATGATGAGCCTTATGTGATCATAGCATTCTGTATCCTTTATTGCCTCTAAAATTACAAGCGGCATTGTTCATTTTGAGCCCAATGTGTTTCCGTAATTGAGTCAACCTAAGTAATTCTTTTACAGCATAACCCAGCATCATGTATTCGGCTTCAGTGAATGATGATGCCACTGTCTGTTGTTTGGTAAACTTCCGCCCCGCAGCCTTATTTTCTAGCATTGCAGACGTAAGCCGTGATAGAGTTTCTGTCTGCATTAGTACAATCCAAAACAAATCACAGTAGCCAGCCAAGGGCAAACTCATGCTTTTCGTAGAGATAGTCTCAAACAGAGTGCACCATTGATATGACTAAGAACATGTTTGGCCGCGGCATATTGATTTAGATACGGAGCTTTGATATATCTGAATAACAGCGAAGCCGTGAATTCCAAGTCCATTCTCACTGTATTTACTGCAGATTGTAAAATGTAAAGCACATGAGCTTTAGCAAATAATTTTTTTAGCCGTGTGCTTATAATTTGTGAATCAGTTGTATAAAGTATTTTATATGATATCTTCTCCTAAGTTTGTTAAAAAGGTGTACTCTAAAAGGAATTAATTCTTGAGACAAGATGTCGAATGTCATTAAGAGCTAGGTAAAGGAAGCCGTAAATAATGAAATACGTTAAAATATAAAAGATAACGAAACGTATGGCATTGAAAGACAACGAAAAGATCCGTATGAGGATTTGGCATAATTAACCTGAAATCTGTTAATATAGCAGAGGTCCAGGGGTATAAACATGAGAGGTTTTCTCTTTTATAGAGTTATGTGTTACCAGAAGTCATATAAGTTGTTTTAATGAGGTAACAAAAATTAAGAGAAAATGGATATTCATGATAGAATAGCTAGATTGCAGCAAGAAGATATTGTATAGAATATTGAATAACCGAATCTTAAACAAAAAATATACATATAGAGATCACTATATGTTAGTCAAACTTTATGTATTTTAACAGAAACGTGCGGGTTGACAATCTCGTTTTGCATGAGGTTCTCCGATTCACCCAAGCTTTTCCTTACTGATAAACATTTAGTTGAAGTACTGTTATCTATTTTTCACTTAGACATTGCTGGTTTCCAGTTTGGCGTTACTAAATTATCTAGCTACTTGGTCAAACTTTCGATGTGAGTAATGTCAACCGAAACATGGCTGTCATGAACAACTCCAAAAAGCACGACCCCAACTTGAGAATTCTTTGAGGATTGATGAACTCTTAGAGAAAAACTATTCCAAATCCTTTATGTGCTGGTGTTATCATTCCAGATAGGCATAGTATTTTGACTTATATTCCTGCAAGGGTGTCTGTTTCAAATCTCCTACTTAGGGCTTTGAACAAGTATATTATTAAGTTGTGTCATGTATCTATATTTTTTCTTGCAGTAGGTGTTGATGAAGAGCCAGCAAATCATCGTTCCAAGGGACTCAAAGCATGTTTTTTTTTCTGAGTCTATAGGTTGGGGCATTAATCAAGAAGATGGTTACATAACGTAACAACTGCAATGGCTGGTTGGCAACAGTATAGGCAAGTTAGATGTCGAAAGCATCAAGCAGGATGTGACTGGGAAGGTTCAGGGCGTAAAGACATCTTTTTGATTTTCGATATGTTAGTACCATTGAAAACGAAAGAAATTTTTGCTGAGAAACAAATACTTTGCAAAGTATTTGTGATTACCTCATAAACAAGCAACGGAAAGTTTGACATGTCTTACCCGCAGAGAGTCTAAGCTGCAACAACACTAGTTTGGTATCTGCTTTTTAGGATGTACCAACAATAGCAAGTATCCAAGGGTATACTTTCAGCACAACAGTGTTGCTAGTCCGGGTCTTGAAAGAGCAGAAGTTGACTACAAACAGAGTGTTTTCAATCTTCTCCACCATGAGTGCACCCCCAACAGGGGTAGCACCTTGGAGCACATCTATACACAACAAGCCGGCTTGAAAATAAGACGCTCTGCCTTATCCAATCCATGCAACATAAGGCGATGCCTATTGTTGGAGTCCTACCAGTCCTATGCACGTATCGTCTGTGCTCCGACCGCGTGTTGCCCTGAATATAAGCCTTGATAAGCCGTGCGACCCACAAAACATTGATTGATCTTATCGTCTTATTGTTTTGATACTTCAAGACAGGGCAAGCAGTACTTCCACTTCTCATGCTTCAACTCTTTATATACAAGTCCTTCGACACTCACAATCACAGTTGACCCGAACATTTCAACCCGCTTCGCTTGTTTTAGACGGTACAGTTTCGGTCTTTCCTCTACCCTACGCTTTTTTGCTCTTTAAGCTGCAACAGCACAATGTAATGACAAGAAGTGTTGTATCTTTCTTCCATGTGCTCAGCCTTGCTTCCAACCATATACGATCTTCCGCTTCATAGTCCAAGAAATGGAAAGAACATGCAGATTGTAGTGTTGAAAGGTTTGCTCTAAATATCCCACGACTCCTCTAATATCCGTAACAAACCATCACATAAGCTCACAGAGATTTCAAGAACTCTCTGAACGCAGAAACCCCCCTGTCTGGCCTCAGACTGAACGATTTCACACAATCCCCCCACTACAAATCAGTGCTTCCCGGATTGACGAGCGTCAGAATCTTCAATCCGCCCATACCATGCAAAACGCATTCGTCAATCCGAGCACGCCATACAAAAAAATCGTCAATCCGGGCATTTTACATAGTAATCTGAAATTTCCATATATATATATAGAATAAGAAGTATCAATTAATTATAGTTATGATATCTCTTCACTTAACATATTTAAAATATCAAAGGAAAGTTCATTATTTCCTAAAAAAGAATTTTTCTTTTGCCCTTTATCTTTTATCATTTCATAAAGCAAGACTATCGACGCTTCACTTATGAATATATCTCACAATATATACCGCGCACGTGGCACCCAATTTAGCTTAATTATTACTAATCGCGGCCAGCGGTTGATGCCCACTTTTTCCAAAATGATATAAAAGTTTTGAATATTTCACACGGAGGATCATGGAGCGGTACAGTACCCCAAGCCAAATTACTAACATAATCCATCGAGCCATTAGGTTCCAAGTAAGCATCTACACTTGCTAGGATGATTTTTCTGAAAGAAAACGCACTACGTCGGGCATGGTCCAGTTTATCGATTACTGATAAGATTCTACCTGTTGCAATAATTTTGGCAATTGTGTTAGGCGTTCTGCTCTCAGTTTTTGTACCAAGTTCCAGGAGAGCATTTGATGGGGTCGAAGTTGTGGGTGTTTCTGTACCTCTAGCAGTGGGTCTTATTGTGATGATGATTCCCCCATTATGCAAAGTTGAATGGGAAAAGTTTCACAGGCTGATTCTGCAGAAGAAATACCTAAATCACATAGTAATATCGTTAATCTTAAATTGGATAGTTTGTCCATTCTTGATGTTTGGTTTGGCCTGGTTGACATTATTTGACAAACCTGAATATCGTATTGGTATCATCATGATTGGTCTAGCAAGATGCATCGCTATGGTGTTAGTTTGGAACAATATTGCTGGGGGTGATGCGAATTTGTGTGCTATATTAGTTCTACTCAATAGTGTTTTACAGATCGTGTTGTATGCTCCCTATCAGATATTTTTTTGTTATGTCATAACAGGTGAATATCACAAGGACTCTTCCAACGCTATCTCATATTCATTAGTGGCTAAGAGTGTGGCTTTCTTTTTAGGTGTGCCCTTGGGTTTTGGCTTAATCATTCGACTTTTGGCATCTCTGACCATCGGTATTCAACGGTTTGAAAAAAAAGTTTTACCATTTATCTCACCATGGGCCTTTATTGGATTGATATATACAATTATTGTGATTTTTATTGAAAGAGGCTATTCTTTCATAAAAGATATCCGTACAGCTCTTCGCTGTTTTGTTCCATTGATCGTTTATTTTACCATAACCTGGTTTGGTACGTTTTTCTTGCTGAGATGGCTATTGGGAAGAACTGCTCCAAATTTGGAGGCCTTTGAGGATGAGGATGACGAAAAAGAAGCTTTACTTTGCGGATGTGAGGAAGAAGTAGCCAATGGATCAAGAACAGTAAGCAAAGGCTGCTCTGCAAACTATTCTGAAATAATAACTCAGACTTTTACAGCAGCGTCAAACAATTTTGAATTGAGTTTGGCTATTGCAATATCTATATATGGATCAGGTAGTGACCAGTCTATTGCTGCAACATTTGGCCCCCTATTGGAAGTACCGATTTTATTGTTTCTCTGCTTTGTGGCCCAGTTACTTAAGTTTAATTTTGAGTGGAGTGACATTAATGTGAATGAAGACTAGGGAATCCAATTACTAGACATAGCTTTTTCTATATTTAGATTCCAATTAGGTCGGCAACTGTTTTGTATTTATCAGCTTTTATAACTTTGGTATTAAAGTAGACTGGGATTAAGGTTAATTGCGCATTATTTGGTCTGAGTTAATGGGAACGATGATATTTTCACCAGTTTACTCTCTTTATCCCAATCAAGTTTTTCAAAGAAGTAGGCACTATTGTTCTGTAAAAGAAATTATTGATTCCCACATGCAAGCAGGTAAATGACCTGAGACTAGAACATAGATGGCTAGCGTAATGTTTACTTTCATTATATTACCCCTAGTGTCACGGCTATGCGGATTCCCCAATAACAGTCAGGGTTCCCGCATTTTTACTCACTTAAATATGTCCAGCAACTGATATAGCTACCATGACAGTGGCTGACGCTTTTCTCCACTGTATGACTGCAGAACAACTGGATAAAGTCTTACCATAAAAGTTCAGGCGGAACAGCTTTTGATAGAAGTGGTAATCACAATTTAATAGATAGAAGTATTTTTTGATATGTAGTAATCTATCTAGCCTAGGCTTTTTTTGAGTTTGATTACAGCATTACGATAACTGATTCAACTTCTGAGCTAGAAAAAGTAGGAAGTGATGATTTTAAGAACTCATTACCAGTGAAATAACTGGGATAACAAGACTTAATAATGTTATTTAATAACCTCGATTAGTACTTTATCGTATACGTTCTGGGTGCTCAGAATTTAGAACTAATTGAAGCGGGGTAGCATTTTTTGCAGATGCCAATCATATTAGTATCAGCTTACATCCACAAAACATGAAACCGCTTAAGAGGCTTTTACGGCTGACAAAGGCTGCCATGCATCAATAATATTTTTGGCCAATTTAAAAAGCACATTGTGTCTTTGACTAACAGCTGTGTGGATGCTGGTTTGAGTTGGTCTGAACTTTTTGGAATCTGCCAACACAGGTATGGATCAACCAGTTACTGGACGATCGTCGTTTTCTCAAAAAGTTGACCTGCCATCGCTTTCAAGTTTAGACTCAAGCTTTAGCAGCACAGCCTCAACATTAAAACCCGATAAGATCCAGATTTCATCATTCTAAAAGCACGAAATTTGCCCCTGATAAGCTTTTATCAGCCTCTTTCTAAGGTTTCCATCTATGCTGCCAAAGAGTTCTTATCTCTTTTTTTTTGAGGGGAATTACCTCTTTTTGATAACGTTTGGAGAAGTAAGTCGTCATATAAGCAGATATGTCTTCTCCGGCTACCCCAGACTGGGAGAGTGAAGATCTCGGCTATGACAGTGAATTTGTTGACTTGAACTTAATCTCATTTTTGGAAAAACAAAAATTTAACGGTTTGCAAGATGAAAACGGAGAGTTTTTGAGCCCCATTGAAAGGAGCAGTTTACTGGAAACCTGGCTTTTGAGACTTGAACTAGGTTTTAAAGTTTTCAACGTTTCAGAAGATCTTAAGACCAGTTTTGTCATTCTTGCGGTGGATGGTGATACTAAACATTGGCTAGGCCTAGAAGAAAAAGCAGGACGCAAGTTAAAAGATTTAAGCTGGGATGAGTTTAAGGAAAAAATGAAAACTGAATACCACAAGAACCCTGACAAGGATACTCGCTACTATCTTGATCAGTTTTTTGAATTAAGATGGGAACCAAGCACGACATTTTCAGATTACAACAGTAAGTTTGAAAAGCTCAGAGCTCAATGCTGCGGAGAGCTGAACAATCATGGGGTAGTGGCAAAATATATCCATGGTTTACCTCACTTTGTGAGAAGGAAGATTGATTTAGAAGGATGTACTAGGGTGTGGGAAGTCCAGGAGAAGGTCCTCTGCTTGAGTTCCGAGTGGAAAAAGCCGAATAGGGATGTTACTTACGGAGATTCTTGTGCACTGAGACCAATGCATCACCATCACCATAGGGGGTTTAAAACTAAAGGCTGGGGACACCGTGGCCAACACGGAGGGTACAAGAGACACTATCATTGATCTTCGAGGAGAATTTTTGGCACCGAAGCAATTTTCAAAGTTTACAATTATTGCTTTTTGAATATTTAGCTAATTTTTTGTTTAATCAATTATATGGATCTTCTATACATCACTTAATCAGTATGATAAGAGGTGGCAGAAGTAATTGCACCATTGGAAGCAACAACTTCAACTTCATAATCTGCACAAAATGAACTATACAAGTTTTCGGCGCTGGCTGTCATTTCGTAGGTGTACTTTGCCTCTTGGTCAGGGATGACATCTCTTCTGTATCTCCCGGAGGGTTGAACAGAGTCTACTTGCATTTGAACCTCACAATAAGTATCCATTAAACAGAGCAGATAGGCGGCCTCTCCAACATTTGTGCCAGCTGTCAACAATCCATGGTTTTTCAGAATAATAACTCGGTTGGTCGGGCCCATCGCTTCGGCAATATGTTTAGCCTCCTGGGATTCTAAAACTACCCCACCAAAGTCGTTATACACTGTATGATTTTTGTAGAAAATGCATGCGTCCTGATTGAGCATATCCAAATGACTTCCAAGGGCGGAAAATTACTTACCAGCTCTCGAGTGAACATGACATATTGCGTTTACGTCGGGTCGGGCTTTATGAATAGTTGAATGGATCTTGAAACCAGCAGCATTAATTGTTGCTCTGTTTCCGCCAATGACATTCCCATACTCATCAACATGAACCATATGCTGGGGAGTCAAAAGAGAAAAATGAACTGCTAGAGGGTTGATCCAGAAAGTGTCTGGATCAATCGGGTCTCTCACAGAAATGTGTCCAGCGGGACCTTCGCAAAACCCCTTTCTCGCAAAAACCCGGAAAGCTCCTGCCATTAAATTCAACAGCCATTCTCTTTTGATAAATGGATCGGTGATTTTTGGAAGTCTGTATGGATGTTTATAAATACCCATAGCAATGTTATTGACTCCGTCTTTAACTTCTGTGTTGTATCCTCTCAAGTTAACATTTTCTTGCTTTTCTTCTTTCCGTGTTTCCACAGGCTGCAGCTTCAAAGCTGCATGCACAGCTGTTTGGGTAGTCATTTTTTCTTATTTGGTAAAAGAGGAACTGCCAACCGAAATCAGCGTTTGAACCGCCTGCTTATGCCAATGTCATGTACTTCGGAGGTCTACACAGCTTCTTTATATAGTGGCTGATAAGAAACGCTCCACAGTTTGTCCGCGGAAAAGTTTGCCGAAGCCTTTTTACGTTATCTTGCCATTTGCGGTAGCTGATTAGGCGGAGGTATTACCTTTCTTATTGTTCTCCATTGCAAACCTGTCATACTTTACGGCTAGTTCTGAGACAGGTAGAGTATATTAGCAGCTATGTTTGATAAGTATTGGACTATGGGAAAGACTGTAGAACAGCCTTGTGGCGTCCCCAGTAACGATCTTATTATGGCTGTCGTGCTCTTAAATTAACTCCAGTAGACTTTCAAAATCAGTAACGAGCACTTACGAAACATTTGAAAGGCGACAGAATATTCTTTCCGCTTGTTATACTTCTCGATCTCAGATTCTATCTCCTATTCCCTGCCCTCCTTATTACACATCAGAATGATGCTTCTGGCTGTGCAGAGAGTGTACCGATTAGGAAAGTGAAAATTTTCAAATTTACTTGAATGTTATCGTCATCAACAGCTTCCAGATTGTAGACTAGGCATTGAATGATATATCGACTTCAAGAACCCGTGTAGAAAAAAATAAAGCGGTAAGCCCATAATGTCTGATTTGCATGAGCTTTGTTATTTCAAAAATCGCCCCATTACGAGGGAAGAATACTTGGTGCCATTGAAGGCATATTTGAAAGCGGGGATTCCAGCTACATACACCACGGAAGAGGCCTACAACTACGAACACGGCGTCGAAAAAGAAGCTGAGAGCAACACTACTCCAATGCATTTGATTTGTGAACATGTGCCGAAGGACCTGAACGAAGAAGAAGAATCCGTCGTTTTGGAAATGATGGAACAACTCTGGCTAAATGGAGCAGGATGGTGTTTGCTCAACGATAAGCAAGAAACACCTGCGTGTGTACTATTGAGGCGGGGACTACACGGATCAAAATACTGGGACAGCTGTGTTGACTCTGGTGTACGTGCGGAAGTTTTGTTGCGTAAGTTGAACGACCCTAATGTGGAGTTTTTGGATGATCCCGCTGATGAGTTCTCTGAAGTTGCGGAAGAGGATGACGTGCCTGAATTGGTTGACGAAACAAAGTTGAGCACCGAGCAAAACAAAGAAAGTGGCGAAGCAGCCAAGGCTGTTGAAATTGTTCAGGAAATGTACAATGGTCCTGCAGGGGCAACAGACACCTATTTGAACACTGAATTAGAATACAAAAATGGTGCTCTGGTTACAAAAGAAGGTGCTGACGGAGTAATGATGCAGTGGGAAGATGAATTAATGAAGGCTGGCTCCGAATCTCTGTTCAAATCTATTGAAGACCCAAATGACATCAACATCCTTAACATAGGCTTCGGGATGGGGATCATCGATACCATGATTCAGGAAAAGAGGCCCACCAAGCATTACATATGTGAGGCACACCCAGATGTTTTGAGAAAGATGAAGGAAGAAGGGTGGTATGAAAAGCCAGGAGTTGTCGTCTTGGAAGGTAAATGACAAGAGACCTTACCAGACTTGCTCACCAAGGGCGTGTTTTTCGACGGAATATACTACGATACATTTAGTGAACATTATGAGGATATGGTAAATGACCTTTTTGATGTTGTGGTGGGACTTTTGAAGCCAACTGGAGTCTTTTCTTTTTTCAACGGTTTAGGCGCCGACCGTCTAGTGTGCTATGAGGTGTACAAAAAGGTGGTGGACTTAGATTTATCTAACTACGGCATGTCTGTTGAGTTCAAAACGATGAAGGCACCTGTAACTACTCTACAGGAAAACGATGATTCCCCTGATTCGGTATGGAAGGACATCAAGCGTGCTTATTGGAGATGCCCACTATACTACCACCCTGAGGTCAGGTTCATGTAGAGATAGCTTTTCCGAATCTTATTTAAGTGATTACTGCCCATCACCAGCATCCATCGATGATCCATGCGCTGATTTGTATTATTGAACTGTCTAACGGTTTGTAGTTAAACAAATGAACCATTGCTCGTGTGACACCAAATCTGCCATATTTCAATCAAGAGAACTTCAATTGCACCTCTCTACCATTGATAGCCACGTAAACAGAATGATTATGAGAGCTAATCTAAATAACTCTAGTTTCCGGTTAGGGAACGGGAGTATTTTGCGCCGCCTTAGTTTGCGGTCCTCTTTGATTTGGCAAAGATAATGTCACTTCCACTGGCGCAGCTTGGGTTTTTCCAAATTATTGCAAAACTCAACATCAAACTTTTGAATGAGTGCTTTACAAAGTTTCTCAACTCCAGTATGATGTGAATTGTGCTCGAGGGCTACGAGATCCACATGGCTACTAATATGGGAATTCTCGCTCCAGTATGGCAAAAGGGGTCTTTTGTGAAAAACGTTTGTTAGCGAAACACCCTCTCGTGAAAAATGCCGAAATCAAGAGGCCCCTCTCGTGAGAGCGCTGCTCGAAAACGACCCTTTTGTGATTAGTATGGGGAAAAAATCGGGCCGGCGAGCTTGCCGGAGGGGGAATTTTCGACGATTTTTCCGTTTCCTGTTTTCTGACGGTATGTGGTCGGTGTTCTTGCTGGACTGGAGCTAAGAAGAATAGTAGTCCATTAAAGCAGCACACACTACAATGGACAGTCTACAGTACAAGTGAATATTGCGATTATCATGGGAGTGTCTTTGACACCGTTAATGATGTGGCCACAAGGTTGTTGTCCTGTGTGGATCAAGAGGCTCATTTGAAGACAGCTAGAAGACAATACTGCCTTGAGCATTGGGAGACGTACAATAGAAACAGCAGTGACAGTAATGTGGCAGCCAGGTGGCTGTCTGTTGTTGTGACAGGCTGGACAGGGGAATGTAGACCGGGAAGTTGTCCAAGCAGTTCTTAGTCGTCCACGCAATTGATCTGTTGATGATTAGAACACACCATTGACAATGACATTCCTGAGACTCAAGTGATGTGTGTCAGCACATGGAACCCACGTTGTTCTGATTGCATCATTGGGATCTGGACTTGGCAAAGGCTGGAAATGGCCTACGACTGTATAGTTTATATATTCTGTTACATCCAGTACTCGAGACACTTGTACTGATATATACACCGAATAGTGGCATGGCATCATACAAAATACCGAACGCAAGCCTCCCTGCATCATGTTGATGGCTGGGTGCTGATCCTCGCCAAACCAGCCCCTTGTACAGCCTTTCGACGGGTGTTTTGACCAGCCTTTTCGCCAACAATTGGCCCACATTCTGGACAACCGTCTACGATGGAGATACTGTGTCCAGTACTTGAGCTAGCTCATTATTGCATGTCTTGTCTACTACGGTTATCTTCTACTTGTGTTCATGGTGACACCGAATCAGGAGGAACACCACCGAACCAAAGATGTCTGAAGAACAAAACATTCTAGCAAGCAAGAGATTTGATATTATCGAAGGGTTGATTGTCGACCACACGAAGAAGTGTGTGGTCACTCCCTACAAGAAGGAGATTGCGGACAAGATCCCGTTGATTAGCTACATCAAGGAGCTGTACGACGACTGGGAGACCTATCCTACCGGTACCGTTATCAGGTACGAGTGTCCTCATACCAAGAGAATTGTTCAGGAAAACACCAAGACCAAGGTCTTCAGAAAGCCGGATGAGGAAATGATGAAGAAGTACAACCTGGACGAGCGGTTTTTGACCAACCAGGATCTGTTCTTTGCCGTCCACAACTCAATGTCGGGCATCGAAGCCGACTGTGTTTGCTACTAATATGGGAATTCTCGCTCCAGTATGGCAAAAGGGGTCTTTTGTGAAAAACGTTTGTTAGCGAAACACCCTCTCGTGAAAAATGCCGAAATCAAGAGGCGCCTCTCGTGAGAGCGCTGCTCGAAAACGACCCTTTCGTGATTAGTATGGGGAAAAAATCGGGCCGGCGAGCTTGCCGGAGGGGGAATTTTCGACGATTTTTCCGTTTCCTGTTTTCTGACGGTATGTGGTCGGTGTTCTTGCTGGACTGGAGCTAAGAAGAATAGTAGTCCATTAAAGCAGCACACACTACAATGGACAGTCTACAGTACAAGTGAATATTGCGATTATCATGGGAGTGTCTTTGACACCGTTAATGATGTGGTCACAATGTTGTCCTGTCTGGATCAAGAGACTCATTTGAAGACAGCTAGAAGACAATCCTGCCTTGAGCATTGGGAGACGTACAATAGAAACAGCAGTGACAGTAATGTGGCAGCCAGATGGCTGTCTGTTGTTGTGACAGGCTGGACAGGGGGTACCGGGAGAGTTGTCCACGCAATTGACCTGTTAATGCTTAGAATATTACCACTGGAAATTGAACTCAGATCAGCTGATGATGTTAATAGATGAATGTGAATTCTTGGCAACTGAATTGAGTGGATGTCCGATAAAAAGATTCAAGTATAGTCTGTGATTGAACACTACATGCAAGAGGAAGTTATCAGCACACTATTCGACGGTTGAAGCGATCAAGTAGTAGTTCAGAGCTCAATCCATGGTATATTCTGCTGGTTATGAGGGACTGGAAAGACATTTATTCACAACCAGTGGATCAGCAATAGGTTCCCATGAAGATCAGCGGACCATTTATCCGTCTGGTTCACAAGGACTGTCTAATTCAGAATGTGACTATGGGGATCGTTAGGAACGGATACGTACAAATGGCCAGTGCCAGTAGTGGAAGAAGATAAGTTCAGGCCTTCCTCAGTTCGATAGTGTACAAGTAGTTTACAGAAACAGTGCTATATTGAAGAGGCAGTTATGTTTTGTTTTGCTGGAGTTATCGAAGTAAATCAACTGTACAATCTGGATGGTCTTTGATGCTAGCCACTGGCGAGTTAGGGAGAAGATAGCTGGTAAGAAACGTTCAGGTATTGGACGGAGACTGGTAGTTGAAATGTTTGTTTACTGATTACGAACTAATGAGAGACTTGATATTAGGCCTGATTTGTCGTTGAGTCGGCAATTGATAGGGCGGGTGTTCGTTAGCTGGACAGACATGCTATAATTTAGAATTGAAAATTGAGAAGCCTGTACTCTGTTGTGTTTGCAGAGAAGCAATTCGAGCATTTTGTGGACCTGGGCAGAACCCAGCTGGCCAGTAAAACTTGAGTTTGTAGCTATTTAACTAGAGAATATTTCTAGTTGCTGAGCTTGGTGAATGATAAATTGTTTAGAAAAATGACGAGAGTTCAGATGTCTGAGACAGATGAGGAGGAGACGTTCAGATACTCTAGACAGAGTACTCGTTTGATATAGTGTTCTATTTGATTGTCTTGCCGAAGGTCGATGTAAGATCCGCTAGATATCGAACTTTTCGGGCGGTTAGCCACAGAAGTTATTGCCGTAGTGTATATGAGAGGACGAGTTCAAAGGAACAATATGTTGAAATAACTGTAGCTGAGGAGAAGAGGTCCGGATATTTGCTGGGTCAGGGTATGTATTCAGACGAGTCAGCGCTTGCATGTAAAGACGGATACATGAGAGTTGTCAGATTATGTTCCAGTATAGTCTAGGGAAAGTGATGAGATGTTCAAGTGATGTGTGGACCAGCTGTAGTATGATTCAATAGACCCGAAGTCTTTTATTGAAATGAAGTATTCTAGTCAGCAGTAATTTCACAATGTTTTGTCCAATTGCAAGTCTCGAATAAATGATGCTGGTGTGTCTGTTTTTGATCTTTAAGCAAGCAATTGAAGGAAATGCAGGTTAGGTTGATGATGTCAGTTGAAAAAGAAACAATCGCTGTACCATGCTGTAGTTGAGGAGAATACGTTCAGACGTTTCCTGTGCCAGGATATGAGTCGAGTAGATGATTGGCTGAGATAGAAGAGGTAGTTGAGGAAATGACGTTCAGGTTATTGCTAGACCGGGGTATGAGTAGACCGGGGTATGAGTTGACCGGTGGTATAAGCAGACGGATTGCAGCTGAGTATAGAAGTAGACGAAGCTAATTTACCAGTGGCAGTTGTGAGAACAGTCCCAGGCTAGTTGGATTGGTTGCTGTTGAAATGTGTAACAGGACTAGCAGACTAGCAGACTAGCAGAGTGGTAGATGTTTGAGCCTGTTGAAGTTATTTTGTAGTTGAAGAGAAGAAGTAGTTTGGGCTAGATGTGGAGTCTGTAGCTGGACGGTGGATGGGACTGTGGCAGTTGTATCAGGTCCGCAGATATTGGCCGTTGGAACATGCATGTTGTTCTTTGTTGATTGTTCTCTTGATGATACTGGTTGAAAAGAGGTCGAGCAGAGAGCCGTGGGCCGTTGTGATTGAGGAGAGTACGTTCAGACGTTTCCTGTGCCAGGGTATGAGGTGAGTAGATGGCTGGCTGTGATGGACGAGATGGACCAGAAGATCAGAATGAGTTCTGTTAGGATCAGAATGAGTTCTGTTAGGATCAAAATGAGTTCTGTCAAAAGTGTTATCTGCGATATTCCGGACGAGCCGATGGCCAGGATCTACGATAAGAATTTTCTTTTCAGCATGATGGGGTTTGCATGAGGACGAGATTGAATTCCCCGAGTGTGTTCGAGAATGTGCAGCCTGTCTGATGTACAGCCTGTTCTATGTATTTTGTCAATGAACCAACGATGCCGGGAATCTCGTTCTACATTGAGAAAAGTTTGTAGTCTTTCAGATGGATAGTGGAAATGGATGAAGTCGTTGCATTAGGCTTGACTATCCCGAAATATAAGTGTTTATTCCAGTACAAGATATGTTTGAAGTACTGCCAGTTCTTGTTTGCTGTATCTTTCCGTGTAATATCAATCAAAGGAAAGGTTTGTTCAAGCTGTTGGGTGTGTTTTAATTGAGAAGAGGAAGTTCAGACAGTCCCTGTATTTGCAGGAGGTATAGTTTGAATGAATGGAGCTAAGTTCTAATGGATGAGGAAGGTTCTGTTGTTGGCAATTGTGGACAATTGTGGACAATTGTGGACAATTGTGGCCAGATGCTAGATACCTGGTCACGCCAAGTAGTGGCTGTGGGTGATTACATGGTTAATCATGTGTTGAATGAATGCTCTAGTCGGATGAGAAGATACCATGGACCGTTTGTAGTTGAGGAGAAGACGTTCAGACGTTTCCTGTGCCAGTAAAAGATACGGTTCGATAGGTTTGTGTCGGAGACGTGAACGTGGTCTGTGTGGCAGGTGGTGCCTGAAGTGCTGTAACTCTGTATCTAAACAGGTGTGGAGTATGGGCTGTAACTCGTGCAGTTCTGGGAATGCTGCCCCGAGACCGGTCTAGTCGTGATATCCGAGTGCTGTTTGTGGGGGGAGGATGTTCTTGGAGCCCGTATGATCCGGGAGTATCATGCGCTGGTGGGCATGTAATGGGCGGAGCGGCCACGTATGTTGTGGGGAAGATGGGTTGTCGAAGCGAAGGCTTGGCGCGGGAGGCTCTGCGCGGACGATTTTGCGCCGCGCGACCGTTATGCAAGTGCATGCGATGCGATGCAAGCGCATGCGAGAGCATGCAAGGGGTGCGCGAAAAGTTTTTTTCCGGGGAGATGAGGTTACGGCCGGGACCGGCGATAAGGGTCGGTGCGAGCGGTTATGTCCGGACGAGGGCCGACCAGGACGGCCACAGGAAGCAGGTCCCTGGTGCAGTTTTTCACGGCGAGTGCAGTGGTGGTGGTCCGGGCGTGTGGCCCGGGGCCGCTGGCGAGATATGGCCGGATGAAGTGCGTACGACAGGGTTTACGTTGTGGAGGTTGGTACCAGATATTGGCTGGGTGTGGGCTGTTTGATGCTGTGATGGATGTGGTCAGAAACGCTGATTGCGGGAATGTACGTGGTTTGGCCGTGTGGGACGTGGTTCGTGAGAAACGGCGGGCCGAAGTTGTGAGATTTACGAAAAATGCGAGAAAGTTGAAAATGATGAAGATGCTCTGAATATTATAGAAATATCTGTGGAGATAGTATTCTGTGATATACCAGATGGGAAAAGGAGGGAGGAATAGGCAGTATACGGAGAGGAATAGGGTAGTTGAAGAGAAGGCGTGCAGGACCAGAAGCATGGACGTGAAGAGAGGGAGGAGAAGACGATACAAGTGCCGGGAGGCGGGTATTTATTGTTGTTTATGTTGGATGGTGGTGGAAATGTTCGTTTTTAAACCGTTTTTTTAGATAGTTTGGCGGGGGGTGTGTGGGAAGTGGGGAGGTATTTTTTGTTGTTTGAAATGTTCGTTTTTAAACCGTTTTTTTAGATAGTTTGGCGGGGGGTGTGTGGGAAGTGGGGAGGTATTTTTTGTTGTTTGAAATGTTCGTTTTTAAACCGTTTTTTTAGAACTAGGTGTGCGGGGTATAGAACTAGGTGTGCGGGGTATAGAACTAGGTGTGCGGGGTATAATAGAACTAGGTGTGCGGGGTATAATAGAACTAGGTGTGCGGGGTATAATAGAACTAGGTGTGCGGGGTATAATAGAACTAGGTGTGCGGGGTATAATAGAACTAGGTGTGCGGGGTATAGAACTAGGTGTGCGGGGTATAATAGAACTAGGTGTGCGGGGTATAATAGAACTAGGTGTG